TTTTGAAGAAATTATAGCAAGGTGAATAATCTTTGGAGAGGCACTCACCCATATCGGTCACAGCCAGACCTAATTTGGTCCATTCTACATTGTGTTAATGTCTTTACTAAAATTGCTATACATATTTAAGCACTTGTACTAACCAACATTGGGCGCAGGGGCTGTCGGGAAAGTCATCCTAGCAATTAGAAGCCAATATCGTCCAATTTGAAAGATTGGTGAAGAGACGGGTACAGATAGAGTAAATTATTTCAAGGGTCCCGTTAGGTATCAGACTCTTCAGCCAATTTTATGAGGTCTTCTGCCAATAGTTTCATTATTTAATTTCGCGGGGCTTACTTCCAACCTTGGAAGGTTCCACTCGTTCTTGTCAGCAACGCAGCCACGCGGTCCTTTCTCACATTGCATATACCTCCCGCCGCTACTGCAACCTCACTCTTCTAAGATTCAGTAGATGCAGCACTATGCAGCATCAGCACAAGAGGCTCGGGTAAAATTCCCCGGGAAAGCCAACCGTCGCTACATCTTCCCAATGCGCCTTCAATCTCGCCCTCGCCCCCAACATTTGGGGGCGGTAACTTCCCACTGCTCACCTGGACTCGTTTTGGGTGACTCAAATGGCGAAAGATATACATGGTAGCTGCGTAGAAATACTCTTTTTCCTGTCCAATTCAATACTCTACACACAGGTTAAATAGTAAGTCCAGTGTCCCTAGCGGCAATAGTAGTCGTCCGCGGACGAGAGCGGCATCATCGGAATCAGACATTCTCTCCCTATCCTTCACTTTCCCATTCCCTCTTCACACTACACAGGATATCAGCTCCAGTCATGCAAGGAGACCACGGCTCGTCTAATGCATACAGTCTGATTCTGCCTGTGAGTAGATTTGATCCCCTGCTTATCTGCTCATGACTGAAACAGATAGAACTTGGTGGTCGAGACCTTCTAAACCTAAGGCTATGCACGAGTTTCGTGGCAGCCTGATGCAAGCCGAAATCGAGACTATTTGGCCCTCTCCTCATACAAAGTGGCACCATGACAACCTGGCCGGCTCAGCAGACTGGGCAGCTATCACTAATAATTCTATGTCCGAGTCAGAGTTATACATAGCCCTGCCCGGTGCCCCGCAAGACGATATTCCTTTCTACTCCGAAACTTACTCCATTGTATGTCACTTGCTTTTTGGCTTTTTCTTTCGCCCTTGCTCTTGTACTTTGCTCTGTGACGCCGATGAAGTGACTTTATCGATTAACTCTTTATAGGACGAATGCCCCATGCCCACTCAATCTGACCCGGCACTCCTTTCATCTCTCCCTCCCACCCCACCATCCAGTCAAGTCAATCCTCCCACAGCAGGTTCACAGCCACAGCCACACCATCCCAGTCCCATGTCCAAAAAGCCAGATCGTAGTCCACCCTGCTGTTCTGCTCATGAGCGCATGCTTCATCAACAGCGCTCACGCGGCGCCAGTATCAATATTCAGAACGCCAGCGGCCAGACCCCGCTGCATATCGCTGCTCAACAAGGCAACCTTGGCACTGTACGGCTCTTACTCGCCTCAGATATGATCGACGTGAACGTTCAGGACCGATGCGGAGCCACTGCATTGCATCTGGCGAGTGAGAACGGGCATGTTGCGGTAGTGAGCTTGTTAGTGGCACATAATGCCCGATTGGATGTAAGGGCAACAAGCGTGTGATGAGTTGATATTCTTATCAGGACCTTTGGTGGGGCAACGCCCTGGACCATCTTGATCGTCAGGATTGCCTGTTTGGGTTGAAATGATGGCTGCTAGGGAACAAAAAATGTACTTAGTAGGTATACCTAAGAAATATAGATACAACCTTCATGTTTAGCTATTAGTGCCCAGATGAAAATGAAACCCCAGACTTCAAGTCCACGGCGGTCGCAGAGAGGTAAAACAAAGATCCAAAGCTTCTCCCCAACCTAAATTTCCACCACCTTTCCATCCAATCAATTTTAATGTCATAAATGTGCTGTTGTTGTGAAAAACATCAATATGAAGTTAGATAATGCTAGGGCTTACGACCTCATATAGGTAGTCAGAACAGTCTTATCCTAATCTTGGAACTTGAATTGCCATTGACCTTGAAAATTGATATAATTAGATATGTAGGTATTTTCTCGGATTTGCATCTTATCCATAAGGTACTCGCTTAGATATCCTACTATCTCGTGGCTATTGCGTTGTTGCCAGTGACTAAAACAGCGATTGGGGGGGTCTCTGGATATATATTATCGGCGCCATGAGTTGCCCAGGTGCATCTGTAACTCCACCATCCACAAGTATTTAAAGCACTTGATAATTCAGATTTACGCACTGATTGATAAATGACGCTCGTTCTGCACCTTCTTTTAAGCAAAAGTAACTCGTGCGCAGTTGAAAAAAAAGAAAAGAAAAGAAACATCTAAGGAATACGGGTGAGGTGCTGAAAGGCGGTGCACTATAGCAGAAAAGTATGGCAACACGACCATTTCTTTCCCAACACCAGTGTATCACACGCGTTCTTGCTTAGATGCGACTACTTATCTACGTGTCTCGTTCACCGAAACCATTATCAAGTATTATCATTAAGCTGAGCTTGCACATATCTCTATATGAACCTCGATCTTCTAAGCTTTCATGAAATAAAAAAAGTCTAGGTTGAATAGCCTAGCCGCTTTCTACACGGTTAAGTAACGGGCCCGTACCACATGTAAATCTTTTCCTCCAGCTGTCGCTTGATACGCCCGGAGGATCGAGTGAGCCACCACGATAGACTGGGATCGGTCTCCGCCAGGGAGCCCCAGAGCGAAACGTGGTCTTCCCGAATGCGGTCCCAGAATCGCTGAGCCACGCCATTATGCCAATCCAAGTGGGAGATGGAAAACAAGGCGAGCTCTGATATATTTCCGATGATACTATCCCGGGATGTGGCCATGGACCGTGGAGCATATGCCTCCGCATCACCCGATGGCAGCGATGGAGCAAATTGCCATGGGAACGATGCTTGCGTGAAAACAAGCGCGAGGTTATTGACTGTCTGTTCTGGTGCTGGCGAGATCGGGTCGTGATCAAAGTAAGCGATGAAGTCTCTGGTCTCAAGCTGCGTTAGGAGTGCATCGATGTCAATGGCCCCATTGGAGATGACATGACGCTGAAGGGCGGTGCGAAGGGCCTCTCGTGAAGGAAAATCCTGGAGAGAGGTGGCAGACTGGACGATCTGTGGATTACGCAGTACCGTCCAGAGCGCGGGATCAGGAAAGATGGTGCTGCGCAAGGCCGTGGCCTCCCCTAGCATGATACTGGCATGAGGCCTGAGTTCGCGCGCTAGATCGTGCATCGCGGGAGAAGTAGCCATGAGTGCCGACAAGGAGGAGGGAGAGGTCTCGCGGACGAGAAAAATACTACGCAACGGTTGCAGTACTCGCGCCAATTGTGCAACGGCATCATGGGTGTCCAGCGCATACGTGCGAGACTCTGCAGATGAAGTGCCCAATGCTGCCACGACCGGTATATAGCCATTATGGATAGCGGACTTGATTCCCTGGGTGGCAATATCTGTCACATGGCCCTGATGGTAGGACATCGTGCCGTCAGATTCAGAGACGGCCGTAAATATACCAGAGGAGATGGGTCGTGTCTCGACATCCTGCTGCTCCAGGAGCGCGCTGAGCTGGTGGTTCGTCGTGCGGATGCGACATAGTTGATTCGGCTGATCGTTGGGCCCCTCCATTGTCGATATGGACGGAAGATCCAGGTCTAACTCACCATGTACGACAACAGGAAACAGACCGACTCTGCGTAGGAATGCTAGTGAGTCGGCCAGCTGTTCGAGCTGCTCGCGCACGGCGGTTCGCGGCGGAGAGAGTGAGTTCGGCCCGAGAGCGATTACGGCCAGAGATTCGCCCTGCGAAGGGTGAAACTGGCCGAGATACTGCTGTATGTGCTGTGTGGAGTCAATGAGACGTAGCAGTTGGGTTATTATCCCACGATTGGTATGCATGCAGGACCGCTGCCCTCTCGAAGACTGGACAGAGAGATAGCCCCAGCTGGCGCGAGTGGGGAGCCCGCAACGACCCAGCAATGGGGCCAGCATAGTGGAACAATTACCTCGACTCCAATGGCCAAGGTAAGCTGGCCGATTGCAGATAAATTAGGGGCTGAGTGGCCAGAGGATTCGTCGAGCTGGGCTTATACTAGTCAGGTGCTGGTAATGGCAGTCGTGCTCGCCTCATGTTTTGCGCACTCTGCACCATTGTCATCCAGAAATGTGGCGCATCTTGCTTTCCATTGACCCCCGGCCTGACCGTGACAGCAAACCCACAAAGAAAGTAAGCAGGGAATGTCAGATCTACCCGTGCCCGTGCATGCTGCACGGTGAGCTAAGCACGATCGTGCTCCACCCAACTACTGCACGATGAGCCGCTAGGTGAGATGTCAGAATTTAGTCGAAAATTAGCGTCGACCTAACCGTATCTGTGACCTTGACCCTCACCATGCAGCTTTTCCGCCCCTTGCAGCGCCGAGAGTCAGAAACGTGGGGGCCATGTGGCCTCTCGGTCTAGCCCTAAGCGGCTACAGATTGTATGACTACTGTATTACTGTTGCCAAGCGAGACTCTGGATGAGCGAAAGGCATTGTCCGATTCAGGAAAGCCTCCTCTAGTGACTGCCAGGTTGCGCGATTGTCCCCACACGCAACCTTATTGGTGGATGTAGTCGGTGCCTGCACGAAAGCATGCGATCGCGAATGCCAAAAAGTCGTGGGCATATCGCGAAGTAGTAACCTGTTCAAGAGTTAGCATCTCCCAGGCTTTCTGACTGCGCAAGTCTCGTCCGTCATTCTGCCCTACACTCTCGCGCTCTCAGTGAAGCTTCGTTGTTGGACTATCTATCCCATCCAACACCTTTAACATTCATTCATCGCACACTCCACGGCTCCTATACGAGTCGTATTAATCACTATCACCTACACAAAAGCGCTTCTAATTTACCATGGGCGACTACAGCGAACAGCCCTCCATGGAACTTGACCATGTTGAGCTGCCATTCGAGCTCAAAGCAGGTACATCCCTGTTTCCACTTTTGACTGACGGAATTATTCTAGATGATGAACAACTGGCCGTGCCACTAGTTGGTGGAACAGTTGGCCAGACACGAATTGCCCTGGAGTTGCGGTCGGACATCTCGTCCGCAGCCCTGGCAGGCTTCTGCACGCCCCGAGGATTGACGCTCATGAGTGTGTTGAACGTTGCTTGGTCTTTGGTGCTCGCGGCGTACGCTGACACGGAGGCGGTCAATGTCCTGTTTGTTCGATACGTGGCCGGGGTGCCCTACGTCGGCTTGTCTGAGACCGTGATTGACGGCGGACGAACAGTACAGCAGACCTTGGCGGAGGCTGAACAGCAGGTGCACACGAGCATGGCAGTGCCGTCGGCGACAAGCTTGTCCGAATTGCAGAAGCGGACGGCTGTGGAAGGCCATCCAGCATTCAACAACGTAGTGCTATTGTCGGACAGCAATGCCCCAGAGTGGGAAGAGGTGCGTTTAATCTGAAGTCGAAATTTGGTAATCCAGTCGGCGTCAGCGGATAAAATTGCAGTGAAAGAAGATATTAAATGATTCAAACAGACTGGAGATTACATTGCCGTCCAGGCGACAGCAACCCCCGATCACTTGGGAATTTTTTTACAATTTCCCACACACATGCTTCCCGCGGCACAGGCCCATCACTGCGCAACGACCCTGAGCCATGTGCTCGGAGAAATTATTCGTCAACCTGATCTCTCAATCGCCGAGGTCGGTATGATGAGTCCACAAGGGCTGCAGCAGATCTCCCAGTGGAATCAAACGGCGCCCGCTGTGGTCTCACGCTGTCTTCACAACCTCGTCGATGAGACAGCCCAGGCGCGACCTGACGCCATGGCTATCGAAGGAGCCGATGGTCGTATGACCTACGGCGAGTTGCAAACGTATTCAAATCGCTTGGCGCAGCACTTGGTTCAACTTGGAGTCGGCCCAGAAATATCAGTGCCACTATTCTTCGAGAAGTCGAAGTGGGCGATTGTTACCATGATTGCCGTCGTCAAGGCCGGTGGCGTCATCGTCAACCTGGATGCCAAACAGCCACAAACACGCTTACGAGGACTGCTCGCTCAGCTGCAAGCCCCGATAGTGCTGACCTCAGTCCAACATGCTGGTCTCTGGGATAGCGAATTCTCTGTTGTGACCGTCTCTGAAGATGCCCTCGAACAGCTACCGACGGCGACGGAGGCCCCCATTGTCACCGTTACGCCGCGGAATGCCCTTTATATCATCTTTACCTCAGGCAGTACCGGTACTCCCAAGGGATGTGTGGTCGAGCACGAGTCCTTCCTAACAGCCGCCGCACAACACGTACAGGCCGGCCAAATCCTCCCCTCCAGCCGGGTGCTGCAAATGACGCCCTACACATTCGACGTCAGCATGCTGGAAATCTTTACCACGCTGACTACCGGCGCCTGTATTTGTTTCTGCGACGATGAACAGGCGGCACTTGGGATCGCCCATATTGTCAATTACCTCCAGATCTCCTGGACATTCATGACGCCCTCTTTGGTGCGTATGATTGACCCGGCCTCGGTGCCCACCCTGAAGACGCTCGCCCTTGGTGGAGAAGGTCTCGGGCGCATAGATGTGACAACATGGGCCGACAAGTTGCATCTGATCAACGGTACTTTTTCTTCCTTTGGGCTCAATTGAAGTCTCCACTAACAACTTCCTTAGGTTATGGCCCCAGTGAATGCTCCGTCGCAGCGACCATCAACGAGCCATTGTCACTCACGTCTGATCCAGCCAACATTGGCGTTGGATACGGCGCTTTGTGCTGGGTGGTGCATCCCGACGATCATGACCGACTTGTTCCCATTGGTGCCGTTGGTGAACTCGTAATTCAGGGCCCCATTGTCGCTCGGGGCTATCTTCATGAGCCTGTCAAAACAGCTGCAGTCTTTTTAGACGAGCTTCCTGTATTTTCTGCCCTCCTGCCCCGGTCGCCGCCGGCTTTCCGGCTGTATAAGACAGGAGACCTGGTTCGTCAGAACAGTGATGGTACTATCAACTTCATCGGCCGCAAAGATCGCCAAGTAAAGCTCAACGGACAGCGCCTGGAGCTCGGCGAAATCGAACAGCGACTGTCGGAAAATTCGCACGTCCGACATTCCCTGGTTTTGCTGCCTAAAGAGGGTCCCTGTCAAGGTCGACTGGTTGGCGTCCTATCGCTGCATGATTTCCCCTATGATGGTCCGCGTGACACCAGTGTCCATGGTTTACCCGTGGAGGAGTCGCAGCTTGCGCGTCTCTTATTGCCAGAAATAACTGCGCAACTGGCCGCACATCTCCCAGCATACATGATACCAACCTTCTGGGTGGTGCTGGCCGCACTGCCCTTCACAACATCAGGCAAAGTCCACGTCGTTTCAATGACCCAATGGCTGCATGAGATGTCCGACGAGATCTACCGCGAGATTGCCGGTGTGAGTGATGATGCACCTGAGATTTGTCTTTCGACCGATGTGGAATTGCAAATGCAGCAGATATGGGCGGAAGAAATGGGAATCCCTGCCGCAGAGCTCAAGACGAACCGATCCTTCATCGCCCTTGGCGGTGACTCCCTGACTGCCTTGAAGATCGTGGCCCGTTGCCGTAAGCAGCAGCTGGTCGTTTCGGTTCCAGATGTCTTGCGCGCTGCTAACGTTATTGAATTGGCCGCACGGGCAACTCAGGCGCCTGCAGACTCATCTCAAGAGGGACAAGAGAATTCCGAGAACATGACCAATTCTGACCCGGCCCAGCGGGCCGCGAGCGTGGACAATACTCTTCTAGAAGCGGCAGGCTTGACCAGTCGCAACCAGGTAGAGGATATTTACGGTTGTTCGCCCATGCAGGACGGCATTCTACTTAGTCAAGTCAAGTTCCCTGGCACCTACGAAGTCCGTCGGGTGCTGCGAGTAGAGTCCACCCGAGATGCATTCACCACTGTCGAACGTCTACAAAAGGCCTGGCAGGCAGTGGTAGATCGGCACCAGATGCTTCGAACGATCTTCGTCGACACAGCTGGTCGTTTCCAACAGATCGTGCTTAAGCAAGCTCCGGCCTGCATCCAGATCCACGAACTTTTAGACGAGCACGATGAGCCCGTCGTCATCAAGTTTCTTCAAGCCCTGCCTTTACCAACATACCAGCCTGCGCAGCCTCAGCATCGCTTGACCATTTGCCGTGCGGCTGGTGATAATGTCTTTGTTAAAGTCGAGATCAACCACGCCTTGGTTGACGGAGGCTCTACTGAGGTTATCCTCCACGAACTTTCGCAGGCCTTCGATGACCAATCCTTCTCGGCGCCGCCTGCACTATTCAGCGACTACATCAATGTTATTCATGCGCCGGAAATTGCCAGCAAATCACTCAAATACTGGACAAAATATTTGGACGGTGTGCAGCCGACCATAGTACCCTTGTATCCAGCAGAGGGCAACCCCAAGCAGATCCGTTCCGTGCCGGTGCCATTCACCGATGCTTCTGCACTGTCTCGATTCTCCGAGAACCACGGACTCACATTAGCAAATGTTCTGCAGACAGCCTGGGCATTGATTTTGCATACCTACACGGGAGCCGAAGATGTCTGCTTTGGTTACATTGCCGCAGGCAGAGATGTTCCAGTTGTGGGCATCGAGCACGCGGTGGGGGCTTTTATCAACATGCTGGTGTGTCGCGTACGGCTGGCTCAGCAAGACACTGTCCTCGACACTGTTGCTTCTATGCAGAATGAGTATTTCGATGCTCTACCTCATCAACACACGTCACTGGCCCAGATTCAGCACAATTTGAACCTTTCGGGCATGCCTCTATTCAACAGCATTGTATCAGTACAAAGAGATGTATCTGACCAGCCGTATGGAGAGTCACTCTCTTTCCGGCCCCTTGAAGAAGATGATCCAACCGATGTCAGTATTCATTCACGTTGGTTGTATGGTGCTTCACGACTTCTTTGCTAACAGATACTAGTTTGATCTCGCCGTCGCCATTCATGTTGGCAAAGAAACCGTCAAGATTGATATTGGTTACTGGTCTTCGCTGCTATCGGATGGCGATGCGACCAATCTGGCCAACACTTTCGCGGGTGCCATTTCGAGCATCCTCATGCACCCTCAGTCTTCTCCCACCGCAATCGACCTTTTTACCGAGCAAGACAGCAACCAGATTTTCGGTTGGAACCACAAGGAACCCGTCGCTGCACCCGGCATTGTGCATGAGTACTTCTACGCCCAGGTATTACAGCGGCCAGACGCACAGGCGGTCTGTGCTTGGGACGGAGAATACACCTACGCCGAGCTAAACCATCTGTCAGAGAAGCTGGCGTACCACCTGGCTCACCTCGGGGCGGGTCCTGAGGTACTCATTCCTCACTGCTTCGAGAAGTCTAAATTGGCTACAGTCACCATGTTGGCCATCATGAAGTCCGGCAGTGCTGGCGTGGGATTGAGTGCAGCCCATCCCCGAACCCGAATCCAGGATATCGTTGAGAATTGCGCATCACACATCGCGGTCGTGGCAGCGCAACACGTACCTGTCGTAGAGGGCCTCATTGAACACATCGTGGTCATCGATGAAGCCTTTTTAGCGCAGCTGCCGGATCCGCAACCGAATGCGCAGTTGCCCCAGGCACAGCCTTCTCACCCGGCATTCGTGTCTTTCACATCTGGCAGTACTGGCAAGCCTAAGGGCATTGTACTCGAGCACCGCTCTCTGATCACTAGTATTCTCGCCCATGGGACTGAATGGGGATGCGACCCGTCTGCCCGCGTTCTTCAATTTTCGGCCTACGCTTTCGACGCCAGCGTATCAGACACATTCACCACGCTCGTAGGTGGTGGAACGGTCTGCATTCCCCACGAGAAGGACAGAGTCGATGATCTCGCTGGTGCCATCAATCGACTACGCGTTAACTGGGCATTCCTGACTCCCCGCGTGCTGAGTCTGCTGTCTCCAGAGACGGTGCCTACCCTGCGAAAGGTCATCCTGGGAGGAGAGGCCATCTCACGAGAGGACATTTCCCGCTGGACAGAGGCTATCGATATTCGCATTGTCTATGGTCCAACGGAGTGCACCATCTACAGTATGGGAACCGACCCACTCACCGCGGCCAGTGATCCCGCAAATCTGGGCCACGCCGTCGGTACGCGGCTGTGGGTGACGCACCCAGAAAACACCAATAAACTCATGCCCGTGGGTTGCACTGGAGAGCTCATTATAGAAGGGCCCCTGGTGACACGGGGCTATCTCAACGACCCCGCCAAGACGGAAGCGGCCTACTTGGAAGACCCTATGTGGCTGCCCAAGAAAGCAACAGGGGAGCCACGGCGTTTCTACAAAACCAGTGATCTGGTACGATACTACCCTGACGGACAGCTACGATTTATCGGTCGCAAGGACACTCAAATCAAAATCCGCGGGCAGCGGGTTGAGCTAGGCGAGATTGAACACGCCATCCTCGGGAGCATGCCGGGAGCACTACACATCACTGTTGACTCCGTCGTGCTGCCACCACAGACGCTTGTGGCATTCCTCTATCTCGATGCCCCGTCCGTGGACAAAGGACCGCTCTTCGTGCCTTTGGTTTCTGACGTCACCGAACAGCTGCGCACCTTAGAAAAGAACCTGGCTGAGACACTTCCAAGCTACATGGTGCCCAGCCTGTTCATTCCCATCTCCCACATCCCCATGACCATCTCAGGAAAGGTCGACCGCATTGCCTTGCGCCGCGCCGTCCAATGTCTCTCCACCGAGCAGTTGGAGATGTATGCGCTAGCGCAAGGTGCTAAAGCTGCACCGCAGAGTCCGCAAGAGCAGTGCTTGCGAGACCTTTGGGCCAAGGTTTTGCGCAAAGACCCCGAGTCCGTGGGTCGCCACGATAGTTTCTTCCGCTTGGGTGGAGACTCCATTGGCGCTATGAAGCTGGTGGCAGCCGCAAGGCACGCCGGCTTCGTGCTCAGTGTGGCCGACATTTTCGGGCATCCCGAACTATTAGACATGGCTGAATGTGTCGGACTCCCTAAAGCTGCGGAGCCAGCCATTTACGCTCCCTTCTCTTTGCTGCCGATTGATCCTATCCAGCGGGAACGCTTGCTGGCCGATGCAGCCACACAGTGCTCGGTTTCGAGCGACGAAATCGAAGACGTCTATCCTGCTACTCCTCTTCAGGAAGGTGTGTTTGTCATGTCGACAACCCACAATGGTGCATATGTTGCCCCCACAGCCTTCCGATTTCCCGCCGGTTTTGATGTGGCACGCTTCCAGAAGGCCTGGCAGGTGCTCGTCAATACCCATCCCATTCTGCGTACACGGTTGGTCACCATCGATGCAACCTCGCATCAGGTGGTCTTGACCCCGTCCGCCTCCTGCATACAGTGGGAGCAAGCGCCATCCAGAAGCGATTACCTGACGCGTATTCAGGCGCTGTCGGTGGTTGCAGGTGCGCCACTGAGTCATTACGCTCTAATTTCGGAGGGGGAGTCGACTGTTTTTATCTGGACTTCACATCATGCCTTGTTTGACGGCTGGACCGTTGAACTGCTGTTAGATCAGCTGGCACAGCTTTACACACGAGATTTGTCACCCACCATAACTCCATCTTATGCCCAATTCGTCCAATTCATCCAGAACTCCGACGAGAATGCTTCCCGCAATTTCTGGGCATCGCTTGTGCCCCAAGAGCCTCCGGCTACTTTCCCTCGCTTGCCCTCAGCAGCCTACCAGCCGGCTGCCAAGGTAACCTGCTACCGCACAATCTCGGCTGCTGTTCCCCAGGGATCAAATTTAACACTCGCCATCCTGCTGCGGGCGGCGTGGTCTATTGTGCTTGCGCGTTATTTGGACGCGGAAGATGTATTGTATGGTCTGACTCTGTCTGGTAGAGATGTGCCAGTTCCAGGCATTGAGCATGTGGTGGGTCCAACTATTACGACATTGCCCATCAATGTCCATCTGGATGGCGAGATGCCGGTCCAGAAATTCTTGCAGCAGCAGCAGGACCAGAATGTTGAGATGATGCGTCACCAGCATGCAGGACTGCAAATGATACGTCGAATCAGTCCGGCCGCGGCTGCGGCCACCGAATTTACCAATTTGTTTGTCGTGCAGCCTCAGACGGACGAGGCGAATGGGCTCACCGAGTTGGTCAAAGTTCCCACTGACATGACCCGCTTTGATCCGTATGCATTGGTGGTTGAGTGCAATCTGGCAGACAAACAGGTGCATCTTGAAGCTCGCTTCGATGATGCTGTCCTGTGTACAGATCAGACACAGCGCCTGCTTGGCCATTTCGAACACGTCCTGGGCCAACTCACACAGCTGGAACCTGGTCGTCTTCTCCGGGATATTGACGTATTCAGTCGCGAAGATGAACAACAAATATGGGAATGGAATGCGATCCCCGCCAAATCTGAAAACAAGTGTGTGCATGATGAGATCGCGAAGCAGGCCCATCTTCGGCCGGATCATATTGCCATCGAAGCATGGGATGGATCGCTCACCTACAGCGAGCTCGAACAAAAATCCTCGCAACTGGCCCACTGGCTTTCGGCCAACTACTCAATTCAGCCAGAGTCACTTGTACCATTGTGCTTCGAAAAGTCCCGGTGGACAATTGTCGTCATGCTGGCGGTGGTGAAATGCGGCGGAGGCTGCGTGATGTTGAATCCGGATCATCCCATCTCACGTTTGGAGGGAGTGATTGCGGACACAGCCTCATCGGTGGTGTTGGCCTCGCCGGAGCTCGCTGGACTTTTTGCTTCAGTGGACACCACAGTGGTTGGTATCAGTGAAGCCCTGATCACTGGCCTGTCAGAGCTCACAGAAACGTTTCTGCCACTACCGTCCATTCAGCCTACAAATCCGATTTTCGTTATTTTCACCTCTGGTAGTAGTGGAAAGCCCAAGGGCATCATAGTGCAACACAATAGTGTATGTACTGTGGCTATCCAGCATGGTGAGGGCCTTGGCTTTACTGGCTCCGATCAACGTGTGCTGCAGTTTGCCTCGTTCAGTTTCGATGTCAGCATGGGAGAGGTCTTTATCACGCTCATGAAAGGCAGCACACTCTGCATTCCAACAGAGCACGACCGCATTAATGATCTGGCGGCCACCATCAACCGCATGCGAATCACCTGGACATTCATGGCGCCCACGGTGGCGGCCTTGCTCGATCCTCACGACGTGCCCGACCTGCAAACGCTCGTTCTAGGAGGAGAAGCAGTCTCGCAGAGCTTGGTAGATCAATGGGCGAGTCAGGTTAATTTGATCGACTCGTATGGGCCAGCAGAATGCACTATCTGGGCCTCGCATGCCAACCCGAGCGCCACCGTGTCGCCAGCAAACATCGGCCGTGGAATTGGTTGTCGGTACTGGGTGGTGGATACCCAGGACTATAACCGATTAGCTCCCATTGGTTGTGTGGGAGAGCTGCTTATTGAAGGTCCCAATGTCTCGCGTGGCTATCTCAATGAGCCAGATAAGACAACGGCCGCGTTCATTGGGAATCCGGCCTGGCTCCACGGTAAGGAAGAACCACAATACAAGTTCTACTGCACCGGCGACTTGGTGCGATACAACGCGGATGGCACACTCAACATCGCTGGACGGAAAGACAGTCAGGTCAAACACCATGGCCAGCGCATTGAACTGGGCGAGATTGAGTTCCACCTGCGCTCCCGTTCTCAGGTTGAAGCCGGCATGGTCATGTTGCCCAAAACTGGTCCCTGTCAGGGCAAGCTAGTGGCTGTGATCGCGCTAACAGATTTACAACCCGTTGCAGTCGAGGGAGATCGTGTTGCGCTTATCCCTGACGCTCTCCAGTCCCAAGCACAGCCACAGATCGAGCAGGTGCAGGAAGAGCTCGGCGCAGCGCTGCCACCCTACATGGTCCCAACTATCTGGCTTGTCCTGGACTCTATTCCATTGACAGCATCTCGCAAGGTCAACCGGATGCCAATCTCGCGCTGGGTGGCCAACATGTCCGATGAGACCTACCGCACTGTAGTGAACATTACAGCGCCAACTGTGCATCTACCAACTACGGAGCTGGAGAAGCAGATGGCGGAGGTTTGGAGCCATGTTCTCAACTTGCCTGTCGAATCCATAGGTATAAATCGTTCCTTCCTTAGTCTGGGCGGAGACTCGATCACGGCCATGCAGATTGTCTCACGCTGCCGCGCAAACGATATCGAGCTTAGCGTCCAGGATATTTTACAAGCGAAGTCTCTCGCCGCCGTTGCCGCCCGCGCCATCACCGCCACGCACTGTGCTGTGCTTCGCGAAGAGCAGTATGATGTGCCCTTTCAACTGTCTCCAATCCAACAGCTGTACTTCGACGAGGTGGCGCGAGGTGAGGGAGAGCAGAATCACCACTACAACCAAAGTGTGTTAATGCGTGCGACACGTTCTATTTCGCACTCAGACCTCTCCCGGGCTATTACGCAGCTGGTGGCCAGCCATGCGATGCTGCGAGCCCGATTCAGCCAGCAGGCTAATGGTCAATGGGTTCAGCTGGTGCAGAGCCCAGCTCACGATTCAGCTCCGGTGGTCAGCCACCAAGTGGCCAACCGTGCGGCGATGATGGAGATTATTATGACTTCTCAGCGCCGTATCGATATCGAGCATGGTCCCATCTTCGTGGTCGACAATTTCATGCTGCCAGACCAACATGGACAATTAATATCCTTCATCGCACACCACCTGATCGTCGATGTAGTATCATGGCACATCATTTTAGGCCAATTGGAGTTGCTGCTACTTTCGCCTGGCTCTCAGAGCCCATCCAGAATGCCGTATCAACACTGGGTCCAGGAACAGCGTCAGTATTCTGAACGCCTGACGACCTCATCCGACCTGCCAATAGCCCTCCCTTCGGCGAATTTGGAATACTGGGGCTTGAAACGGCTGCCGACGTGGGAGGGTGGTGAGGAGCTACAGTTCACACTCGATGCAGCAACTACTGCTCTCCTGCTGACCACCGCCAACACGGCGCTCCGCACTGAGCCGATCGACTTGCTTATTGCTGCCCTGCAGCAGTCTTTCGTTGAGTCGTTCCCCGACCGCACAATGCCCGCTATATTCAGCGAAAGCCACGGTCGAGAACCGTGGGAGCCTTCAATTGATCTCTCCGAAACAGTCGGGTGGTTCACTACTTTCTACCCCATCTATCGTCGCGTGCGCCAGCATGAGAGCATCAAGCATACAGTGAAACGCACTAAGGATGCGCGTCGCGCTTTCAAGGACAATGGCTTTGCATACAACACTCGTCGCCATTTCAATGCTGACAGCCGCGAGAAATTCGCACATCACCGCATTATGGAGATTTGCTTTAATTACCTAGGTCAGTCACAGCATACCGAGCGCGAGGAGGCTCTATTGCAGGAAGAGCCGCTCCTAGCAGGTGATTCCATCAAGAATATCGGGGACACGATGGGCCGGCTGGCTGTCTTCGATATCGGTGCTGCCATCTCGCGCGGACGTCTCACCGTCTCGTTCTTCTTCAACAGCAGCATCCACCATCAGGATCGAATCCGACAATGGGTGCAGAGCTACAAGACGATTCTTTCCTCTGTGTTGACCGAGCTCGCTGCTAGTGACGTCGAATACTCCATCAGCGATTTCCCACTTCTACAAATTAATTACCAAGATCTGACAACGCTGACCACGACGACTCTTCCCACCATTGGCCTCCCACAGTCTGCGATCGAAGACATATATCCTTGTTCGCCAATCCAGCAAGGCATTCTCATCAGTCAGGCTCGCGAACCTGGAACTTACGAGGTGCGCCAGCTCTTTAAGATTGTTCCGCGTGCTGATATTAGCCCCGTGGATGTGCCACGCCTGCTGCAGGCCTGGCAACGCACTGTGGATCGTCATTCCCTGCTTCGCACCGTCTTCGTTGAGTCACTGAACGGTGCTGGGGGCTATGACCAACTGGTACTTCGCTCCCACACACCGCAGGTTCAGCGACTTGTCTATCAGGGCACTGATGGCGATGTAATCTCATTCATTCGGCAACAGGCCGCCCCAGACTACCGCCAGCCAGTCCCCGCACATCGACTGACCATCTGTGAAGCCTCTGGGGTAGTTTACTGCCAACTTGAGGTAAGCCACGCGCTTATCGATGGTACCTCCATGGCACTGCTCGTCCGTGATTTCATTTCAGCTTACGAAAACACCCTTCCTACCACTCCCGGTCCGCTTTATAGCGACTACATGGCCTACATTGCCTCGCGGTCACCAGAAGATGCCTTGGCGTACTGGACCGCACGGCTGGCTGATTTGGAGCCCTGCCACTTCCCCGACTTGCAGCCCACTGAGTTGCCCGCGGCGGCTTTCCAGTCGCACACTATTCACATTGACGCAGATGGCCAACTTCAAAGATTCTGTGAGTCCCAGGACCTCACACTCAGCAATTTGTTCCAGGCGGCTTGGGGCCTCGTTCTGCGTGCATACACAGGCAGGTCAGATGTCTGCTTCGGATATATGGCCTCCGGTCGTGACATTCCAATGGAGGGCATCTATGACGCCATCGGGCCATTTATCAACCTTCTGGTATGCCGACTGCATGTCGGTGATGCAGTGTCAGTGCGCGACCTGCTTCAGGCAGTCCAGTCCGATTACATGGACAGTCTGCCACATCAGCAGACCTCTCTGGCCTCTATCCAGCACGCCTTGGGTAAAAGTGAGGCAGCTTTGTTCAACACCATTCTCTCATTCCAGCGCGAGCCGGTGGATGGTCCAACTCCACAAGTTGAGTTCCAGATCGTCGATCAAGTTGATCCAACAGAGGTAAGTTGATCCAGTCTTGAGGTCACCCTCTCCTTCCACATTGTGCTAACCGCTGTTCTGCAGTATGATGTCGATCTCAACATTACCACCGGCTTGGCCTTGGGCGTGGAGATTCATCTCAGCTACCGCACATCCATGCTTAATGGAACTCAGGCCGACAGCCTGCTGCAGAACTTCACCAACGTGCTGCTCGCCATCACCACTAGCTCGGACCAGCTGCTATCGAACTTGAATATCGCCTCCCCAGGAATGAGCACTTTGCCAGAGATGTCCCCCGAGCCTACACCAAAGGCAGTAGAAGCTACAGTGTTGGAGCTCATCGCCAAACACACAGAGCAGCATCCCATGTCTGTCGCGATGCAATCTACAGATGGCCAGGTCAAACTCACGTATCACGAACTCGATCGTATGACAAGTGCTCTGGCCAGTGACTTGCAGGGTCTGGCCGTGCAACCGGGAGACACAGTTCTTCTCCGCTTCTCGCGCTCACCCTGGGCTCTAGTGGCTATGCTAGCCGTTCTCAAAGCGGGTGCGACCTCGCTGTTCCTGGACCCGCAGGCTAGCTCCGACAGTCGACAGGAGATATTTTTAGCTATGAAAGCCAGGGTAGTCTTATGTGGCAGGGAACATGCTACCGATTTCGATGAGCCATCTCTCACTTCAGTAATTGTCGATGCGGGTGCGATGGCCGTTTGGGACGATGCGTTCCCGGTCTTCGCGCCGCCGAACTGTTTATCTCCTGATACAGTAGCGGTAGCCATTCAGGACGGCGCAGACTGGGCACTTCTGACGCATCGCACGGTCAGCACTGTCGCCTCACTGCTGGGACCAGTGGCTGGGCTCGGCGCCGATACCCGGGTGTTGCAGTTCAGCGCTGCAGCCTCGCCTTTATACATAGTGGAGACGCTGTATTCGTTGATTAACGGCAGTACAATCATCGTTCCCGCTGATGGTGCCAGCTTTTCCGAGGCCATGTGCAGCTCCCAGGCCAATTGGGCCATTACAAGTCCCACTGAGGCCGCCCTAACCTACCCGGCTCAAGTGCCATCTCTGCAGACTCTGCTGGTGGCTGGGGGAGAGATTGCCCCTGCTTTGCTCGCAAAATGGTGCGACATCAGGTTAATTCATCCACACGAATTGATTCAATCGCCGATTTGGCTATCTCTCTCTGGTTCTCCTGCTGGCAGTGTTGCTCTGCAGCTCCTTCCTGCGTCGAACCTCGGGCGGATGTGGATCCGCTCCCCATTCAATCCTGCAGCGCTGGCGCCGGTGGATTGTGTTGGAGAGGTTCTGGTGGATGGTCCAGTGGTGCCCCGGGGCTATCTCCGGGGCCGCAAAGATCGACTTCTGGATGCCCCGTGGCTGTCTGGCACTCCCTTATGCCGTACAGGTGACCTCGGCCGATGGACATCAGGACACCAGCTGTCCTTGGTGCAGCATCTCGGGGTCACCAGCGAAATTTCGTCGAGTCTAGCCCTCCTCGAACAGCAGGTGCAATCAACTCTCCCAATTACACAGCACGCAGTACTTTCCATCCTCCGCCGTGGATCCATTGAAGAAGTAGCTATGTTCCATGTCGAGTGTACCCAAAAGGTCCAGGCGACCCCTGCCCTGCTGGTGATGTCAGACGTGCAGCGCCAACAATTCACGTCGCTAATATCATCGCTCAAGGAACATACACCTGAGGCTGTGTCGCCCGCTTTTGTCTTCCCACTTAACGGCCTTGCTCTGACGGCAGATCACAAGGTTGACCGCGCGGCCTTGGATCAGTTGGTAGCTGGCCTCTCGCAGCCGGAACTGGAGTCCTACCGTCTTGTTTCCGCAAAGACGACCGCCCACTTCACGGCCAACGAGCTTCTCCTCCGCGATCTCTGGGCAGAGGTCTTGGGTTTGCCAGATCGTGGTGCTCTTCGTCCTACTGACACTTTCTTCTGCTTGGGAGGAGATTCTATTGGAGCCATGCGTATCATCGCCGCTGCCAGAAGTCAAGGCCTGGCACTGACGATGAATGGAATCTTCCAGCAGCCCACTCTGGCCGGTATGGCTCAAGAATTGCGCCTTCTGGCTCCGCATGAGGATCGACCGTTGAAGCCGTTCTCTCTGCTCCCTACTGCGCTAGATTTAGCGCCTCTCATCTCTGAGGCCGCGCAGAAGTGCCAGGTCGAGCCCACGGCAATCGAAGATATATACCCTTGTACGCCGCTCCAGGAGGGACTCATGGTTTTGACCAGTCAAGATCCCACGGCCTACGTGGTCCAGGAGGTTTTCCAATTGCCAAAGAATGTCGATATGTCGCGTTTCCAGGCATCATGGGCAGCAGTCGTCGCCCGCAGCACCATTCTGCGCACCCGGATCATTGCCACTGCTGACGGTGCCTTCCAGATATTGCTGCAGAATCCCATTGTGTGGGGAACGGGAACTGATCTGACAACATTCCTGGCCCAAGACGCGGCCGAGTCCATGACCTACGGCCGGCCCCTGGCGCGCTTCACGGTCTTGGAGGGTTCAGGCCTCCGATACTTTGTCTGGACTGCACACCACGCAGTCTACGACGGCCTGACCATGTCCACCTTGGCTAAGCAGGTCTCTGCAGAATATAACAAAGAGATTGCGTTGCCTGAGGTCCCCTACAATCGGTTCATTGACTATATACAAAGCATCAGTCCGGCCTCGGCCACTGAATTCTGGACAGCGCAGTGCGCAACCCCTGCTGCAACCTTCCCACTCCTGCACACACGCAGTTACCAAGTGTCTCCAAATCAGGTCCAGACGCACTCGGTTCCTGTGACCCGCAACCCGTCTGATATCACGCTCCCGACTGTGCTGCGTGCAGCCTGGGCGGTTGTGCTGTCGCATCTGACAGACTCGGAGCATGTGAGCTTCGGGGCGACACTGTCTGGTCGGAATGCCGCTTTGGCCGGAATCAACCAGGTACTGGGTCCGACAATTGCTACAGTCCCCATCCACGTCCATGTTCGCGAGGGCCAGTCGCCGGCTCATTTCCTCCGGGCCGTGCATATGCAGTCCATTGACATGATTCCCTTTGAGCATACTGGGCTCCAGAACATCCGACGCATGGGTGAGCAGGCTCGTGAGGCTGTCGAATTCCAGAATTTGCTCCTCATCCAGCCTGGAAGCGCGCCGATGGATGAGTCCGACTTCTTGGGTCTGACACCTGTCACGTTGGAGAGCCAACAGGCCGACCCGTACCCCCTGACAGTGGAATGTAACCTGATGGAAAGCTGCGTGGAGATCAAGGCACAGTTCGATAGTTCCCTCATCTCAGTCACCGAGATGGACATGATACTCAAGCAATATGCGCGCACCATTCAGCGATTCCAAGCTGTGCATGACACCACCACCGAGGACACCGTGGATGATTCTATGGACCCGGTAGGTCCTATCAGCAACGAGGATTTGGACCAAATTCTTTCCTGGAACTCCGATCACCCCCCTTTCATCGATTCGTCTGTTCACGAGCAGTTTGAGGAGCAGGTACGTCTGCAACCTAATGCGCCAGCCGTCTCCTCGTTCGATGTCCAGCTCACCTATCGCGAACTGAATGTTCTGGTGGATCGGCTGGCAAATGAGTTGCTCGCACGCGGCGTTGAGCCGGAGATGAACATCCCTCTTTGCTTCAACAAATGCTCATGGACCATTGTCGCCATGTTTGCCGTCATGAAGGTCGGAGGAGTGGGCTGCATGCTCAACCCGGAGCATCCCAGCAGTCGTATCCAGCTGCTACTAAACGACCTAGATGCCAGTTTGGTCCTTTGCGATCCAGAATCTTCAGCCATGCTTTCGACACTGCTTCCTCCCAAGGGCGTGCTCCCGGTTGACGGTGCATACCTGCAGATGCTACCCCCATCTGCGCCTCCAGGACTCCGCGTCCGGCCGGACAACGCTGTTTTCGTGGTCTATACCTCAGGTAGTACTGGTAAGCCAAAGGGTAGCATCCTGGAACACCGCTCCCTTGTCACCGGCTTACGGGCTCACTGTGCTGCCATGGGCATCGGCCCGGGCACACGCACCTTCCAGTTTGCCGCCTACACCTTCGATGTCTGCTTCGAGGAAATTATCGGCTCCCTGATGCTGGGAGCCTGTGTCTGTGTGCCCAGTGAGACAGAGCGTATGAATGCTCTGGCCGATGCGATGGCCCGATACCAGGTAACCTGGACAGAACTTACTCCCACTGTCGCCAACCTGCTGCTCCCTAGCAGCATTCCATCGCTAAAGACTCTGGCTCTGAGCGGCGAATCTCTCACCAAAGAGGTCATCCAGCGCTGGGCTGGTGCGGTACAAATCATCAACACCTACGGGCCAAGTGAATGCTGTGTCTCATCCACATGCAACGTGAACACTGCCACGCTCCGTGACCCCAGTAACATTGGGCGCGGCCTGGGCTGCACCACCTGGATCGTCGATCCGGAAAACGTGGATCGCCTAGTATCCATCGGCGCCGTCGGGGAACTTCTGATTGAGGGCCCCATCGTTGCCCGAGGCTATCTGAACGAGCCGGCCAAAACGGCAGCCGCTTTCATCTCCGCACCAACCTGGTGGCCCGAATCCTACCAGTGCGGACGCATCTACCGCACTGGCGATCTGGTCAAATACAATCCCGATGGAACCCTCAAGTTTATCGGCCGCAAAGATACGCAGGTCAAATTACATGGTCAGCGTATCGAGCTAGGCGAAATCGAGCATCGCATCCGCAGCGCATTTACAAACGATTCGCACCAGGTGGCCGTTGAGGTTCTGAGTCCCACTACGCGGAGCGGGCTCAAGATCCTGACCGCGTTCATTTGTGAAAGCGATGCCGTCTCAGAGGATGTTGAGAATCTCTTGCTACCGCTGGAGGAGGGAAGACCGGAACGCTTCCTTGCGTTGCAAGCCCGGCTGTTGGTGGACCTGCCTCGCCATATGGTACCACAACTTTTCATCCCTGTCTCACACATGCCACTGTCACCGTCGCGCAAGTTAGAACGCAAGAGCTTGCGCATGGTCGGTAACGGGCTCACGCCCGAGCAGCTGGGCGCATATGCCCTCACGCAGGTGGCAAAAACGGCGCCCACCACAACTATGGAGAAGGCGTTGGCGGGCATTTGGGCCCATGTGTTGGGCGTCAGTGCTACTGGTGTGGAGGACAACTTCTTCCACCTAGGTGGAGACTCCATTGCTGCCATGAAGGCCGTGGCCGCGGCCACCAAGGCAGGCCTGCCACTCAGTTTTGCCGATATTATGGAGTTTCCGACGCTAGGCGCTATGGCCGCAGCGATGGATTGCGGTTCTGATATGCAGGCGCTAGAAAACTCGGCCCCAGTGCCCTTCAGCCTCGTGTCCCCCAATTACGTCTCCGAGGTGATGGCTCAGGCGATGGCTCAATGTGCGGTCCTGGAGGATGCAATTGAGGACATCTATCCATGTACTCCATCTCAGGAGGCGTTGATGGCACTTACGGCGCGTGACGAAACCGCATACGTCTCGCGTGCTGTCTACCGGTTACCTCTCAATCTGGATGTCGACAAATACCAACAGGCATGGGAGCTTCTCGCCCGCCGTCAGACTATCATGCGCACGCGCATCATCTACTCCAGTGTCGCCACCCAATCCTTCCAGGTAGTAATGCACGAAGGCATAGCGTGGCAGTCGGGCGACTCCGTGGAGGCGTATCTCGCCGCCGATAAAATGACTCCCATGCACCATGGCCAGGCACTAATGCGCTTTGCCATCCTTCCCGGCACCACCCAGGATCCACGGTCCTCTCTTGTGCACACAGCTCATCATGCCGTCTATGATGGCTGGAGTGAAGCCGCCATGTTTGACGAAGCCGAGGCCATTTATCGCCATGGCCTAGCAGCCTTGCCGCCCGTTGTTCCTTACAACAAGTTTATTCACTACCTCGGCAGCGTTGATGCTAACGCGCGCGATAGCTTCTGGCGTACGCAGTTAGATGGTGATCTGCCCGCTCCATTCCCCCCTCCTCCCCTTGCTGCAACAGCGTCATCCCTAATTCCTCGTCCCAATCGCTCGCAGTCTTACACAATTTCCCTTCCACTTCGCTCTTCTACCTCTTCCTTCCCCTTCAGCGCCCCTACCATCCTCAAAGCCGCATGGGCCCTCCTGCTGGAGCGCTACACGCTCTCTGAAGACGTCATTTTCGGCCATGTGCTGTCGGGCCGCACAGTGCCTCTCCGCGGCGTGGCCGACATGATGGGCCCAACCATCGCAACTGTCCCAGTGCGCGTTCGGGTTATTAAAGAGGATAACATCAACTCCTTCCTGCGTCGTATTCACGATCAGGCCCAGGCCATGACACCTTTTGAGCAAGTCGGGCTTCAGCATATCCGTCGGCTGCTGCCTGCCTCAGAGTCGATCGACGTCGGTCATCTCTTCTTTGTTCAGCCTCCCCTCGACTCTCCCGCGGCGGATCTCGGCCTTGAGGCTATCACAGATTCTGACTTAAACTTTGACACTTATCCATTGATCGTGGAATGCCAGCTGGGCACGAACGCCGATCTGAATGTCGAAGTGAAATATGACGACGCCCGCATTAGCCAAACCCAGATGACCTGGCTTCTGAAGCACTTCGAGCATCTGCTTCAACAGCTATGTCAACTGCCATGCAAAACTTCTCTTTCTGATCTGACGCTGACAGGGCCGTCTGATTTGGCCCAGCTGCGCCAGTGGATGGGACCCCCCGTGGAACCGGTTGCCTCCACTCTGCATGATAAGATATGTGCCCAAACCCGCGCCTATCCGAATAGGTCTGCCGTTGAGGCTTGGGATGGTCATCTCACTTACGGTGAGCTTGACCACCTCTCATCGCAGTTCGCTCAAGTCCTCATCGATCTCAATCTGCCCCTTGGCGATCCAGTTGGCTTGGTTTTCGACAAGTCCTGCTGGGCTGTTGTAGCACTCCTCGCCGTGCTCAAGGCTGGCGGAATTTGCATTCATCTAGATCACCAGCATCCGCCTGCGCGACTCTCAGAGATTTCCATCGACACAGGATTGCAGTACATTCTTACCGCACCCCGTCATGAGCACATAGGGGCGATGCTGCCAGTTGACCATGTGCTAGTCGTGGATTCCACCATGGCGTCCAAGCTGCCTAGCAGTCCCACAAGTGTCCGACCGCTACCGGTCGTTGACGCCACATCGCCAGCCTACCTGACTTTCACCTCAGGCAGTACTGGTAAACCCAAATCGGTGGTGATTGACCACTGCGCTATCCATACCAGCATCGTCGCCTTCAGCTCAGCGCTAAACCTCACCCCCAGCTCGCGAGTGCTGCAGTATGCTGCGTACACCTTCGACATCAGTTACGCCGAGATTTTCGCGCCGTTGGTTCTTGGTGCGACGGTTTGTATAATCTCAGAGCAGGACCGACTCAACGACATAGCAGGTGCCGTTAGTCGCCTCGGTGCCAATTGGGCCTGTCTCACACCTACTGTCGCCAACCTCGTCCAGCCTTCAATGGTACCATCGCTGAAGACGCTCATTCTCAGCGGTGAGTGTCCCACGGAGGATAATCTTCGCACCTGGGTTAGCCACGTGCCCACCCTGATAAATGCCTATGGCCCCAGCGAAGCCTCAGTCTGGTGCGCCGCCGGTCCCTTCAAGCGGCCGGATGATCGCTGTACCAACATCGGTCTGCCTGTCGGTTGTCGCCTGTGGATCGCTGAGCCTGATAATCTGCATCGCTTAGCCCCGGTAGGCTGCGTGGGCGAGTTGCTTATCGAGGGTCCCATTCTGTCCCGAGGATACTTAAAAAACGAGCAGGCCAGTAACGCCGCTTTCCGTCGCGATCTTGCATGGATGACTGAGACACAGCTTGGGTCTGAATGCTCCCTTGTCTACCGTACTGGCGATCTCGCGCGCTACTTCCCTGACGGTAGCATTGAATATCTCGGCCGCGCAGATACCCAGGTCAAGGTCTACGGTCGTCGCATCGAGCCGCGCGAGATCGAGCACCACATGCGCACTCTGCTGCCTGGCTACTCCACCATGGTGGACAGCGTGACCCTCGCCAGTCGCAATGGCCAGAAGGTGCTGGTGGCTTATATTTACCAGGAGTCTGGCCCCGTGCCTGACATGGAGCTCGTAGCGATTGCGCAGGCCCTTACGCCAGAGCTTCGACAAACACTGGTTAACCTTCAAGCGGCGCTGCGTGCGATGCTTCCGCCTTACATGCTGCCGGCACTGTTCGTCCCTCTGCAACTTCTTCCGACAAATGCATCTGGTAAAACAGACCGCAAGCTGCTGGGCCGCGCCGTAAACACTTTGTCGAACGCCCAGCTGCAAGCCTACTCCCTCCTGGATCGTGTAATCAAGCGCCCGCTCGAGACTCTAATGGAGCGCAGGTTGGCCGGTCTCTGGGCCGAAGCTCTCGCTGTCGACGCCTCCATTATTGGCGCTCATGACACCTTCTTTAGCCTAGGTGGAGATTCCATTGTTGCCATGAAATTGGCCAGTCTCGCTCGCAATTCGCAACTCAGTTTGACTGTCGCCGATCTCTTCACTCACCCAATTCTGGCGGATCTAGCCGCCTACCTAAGTACCCAAATGCCACCCACCCCGGGGGCCGAGACGCCACCACTGGTGCCCAAGTTGACGACTGCGACAGCTCCCGCGCTGGATCTCGCCCTCGCTGAGGCTCTGGCACCACGGATAGGTGTTGTTCCTAGCGCGATCGCTGCTATTCAGCATACAACGGACTTCCAGGATGTCGCACTGGTCGGCCATCTGAGCGAGTCGCGCTGGATGCTGAACTGGTTTTACTTCGATGGTCCCGGTGCTCCTGACATCGAACGCCTCCGTCAGGCCTGTTATTTCTTGGTTCAGCAATTTGACATTCTCCGTACGGTCTTCGCACCTCACGCAGGCCACTTCTGGCAGGTGGTTCTGCACAAGTTGAAGCCCTGCTTCGACGTTGAAACTACCACCGACCTCGCGGCCTTCACTCAAGACCTGTACGATAAGGGCATTGCCAACGATTTCCAGCTGTCCGAGCCCTATGTACGGTTTGTACTGGCCGTGCATCCAAACGGTCAGTCACACCGTCTGCTGATGCGCCTGTCACACGCGCAATATGACGGTGTGTCTTTGCCAACCCTCTGGGAGTCCCTTCAGCGTGCCTACCAAGGCCAGAGTCAGCTTTCTACTCCCTCCTTTGCGCGATTCCTCCAAGACACTACTCCAGCAGATCTTACTGCTGCACACTCACACTGGCGCAAACTTTTAGCCGGTTCACCAGAGACCCGCTTTGTCGTGCACAACAAGCCCAGCCTGCGCGACGATGCCACGGAGCGCGTATTGCATGTTACCCGCCAGCAAGTTCCAGTGGTTTCGCTACCCCAGTATGGCATCACGACAGCCACGGTCCTCAAATCTGCTTGGGCGGTGCTGCTAGCACGCCTGACTGACTCTACCGATGTCGTCTTCGGACACACAACCGCCAATCGCTCTGCCGCAACATTGGCGAACATTGACACTGTGGTGGGTCCTTGTTTGAATGTAGTGCCAGTTCGCGCACGCTTGGATGCACGTCAGACAGTGCTCGAACTACTTTTGGCACAGCAGCAGCAACAGGTAGCAAATTTACCCCATGAGTTCCTTGGCTTCCGTCAAATCATACGTGACTGCACGGACTGGAAGCCCTGGTCTCACTTCAGCAGTGTGGTGCAGCATCAAAATATTGAGCCCGACCGTGCGTTGCAGCTAGACCAGGACAATGCCACCGCCCTCTATGAGCCTGGTTTCATGGGCGCTGATCTCGACCTCACGGATGTTTCAGTGTTGTCGACTCCCACAGGCGATGGCTACGTTGACCTAGATCTGCTCACCTCATCGGCAGTCATGACGCCGTTCGCGGCGGAGTTGCTGATTGAGCAGTTAGGCAGTCTGCTGCGCTTGTGGGCAGCCCTGCCAGTGGAAAAGACGCCCGTTTACGAAAAGGGGGAGTCACCGGCTCTGCTCCCTCTACACAGTCGAGAAGAGCGCCCAGTTGACGAATTGGTTGAGAAGAGCCCTCTGCCGACTACGAACACCAACGTCCGGGCGGCGGTGCAGCAGGCGTGGCGTACGATCCTTCCCATTGATTCTCGGATTGATGATGGCAAGGTAGACTTCTTTGAGGCGGGAGGAGATCTGGTACACATGGCTCTGCTGCTCTGTGAGTTGCAAGTTCACGGTGTTGGTGGTGCTGTGCGCCTAGAGACACTAGTGCAGCATTCTTCCCTGGATTCCATGGTGCGGGTGCTCCAGTAAATGCGGCTCTGCATTTATTTGCTCATGTTGTCTTTTTTTAACTGGCGAATTGGCGTCTTTTCTTTCGTCCCTTGTTTCCTATATTTTCTCCTTACTGCAGTGAAATTTTGTTGTGTTCAGTTTAAATCGTTGATTTTGCACATTGTATAGTTATGAATCACAAATAGTTTTTGGCTTTTTATTTATAGCATAGCACACTCATGAACTTTTTTATCCTAATACTACCTATTTTGTATACCTATAAGCCTATCTCTAGAGCATATACGTACTCCATCATGTGACTTAGGCTGCCTTTCAGATTGATGCTAGTATTAATACTAGGAAATATTATTAATAAGAAAAGTAGAATTTAAATAGATTTAGATATATCTTTATTTATACAGAAGCTCTTAACATAGTGTTTCTGAGGTCCTTTGCGTAGATATATTATATATCAGAATTCCATCCAAAACATAAGACTATAAATATATTTTAGACCGTTTTCTTAAAAACAGTAAGTTGAGATTTATCAATATAGACCCTTTTTATATAGATTTCTCTATTAAAGATACTAAAGAGCAGTAAATATAGCTATAATACACACTGTAATCCCCGAAAGAGAGGCGGAATATAGTTCCTAATAAAGGGGTTCAACTTCAGACAAATCCCGCTTACATCATGTCTAGTCCTCGCCAACCTTGGAAGTCGAAAGTTGACGGGGACTGGAGATTCCTTGTGATGAGCTACCTGTTTTCGTAATATTAGTCAATGAATAGAAATAAGCTGTTAAATTCTTCACACTGTCTTTAGTTTGCACAGGTCTTTTCCATCATTCACAATGTTCTGCATCCAAATGTCATGCGAAGGGCGTCGGCCCGAGAGCACCGGCCTATATAACTGGCCGCTTTCTACCCAAGGAGATATATTTCTCAGAGCAGTTGATATATTTCATTCCAAGATCTTACAATTTACAATTCTTACCCCCGACTTCACTTCAGAATGGGCCATTTTGATCCAGAACACAAATTGAAGAAACCCTGGATTGAAACGCCCCTCATTGAGTCGGCTACATTTTCCAAGGCTGCCGGATGGTAAGATTGTTTGTATGTGATTTAATAGCAGACACTGAAGAGTAACTCTAGTCGCATTTTCCTCAAAATCGAGTCCCTCCAACCTTCCGGCTCGTTCAAATCACGGTGAGTTCGTTATTCCCCGACAGCAGAAAGAAAGTCTAACCCAAAGACAACTATTCCAGGGGCATTGGAAATTTAATTCTTACATCCCTTTCTGATCCATCCAACCATGGCAAAACAGTGCATTTCTTCAGTTCCTCAGGGGGGAACGCGGGGCTCGCGGCAGTGATAGCCGCCCGAGATCTCGGCTGTCCCTGTACTGTCGTTGTGCCCCTCAGCACGTCGCCTATGATGATCAAGAAACTCCGCGCGGCAGGAGCGTCGGATGTGATCCGCCATGGGGCTAGTTGGTTCGAGGCTGATACATATCTGCGTAACCATTTTATCGAAAACCAAGATGGCTCGAATCTGCTCAAGAACGTCTATGTTCCGCCGTTCGATCACCGTGATATCTGGCGAGGTGCGGGAACGCTGGTCGATGAAATGGTTAAGCAGTTACCACCAAGAAATGACGAAACTCATTCGTTCCCAGCAGATGCGATTGTTTGCAGCGTGGGTGGAGGCGGCCTCATGAATGGTCTGGTTGATGGTCTCGAGAGACATTTACCGACTTATCAACCGATGCTGGAGAAAAAGGTTCGAGTTGTTGCTGTTGAAACTGCTGGCGCGGATTCGCTAGCACATTCACTACGCGAAGGCTCTTTGCAATCCATACCCGCGGTTACATCCCAGGCTGTCACCCTAGGGGCACTCTGCGTGGCATCGCAGACGCTGAAAAATGCGCAATCCCCTCCACCCGGTGTTGAAGTTTCTAGTCTCGTGGGAACCGATGCTGATGCTGCGAGGGGTGTTGTGCGTTTATGTGATGAGCTGCGGTTGGAGGTCGAATTGGCTTGTGGAATCAGCGTTCAGATTGGCTTAGATAGACTAGGGGAGGTTATGGAACTAACACCAGACACTCGGGTTGTCATCATTGTTTGCGGAGGAAGCGGTATCACTTCTGAGATGATCACGGATTATCGACAGAAGCTTGCGAACGGTTGGAAATGAAAGAAGAGGGGACGAAAGGTAGAAATTTCCAACGGTCTGTGTGGAATTTCTGGGACGGGACTCAATTTACTCATTATACTAACATATTGACTTAACTTAGTTCGAGTCTGACTGTAGACTGTGAAACCATGCGGGATTCCCTGAAGCTTCTCGGCCCGTTACTGCAAGTGGCGATGTACATCTATAGAAGTACAATATTCGTCAACGTTAAACCCCAATATGACATAGACTATACGTATATTAAATCCTAATGCCTGATATACGAGCGTTATGATACATTACATATCAAAGCAACATAAAAGCCAAAAGCTAGAAACCACATTGGCCACATCTAAATATACTGCCAAGCAGGGATCTCCCCATCGTAAGTCAAAGCGACAGCAGAGAACCCAAGACACTCATCCACATTTCCATGGGGCACAGTAGCATTCTGGATGGCGGCAAACACTTGCCAGCGCTCATCATCTGTAGGACAAGCCATGAAGCCAGTAGCACCCCAACCCGCGAAGGAGTAGTGAGCCCAAGGCTCATCAGCGGCGTAGTGGAATGGACCGCGCACGGAGCCCTCGGGGATACTGGCCGAGTGAGCCTGGGTGAAGCTCAGGGCACCGTTGGGGTCGACGTAGACCTGCTGGCCGCCTGGGACCATGACGTCCTGTTTATTGTTAGCTGGGGTCCTCTATACGCTGTGAATAGTGTAATATTTGACATACCAGAGAGCCGCCGCCGGGAGCGAAAACAGTTTGCTTTCCGGGTGGGCAGTGTTCGACCTGCTCTGGGCAGTAGGAGGCTGTTTCTCCGTGGAGGTAGAACTTCTGACCGGCAGCGTTTAGCTGTGCGAAGTGGATGGGCGAGGCGGAGCGCATGGCCATCACGCCGAATGCTGGGTTTGCGGGTGGTTCGGGGGTTGGTGCGGAGGCAGCCAGGAGGGGGAGGGCTAGGGTGGTGATTGTGAACTTCATTGTGAGGGATTTGTTTTGTATTGAATTAGATTAGATTGTTTTTTGAATTACAAGAATGGGCGGTTGTTGGACCTCTTTATATAGACCAGGTGAGCTATATAAATAGAAGCTGGATACATTCCTGGACCAAAGGGTCATTGAATGTCGGATTTGACCGCTAGGGAGGCTAAGGTGGCGAGAGAGTCACTCATTGGATTAGCGGATGATGGATGGTGAGAGTTTGAGACAATATTGAAGTAGCGTATACTCCATATTCCGAATATAATCATCTTGTGCATGGTTTATGCAACGGTGGGAGGTTGGGTTACTACCGAGGATGTTATTTTTCGTCGGTCAGGCGAAGATATGTGAGACATGGGGTACCGTTCGTCTGCCAAGAATGAGGGACAGCTCTACGTGAATCCAAGTGGCTGATACATACATAACATAGTGGATTGAAGATGATTTGAAGTGGGTTGAATATCCTCAAGCTTAGAAGAATCGGGGAGTTCGGGTGAAGATCTTGGCCCTTGTCTCAGTTTATAATTGGCATTATCACCACTTATGCGAGATTGTCTCGCGGTAACAGTCGGTTTAACCCGCAATTTATCCAATTTCGAATGACATCTACTCCGTACTTTATACATTCCTCTATGATATTGGTCAAATCACTCTAATAACCCTCACGCCTACCGTCATGGACACCTCGCTTCCTCCCATTCCCCGGAAACCCCACTCCGCCCCCAACGGACCGACATATCTAACCAAAAAAAATTATATATGGGAATGATTTCAAGGAGATAATCACACACCGTCCAACGCCACTGACGCTCTATCTGCACCGGCGAACATGCAATCCATGTCTCACCGGACCCTGCATGCCGTAGCCTATACCGGCTAATTTGATATCGAAAGCACTGACACAATCTGGATCTTAAGATGTCATGGAAGCAAATAATGTGCTACGGGGATGCAGCGCGCATACCCGCGACCTGGTATGCTTGTACCTCACAGCTTCGCGGTGGCGTGGAAGTTTCCGAACTTTGTACCTGCTCTGTGTCAGAATGGGGCGAGGAATGGCAGAACCAGTTACATAATTGTCGATTATCTAAGGCAAGATTCCTAGGCGTAGTTGCGCGATTGGACTCAGTAGAAGAGGGGCGAAATCAGTACCACGAGAGTGTCGTACATTGTCCAACGTGGATAGTTCGTTGAGGTTGATGTTGGTGTTGGACAACCCGGCGTTGTCGGCTTTCTGTCAGGTCCGGTGTTTTCGGGATTCTGTCAGGGACAGTGTGACGTCTGTGGGCTGGGTTGTGTGGCGATGGTGGGCTGCGTTTCGTTGAGTTTGTTCGTGTAGGATACATGGATGGATTTGTTGTACTACGGTGTAGTGATGATGTACTATGTACTCTTTATCATGTGCTATGTAGGGGATCTGTGACCAGAAGATGGGTAGCTAATGCTAATAATTGGGGTGCTACTTTCGAAGGGAGTTGGTTAATGGATGGTCTGACATATGAAACATGGTAAGCTATACTGGCTAGGGGGTGATGTTGATATAAAGGTGTTGAGATATGGAAATAGTGTGTATATCTTGGATATGTAGAGAAGTATAACATCACCATACTTTGCCCTAATCTATATTCAATGGCTATGATACAACTATATTAATTGCATGGCTACTCCGTATACACCGTACTCTCATACAGAGATAGCCATCTGAGACAAGCTACGGTTTACAGGACCCACTTGATATCTGATGGATACTACATAGTAGTCTCGAGTATTGTACTAGAGTACGATATCCGGACAGAAAAAGCCTCAGTGGATTGATGTCAAACAACTTTTTTTCTATGCCAGGCAAACAGTCTCGGCATTTAGCATTTCAAACCGGACATCGATTCACCGAAAAGAAAAGTGTATGTACGTGCGGCCAATAGGCCGCGAAGGATATGAATAGACACAGCCAGAGGCCAACAAAAGAATAAGAAAAAAAAAACAATCGAAAAACAGAATCCCCAGCACCGTTTCCGTGTAGCAATATTGAAACCTGCAAGCCTGAGTCTTGCCCAGAACACCGTAAGCCACGCGCCGCCATTTCGCCCACATCTTGATTCATAGCAAGCGGGAAAAAGCAAAGAGAAGGAAAAGTGAGACAATACACTGACCCGTATGTCACCCACAGATCGCGCAGTGCATTATGGATCAAGAATTGCTCTTTTAATAGTCGCCTTCATCGTCATCATCTCCGTCTCCACCTCGGCGAGGTCCCTTTACTCCGTCCTTGCGAATGGGAATCTTGATACCCTGGAGCGCAAAGCATTTGCTGAGCTGGGTGCTCTCAATAACACCGGGGAACTTCTTGGCAGAGAAGACCTGGAAGGGTTCGGAGAAAACCGATGCGAGAATGGGTGCGGTGCCGTGATTGATGACCGGGGCGCCATTGGAGGTTTCGCCAGATGAGGTGCCCACGTCAACGAAGCTCATTTTCAGACTGGATTTCCATTAGCGATTATTGTGATTCCCATTATCCGATTTGACTTACCGGAATGTGCCTTCTGTCCGTACACTCAGATCTTGCAGGATAAACCATACGCCGATTTTGTTGTCCGGGTCTGTCAGCCGGAAAGCACTGGCGCTGAGGCTTCCGATCAGATTGCGAGTGAACATGCCACCGGGTCCACCGGAAACGGGTTGTGCAGCGGGCGACATGGATGGCGGCATTTGACCACCGGAGTAGTATTGCGGGTACGTCACTGGCTGGCCGTATTGGTTTTGGTACGCCACCTGCTGGCCACCGTAGTAGTTGTTCATTTGTGCAGGGTAGCCCACGGGGTACTGATTCTGGTTGTAGCCGGGGTAGGTTGGAGATACGCTCTGAGGCGGGGGAGGGTATGAGGAGGACATGGCGGTAGAGATGGAGGGGGAGGTAGCGGAATGCTTGACGAGATTGACTTCGCTGGTACCATCGGCATTCCAGAGGTCGACAGTGAGCACGTAGAATGAGGTATCGATTTCACTAGAGGGAGGGATTAGGAAAGCCGACGGGTAGAAAACAGGTGGTTGGACATACTTGATATCGATTTCCTTATCGGTTTGGGCGTCGCGCACAATAAGACGAATGCATGGTGGAGGGGTGATAGGTCTTCGGTCCTGGAGGGTGCGTTAGGAAAAGGATGATTGCAATACGGAAAAATCACCCACCTTATCACCAAATCCACACATACGAGCCCGGATGGGCTGCTGCACCACTTGTAATGACCAAGAGCGACCGTCTTGATAGTTTGTCACGGGTGCCAAATGGTCGGATTGCCGCAGCGAGTTGGGCCCCGACGGGTACTGGACGGACGGAGCAGAGATGCGATCCATTGAGAGCGGAGGTGGAACGGGATGATGTCTATCCTCGACGGCGTACATGGTACCGGATTGGAAGGAACCGAGGATGACGATAGATAAACACCTTTTTTTTTTATAGATTGATAGATCTTAACTATCTGGTTGTTCGAGGTGAGGTGAGGGGGTTATGCGACATGCGACCCCGCGGGATGTTCAGACGTCACACTTGGAGCATCGACTCCAAGCAACAAAGAGAACACACCGAACACTTCAAAATCAAACCGCAAGCCGGAGTGAAAAATGACTTGAAGAATATGGCGAGTAAAGCGAAGCGAAAGGGGGGGTCAACTCGGAGAGTTTTATTTGCGAACCGCAAAATGAGCTCGGGTAGGACGGGAAACGATATTAGAGATGGTAGAGATGTTAAGATTATTTCCTGAAAGTTGGGCAAATGATATTGATGTTAGTATCTACCTTGACAGCTAAAGGGAATTTTTTTTTTGGGTCGACCGCACGATGACGCTGTCAAAGTGCGGGAGATTTGCTGGGTGTCCACGGATGAGAAATAACATACCCGAGAAAAAAATTTTTTTGGAAAAAAGACGTTCTGGGAAGAAAAAGAAAAGAAAAGAAAGAGAAGAAAAAGAGAGAGAGAGATTACAAGTGTTACTCTCCGCAGGAACCTGGACCCAAACCGTCGGGTTTACAAATTAAACCATCTAAGAGGCTCTGGAGAATCCGCATTCGGGGAACATTCATACCCGCAAACGGTCTTCATTTGATTCGATGAAATTTTCAATTGGTCTCCATAGATTGTTAAGATTGGATTGGGACAAATATTAATATAGGTTCGGGCGATTCTCGGGGCCGTCATTTATCTATATAACAATGTTCAACAGAGTATGGAGTACTAACTATATAACTATATAACTCCATAACTACATTATTCTTTCCAAAGTATTCCGTACAACATACGGAGTACTTCATTCATGAATCTCCTAATTTCCGATAGATTATTAAACACCCCTTACTGTCTCCACGAGGTCCCGGTCGTGTGGTAACCCCTGGACCCCTTGATTATATGTATCACTATTACGCCGTGCTACAGAACCTGATATACCCTTACCTAAAACATAATTACTGAATCTAGGGGGAAAATACCTAGATTTTGAGGAAGAAGAAGAAAGATAGGGAATGACTTTAGCATCTCTAGCAAAGGGATTTATTAATGTGAAGATACTCAGGTAGCAGTAATTCCCAGCTTGGAGTATCCTAGATAGCGTAGCCCTGGCCCCTGAGGGATTGGAATATGTGAGACATCTAGTCCTGGGCTCCAAAATCAGATGCCGAATTCTGGACATGTCGATATCTGCTTTAATTTGTGTTAAGGACGCGCTGGTTCAAGCACTCGTTAAGCACTCGCGGTCCAGCTATTCCCCAATTAAGGCGCCATGATATCCATTGGAGGATACATATTGGAGTACTACATAACTATTTCCCTGCATGTTGATCATCTCCAGAACTTAGTGATCGGCAGCATCTTGCCTCCAACAGACCCTAATCCTGGACAGGCAATGATCTGATTTGGTCCCTGACTGCTCGCGTGGTGTCGCGTACAATCTGTTTGGCGTGCACGTTCCCCTGAGCACAGTCCTACAACATACACCTCCACTCCATCTTCGCAGTTGAAGCTGCCAGTTGTAGACATTCACCCTCGATTTATTCTGCCCGGTCTCGTTCAAAAACTACCTGCGTCGATACCGTTCTCCTACTTCATTATGACATTCGGGGCGACTCTGACTCAGCTCAGGCACTGATATTAACCATAACTAGGTTAAGCGATCAACCTTAACTGGAGCCGTTCCATGAAAGACACATTTCCCTGGTTTATACGGCATTGGTGTCTGGACATACAGTGGAAAACGGAAATGGATAAGCGTGGTGGGGTACGCCACCCGACTGGAGACACTCCACGTCAGTCCTAGTCAGACTTAGCGACGAAGCCCTGACACACCAAGCCACCGTAATCTTTGCGATTATCTGCGCGAAGTCTCGATAAATTACCCGACACGGCTCAAATAGGCTATTACAGGGCAACTTACGCCGACTCAGTCGACGTGGTCTTATATTTGGATAATTATACCGATGCAAATGAGGAATCGCTCTTGACAGTTGATCAAGTCGACAGGACCACCCCGCTATAGAACCAATTATTCGAATACCTTGACCCTCTCTATACACCAGGATTATGGCGGAAGTGATATAAGATCCCAAGGGAATCGCTCGACTTTAGCAACATTCGCACCTTCATCAAGGGGCTTATTATCTCCACTGACGGCAATATCAACACCGCCGAAGTTATCCTCACAACCTTCTCCTCGCTCGGCAGAGAAGCTCCTCTAGAAGAGAGCGGCAGCATAACCATCTTCGCCTGCGCCTACTATCTAGAATAATACGCCGAAAATATATCTCTATGAGATGCCTAGGCGTGCCCTAAAAGCAAAATCCTAGCATGAGGCTGCTATAAGTCTAACCATCCACAGCACGCTCATTGAATTACCTCAGATACCAAGCCACAGGCAAGTACTTCGCCCGAAGAATTTGGGTTGGGCACACGCCGACCGAACCAACTTCGTCATCCAGGTACGGCATTGCCCCTGATTCCTCGTCTATACCACTACTCAGACCTTCTTTCCAACCTTACATTTCCCCCGAGGTGGCATTCAGCGCCACAGCTAATTTCTACCTTTCGACTTGCAAAGAAACATGCGTGTCGCTCGATGATGACCTTGGATGGGGTCAGATCAATTGGCATCGTCCTTTTTATATACCTTATAAGAATACAATATTATATCGTCGTCAAGTTCAACCCACTACGCCATGATACCGGGACCAAGTCGTACGACTTCCCCCGACGTACCATTTTTGGTCGACTGTGCCGTCGCCGTGGAGGTGTCAACCAACATGTGTTAAAACCAGAATATGAAGACCTGTGGGATTGACGCCGAACATGACCGCTTTCAAGGCTAGAAACGGCTGCCTTTCCGTAACTTTGGACTTCAACTCTTCACCTTTCAGCCGCAATACACTCCATCATCTTCTGCATCAATCTTTTCCCAGGACATTCTCATCTCGTCAAGATCGCACATCATCAACCATAAATCCCATAGCAGTAGCGAACGACATTCCATCCATCCCGGAAAGGTGTCATATTGATCGATTTCAGGCCACGCTTCGAGGACCTTTATATAACGCACTGTCTTGTATCTTTCGTTATTGGTGTACTGCTCTAAGGCCTTCACCGAAGTGCCCAGCAGCGTCTGCAGGCATTCCTTATTAATGATTATATACATTCGATATTTATTAAATTTATCGCGCTGACCCTCTGTATCGACCTAGGCCTTAAAGTAAGCGCGTATTGTATTAAGTGAGGTACTATTGAATTGCGCCGTATCTCCTATAATAGTTGAACTATATTGCGCCTAGATCTTCTGGTAAAGGGCGGGATTTACCCCGGGCGACGATATATTATTCCATTCGCATTCCCCAAAGAACGATCTTTAATACAAGCTTCGAGATACTTGACGATAATAAAGAAGTGGGCGTCAGATTAAGGGAAATATATAGTGCGATAGATAACATATCCCCTGGTCCGATGAGCTTCTGGTTTGTCATACAGCTCCTTTGTAGGTGCAGATAGATGAGCGAAAGTAGTAAAACCCATCTTGTGAAAATTTGAAGAAAGGCAAGGATGAGAAGTCCCAAAATATTCCCACGGAGGAGGCGGGACAAAGAGCTATCGACTTCAGGAGGTCGGTCTAACGATTAGTCCGGAAGCCCATTTCCACCCGGTTACGGAGTACTTGGTTGTTGGCATAACCAACTTATACCAACTATGCGATCTTAGTTCGAATCACACTATTGAGAGTGTACGAATGCTTCTGGTTAGGCCGTCCCTCTGTATATGCTTTTTAAAGGCAAAGTCGTTATTAACCTCTGGTTCGACAACCTTCCTCCTAATTAGCAATTCGAGTTAGTCTTAATAGATAGATCTCTAATGGAATTGGACTTTGCTGGCTTGAGAAGCTCTTTATTCCTATAACACCGCGTACGAAAGGAAGATATCGTGATGGCGTATCAGGGCGCTAAACCAAAAGAGGCAAAGCTAACCGCATCCAGTAATTCACTGATCTGCCGTTTACACGGCCAATTGTATACCGGCAGCAGAACCCGACCGGGCTGCACTGCGTTTTATGTTTTGTCTAATGCCTACTCCGACAAGCAGCGTCGAACTATGTCTGCAGCGATGAGCAGAAGTATATTGGTCGCGTGTAGTACTTCCAGCAGGTTTCTCCCCTCGACTTTGCTCTCTACGACCAAATATCAGGCACAAATTCAGACTTATACTGTCAAGGTTGAAGGTAGTACTACTACCAAAGCAATATCAATCTTGATGGTCTGCAGTATATCGGAAAATATGCCTTGATTACCTACCATTCTCAGCGGCGGAGGTCCGCCATATACACAATCCAAGCTGGCATAGATATACGTACCGTCGAAAATGCCATTCGTGCGTTGAAATTCAAGGATATCAACAATATTTGCGGGTCAGACCGCCACCAAGCTTCACTATCCCAGTCTATAGGCCAAACTCGGCGTAGAGGCCAGTTGCAGTCAATACAAAAATGGATTGTTAGGAGAGGGGCGGAGAACACACCGAAAGAATCAAGCGGCTCTGTTAGTATCATCAGCACCAATATTATTTTAACCCCCGAACCGAGGAGCAAGGCCCGTGCTCGGATATCAATGCAGAGGTGAGCAGATCCTATCTCTCTTAGCAGGGACCCAAACGGTGATCATCGGATTCGGAAACTCCGGAAATCCGCCTGGATGTGCATACATATCACCAGAGCTGAGATTATCGGTGGAGCTCGGATTTGGCGTCACACCGAACTCCGCTGCAGTCCTACACATTGTAGGGCGCCTGAGCGACAAATAATCGACTGGACAATCGACCGCTGGAATGGAGATATCAAACTGTCGCCAAAGTCGCTAACTACATCCGGCTAGTTAACTAGACCCCTACTGCAGGGCACATGTGACGTTATGATGCAGCTACCATTGTCGCCAATCACAACCCATCACCTCACATCCTTGATCATCTAGGCCTAGATTGGCGGCGATAATAAATGCTTTGGAGCTTGGGTACTATACTAGAAGCTTTACCTTGCCCACCAGTAAATATGCCTTGGCGGACGGTCTCTTCTTCCACCTATCAAATGCAGGGCGCCATCGCAATACTATTGCCGATTGAGCTCGCTGCTTCCAAGGCTGACAGCAGACGACCTTCGACGTGGCATGCGGAGTTCTTCGGTCAGGTCTAGAATACCGATGGGGTGGCGCTGCTTAACCTAGCATTGACGCCACCGGGCAGTGAGAATGTGTTTATTGGCAAAGCGAAAGTAGCAACGGGGGCCGTTAAATAATTAGGTCATCTGTTAAACTCTACACGATCTATCGATATTGAGGCGCAATGACTGTTATCTTTCTAACCCCGCCCAAGTAGATCCACAACGTACAATTAGCCTGAATTTGGAAATTTTACACCCACAGAAGAGATGTCGAACAGTCCTTAAAAGTCGATATAAGCCCCGAGAAAATCACTTGCCCTACTTCAAATTCACGGGGCGTAAACACAAGCACGCCATTTACGCTAAGGTAAATCATCCTAGTCACCGACCTAAACAAAGAAAATATCATGCGGCTAAGCGGAGGGCGAGTCAGCCGGACAGGGTGAAATATATTGCGTGCGATTACGCCTCGGCGTAAGTAGCGTGATTATCGTAAGTGGGATGTAAGTTCTTTAATATGTCTCGGAGGGATCAACCCAAATACACCTCCATTGACTAGAATAAGTAAGAGGCAAAACTGACCGCTCAATGCAATCTAGACCCAATGTACACCGAGGCTCTAAAAGCTCTACATATAGAATGCCGAGCTGTGGGGGAAATTGTCCGAGCTTCGAAAGTTCTATGGAAATGAGATGCGATAACCAATCCCAGAACAATAACAAATGAGGCTTAGAAGAGCGAACACGAGAAATCGGAAAGGAGATTAGGGCATGAAAACATCACGGGCCGATGTGTTCACCCTATAAGTGCATAAGACAGGGGTTCAAGCGTCTGCGTCTTCCCCGATCGGGGAAAAGCATGGCTCGTCAACTGAAACTTATTTCGGATAGACTTGGCCGGGCCCCGTATTGCTAGTCCTGAAGGGGGTTTAGTGTGGACTCTTTGGCTGGTGGGGCCGGGGCATACTGTAAACAATTATGTTCTTTAATTTAATTTTATGGAATGTAAGTGGATGCATTTGGCTTGTTCTTATACTCTCCTAGGATAGTGTGCCGGGCATCTCACATTAGTGCATTATTCTAATTGGGTATTTTCATCCCGCATAGCAAATCCGTGCCGTTTAGAATACATACGGTTTGGAATACGAGAATAAGCACAAGGAAACCTTTTGATTCAAGATGATGCAAAAGCGGAGTTATCGGATTATGTCATAAGCACGAGCCATCCTGCATTTACCGATTTGGGACAACAGCGCCACTCTTACCTCTTTTGGTATTTTGAATGCCGAATGAACACTGAAAATCGCAAAATGGACATATCAAAATAATTAAATCCCCCACCGCTGATGCCTATGATATGACTTTTTTTTTTCCTTCTTTCGGGTGATACCTGTGTTGGGTTATGATTCAAATTCACCCAAACCCCCGATAAACAGGGTCTCACATATCTACAATGCAATGCGAATCGTCTATCTGGCCGAATAAGCGACGCAAGACTAGTATGCAAAGTGACCGACGCATTAGAGTATGACACCCCTGCTTAGGGCTTCTACCCCCGGCTCAATTTATAGTGAGACTGGAGGGTCCAGTCCCCATTGCTCATATCCCTTTTCGAATACTACCTCTCGAAAATGTTCCCACTGACAGAATTCTCACAGTATAAGGAGCAGAGCTCAACCTGTGTGCATTGCATAGATCTCAACATGCTCAGCCAATATCCGCCTCGGCCCCGATTGGCCCGGCTAGACGACAAGCATGAATCATTCAACTCCTCAGCCAGCACTTCGTCTTCTTCTCCTACTACCATGACAGAGTCTTCCCCCTCGCAGTCAAATCCCCAGTCCCAAAATGAGCACCCGTCAACATGCCTCTCAACCCACATCGAAGAAACCTTTGACCTAAAAGACCTTGAATTGGTGATGCACTGGTGCACAACAACCTACAAGTCCATGGCAGGGAACCCCGCCGCCGAACGGATATGGCAAACAACCGTCCCCCAGCTCTCCCTCCGCTATCCAGCCCTTCGCCAGGGCATCCTAGCCCTCTCGGCGCTGCACCTCGCCTCAACAAGCACATCTTCCCGACGCTGGCGATATCTCGACACAGCACGCTCGCACCAAGCACGAGCGCTAGCAGGCCTCCGCATCGAAGTAGACAAAGACGCACCGGAAGAAGAAAGCCAAGCGGCTTTCGCACTATGTTGCATAATGATTGTATTCAACTTTGGCTTCTGCCAAATCGACAGCGAAAACGACTCAGACGAAGAACGGCCCGACGTGCTGGACGAGTTCCTCGAGGTATTCCAGCTAACCCGGTGGCTAGTTAGCATCATGGTGACCTCGAAGGAACGCATCACAACAGACGAGCTGAACCCGCTCTTCCATCCCGACGACCCGCCCCCAACAATGCCGAATATGTCTCGGCTGGTGATTCTCTCGCTACAGCGACAAAATGAAATGGAAGCTATGCGGGATGCGACGCACGAGACGGATGTGTATGACTCGGCCATTGAACATCTCAGCCAAGCGCTCGAGCAGCTGATGAGGGGCGGAGAGCCGAAGGTGTTTGCGTTTTGCTGGAGTTTCCGTACTCCCGCGGAGTTTTTAGAGCTGCTTGAGGCGCGTCAGCCGTTTGCGCTTGTGGTGCTGGCGCATTATACGGTCATTCTGCATCATCTTAGGGGTTCGTGGTGGATGGGGGATTGGGGGATCAGGATTCTGCAGGAGATTGGGGATCTTCTTGATCCGGAGTGGCAAGAGCTTATTGGCTGGCCAATTGATGCGACGGGGTGTTTTCTTCCCAGGAGCGAGGTGCAAGTGCGAGTGATATCCCCGATTGGCTTTTAATAGCGAGTTTGCATTTGTTAGGCGTGAGCGATGCATCTAATGAGATATGAAGCGTATAATTAGCATAAACATTTGATTGTACATAGCATAGTTTCTTCAATTAAGACAAGTATTGTCATGGAGTACACCATTTCTCAGTGTTTAGGAAAACACAGATAATTGCAGCACCCAAGCGTATGTCATAGAGGAAAATAAACTAAAGCCCCCAATTCCCCAAGCGCCATTCTTTTCCCGGTATTCCATAGGTAAATCAATACCCGAGTATGTGATTGGAAAAACTGTGCAAATAAAAAAGACAAACCCATAAGTCTGACCGATATCTGGAAAAAAAAGACCAGACTCCCGAATCGAAGCACTGCCCGCAGTGATGTGATTATTTTTGCTCGGACAATCACCTCTCCCCGGATCGGCACTGCAGAAAGAAAAAAAAAAGCAAATATAACCCGCAGCCAATCCCAGAGTGACAGTCTTAATCGAGCCTTCTCAACGGGAATTCGCGAAATCCCCAACTCAAGTAGAAGAAGGCGACTCCTTCCGCAGCTCCTGTCTCTCCTGTTCAAGCTCCTTAACACGATCCTTAGATTGTGTGCGCACGCGAATAAGCTCCGCCTCCTGCTCTTGGATCTTCTTCTCGCGCTCTTCCTCTTCTGGAGTGGGGATGTAAGCGTTCGCCGCGCCACCTATAATAGCATATCAGTTAGTTCAGAACTTTAATATCCCTGCATATATCGCGCATGCGCTATATGTGTTCGACACGTACCTCGGCCTGTGTGGTGGGGGATCTGCTGTGCGCGTAGGGGCGGTGACTCGACATCTTGGCTCTCGCGCGCAAGCTCTGGCCGCTCTGGGTCGTTGTGTACCATATTTCCTGAGCCGCCGCGACCTGTTGTGTAGACTTCTTGCTTGATCGTTGGGGTAATGAAGTCTTTGGGGGAGGGGGTGGTTTGTTGGCGGGTTATGTTGCCTGAGGTATGGGTTAGTGGGCTAGCGCATGAAATATAAAGACGTGCTTACCTGCGCCTCCGCGGCCGTAGGAGATATTTCTTGACATTGTGTCGACAGAATGCAAAGAGACTGGTATGTTGGGGAAGCTCAAATGCGGAAGGGGGAAATGGAGTGGGAGAAATTCGCCAAATGACGACAGACTTTTTTTTTTCTCTTGGCTTTCTATGTTACACTATATACACCAATGTAGTTTGTATATCTTTTTATATGCCCATTATATTTTATTATTTGATATATATTCTATGTCTAATCTATGTCTAATCTATGAAATATCTAAACTTATAGGCTAACCTTGGAAGCAAATGGGGTCAGCCCTATAGGATCTTTTACGCCTGTTACTTGAACTATCCGGGGAACTCTAAAACTATGGGGAATATTGAATGTCTTTTTCAGTATATTGATACTAAAAGATAGGAAGTCTTGATTGTATCTATAAAAGTATTCTTTACCCGGTAAATGAAGCAAACAGCACTGTTTAACTACATAGCAAACCATGTAGATGGGATCGGCCAACACATATAAATCAACACAATCCCTTCCAAGGTGGAATTCTAACTTATCCACTCCACATATCTTCTCTATATATGTAGTTACCAACTATAATTGGCACCTGCTCGTGAACCAATAGTTCACTTTGCCTACTATATCAATACATATATATGGGCTGCAAATGTTGAACCTGCGCCATCCTCTCCGAAAGGCACTGTTACACTGATAATCGGACATCCTTGGCATGAATCACAGGGTACACGCCAGGCCAATCTCATCGAGGTGGCGAAGGAGGCAAAAGATGATGCTGTTGCCATCGAGCAAATCTGCCCTGAAACGGAGACTTGCAAGACACTGGCGAGGATCAGTTTGCCCAGTCCCTGGGTTATGGGGGGACGTCCCATGAGCCGCACCACCTATGAATAGTATAACACATCTTTAAATTACGCGAATGGTGGCTGAATACTTCAGCTAACATGCAATTTGAGCTTGCACGGCCTGTGGAACCAGCTATTGCAAACATCACTCCAAATGCAGTTGTTGCTAAACCAATGTCTTTCAAGATCTTTCGTCGCTATTTCTGCCACGAAGAAGTGGCTGTTGCATCACGTTGATATCATGACCACGTTTTTATACGCTGAATTGAAAGAGGCAATTGAAATTGAGCGTCCAGAAGTACAAAAAGAGGAGTTTCCTGATCAAATTGGCCTTCTAATGAAGACCATTTACGGGTTGAAACAAAGCCCCCATGAATGGTATCGTCTTCTACACGATGTGCTAATTTCAATGGGTTTTACCCCTCCGGCTAGCTATATACTACACACCTACACCATTCATGTTCTTGCCTCTGTGCGTACGGGACCAATTGTATTCTATCGTGGTCTGCGACGCCGTTGCTATCATTGCCTCAATGACCGTGATGCTACCACTTGCTGTCAAACATTGGATATTTGTCCATAAGGACACCGAGATACCAGAATACAACACAGTGATCGAGCCTCAACGGCTTGGTTTTGGATACCAAGAACCTAAAATCGGGATCAAGGGTTGGGTTTGCCAGCTTGAACAAGCTCTGTACGACCGTCGAGACTCAGCCACACTCTGGAACAAAGAGCTCGATACAAGATTAAACAGAGTCGACTTCTACACCCTCGAAGATGACGTCTATGTCAAAGGGGAGGACGAATCGGTGTGGTCCCTACTAATTCACGTGGATGACTTTGTTGCAGCAGCCCCGATAGACGAGGAAGTTAATCAATTCTTTCAACTCGTGAAGGGGTAATTTTACATCAAGGATATGGGATAACCCTCAAGTTTTCTAGGAAGCGCAGTGATCCGCAACTTCACAGAGAGGACAATCGCTATGTCACAAAAAGCTTATGCTCCCGAAGCCCTTCGTCTGGCGGAGATGCAAATACGCTCTCCACCCCAAATTCAACTAGCACCAAGCTGAAAATGGGATACGGATAACGAGGATCCAGAGATTCTTCAGGAAGAAGAGTATATACCTAAGCGTTATAGATAGCTCATTGTGCTTTAAATAATCAACTCTTCTTTCTCATTCTTCATTTATCGCATAGTACTGTTGGCTCATGGCTCATGATAGCCTCAATCTGTGTTAAAGAATTTGAGGTGCAACCTGTTCTGTAACATATCAGATCGTGAATGATGCCGGTTGTCGCCCTTCCAAGTCGCCCGGGCGCCCTATCCCGATTACATAATCCGGCTCCACCTCCAGGGCTCCAGTTCTCACTTCACCTCTGCAAGACTTGGAGTCAATTAAACCTACTCCAAATCCTCACCAAAATGAACGCCAATCCCATCAGCATGTCTATCCGCACAGCCATGTCTCTTGGCCGACTAAACCCCGCTGCGCCCTCGCTCGCCGGCGCCCTCCGCCCCCTCCACCAGACCACTCCCCGGGCATCCAAGCAACTCACACGCCTTAGCTCCACGACAGCTCGTCCGGCCGCCGCAACACTCAGCCTCGACTCCCGGCCACACAGCAAGGCTGCGTTGCCATCATCCATCGCCGTGCGAGCAAACTCGACCTCAGCGCCTGCCAACAACGAAGTCAAGCTCGACTGGGACTCCTTCTTTAAGCTCCGCGCTTCCCGCCGCCGATACTCCCTCGTCTCCTCAGTTGCCAGCTCGGCCATCAGCACCAGCGTTGGCGTTCAGATCCTGTCCGGCCAGGACCTTGAGCATCTCGGCGCGACGGTTATGGGCCTCGACCCGTTCATTGTCCTGGGACTGGCGACCGCTGCGTGCGGTGCTGTCGGATGGCTTCTTGGACCTGCTCTTGGAAATGGCATTTGGGGACTTGTGTACCGGAAGTACAAGCCCTCTGTCAACACAGTGAGTAATTGCAAAACAAGCAAATGACGGGTTATGTTTGGATCTGTGCTAACGTGTTTTGCTTTGTGTAGAAAGAGAAGGAGTTCTTTGATCGCATTCGCCGGTTCCGTGTTGATCCTTCAACCAACTCGATCGCCAACCCCGTCCCTGATTACTACGGCGAGAAGATCGGTAGCGTGGCGGGCTACCGTAACTGGCTGAAGGATCAGAGAGCTTACAACCGCAAGCGCCGCAACTTCATTGCGTAATTTCTCCCTCTCTTTTCTCTTTTGTGATATCGGAGCATCTATTTTTTTTATGTCAATATGGTTGAATCTCTCGGAGATTCTGTTCAAACCCAAATCTGGTGACTTTCTTTTTTTTTTGTCCGGGCCGGTGTTCATTTTGTTACAATATCATTAGCGGTCTTGGTAGCTGGGGCATTGCAATGTATTGGGAATGACTTTTGATAACGCGGTCAATTTATAGCTATCTTTCGTGACATCAAGACTTCCTTCGGACGGTCCTCTGTGCACTAAAATGAAACCCGAAAGCGCAATCCTCACTCATCAACACCCCGTATTCTCCTATCTTCAAAAAAGTACCGGCTTCGCTATTACTATTTCGAAGTGTCAGACTTTGGATCTACAGCTTCGAAGGTACTTTTGCGTTAGGTTTCCGGCCAGTATCAACCTCCGTCCACCACGGCATGTTCGGCGGTGGATTATCATCAAGGTTGGCCTTGAAATTCGGCTTTCGTTTCTCAAAGAACGCCGCAACGCCCTCCTTCTGGTCCCTATCTAATGGTAAGTATGCGCAACTGGTCTTTTATGGATTTCACATACTCCGACCCAAACATATGGTGGATGACTTGCGACTCAATGAGATGAGCCGCCTCAGCCGACCCAGTATCGCGCCACATAAGCGCCCGATTGAGGTACGACGAAGCCGGGCTCACATTCTCCGCGATCTCAGTAGCCAGCTCGAGCGCACGCGGCAGGACCTGCGCTGGGTCGGGAAAGATCTCATTGAAAAGATCGCCGAAATGCTTAGACGTAGGCGGGAACACTCCCCCCGTGCTGACGAGGTAACTAGCGTTTGAGTGTCCGACTAGACGGGGGAGGAAGTATGAAGAACATGATTCCAGAACAATACCTCGGCGGCCGAAGACGAAGCCGTATTTGCCTTTTTCATAGCCAATTCTAGCACACACATGTGCTTGTTAACAGGTATTCTAGCGGATGGGTCCAGCTGGATGCGATTGACCTACCGAATAATTGCTGGAAGAGTCATGGTCATCCCGACTCCAACCGCCGAACCTTGCATTGCTACAATCGTTGGCTTGCGGCATCTATGGATGGCGAGTGACACCCGTCCACCACTTGGATTTCTTAGCGAGTACCGGGCTATCGGGTGGTCATCTTACCCGTCACGGTGATCTGATGTCTTGCCTCTACCACCATTGAAACCAATTTCAAGGTCTGCACCCGCGCAGAACGTCTTTCCTGCGCCTGTCAACACGATGACTTTCACGCGCTCGTCGACATCGAACATGGGGAAGAGCTTTTCGAAGTCCAGGACCATTTGTCCCGTGAATGCATTGTGTTTAGTAGGGCGATTTAGCGTTACAATGACAACTGGGGTGACTGCCGGCGTTCCTGGGGGGTAATGAGAGACGACGACATGGCCGGTTGTTTCGACCTTTTCGTAAGAAGATGGGAGCTCAATGGGGCTGGGATTGGAGATCATGGTGGGAAGTATAAAGTTTCTGTTCAAGTAGATATAGTGTGCCTAACTTCCACTCCTATATACTATCCCTCGGTTATATCCTTTAATCATCAACGACATGGATTGTAAGCCGCGGCTGGCTTGGCTTGGCGTGGAGAAGCCGGGGGATCAGCGACCCCGCTGCGGAGTGGATTGCGTTGACATCGGTAGTTGATATCCAAGTGATATTAGAACTACACAGTTATATACATATTAGAACAAATTTTCTCGTTCAACTTTGAACTTCGGCCTAATGTATTGTAATATTGTAAAATACTAGTAGAATGAGCATGATGATTTATTTTGCCGACAATAGAAGATAGTGATAGGTATGGGCAGTGGAAGGTGGAAGGTGGAGGGAGATAGATAGATGATGAGAGAATGTAAATAGTGGAAGAGTATAATGAGCCTCTTACGCCACAGGGTAGACCTTTAAGCGCAAGGCGAGAGAGACTTTTCATAGTATACCTCCATCCTAGCCATGGCACCTCCAGACGTCGTGGGCATGTGGAGTCTATGAATCAAGGCTGGACAGGACCACCCAACATGACGGTTCAAACCGAGAAAGCGATAGCGCTAACCTAAGAACTGACCACTAGCCAGGGCAATCCAAGGAAGGTTTTTATCCCAGCATTCTTGCATCAGTTGACGTGCATTTTGAATCTAACGAATAGAGTGTCAGCAAATCTCTTCAAACAAAGACTATACCGGTATAAAGCGTACCTGTTTCATGCCCGAGCTCTCTAAGACAAACAACCGGTCCAAAAGCTTATTCTTTTGAACTGGATCGCTGCATTCGCAACTGGCAGTGAAGAGTGGGAACAAGGAGCAGACTTCAGTGGCTGCACCAGGGCGCATGCGTCCAAGGGCGTCAATGAGCTTGCGCAAGACCTCCTTCACGGGGAACGATTCAGGCGAAGACCCAAGGACACGCCGATGGAGATGCAGAATACCAGCAAACCGGAAGGCTTCTTCAATGGCTATCATGTCCGCGGACTCGAGGCCATGATAGTGTTCTGAGCTAGTATGAGCACCCTCGCTGACCCGGTCGTCGATATCACCAAGTAAGGACTGCCCTTCTAGAACCATTTCCGGAGACGCATGCCAGTCATGTCGGAAGTTGCCCATTTCGTCGAAGCGTTGATTATCACATTCCTGTACCAGCTGAGCAAGACGAATCAGAAATACTCCAGTGCGGGGAGTAAACCCTGTGAAGCAGTCAACACCGAATTCATCATGTCCATCGGGCGCGGAACAAGCTGTTAAGATGGAGTGGTATATCATCAGTGGAGGGCCGGCTTCGCGACATGACAAAGCTCCCATCGTGTCGAGATAGCCCAGCCAACGAGCGAAGAACGCCCCAATCCTATTCCCAGGCTGCGCCATGCGCTCGCTCCGTGCGAGGAATAAATCGCGAGCAAGTTTGAGGTGGGTTTTCCAGGTGATCGGCACTTCAAATGTCCCTGGAGAAACAATCTTTAATGACAACAACATTATGGCCGTAGCCAAATGGCTGTCAGTGATGTCTTCACTTGATGACTCCAATGCCATACGCAAGGTCGGGAACACATCGCTAACCCAATGAGCGATTCGATTGGCAGGCTCGGGATGGCCTAGGTATCGAGCACGATGACTAGCGGAGTATGCAAGCAGCAAATTGAGGAGATTGGAATCACAGGTTGCCACTGTTCGATTAGCTTTCTCCAACATAATATAATACGGAGAAGTACAACTCACTGGACGGCAAAACCGAGATAAACGGATTGTTATCACAGTTATGCGGGACAAGCATCCTAGCAGTATGGTTCAGGAAATGATGGAAGTACATCAGATTGATGGGATTCTCCAGCAGCGATGAGGGAAGCGGCGACAAATATCTTGGAACATTGATGGGCACCGGGGAAGCATAGTAACCACTACAAAACTGGACCTGTGGTTCGGGGTCGGGTTGGGAGGCTTGCGGCTGCGCGGGTTCCTCGTTGCGCAACCGAGAACTGATCAAATCCAACGCATAATTGATGTCGATGGCAGCATGGTCGTTGTTGAAAGTCAAATCCTGATCAGGGCGCCCAGAGTCCAATCCGTAATTGTCGGTCACATTATTCAGATATGTTTGCCATTTGCTTTGGGCCATTGACGACTCGTGAGATGTTTGATCGGCTTCATGATTGCGCTCTTCCAATACCTGACGATCCAAAGTTAATTCATTGTGATAGTCTTGTACAGAGCCAATGTTGGTGGCTGTCTCGCGGAGCCTCGGAGACGAGCCTGCATCGTTTTCAACGATAGATACTCGGTGTGAATCGAAAAGCATAGAGGGCATCCCGCTATCCTGCGGGCTTTGTGAAGATACGTTTTGCTCTGTCCCAGAACCAGCGCCAATATGCATGCCCTGTTCATCATGTGACTCCCGAGAAAGATGCCCTTCACCACGGGAGAGGAAGATAGATGGATCAGAGATGTGGCTGGAATCATCTACAGAGTGGCGTAGGTATGAGACTGGCTGCGACACAGGATTTGTATGGAATGCGAAGGCAGACAATGACCTAAGACCAGATGTCTGATCCATCGAACCCAGATATGATTGGGTATCAAAACTCTGTTGTCCATATTGATATTGTAATATAGGCGCCGAGGATACTGATGTTGTCAATGGAGGAGATTGTTCCGCCCAAGTTGTCGAGAACTGGGACTCTAATTGATCTGGCGATACCATTCCTTCGGAGCGGGAACCGAGCCTGGGGGATTCGAAAAGGCCCACTGATGCTGGTGTACTTGGAGATATTGCTTTCGGTGAAGTCAACTCCCCGGGGTGAGTGTTGAGAAATCCATCTGCAGGGTTGCTTGTTGGAGTGGGGAACGAAATCGGGCTCAGGTTGTTGATAGCGAATGAGTCCGAAAATCTAATCATACTCCCTCCATGCCCACTAGATTGTGAATTTGGCGAGTCAATTGACATGCGTTTCGCCCTTCCTCCCCAGTTCAGACGGACGCTATAATCGCAAGGATCGCCTTGTCGTTGACAATTAAGACATGCCGGTTTCTCCTCGCCACTACGGGTATAATTGTTAGCTAAAAAAAAGTATCATGCAGGGATTGTGCTTCTCACCATTTTACCTTGCGTGCTTTGCATGGCCTAGTGCGATCGTTAGCCTTGGCAAAGCTTGGGGCAGAGATATTAGTAACATACCAACATCCTTTACGGCTTCGACGCTTTGGTTCTGGTGCACCAGGTCTTCTAGGCCGAGGCATTTCACGTCAGAGGGTGTCTGGCCGAGTATCGATGCCTGTAAAGAGGACACAGAGACAGTTCAAGATCGCAGTGGCTCGAAATAGCCAAAGATCACTATTTATTGTCCCGCCGCCATACAGATTCACCTTTTCAGGTGTATATTAGTCCAAATGAGACTATTTATGCTGAAAGCAGGTCACAGTTCGCGCGCTTTCTACGTTTCGATACTAGTTGACCCCAAGTAGCGATGAAGCGATAATCGACCAGACACCCACACCTAGTAGTCAAGCACATCGAGGTATGGGAGGGAGATGTGCCAGGAAGAGTTCGAATCCCACTGCCCTTCAGCAATGGAAAGGCAAGAGAAGCCGATGCTAACCAGGGTAGTGTCGATCCTAACAACCTCAGATAAGAAACAAGAGGTTAAACAGAATGTTGCTCTGTTAAATATGATCAATTGACCCACTAGGTAGTGGAGTGACCTCACTAGGTAAAGATCAGGGATGCACAATGGAATAGTCACGAAATTTGATGCAAAGAAGAAAGGTTTCTGGAGTGCAGACTAAAAGTGTGGGGAACCTTGGAGGCACATGGCCGAGATAAGGAACGATGAATCAGCCGGATTATATTATAATCCGAGATACCCCCCAGCTGCCCAGGTAGGCACCGGTATAACGCGGGAAGCCGGGATTTCCCGAGAAGAGCCGATCAATCAGAAAGGATATCCAAGATGTTAGGTTGATGGTAGTGTTCCTAAGCCACTGGACCGCCTTGCTCCTCTAGCCATGTAATGGACTTGATATGCCGTCTCTTGCAGGTTTAGCTCATTAATTTGTGTAAAAACTAAGATACGACCGTTGAGCAACTGGCCAATGTCAGTATTTCGGACTTTCACTTTTTCTGTGGTATGGCTGATTTACTGGAAAGGACGCATTTCTGGATATTGCCAACTCTAGGAGACCTTGCCTTTAGGAATCCAGATCGAAAGTCTAGTGAGTAAGTATGTATAATAAATAGATACCTAGCCCTAGGGCCCGGGAAGCCCACGGGCAATGAATATAATATATAAGAGGGTTCTAGGCTTTCTAAATAGGGCATTTTTATGCCCCGCAATACGAATACATGTAGGGGGGATAGAACATAATTCTATCTTGCTTTCAAGAAGTCATGCCTGAAATTGATCGTATTCCGAGACCTTTTGGGTGCAATGTCGAAGGTTATATATATCGGAAAATCGTTTACACAAATTAGGCCCTTTTCCGCCATTTTTTTGCCATCGACCTATAAAACCGACTAGGCCTAAACAGAATGATAACTAAGAAGACCATCAAAGTGACCACTGGAAAGACCACTGAAAAGACATCACATGGCCACTTAAGCGGCCGACCATTCTTGTGATAGTATATAGGAAAGTTGCCCCCGGAAGTATATGCTCGTTGACAATTCATTTCACATGGACCAACGAAGAGGATTTTAGAAACAGCACACCCATAGATAGAAAAGAAATGATAGAAGCTTGGGTTTCATAGGCCAATACGACTCGGGACTATCTAACACAGATTAGACGTCCAAACCAATCGGTTGACTTAGACGATATCGAACAAACATCTCTACTAGAGCCGTGTCTTCATCCTCAAAAGCTTAAGGTTGGGAGTATTGTAAGGTCAGTCCCTGTCCATCGTAAACTGCTGGGATGATTCTTGCTCTATTATAGCCTAGATAAGAGAGAACTAGGATCTAGAAGTTAGGATATTCGTTAGACAGGTCTCCTATATGAGCTGTCATACAATATAGAACCACTCACTGGATGAATCTAACCATACCGAAAGGGTCGATGAAGCGTCCGAATAACCACGAAATTCACAATGGCTCTTAATTCATGCGCAGTCAAGCCCTGGTTAGTGTTGGTTGTACAAACATGTGATTTACCATTCATCTTTCCAAGCATACCTGGTTTCCAGCCTGCGTTTCAACTCGGATTTTGGAACCCTCGGTTTGTTCTCTCGGTCTGGGGGTAGGTATCCATCCTCGTCTTTCAAAATATCCTCGAGGGTCGGTATAGGGTCTCTCGATGTGCGCGGGTTGCTGGTAATGACATCACTGGAATTGTCGAGTGGATATTTCTGGAGAAGTCTCACTGGGTGCGGAAGGAGAAAGTACGGGACAAATTAAACAACTTCGTCATTAGTTGTGGGCACTTGAAACGCTCGAATACCAAGCATCTGGAGATCATCGGGGAAAGGGAAGTCGAGCCCAAAGTCTTTGATTCGGTAGTACAGGGAACTAAGAGACCCATGAGGTTCGCGGTGTGTCTGGGTGTTTATTTTGGAAAGCGAATGAAACAAAAGTGGTCAAAGGAATTACCTAGGTAGCTGTTAGAGGTATCAGGGATATCTACTCTGGAAGGTTTCCAAGGTTATAGTTACCGCAGCACGTGCCACTATAACGTCATATGGAAATCGTGTTCTAAACTTGGAAGGTACTATATATACTCAGCAAATGACTAACCACATATATAAGTCAGAGGCTGTCTGGGACGCTATCCTGACGAATACTACGGAGTAGTTCTAACTACAATATAGCATACGGAATACTCAAACAATATTGGATCTATCAAGTGGATCCCGTTGCCGTGTCAACCGGAACTTGTCAACCAATAACATGGCCGGGGCAGCTGCCTGGGGGATCTTATGTAAGTATCCAGGTTATCCGTGGGCCCACTTCAAAATCGGCTATGGTGACCTCAAGTGTCGCACTTTGAAGACCGGTATGACTTACTTTCTTACGCATTAGATCATTCTAGCTTGTATCAAAATTTGTTTCTCAATATGGTCAAACCTCTTATCGATAGGCACCCACTTCAGCGGATGCCGAGCCCTTCACGGGGCGTGTCAGCCTTGGTTCATGTACCTTGTACCTTTCAGTTCTCATTTCGGTCCTGCACTAACGGAATGTGTTCCAGTTGGCCGGCCTTTCAAGCTTTTTATGGTCATTCAAATAGTATGGTTCCTTAGCTAAGCTGTACTTTGAGAGCTTGCTGACATTATTGAAGCATGCATGAAAACCCCAACCAAGCGTAAGCATCTTTCTAGTTTCGATGCTGGGCACTACGTTAAAGTCTATATTTGATAGTAACCAGGCATATGGTTGGCATTTTCAATATCTGACCGTGATTGGCCTGTCGTTGTCAACGCTCACTTTTGGGGTTGCACTACTAGCGGATATTACCTCGTCCCGGCGACTGTTCCTGATCAAAAATCTCCTATCAGTATGCAGTGCCCCCCTTGAGGTTGTTATTAGTGTCTTGTACTGGGGTCTTCGCGTGGTAAGTAATTCGAATGGATGCTAGGTCGAGAGTCGGCCTAGGCCTTCATCTAATCCACATATAGATTGATGAGCGTTTGGTGATTCCCCCGGACATTTTCATTCCCCTTCATGCCGGTATGTCTATTGAAGGTACATTTCTTGTGGGATATGCTTAATAAGACAATTACAGACATCAGCTTCCACGCAACCCCGTCGGTGGTGATGTTGATTGACTTACTACTCCTATCCCCACCATGGACAATCACTGCACTCCCGGCACTGATGTTATCTGGCGCTATCGCCTTCGGCTACTGGTTCTGGATTGAGCAATGCTTTTCCCAAAATGGATGGTTTGTGTATCACCCAGTGCTTCCGACGTCATATATTAACTAGTCTAGGTACCCATATCCTATCTTCGAAGCATTACCCACATCCGGTCGTATTGGCCTATTCACTGCTAGTGCGGTTGTGATGGCTCTGAGCACCATTACTCTCAAGTGGCTGCACGGACGCGTTAATGGATTCGATAACCCCATGAAGCCGGAATCCCGCTCAGGCGATATGAAGCGAAAGGGTGGGCTTTAGGCGCATGGATCGGGGATGGTATCACAAAAATACGAGTCTATCAGCTCGATTGGGATAATCCAGCCCCGTGTCCGTCTCATATGAGAGGCGGCTTTCCGCCTTGAGGTAGCCACAGGAAGTAAAATAGAATGGGCGGCATGGCACTGATCACAAGTGTCTTGGGTACCTCGCTTACCCGGGTACATCCATAAATTTCGGTCCGTTACTACATTTACATCTCAGAATACCTCAAATAAATACTATTCTGGCTATGATACTATCAAAATCCAAATTTCCTAGCCCAGTAAACAAATTATTGTTCCAAAAAGGTTCCACATATGCTGTCAAGAGCTCTAAGTGAGATATGTTCAGTCCAACATTCCAATAATTAAATATTCTCAAAGCGCTTGTTCCGCGAGGCGCCTATTGGAAATCAGGGTCTTCCAATAGGACCCGAATTATAGTAATCTAATGCTCACGCAATTCATCACCCCATACAGCGTTAAATCCATCCCCGTGCGTTCCGGGGCTTAGTCGGAGGATCCGAAGAGCGCCGATACTTCTCACGCTGTGGGATCCTTCGGGGCAACGGAGCAATATGCAGGTTGTCATTCGCCACAGGGTGTCTCTAGATCGGGCATTAACCGCCACACTCCTAGTTTCGGACCTTTGACATTCGTTCTAGATAGGTCGGACACTATAAAAGTGCTCTCGGCCGATAACACATAGATGTCTTCAAAGCCGAGGGTCTCACGTGCACCCGAAAAGAGCGGGCCGTTGTGGACTTGGCAGATTGTTCTCCGTACCCCGTGAAATGGAGACAGGAAAAAGCTTGGGGGAATCCTGGGGTATGGGGTTACCCCTAATTCCCCGGATCCGCAGACTCGGCATACTATCGTATATCAAAATCGAGCCTCAACATCAAAAATTAAATAAATTCATATTGGAATGATGTACAACATAAACCTCTTTCTTCATATTTAAACACCCTTTCAAGGGTTTTTGCTATGTTCCACATGTTGATCACACCCTTAACCACTCACATCTATGCCGATCACTCTGGGGCCCCAAACAATCAGATCCAAGCTAATGCTACAATCCCTGCACACGGGCTAGGATGTTCCAATCGTACCGACCATTGGACGCCATCGACGATTCTCGCAGAATCTACCGGATATGAGCGTAGCGTCATTTTCCCCTCTTTAGCGCTGAGTGGCTTTTGAGTTCTTTCTTTGCCTGGGGAGTTCTTCCTCTACTTAAGCAGCTAGCGGGTCGGCGAAAAGTAGCACATTTCGGAGGATTCATTCTACTGATCTGATCGATCTTGTATTATGGCTACTGACTCCTTCGACAAACCGACTGACTCTCGGTCAGAAGACCCTGAGAAAATTCTTGATTCTAAGGATCCGCTTGCTGCTGCAGGATTTGAAGATCCCGATGCAGGATTGAGTGATGCAGAAAGGGCAGAAATTGTGAGTTATCTCCGACTTTGTGTTACTCGAGTATCTTTTGCAAGAATGGCAACTGATTAACCTACTATAGGATCGCAAGCTACTATGGCAACTTGATATGCGCCTCGTGCCGTGGCTCAGTCTACTTTATCTCGTTTCGTTCCTTGATCGGTACGCAACACTAATTGCTTCCATTGTTTCCGAAATATAACTAATCGGATCTCGTTCAAGGACAAATATCGGCAATGCGAAGCTCGTCGGTCTTCAAACAGACCTGCACATGACCAATGCCCAATACAATGCAACACTCACTATATTTTTCGTCTCGTACTCCGTCTTCGAGCCTCTGACTAACGTCCTGCTCAAGCGGTTGCGGCCGAGTGTCTTTATCCCACTTATAATGATGGCCTGGGTATGTGAAATACTCCTTTCTCTCCCATAGCATTCTTCTAACTATTCCAGGGACTCTGCATGACATTCATGGGCTTCGTAACAAACTACAGCGGTCTAATGGCAGTCCGTTGGTTTTTGGGTCTATCCGAAGCCGGCCTATTCCCCGGCGTGGGCTATTTCCTCTCATGCTGGTACAAGCGCTCAGAATTCGGCGTGCGAATGGCGATCTTCTTCTCCGCTGCCGCGCTCGCAGGTTCCTTCGGTGGACTGCTAGCAGCAGCAATTGCCAAGATGGACGGCGTGGGCGGTAAGCCCGGCTGGTCATGGATTTTCATTCTGGAAGGTCTTCTTACGTTCGTCATTGGCGTTGCCTCGTTTTGGTGTGTCTATGACTTCCCTGACCAGGCGTCGTTCTTGTCCGACATCGATCGCAAGCGTGTGCTTAGGAGACTCGCTATGGATCAGCAGTCGAGTGCTGAGCATGAGGAGTTTAAGATGGATTACTTCTGGGCCAGTTTGAAGGATTGGAAGACTTACACTGGCGCTGTTATTTATATGGGGGCTGATGGGTCGCTTTATGCGTTTTCGCTTTTCGTGCCTACTATTATCAGTGAACTAGTGAGTTGTCAGATTGCTAATTTGGGGATTTTGGAGCTAACATGGGTTTCCTAGGGTATTATTGGTCTTAGCTGTCGCCTTCGCTATATCGAAGTTACTAACCCATTTGTTCTATAGGCTACAGTTCGATTCGGGCACAGTTGTTGAGTGTACCGCCATATGCTGCTGCCGCCGTCTTGACAGTGACAGTTGGCTTCATTGCAGATCGCACAAGACAGCGTGGTCTCTGCAATATCGCCGTCTCCCTCCTTGGTATGGTTGGGTTCGCTATGCTGATAGGCTGCGAGTCTGCCGGTGCCCGCTACGCAGGAACCTTCCTCGGAGCCATGGGCATCTACCCTGCCATTGCGAACACGATCTCATGGACTAGTAACAACACCGAAGGTAAGTTGTACTCTGGACTCCGTTCTTATCTTATGTACCTGATAAACCAATTCTAACACGATTGCTTTCTAGGTGTATACAAACGAGGTGTCTCTCTCGGATTTATCATCGGTTGGGGAAATCTCAACGGTATTGTCTCATCTAACATCTATCGCACTGAGGATAAGCCGAGATTCTACCCCGGTCACGGAGTAGTACTCGGATACCTAGTCTGTTTCCTCTTTGGTGGATCCGTGGTGCAGTACCTCCTACTGCGCCGTGAAAATGGCAAACGCAGACGCGGCGAACGCGACCACTGGATCCAGGGCTTGGACCATAATCAGATCGAGTTGTTGGGCGACAAGAGGCCGGATTTCATCTACACGCTGTGAGCGGTGGGATAGCCGGATGGGGTGGAAGAGAGGGCAGAGCCACGAGATCTGAGTGTGAATAAATGAACATCCATGATCATCCATGATTCTAGCCAATTTCGCATTTCGTAAGGTGTTTAACAGAACGGCGTCGTAGCCTCGCGGAAGCATCCCGATCGTAACTTTCCCATCTCATGCCCCCTTCTCATACCGATTAACAATCTCCTGCCCCTTCTTCGGGCCTCGCACAACATGTCGACTAGCCCAGCTGAGCACCTCCCCTGTATCGGGCGCAATGCGGAATGCATACGCCGTGCGATACATATCGTTGATACAGAGATGGTTACCCCTGGCATTGAGCACAGTAGTTTCACCGGTCGAGACAGTGGGCGGCATGGGCGGGGCGATGAATTCTTCTGGATCCTTCTGCGTAGACTCGGGCGCGGTCTCTGGGGGCGAGCTGGAGCCTGAATCAAAGTCGAAATCGTGGAATAGGTAGTCTGCTTCTTCTGGGCCCGCGACTTTCACGAACCAGACGCTGACGCGTCCGCTGTCGTTAGCTAGGCGCCAGATGTACTTCTTTGTCCATCGTAGGCCCGGCTGCAAGGCTCCTACACCGACATTGCTCGGTATCTCGCCTTCTTCGCAATACAGCCAGTCGCGGTCGGGGGTTGTGGTGGGTTGTGCGGTGAAGGTTGCGGTGCCGCGGAGCTCGCCGTTTAGGTCGAGGGGATTGTCGCTTCGGAGGGTTCGGGTTAGGGTCCAGCGAGTATTGCTGAGGGATGTTATTAGGGTTGAAAGGAGTTGACGGGAGGGCATTGTTGACATGTTGGAATGCGGGGGAGGGAGGTGGAGTTAGAGGGTTCGTATTGCGTACAAAGATCTAATCCGTCGATACCCGGGAAATCACCTAAAATGGACTTTGGCTTTCTCTATACCTTGGCTTGTAAGATGTGGCTAAAACCGTACCTGTCAGTGTATTCTACAGTATTCTCTGAGGCTGGTATGTGCTATATCAATTTTATCTTTCCATTTTTTTCTTATTAATATGCCATTTAAGCCGTAACAATGAACAAAATGCATGGAATGTGACGGGTAGGTCTGGGGGGATTTCAAGGGTAAGCATGGAAACACAAAGAATGGGGGGCTTATATAGCGTGCTCGATATGAGAAAATAATTTCTATCTTCAACATATATATATTGCTCCATATAAGGCCTATACAATCTTAGAATCTCCACTTAAAAAAGATATTGAAACAGATCCATCTCTTGTTCCAACTGTCGTGACTGCCGATCGTGGGTCTTTGTTTGGAGTTGATGAAGAGGAGTTACTTCGTATAGCCTTGGAGGTTAGTAGACACGAGAAAATAGACCTTTTCTAGATACATCGAAATATCGATATAATATACACTCCTTGCATGAGGAATTGATCTTCAGCTAAGGCGGGAAGTCCAAAATAGCCGTATAAACGTGGGACTGGGTCAATCATTTACTGCATTCAGCAATATTAGAGAATACGACATCGAAGATTTAAAGATGTCAAGAGATGAGATTGCCCGCTTGCGGAGATTAAAAAAAGACGGATGCGATCAATGCTACTGTCAGGTACGTGAAGTACTACCTAAGACAACAATAAGGTAATTAAAAAGAAATTAAAATAATATTAATAGAAGTTGTCAGGGCCAGTTAAAAAATAGGAAAATAGAAAATGACAGGGACTGTATCCGGCGCTCGGCCCCGACTTTGACCCAAATCTCTTTTCCACCTCGACTCTTCCTCTTTTAACGCAACTATGGACTGAGTGATCCTATTCAACCATCATATTGAGAGCCTTAGGGCCCTTCATTCGCTTTTAAGACATCATGTTCACTCCACGCCTTTCAGTCTTCTTCGCCCTGATCGCCCTCATAATCTCAGCCCTAGCCGCAGACAGCATTCTCCCCACATCCGCCTCCAGTACATTCCCGCAATGCGGCCTGTCCTGCACCACCCTGACAGGCGCGCAGACTTCCTGCGAATCAGGCGACGCCTCATCCTGGACCTCATGCTTCTGCCAGTCAGCCCTGCTCACCGGCCTTAAATCCTCCGGTAGCATCTGTTCCTCCTGCAGCGCCGCCGACCAAGCCACTCTCTCAACCTGGTATAACAACTACTGTAACTCCGGCGGCAAAGACACATCCGACAACGACGCCAACACCGGCACCACAACAACTAAGACCTCAACTGAGCCAGCCTCTACTAATCCCGGTGAATCCGCGTCCAACTCCGCAAACACGAACAAATCCCCCGCTGCGACAGAGGAGAAGAAGTCATGGTACGTTTGATCTCAACACAGCCCAGATTGGAATCCAAACCCGCACCCTGACAAATCATTAACCAACCCCAGGTGGAGTTCCCACTACCGCTGGGTCATCATGCTCATCGTGCTGGTCATCGGATTCACCATCATCGCCGTACTGGGCGTATGGTTCAAGCGTCGCTACGAAGCAAAACGACCTAATCTTTACGGCGGCGGTAGCAGCGGCATGCTGACCGCAGCTCCGCCCCCTCCGCGCGATGCCGCCTGGGATTCCGGTCCCGCGCCGCTACCTGTGTCGCGCGGCCTTGCCCCTGAATCTCTCGCTAGTAGCTCGCGTTCTACAATGGCCAAGACTAGCACCCCTGTCCCCGGGGCCCGGACTCGATTGACGAAGATCGAGCAGGGGTCGGGGGATGTGGAGATTCGGCAGGTTTAAGGCTTCTGGATTCGGGCCTTGGATCTTTATGTTCCCTTTCTTTTTAATTGCAATGCGCTACTTCTATACCATACTACCTGGCTATGGTTGCATTTCTTGGTGTTGGTACGGATAATGGGCTTTACGCTGTGCGCTATGTTTTTCTTATCGGTTGCGTTCCTTCTCTCTTTACCTTTTCCTTGTTCTATCAAGCTTCCGGCTCGGAATATAGCAGTGATTTCTGCTGACGTCAATTCCCTTACGCTCATATTTGCGATTTTCTTTTTTTCAAGTCTGATCAAGTGACAGAGTACATAGTACAACGCGTGCGCGCATTTCATGATTTCTTATTCACATATATTGTAATACAACTAGATTCCACGGACATATCACGAGACGCTGATACTCACGATCTTAATATCGACTTCTGGTTTCTCCTTATGCGTCCGCACATTCTCAATCTTGTGCACAATATCCAAGCCCTGCACCGCACGTCCAAACACGGTATGCTTATTATCCAGCCATGGCGTCTTCTCCGTGGTAATGAAGAACTGACTAGCATTGGTATTGGGACCGGCGTTGGCCATCGACAGCGTATAGGGCTTATCGTGCTTGAGAACGGAGAACTCGTCTGCGAATTCCCCGCCCCAGATAGACTCACCACCAGTGCCGTCGCCTTGCGGGTCACCACCCTGGATCATGAATTTGCGGATCACACGGTGGAAGATCGTGTTATTGTAATATCCATTTCGAGCGTGCGTAACAAAGTTCTCCACGGCCTTTGGCGCAGCCGAGGGATACAGACGCAAGTGGATGTCGCCGAAGGTTGTGTGCAGGATTGCAGCAGTGCCGGTCTCAGCGGCTTTGGTAACTGCTGTACTCGTGGGGGCGGTTGTCTGGGTTGGTTTCTCATTCTGGACGTCGCGGGTGGATTTCGAGATCTCTGTTTCGTTCGTGAACATGTAGAAGCGCACCTTGGCGAAGCCGGTGCTGAACAAGATCGGGTCGCGTTCTTCGGCTTCCTGGAGGAGAGGGTTGCTACTGGCTGCCATTGAGACTGTCACGACGCCTTTGCGTTGCGGTTGGCCTTGGTACAATGCGAGGTTGAGAGATCGGAATGGCTCTTCACGGCCGTAGACGCGGACGACCCGGTTTGTGTAGGTATTGATGCATTTCACGCCGTAGAGGGAGCCGTAGAGGAGGAAGTGACCGGATTCGTCGAAGCAGACGTTTACTTTGCTGCGGGTTGCTTCGCCTTCGAGTTCGCGCTCGACGGCTAGGCGGCGTCCGAACTCTACTTCGTCGAGTTGGTACGGTGCTGTCCCGGCTTGCTGCATTTCCGTGATCGTGGTTATTGATTCGTCGTACGTGCGGTAAAGCTTTCCGGTTGCGAAGTCGAATACTCGGACTTGTCGATCTGGGAAGGAAACCGTGGCGAAGTGTTCGCCAGACGGGGAGATTGTGATGGCTGTCGGGACGGATTTGGCTTTTTTAAATGCGAAGAGATTGGTTGAGGATTTGAGGTCGAAGACGTTGTCGGGCTTTTCGAAAGATCCGTCTCCAGCCCTCCAGTATTCAATCATTCCTGATTCGTCTGCGGAGACGACGCAGTCGAATGCGTTGTTGAATGCTAGTGATACCACGGGGCTGCGGTGGATCGACTTCAAAGTATGCAAGGGCTGGGGGTTTTCGCCACGTCCATCAAATACTTGGATCGTGTTACTTGACTCGTCTGTCACGGCAAGTAGAGGTAGCGAGGCCCCGCGCGGGTGTACCCAGCAGACACATCGAGGGACGAATTCGAGCGTATACATAGCCAAAAGATCTAGTAATGTTAGTAAGTCACCAATGCATGGGAGCGACATATAAGCTACCAAATGTAATAACATCAAAGATCTTCACTGTCTTGTCTAGTCCCACTGTCGCGAAACTGCGGCCGTCGGCGCTGACAGTTACGCCTCGAATCTCGCCTGGGTGAGCAAGGAACTCCTTGACAAACTCGATGCCTTCCGCCATTTTTTTCCAAAACTTAACAAATCCATCGATGGAGGAAGTAATTACAAAGTCCGTGTAGGGCGCAACGGTCACGAAGGACAATTGCTCCTTGTGCATAAGGGACTTGGAGTACCGCGCGGAGACTGGTAGCGCATTGATGTAGACTTTCTCGAAAGGCAGCTTGCGCCGCTTCTTCTTAGGCGCGGCCTCTGAGGGCAGTGCAGGGCCAAAATCGTCGTCCGAAGAGTCATCACCTAGCAATCGCTTTGAATTAGTATATATTACGTGCCATTCGAGACAGCGGTCTGGACAGTATCCATGGTGCAGGGACTAACTGTTCTCGGCCTCCACAGCAGAGTGAGGCCGCTTGCTCGCGGGAGCCTGAGCGAGATCGCCGGAGTCAGCCATTGTCGATATTGACAGAAAAAAGGTCAATTCCAGCGAAAGGGATCGTCACGACAGAAAGGAAACGTCCAGAGGCATCGCGGGCGGTGATGCAGTGCAGCCAATCACAAGCTCGGGCCAATCGTGCCGCAACTTTTCTCCTTTCCCACCCCACTGTTGACAGGAGAAGTTGATTCAACCTTTCCAGCAAGACATTTGATCTTTGGTCGATTGTATTCAGCTGGTCATCATGGTATGCTATTCCGAAGTCGACACGCGAGATCTTGGGAAATATGTGCACTGGCTCACCTCTACCCCTCCTAGGCATCCTTCGGCAATCCCACACAGATCTTTGGTGACGATGTCATTGAAGAGAAGGGCGAGAATGCCCGTCTCTCAGCATTCGTCGGTGCTATCGCCGTCGGAGACCTTGTTAAGAGCACCCTTGGTCCCAAGGGAATGGATAAAATCCTACAATCTGCGTACGTGGAGGAGTTATCGATACCATATCTGATACAACCCCGGAAATACTGACATCGATGTTATCCAGATCCACAGGAGAAATCCTGGTGACGAACGACGGTGCTACGATTCTTAAGTCCATCGCCTTGGATAACGCTGCCGCTAAGGTTTTGGTCAACATTTCCAAGGTCCAGGACGACGAGGTTGGTGATGGAACCACATCAGTCACTGTTTTGGCTGCCGAGTTGCTGCGCGAGGCCGAGCAGCTTGTTGCCAAGAAGATTCACCCCCAGACTATTATCGAGGGTTACCGGATAGCCAGCAAGGCTGCCCTCTCCGCTCTCGAGGCTACAGCTGTTGACCGCAGCCAAGACCCCGAGGCTTTCCGCAAGGACTTGCACGCCATTGCCCGCACAACGCTCAGCTCGAAGGTTTTGTCCCAAGACCGGGACCAGTTCGCCAAGCTGGCCTGTGAGGCTGTTCTGCGTCTCAAGGGATCTACCGATCTTTCTCACATTCAGATTATCAAGAAGGCTGGTGGAAAGTTGAGCGATTCATACCTCGATGAGGGTTTCATTATGGACAAGAAGGTTGGTGTCAACCAGCCCAAGCGGTTGGAGAACGCCAAGATCCTTGTTGCCAACACAGCAATGGACACAGATAAGGTCAAGATTTTCGGTGCACGAGTCAAGGTCGAGTCCACCGGCAAGCTTGCTGAGTTGGAGAAGGCAGAGCGTGAGAAGATGCGCCAAAAGGTCGAGCGTATCAAGGCTCACGGTATCAACTGCTTCGTCAACCGTCAGCTCATCTACAACTGGCCCGAGCAGCTGTTCACTGAGGCCGGCATCATGTCTATCGAGCACGCCGATTTCGACGGCATTGAGCGTCTGGCCCTTGTTACTGGAGGTGAAATTGCCTCCACCTTCGATCACCCCGAGCAGGTCAAGCTCGGTGGGTGTGATCTGATTGAGGAAGTGATCATTGGTGAGGATACCTTGATCAAGTTCTCCGGTGTGGCCGCTGGTCAGGCCTGCACCATTGTCCTGCGCGGTGCCACCGAGCAGCTTCTCGATGAGGCTGAGCGTTCGCTCCACGATGCCCTTGCCGTCCTCTCGCAGACTGTCAAGGATCCTCGTGTCACACTTGGCGGTGGCTGCGCCGAGATGGTCATGTCCAAGGCTGTGGAACAGGCTGCACAGAACACGACCGGCAAGAAGCAGCTTGCGGTCGACGCCTTCGCCCACGCTTTGAAGCAGCTGCCTACCATTCTGGCCGATAACGCCGGTCTGGACTCCAGCGATCTGGTGACTCGTCTGCGGTCGGCCATCAACAACGGTATGACCAGCTCTGGTCTTGACCTGTTGACGCCCGGTGGTGGTATTGCGGATATGCGTGAGCTTGGTGTGGTGGAGGCTTATAAATTGAAGAAGGCGGTGGTTTCGTCTGCCTCAGAGGCAGCCGAGGTATGTAACCAACTATCTCTTATTCTTGGTATTCAATTTGGAATACGTGCTGACTCTCTTCTAGCTTCTCCTGCGGGTGGACAACATCATCCGTTCGGCTCCCCGCCAACGCACCCGGATGTAATGGACACGATTGTGATGACATGGATGAATTCATCTCTGTACTCTTTCTACGAAGGGACTAAAAAATGTGCAATAGAAGTTCAACTAAGTACATGATCTATCCATCTAGCCGTTTGTGTAGTTTCTAGAGTAGATATACCGCCTGTTAGCTGGACTCTGATATCGATCACCCAGACATCTATGGCTCATAGGAGGTCATTGCATAACTAGTAATAGTCGGCCCGCATATAATCTTAAATATGTTCCCAAGCCCTGAATCTTTATACAAAATGATCTGTTATCACTATGCACTAGTTAATCATCTCCTATCTGCATCATCTGCATGGTAGTAATTTGATTGGAATGTTCTGACCTAGTTGTGCAATTCAAGGTTAACACAACAATCATGTGCCTAGAACATGAGCCTAAAAGGGACAGGTACCTGAATAATGAGGCATCAATTCCCAAAACGGAAGGCTCAAAGCGGTTGCTGACTGCCCAGGTGAGTTTGAAAGCTTGGTATTAAAGCCAAGGCGTAGCCAAGGCAGCAGTATAGATTCATTCTATATGCTACATTTTTAATGTTTTATCCTAGTCTCTTCACGTTGATCCCAGTAGATATACGGAGTACAAGTATCCCGTACTTCATATGTTTTTGGATCTTGACATGATCGCATTCCCGTGGGTCATGAAGTGGGTGATAGACCAGATCGGCATTGCCTGGACAGTTTATCTAGTATGGGTATGGGGGACAAGGACGCAGGGCTGTACTTGTACTTGTCCGTGTCCTCCGTACCTTCAAGTTATATTAGAAGGAATATATCCCGGGATGTCTCAGCGCTAAGCTTAATGTTTCATTTTCCCAATGCAGGATCTAATTTGCCGCCAGGGACTGAGTCTAACCGTCATCGCTCAGGTTTTTAGGGGTAGACCAATCTACCAAATCCACAATAATGCAATAATCACACTGTACGGAGTAAAAGGGGAACAACATTTGTTTGAATAGATAGATCATAATATATTAATACCAATTAAAGTTCAAATCGTGCAACATTCTTAGACGGAGACGTACCAGGAACTGCCTCCGGTACTGTTCCCGGGTACCCCCCCCGAGCCCCCGTCACCTTTTCTTATCTTCACCTTTACACGCCCTCCAACCTTCCCACTTAACTCCCTTATGCCGCTGGCCTTCACGCTCGTTTGAAAATTCAATGATTTTCTCCAAGTGGCTGGCCACTCTATTGGGCGGCGCATTCGCCGTCCAGGGTGCCCTGGCTATCGATTTGAACATTGATGATGAGAGTATGTTTCCACCCCTCGATCGCATTCGTTCGCTAATTGAATGCCTCTCTCAGGCTCCCTCAAAAGTGCGGCCAAAACGGTCGCCACTACCATGATGAAATATTATGACGCTCGCGAATCCAAGAACATCCCCGGTAAACTCGATGGCACTTGGTGGGAGGGCGGTTCCATGTTCATGACCCTTATTCTGTACTGGTTTGTGACCGGCGACGATCAGTTCAACCATGCTATTCAGGAAGGAATGTACTTCCAGAAGGGCGACGACAATTTCTTCCCCAGCAACTACAGTCAATACCTAGGCAACGACGATCAAGTCTTTTGGGGTCTTGCTGCTATTACCGCCGCGGAATTCGGCTACCCCGAGCAAGATGGCCAACCCTCTTGGGTATCCCTCGCACAAGGTGTCTTCAACACCCAGTACCCTCGCTGGGATACGAGTAGCTGCCACGGTGGTATGCGCTGGCAGATTTGGCCGTACCAGGATGGTTATTTGACGAAGAACGCTATTTCAAACGGAGGACTGTTCCAACTTTCGGCCCGCCTCGCCCTCTACACCGGAAACAAGACATATGCCGACTGGGCTGAGCGCATTTGGGATTGGAGTGCTACGACCCCGCTGCTTAAGCAGAAGAACTGGAACATCGCCGACACTACCACCTGCGGCACGCAGTGCACGGATCACGGCGATTTCCAATGGACCTACAACTATGCCACATATATTAGTGGTGCTGCCTACATGCACAACTACGTATGCCCTCCTGTTCTGCTTTCCAGTACGGATTTATACTAATTTTGTACTAGACTAAAGGCACTGAAACGAAATGGAAAGAGGGCATTGAAGGTCTCATCAAGACCTCCCAACAGTTCTATCCGACGACCGGATTCAATGGAGCTGGCGGTCAAATTCTATCAGATATCACTTGTGAACCCCTCGGCAACTGCGATCGCAATCAGATCACCTTCAAGGCCTATTTCTCCAACTGGCTTGGAGTGTTGACTACGATAGTCCCCGGTACCTACGACCTGATTTTCCCTCAGCTGAGAACCTCGGCCCAGGCCGCTGCAAAGCAATGTTCAGGTGGCGATGACGGTAATTATTGTGGTATTCGTTGGTACAAGCAGGCCGAGTGGGATGGGACCAAAGGTCTGGAGCAACAGATGGCTGTGCTGGGTGTCTTGTCTGCCAATCTGATTCCCTTCAAGAACAAGGGGCCGATGACCTCAGAATCGGGTGGAACATCCAAGAGTAACCCGAACGCCGGCACCAATTCCACAGACAACAAGGTCCCCGTATTGAACACCATCGGTACTGGTGACCGTGCAGGTGCGGGCATCCTAACTGTCATCTTTGTCAGCGGTTGGGCTATTGCTGTGACCTGGATGATCCGTGGAGGTTAGCTCGTCTCCCGTTTAATATCTACCTATTTTCTTTCTTGGGATCATACGTGACTCCTTTTTTTTGTCTTATAATCCTTTTCTTTCCACATGCTTCTGTGGCCACATCCTTCTACACCTGTATCTATCTTGATTTTTCTTGTGTCCCCTTTTCGCTCTTTTTTTCATTTCCCTTCAATGGCACTTCCGGCGTGTACTGCACGAGGACGGGGTTGTGGCGTTGAAGGTGCTACTTTGATCTACATAGTTTTCTTTTAAACAAAACATTTGAATTGGTGATAATTGAGTGATTATTTCTGATACCTTACGTGTATAGTGTATAGTGTCCACGGGTGTTGTCTCACCCTTGATTGGTCTTAGCCCCTGGCGCTGGGGTGCCTGACCCGACCGTGAAAGACCTTGAAAGGTTGGAAGTACAGACTTGGAAAATGATGCAAGAGAATATGTAAAGATGACTGTGTTAATCAAATTTGAATATATACACGTGAGCATAACTCGGGAATATAGCAACATCTATTAAGGGGATATGGTAAAACGCTCTCGAATGTTCTTATTGTTCTTGGCTGTATTTAGTGTAGAAGGCGTGCGTGGACAAAAGTACCATACCTTATTGTTACAGTGGAGGAGGCGGGATAAAACTCGTAACAGCCAGTAAGATACATGTTTATTACACACAATGTCTCTGCCTGCATCTCAATCTCCCCTTTCATCTTTCTTCAACATTCATGACATTCAATCACCATCTCTTGTGCAATATTATTAGACTATAGGTGAATTTCCTACTTCTACTTCAAACATTTGTGGGTTTGGGGATGATCCGCAACCCGGATTCTCGACTCGCTCCACACTCACACTCGACCCGTTAAACCTTTCCCTCATCGGCCGATGACACACTACCTCCTCCGCTTCCTCGATCGTTCACTTACCCTTCAATCTCCGTGCTGACAGCTCCACGATGCGGTGGCGGCTGCCAGGCGCCCGTACGACACTCCCCGCCAGTGTCGCACTCCTCCTTCTCCCAACTCTGGTCGCTCCGCTGCAGCAATCAGAAGGCCATGACTCTATCTCTCGTGTCTCTGTGCCATTAGCACAAGAGTCATCCAACCAACATGCAGCCCATGTGGCTGCACCACCCATCGTGAAACCCAACGATGCGAGCGCCCTTGCTACTCTGGCTCTGGCAGGCTCCGGCCGCGCCGTTCGAGCCCCTCCTGTCCAAGCCAGCAGCACCGCTGCAGGTTTGGCTTCGCAGCTTCACGCGCGGTCCTTGCAGGACTGGGAGGTTGAGGATTTTGTGCTGCTGGCGACCGTCGACGGAACAATTCACGCCCGTGATCGCAAGACCGGGACTGCTCGCTGGGCCCTGGAGGTCCCGAGTAGCCCTGTGGTCGAAAGCACTTACCATCGAGCGAATCGTTCCAGTTTTGACGATACACAGCCCGAAGACGACTTTCTATGGATCGTCGAACCGAGCCAAGATGGCAGCCTATACATCTACAGCCCCGCCCCCGACGCTGGCTTGCAAAAGCTCGGCTTAACTGTGAAGCAGCTTGTCGACGAAACCCCCTATTCTGGCACCGACCCTGCGGTGACTTATACTGCCCGGAAAGAAACTACCCTATACACCATTGACGCCCGGACTGGTAGCATTCTGCGGGTGTTTAGTTCCCGTGGTCCAATTCCCGCTGCGCCTGAATGTCGGAAGGTCAATGGAGAAGATCCGGAGTCCGATGAGTGTGAGTCGACATCTGGCACTTTGGTTCTTGGTCGGGTTGAATACGCCGTCGCCATCCAAAACACTGAGACGGGAGATCCGATTTGCACCTTGAAATACTCCGAGTGGGCACCAAACAACCGTGATATGGACTTACAGAGCCAGTACTACAGGACGATGGATCAAAGCCACATCTATAGTATGCACGACGGCGTTGTGCTGGGATTCGATCATTCGCGCATGGATCGGCCTCGATATACACAACGATTTTCATCACCTGTGGCGCGAGTCTTTGATGTTGTTCGTCCTGCTCACAAAGAAACACCAGATGCCTCGACCCCGCTCGTCCTGCTCTCACAACCTCTTCAGCCACCGGATCCGGATTACGGTCCCCTTGGGGATGAAAGGGACATGCGTGTATTCATCGATTGCACTGAGGCGGGGGGTTGGTATGCCTTCTCAGAGGAAACATACCCCCTCGCCACGGGCCGCGCCCCAATGGCTCAATGCTATGACAAAGACTTCTTTCGCCGCGGGCAAGCGCTCATGAGTCTGACAGCGCGTCAGCAGCGGAATGCATTGGCTGGTGTCCACTCTCTTACTGGCCCTCGTGTCGTCCGTCCACATATTCCTAGACTGGGCGGGTCATCCACCTCCGAACTATCAAATGATACACCACGAGATATTCTCCGCAGTCCTTCGGAGCTGGCTTTGCCTCCCGCCTTACGAAATAGCGCGATCATTCGCAAGAGCTGGGACAATGCTTTGGATATCGTCGTGACGTTGATTTTATTGTTCATCTGCACCTTCATCTATTTCAACTCGCATCATCTTCGCGATCTGGCCAAGCAGAAGTTGGATATCAAGAATATCATCAACTCCAATGATAAGCCTTCTCTGTCGACCCCTTCTACTCCTATAGTCGGCGGTGCCCCGGATATGGAGCGTTCATCTACACCGACCCAACAAGTTCCCAACGTTACAGTGGATTTAGATGTGGATGGTTCATCGCCAGATGGAGGAGCAACGCCGCGCGCTTCCCGAGACCCAGACTCCAAACCGCGGGTGCAGATTCGCGAGCCTTCGCGTGGGGCTGATGAAGAGGATGCCGATGAGATTGGAAAGCCAAAGAAAAAGCCACGCGCTCGTGGATCTCGAGGAGGAAAGTCACACCGCCGTCGCAAGAAGCCTGAAGGTGAAGGTGATAGCCCTGAAGGGGCCGGTCAAACCGTGGAGCAGGTCAATAATTTAGCCTCCCAGCCTCGACTTGAGCCCGATGTCCAGATGACCCGGACTATCTCGAATGAGATTATGGAAATGGATGGCGTCGTGCGCGTCGGCCGGCTTCAGGTTTTCACCGATGTTGTGCTGGGACATGGTAGCCATGGAACCGTGGTGTACCGCGGTTCGTTCGATGGACGAGACGTCGCAGTCAAGCGTATGCTGATGGAATTCTATGATATTGCATCCCACGAAGTGGGCTTATTGCAGGAAAGTGATGACCACCATAACGTGATCCGATATTTCTGCCGTGAGCAAGCCACCGGGTTCCTGTATATTGGCCTCGAGCTTTGTCCAGCATCTCTTCAGGATGTGATTGAACGTCCTATCAACTACCCGGAACTAGTCCAAAGCGGGTTAGATCTGCCCGACGTACTACGGCAGATCACCCAGGGTGTCCGGTACTTGCACTCGTTGAAGATCGTCCATCGTGATTTGAAGCCGCAGAACATCCTCGTGGCTATGCCGCGTGGTCGCACTGTTTCACGGTCATTGCGGCTCCTTATCTCCGATTTTGGCCTTTGCAAGAAACTCGAAGACAATCAAAGCTCGTTCCGGGCAACCACTGCTCACGCGGCTGGAACTTCCGGCTGGCGTGCCCCGGAGCTCCTGGTGGATGATGACGGTCCTCTGTCTCTCGCATCACAGCACACCGAGTCATCGGAGCCCGCTGTGGTGGATCCGCAGACGAACCGCCGCGCCACTCGGGCTATTGACATATTCTCACTGGGTTGTGTGTTCTACTACGTCCTGACCCGTGGCAGTCACCCATTTGACAAGAACGGCAAGTTTATGCGCGAGGCAAACATCGTCAAGGGTCATTTCGATTTGGAGGAACTAAACCGCCTAGGCGATTACGCTTTCGAGGCTGATGACCTCATCCGCTCCATGCTGGCTCTAGACCCCCGCCAACGGTAAGCATTTCTCTTTGAAGAAACGCACTCAAGTTACTAATATTACTATCTAGTCCTGACGCCAGCGCTGTATTGATGCACCCGTTCTTCTGGCCTCCATCAGACCGTCTCGCCTTTCTGTGTGATGTTTCTGACCACTTTGAATTTGAGCCCCGTGATCCTCCGTCAGATGCACTCCTTTGCCTGGAATCGGTGGCTGAGCGGGTAATGGGCCCTGAAATGGATTTCCTGCGCTCATTGCCGCGAGACTTCAAAGACAATCTCGGCAAGCAGCGCAAGTACACTGGGTCGCGCATGCTGGATCTCTTGAGGGCTCTCCGCAACAAGCGCAATCACTACAATGATATGCCTGATAATCTTAAGGAAAATATTGGCGGGTTGCCCGAGGGATACCTCAATTTTTGGACATACAGGTTCCCGAGCTTGTTGATGAGCTGTCATACGGTTGTCGTTGAGCTGGACTTGACTCGCATTGATCGCTTCCGAAGGTATTTTGTGCCCCCGGAATAGATTGTCTAGACATGTTTGGAAATTATATATGAATATACTAGATGAATTTATCAGTATACGAATGATTCATGCACGGAGCATTGCATCACACTGCATATCTGTAGATTTAGTGTATCCACATGTACAAGCCTCATAGTAAAATATGAATGAAGTACTTTATCCTTCTCACATAAATTGATGTGTCCCATAGACACGGCAGATAAGTGGATCGACGTGACGGAGTACTGCGCGCTAGTTTCTTCCGCGTTCTGATTTCAACTTTTTTCCCTCTCACCTACTCACCACCATTCTATTTGGTGTTTGGCACCTTGTCTTCTAAGAAGTCATGTGTGTCTGATAAATTCATCAATTTGCTCTTTGCCATTAATTACCCTCCCCCTACCATCTCTTCCGGTTTTTACTAGCGACTACCATCAACCTAAATTCCAGTCCCTACACGAGCTCCAATCCAACCATTAGCTGCTAGCGCATTTACTGAGTATTGCACTATCTGGAAAAATGGTATTTCTTCGACTTTCAGTGAAAGTGTTCCCGCGAGAGCAGTTGAGCTCAAGCTCAAGCTCCAGTTGGGGCAGGACACTCCTCGGCGCACGAAAGTCTACCAACGATGACTCCAGCCAGGGATCTGGTGTCTCCACAACATTGAAGAAGCCCGGTGTCTTCCTGCTTGTTCTTGAACATCCAGAAGAGGTTTCGCTCGGTGGGCTCGCGGGCATGATCCAAGAACATTGGGGGAAGCTTCACCCAGAGCTAGAGTGAGTGCTAATACAAGAAACTTTTCTAGTCCACCGAGCTCCAATCGCTAACTATTTTCGTGATAGACCGCTTTCAATCAAGAAAATCGTCGACGATACCAAGGAAGATATCGATCTTTACCCCGATTTAACCGTCGCTGATGTCTGGGTTGACTTTGGAAAAGCCCGCGCCGATGGTCTCGACCAGCGTGGTTCCGTTCGTGTTCTTCAAAAGCCTACCGCGGCTGCCCCGGAGCGATTCCCCTCGGTCGAGCAGGATTGGGATGCTGCTATTGCTTCCTACGAGCACAAGCGTGCAATGAAAGATAAAAAGGAAGCCATGGAACGCCAATTCCCAACCATTCAGGAAGAAGATGAGGAGAGCGCCGAACCACGGAGTACCCACTCTCGGTCTTTGTCTCAATCCCACATTCAATGGGAACATTCGCCTGGATCGCTTCGGCCTACCAACAATGAGCGTCGTGTGTCACCTCGGAAGTCACCAGCTGAGCACCGCCATCGTGATTTACCCGTTTCTTCCGTTGAAGTCCGCAGCCCCGTTACCACTCCCCCACTAACAAAGTCTGTTGGCCCTACAATTGCCGGTACGCCGCCCCCCAGGCGCGAAAGCGAGGAGCTCGGCGGCTCTCCATCACCAGCCGAGCGACGAACTTCCAGCGCTATGTCCCAACATACACCTGCACCTGTAATTTCCGTGTCCCCGGAACCGCAGTCTAAGCCGCAAAAGCTCGTAAAGTTACCAATTCCCAGTAGAACAGCTAAGCGGACAATTACGCAAATGCCTGACGACGCGGAATCCCCACCTATGTCTACAACCAAACATGTCATTCCCCACCAAGAGACACAATCTACCGAGGATGCTACTGCGAGCTCAAGTGACAGGGAATCAGTGCCTGTTCCACAGCATATCGTGAAAAGACCACTCAAGCAGAGAATGCCCAACGGAGTCAACGGACAAGGACATCTGGCCGCAGTGGGCACGAGTGTATCCCAATCACCACAGAAAAGGCAAGCCGAAGCGGTGATCATATCCAGTCAGGAGTCAAGTGAAGAGGATAGCGACAGTGAGGACGACAAGATTGAAGCGAAGAAGATCAAGACTGTCGTGCAGGATGAAGCAGCAGTAGAAGATCAGACTGGTTCTGACGAGTCTGACTCCGACTCTGACTCTGTGTCCGAATCCGAATCCGAGTCAGACTCTGATGCCAGTGAAGAGAATGGACTCAAGGATGCGCCCATCGTGCCTCAGATTGATCGCTCGACTCCCATTGTTCGGGATGGCGATGTGATCGATGCAGAGGGGGATATACAGATGGAAGAGCCGATTGTAACTAGCAGCTCCGAATCCTCAGACCAGTTGGATATCTCAGTGCCGAAAACCAATGGCACTCGTGAGACTCGATCTCGCAAGCGCAAGCAGGCCTCGGAGGAACCCACATCCGTTAAAGAAGCTCGCCAAGCACAGGCCCATCCCACGACACGACCCCCATCTACCCCTCCTCGCTCTGTGCCTTCGGTAATTGTGCACTCTCAACACGCTCGGCAGTCTGAATCGAAGTCGCCAGCTGCCCAAACGACCCCACAGAAACGTGCCCGTGCGCCTTCATTCTCGAGCCCAGCTCGACAGGCCAGTATCCGAGAGGAGAACAAAACGCCTCCCAAAACTTTTCGGTCCGGAATTGGGTTGGGGATTACACAGAGCCCTTCTAGCCATCAACCCCTGGTGGCTCTTTCGCAGGAATCTAACGTGACATCCACCCAGGACTCTTTTGGCGGGCCGCTTTTCCCAAGTAGCAACGCGACTGGTACCGTTGCGCCTTCTTTTACTTCTGTTAACAAACAGACTCCTGCGATTGACAGAACAAAGAAGTCCGCTATCCGTGCCAAGGATTCCCCGGCAACGGAGAGGCGATCCGTGTCTTTTGCTGAGGGAGAGAACCTTGCTTCTAGCTTCGATCTCATTCCAGGCTCCACTCCGCGCAGTACTGCGATCAGTTCCAAATCCACCCCTACCACCAAGACCAAGGTGACGCCTTCGAGCGCAACCCCACGAAATGCCACTCCTAAGGCCAAGTCCTCTCAGCAGACGCCTACCCCTGCTGTCAAATCTACACCCTCGACGTCTAGCAAAGCTACACCCAAGGCCAACGCCAAAAGCCAGACACCCAAATCCACTTCCAAGCAACCTCGCAGAGAATCCATCGACGAAGTGGTCTCGAATCAAGCTCGCAGACAATCTATCGACGAAGTAGTCTACCCACCCGGCTTTGATATCGACCGTTTGACCCAGGAAGTTGAGATTGAAAAGAAGATCAAGGCACAGTCTAAAGCGGAAGAGAAGGCACTCAGGGAGAAAGAAAAAGAGGAGATGGCAGAAATTGAGCGCAAGATTCCGGAAAGTTATGATCCCCATCTTTCGCTCATTTTAACCGATATGCAAAAAATATTACAGAGATTGTCCAACACCAGGATGGAAGTGGCCAAGCGAACACCGCTCCGCGTTAAGCTTGCCGCTTTGCGCGAGGACCTGAAAGCATGTGAACAGAAATTGGAGGCGAAAAAGTCCACGCCTCGGCAAGCTGTTGCAAAGCAAGCAGTGCCAACCCTCAAGGAAATTTTGAGCAGCCAAAAGCAGGAAATTGCTGCTAGACAGCGTCCTGAGCCCAAGCCTGCTCCGGCTCCCCGCAATGATGTTTACGAAGTGCCCAGCTCAGGCGAGTCTGAGTCTGAGTCCGAGTCTGAGTCCAGCAGTGATGATGATAGCGAGAGCGACAGTGAGTCGGGCGACATTATGCCCGACGGCCAGTCACAAAAACTGCGCAAGCCCCGAACTCGGTCCAATTAAGATGCGCGCGTTTTGCTTTTTAAGATATCCTACTTTTTGCATGCATATGACGCTGTGCTTTGTTATCCGAGCCCAAGTCATCATAATCCTGTACATTCAAATGTTGTTTCCACCGGTGTATGATATCCAACGCTGCATAAGAAATGTAACTTACTCAAATGAAACCCAGTTGAGATCTGATTCATCTGCCTAATTTCTAGATAGGAATGTCGAACATTTGATCTGTATTTTTGTACATTGTGAAGTGAACATATCGACTATACTGGTCTTTGCATCTATGGGATGAGATAGATATTTGGGTGGTAATACCCGGCCTTAACTTCCGGCTCATGTGTTCTGCGAGTATAGGACCGACAAACCAGATGTGATGACCATCCATGGCAATTCTATGGCTTTCTAGCCACTCGGTTATGGGCTGAATATGGTGGCATCATATTAATTTGCCATTGCTCCAATTGTGGTAAAGCTCAAGCTCAACCTTTAACAATCAAAGCCAACAATTATACGGCATCATCAACAGTTAGTTGATCAAAATCCTACCCATTCGACCTGTTATTTTGCGAAGCTTAACCACTACTACCAACCATGGCGGCGGTAATGCCCAGGTAAGTGTTGCCACAGCACACAGCCAGACTCACACTAAGATACCACAGCACGGGATACACGCCGCATCCCACCAAAATGATGAAGGCAGCGCAGTGGATGGGCGCCCGAAATGTGGAAGTGGGAGTCGTCCCCAAGCCCAAGATCACCGAGCCCAGCGACGCCATCGTGCAAATCACCCACTGTACGATCTCCGGCTCAGACATCCACCTATACGACGGCGAGCTCAAAGACGCCATGGAAAAAGGCGACATCCTCGGCCAAGAAGCCATCGGCCTTATAGAAGAAGTCGGGCCGAACGTCAAAACCCTCAAACCCGGTGACCGCGTCATCATCTTACCGGTCATCTCATGCGGCACCTGCGAGTATTGCCAGCGACAGCAGTATTCGCTCTGCGACAACACAAACCCATCTAGGGAAATGGAAGCAGCGTACGGCCACCGCCTCGGCGGGAAGCTGGGCTATAGTCGGCTTTGTGGCGGGTATCCAGGCGATCAGGCGGAGTACTGCCGGGTTCCGCATGCGGACTTGACGTGTGTCAAAGCGCCGCATGATCTCGATGCGCGGAAATTACTTGGTTTGACGAATGTCGTCACTACGGCTTGGCATGCGTTGGAGTTGGCTGAGGTGCGGGATGGGGATGTGGTTGGTGTATGGGGATGCGGGCCTATTGGACTTGCTGTGCAGCGAATGGCCAAGCTGCGTGGAGCGAAGAAGGTGTATGCTATGGATAAGGATGCACAGCGATTGCGGATTGCGGAGGACTTTGGCATGACGCCTGTTGATGTGGATGCGCATCCGGATGTGGCTGAGTACATTCTGTCTATTCAGGAGCAGGGCCTTGATCGGTCTATTGAGGCTAGTGGGCACCGGACTGAGCAGAGCGCTGAGTTTCCGGCTATGCGGGCGATTGGGCTCGAGAGGGATAGTAGTGATACACTAGCGGCCATTGTCAAAGCGACCCGTAAGGGTGGGAATGTGGCGTTGGTTGGGGATTTCTTTTTCACGACGCATGATTTCCCTATTGGGCCTTTGATGCAGAAGGCGCTCACACTGCGTGGCGGTCAAACTTGGCCGCAAAAGGTATGGTTCCTTTTTTCCCGCTTGAATCGATAGCTTACCAGGTGTAGTACTACCCGTTCTTAATGGATCTGGTAGTACAAGGCTCATTGGATCCATCGTGGATGTTCACGTATGTGGATGAGTTCGAGAATATTGCGCAGATGTACAAGAAATTCTCAGAGCATGAGATCCCCGGCAAGCTGAAAGTGTGTTTAGTCACGGCCTTTGGACGTAGCCAACAGCTGCAAACCTCCAGTGAGCTGCCAGTCGATCCTGAGGGCTAATTGAAGCGAGCCCTGGAGGTTTTCCCCGGATGTAGTCAGCATAGTCAGCAAAAACCTTGATATGTCGCAATATAAATATGAGCATTGACCCCGCGGGGATTTGGCAACTCCATAATTCATCATGTTCCCACCACCACCCAGTGCACTCGATTGGAATAATATAGGCTTTAAAGTCCGAGATGGTAAGCAATTGACCTTTAGACAAATACATATTCTTATTTCATAATAGGCAATGGCCATGTCGAAATCCATTTTTCCCATAGTGGGGGGAACAAATGGTCCGCGCCGCAATTTGTCGCCTCTCCCTTCATACCAGTGCATGGGATGGCTCCAGGCCTAAACTATGGCCAGCAAGTCTATGAAGGCCTTAAAGCCTTTCGCCACCCATCCGACAACAAGATAACTGTCTTTCGCCCCGACCGTAACGCCAAGCGCATGCAGTACTCCGCTGAAGTAGTATCCATCCCGCCCGTTCCGGAGGATCTGTTCATTGAGTGCGTGCGGTTAGCAGTTGCCGCAAACGCCGAGTACGTGCCACCCCACGACTCCGGCGCTGCAATGTATGTCCGACCCATGCTCTTCGGCTCCTCTGCACAGCTAGGGCTGAGTCCACCGGATGGGTATACGATGGCTGTATTTGCTATGCCGACTGGCGTGTACCACGGGGCTACCGCGGTCGAAGCGTTGATCTTGGAGGATTTCGATCGCTCTGCACCGCATGGAACTGGTTCTGCTAAAGTTGGAGGAAATTATGCGCCTGTGTTGCGACACAGTGACCGGGCGCGACGGGAAGGATTTGGAATTACCCTTCATTTGGATAGTGCAACTCGCAGTGAGATCGATGAGTTCTCGACTTCTGCTTTCATTGGAGTGAAGCGTGATGGAGATCAAATCACTGTGGTCCAGCCCGATAGCCAGAATGCCATCGACTCGGTTACGGCAGCATCTGTGCTGGAAATTGCTCGCATGCTGGGATATCGGGCTGAGAAGAGACGGGTTGCTTATGAGGAGTTGCGTGAGTTTGATGAGGTTATTGCTGCTGGTACAGCGGCGGCTTTGGTGCCAGTTGGTAGTATTACGATGCAATCCCGTGGTGATAAGTTTGAGTACCGTTCCGGGGCTCAGAAGGAGGGTGGTGAGGTTTACGTTAAATTGCTGCAGACTCTTCGTGGTATACAATCTGGAACTGTTGAGGATACCTTCGGTTGGAACTATGAGGTGACGGCACCGCCAAAAGGTTGGACACAGGAAACGCAAGAGGAGTTCGAGTTGAGTGGTGCCAACGTCCCATAAATAGGTTCATCCAAGTATAAATATACTTCAAGTTGCCACAATCACCACTTCAACGGATTTTTCATTGGAATTAACCCTGGAATCCTCATATAGTAGTAGTTTAATGGACGACTACTGTATATGTTAGGGTTTCTTGTTACACTGAAAGCTTAGGGGAAGATGATGATGATATTCTCTACCTACTACGGTCGCCTCTAAGGGGCCGTCAGGTCAGGTGACAAGCCACCTGATCCACGTCCAGAAAGACTGGATACATAAGGAACTACGCAAACCACCACCAGCTAACATGGTACGGCCAATCATGTTCCTTAGCAGATTGCTATCCACGCCAGAGCGCAATTACTGGCCAACAGAGTTGGAAGTCGCATGCTTCGTATGGATGCTCCAAAAAATCAAACATCTGATCTTAGCAGTGCCGACACATCTACCAATGATAGTTTACACCGACCACAGCGCTACAGTCAACATTGCGGTCAACACCAATCTCAGGTCAACGGCGACTGAGAACCAAAACTTAAGATTGGTACGCGCGGCGCAATTTATACAAACTTTCAACCTACGCGTCTGCCACTTTGTTGGATGCGCACATCTGCCGCTCCCTGAGAGTCGGCCGTCCTCGGTCGAGGTCAGGTTCTATAAATACAAATGAAAGAATGAGAAAAGCAATCCGTGTAGGGGCAAAGTGTGTAAATGAATGAAAGTGGAGTAACGTGTGTAAAAGCTCAAACGTCTCTGTGTTCCGGCGCCTCGTGGAAATCCTCGGTTTGGCGTGCTCTTTCTAACAAGGCCGTTAGGATCTGACGACCAACCAGAACTTGCATGTGATGAAGGCGATTGAGTTATATTCTCTTGTGGATGTTGGTAGACCGACAATGAAATCAATGCAAACCGTATGGAATGGAATTGGAGGGCTAACGATCGGTTGTAATGATCCGTAAGGTCTGTGACGCCTGGTGTTATTCCTGAGACATTCGGGACAATGTTGGATGTATTGCCGTAGTAGACGCATTCCCTTGTAGATCACCATCCCGTCCATTTTCCGACGACATCTTTCAAATCCTTGATGCCCCTGGTTATCGTGCACCAGTTCAAAGATCTCCTTTGCTAACGTTTTGGGAATGCATAACCAGTGACTCCCGTCGTCCTGCATTGAGTATAGGAAGTCATCTTCCCCTAAGCTTTCAGTGTAGCATTTCTGACATAATTAGATATAAGTTTTAAATCTCCAAGTACTCGAGGAAGTCGTCAAAGAGCCAAAAAGACCACCCAAGAAGCCTCTCAAAAGACCACTCAAAAGACTACTGAAAAGACCTAAGGCGATATAAGCGCTGACGATTCTTATTATGCTTGAATCCTATACCTGAGCCTTAGCTTTAGATAAGTGTTCGCTAGTTTGGCAGTCCGTTTGCTAGTTTCGGAGAGGTATAAATACCCTGTCCCTTCATATATTTTACAATACAGCTCTCTCACTCCTTGTTCTCTCTCTGCATGCTCAACTGGAACAAACCGCACAGCCATTTCTTGGAATACGTCGCCCTGTTCTTGATGAATGGTCTCAAGATCCAAATGATTACGGTGAGAAGCACGCTCGGAAGGAAATCGTATTTATACCCTGAAATAGGATGTTGTCAAGCTCTCTCTGGACATACGCCACTGAGTTGCAATGACCCATCATAGCGACTTTGAGTACTTCGTGTCCTCTGTGTGAGATAACTCCTACGGGACCTCAAGATTTTCTGTCGCGCCTACATCGACGATATCGTCGTTGCGTCATACACACTACAAGACCACATTACCCATCTGAACCAACTCCCCACACGGCCGTTCACGACGGGTAAGAGGCCCTTTTTCAATTACCTGCTAGGTGTTTGGAAGTCACAACTGAATCTTATGGAAGTGAAGTGGAAGTCTTTCCGCATCACCTGCCTCCTTTCACCAACAGATACACCTATGAAGGGAAGGAACAACTCTATCAAATCCCAAAAATCGAATATGACCGCCCAGGCCCATCGCCCTATCCCCAATTTGATTCCTCTCTTTTGAAAAAGAGCTTTTACTCCCAGACCCAATCGCTGGTCTTCGTCTATTCTACAACGCGGCCCTATATACCCTAATTCTCAGAATGTCAACTCCCGAGCATTATCAAGTTGCCGGTGAATTGCACGGCGCTGTTACAACCTGCCCCTGGACTGACGAGTTACACACTAGGCCAAAAAGATCACTATATCTGAGCATTATGCTCAGATATTCCAGGCTCCGATATATATATAGTGCATGACGTGACAGGCGCAGTCTTAATTGCTTTACTACCTATGGGGCTGAACCAAAGGATTCAAGTATATGGAGGAGTGAACATCCCTGTCAGCAATGGTATTGCCAAGCAGCTAGATGGAGGCTGGCGCCCCATTCAGCACACTCGTGGTGTCCGAGCCTGAAACCAAATTGCGCAACGACGCAAGAATGTGGGTGGATCCTGTCAGAGGGCAGGTAGATATGGCCATCACACTGAAAGTCAGAAGCCTCAGCTAAAATTTGATAACTGGGAATGGGACTCGGGTGCCCAACGTCCCTATTTCACACAATCCTGCGTGATTGAAAGGTATGGGTGGTCGTAGGCCGGCTGTTGGATAACCCCGAAGCGCGCCGGATCCTCCGCGCGGGCAAAGAGCTGGAGATACAACAAGCAGATTACGACGCGAGCATGACGCTAATTCAAGGACGTCTTACGGAATATCCTCCAGATATCAATTTTGTTTCTTTCTTTCTTTCTTTCTTTTTTGACTTCGCATTATTGGTAGGAACCCAGATCTTGTTTGTCCCTCGAGTTCAGTATATTGAATACAGTACTCATTGTAGAAGACATGAATTATGACTATTCCCGATAGTTTTAACCAATGTAGAAACAAGTGTAAGAACCTTCTCGAGAGATGGGGTTTACTAATTCAATCTTTAACCTTGCAAATGCCGGTCTCAACAACGCTACAAGGAACAGAGAAACAGCCAGGAGTGAACTTGTTACAGAATGAAAGGATTGGATTTCACAATGCCAATCGGACAACATGATCAAGATACCGAGCGGCGTGATACACTGTGAAAAAGATCGGGGTGATAGCTGGAGGGATTACGGAATCTTCTAGTGATATCTCATTTTCAATATCTTTTGCTATTTATTACATTCAATACACCTCAAACGCTAAAGCTAAGACAAAGGTTTGAGTTACCCAGCTAGTAGATGACGTCGGGATGTTTGTCATTTTGCTTGCTATTTCTTTCGTCCTCAATGTTGTTTGGTTTTTGAATAAGATCTTTGTTGTACATTTGCGGTATCGTTTGATAGCTGGATTGTTATATGTAGACGCTGCTAAAAGGCATTGTTTAAGAGATATAACCTAATATGTCATTTCATTTTGCTGCTTTGTTTCTTCATAGCATGTACGATTAGGCAGACCTAGTTGTTCGTTGTCTTCCCCATACCTCGAAGCTACAGAGCATGAGGCCATTCAGCACCAAAACGCGAGCATAGAATTCTCACAAGTTTGAGATCTTTGTTTGTCATTCTTTAATGCAGAATATCTTTACCCATTTCTCCGTAAAGCCTGAGGAAAAATTCGCTTTTTTCTCAGATGGTCTATATAAACCTGCTCCCTTCTCCTCCATACCCCGCTATATCTACTACTCCAGAATTGGACAGTGCATATTTCTCCCATAGCCACACCAATAATCTTTGCCTCAAGGTTCTGGTCAGTTTTGACGTAAGCAAAATGGAAGGGTACTGCGTTCCCCAAACCCAGCTCCCTGAGCGCCTCTACAGGGTACAATACGACAAATCAACCACGAAAGACATGGAACCAGGCCTTGCTGCAACTGACATGCAGCATTTCACCGTGGTCCCAACCGAATTTGGAACTCTTGTCGAGCGCCATATCAACAATCTCAACGACCAAGGCAACAACATTTTCATCTCGACCTTCTCCAGCAAGGCCAAGGCCGATGACTGGATGTGTCGCAAATGGCGCTCGTATGGCAAGGGAGCTCAGATTCTGGAGATCGAAACCAAAAACCTTGGCCATGGATACGTGTACCGCGCTGGCGCAGTCGCTCACGCTTTGAAGTTGAACGTCTCATTTACAACTTATGATGACCTCTGCAGCGAGTACTTGATCTTCCATTTTGTTCCTGCTCGCGCTATCGTCGCTCGCCTGGCTACGATGATTGTCCTGAGTCTGGGGTCTGAACCAAGTACTCGCACGAGCAGTATCTGGTCTGATACAATAGGCACTTGGACGGGTATCACCTGCTCGGATCCGTCAAGCCCTCGGACAGGAAGCATCTGCTCGGATGCGTCAACCCCTCGGACGGGCAGTATCTACTCAGATGCAACAAGCACTCGGACGGGCAGCATGTGTTGGAACATGACAGCGATTTCCTCTTTGCCATCACGGCTCCGGCAGACTCCCTCTCTTGGTAGTTACTCAGACTCGGATTGTTCAAGTGATAGCTCTCCAACTAGTACACCAATCTCAAGACGGTCGCTACGTTGATCGGCTCCAAAGAATTCATAGTACTACTGAAGTATGGCGATAGAAAATTACTTCCGCAAGGTTATGTCTTTAGTCCTACGAGTTGATTTTCGGTGTTTCCTACGATCTGCTCTATGGTTCGTTTTTATTACTGTTGTTTCCTTTATCCTAGATAGACTGAATTCATAGATTGATACAACTTCAGCCGTCTCATCTATTTGACTGTTGCTAGCGCATCCTGTTCTTTAAAGTTTGGTGCTAAAATATCTAGGTGTATGGAGATCTGTATGTCGCTGGATTTCTTTATGCTACCCCTGGCCTCTGTCGCATCTGGCTCATATAAAGTAGTTTTACAATTGCAAAATTGTCGGGTCACTTAGCCTTTTTACTGGAGCCGCATTGGATAGAGAGAGTCTGTGAACCTGTGGGTTTGTTATTCTACATTTCCTATTTTGCTATAGATTAATTTTGGCAGAGATTGATTACCAGTCCCTTCCCACTCTTCAGTCCGAGATGTTTTATGTCTTCGAGGTTGGCGCTTTTATATTAGCTGTTGTGGTTCAATGAATCAATCAAAGTTCAATTAACCTCTTGCAGTATAACTAGTTGCGTATGACTATGCAGACGCTTCATCCAACTGAAGCAAGAACTCGAGAGTGGGATTTCTCCCGGAGCATACAGATGCTTGTAGTAAACAGTGCGGAATCAGCCTATTCCTGTAGCCTGGAAGCCCATACAAAAGAAATATATAATGACTGCCATGGAGTGCACGCTCTATATTCCATTTCTCACTTCTCACTCCCCCCTTCTATCCCCAGCAACCTCTCCCTGGCTCGGTTCCAGTTGTGTGACCATATATAGGACTGCTTTGTGGCCCTGTACGTTGCTCTCGTCAAGCTCCGACAGTTTGTATATATTGGTGTCTGTCGTACTCGTTGAGATAAGAATCGGTGAAATGGAGACTAAGTTGGAGATGTCTGTTCGATTTTATTTAGTCGTGTGTATCGCTGAACATGTTTTTAATAAGAGCCGCTGAGAACATAGAGTAATTAGCAGGCTCACCCGATGGTATATATGTTGGGGGCTGAGACTCTCGTTCGTAATAGACAACAGGTAGAAGCCTACCTACATGTATATATAGTGGGGGCTGACCAACGTGAGTTGAACCTATAACGTACTGATAAGCACAAGACTTTACCTAGTTTGTGTAAGGGCATAGGTAATGTCTGCCAAGAACTGAGGACGTTTTACTTTGCGCTTGTCAATATATATATGTGTCTATTGAGGAGGGACGCATGTGGATGGCTGATTCTTAGTTAAGTGCTTTTTGTGATGTTGTAATATAGGAATGGTAGACTTTATATGCTTTATCAAGACAACGATACATACACAAATATAGGGTATTTTACTAGATAATAAAATCTAACGTTGTTTAGGGCCGGGAACTGGCGTTTGACATATAACAAAGACCACATGCAAACATGGGAGATGAAGTGTGTTTTCTTGTAAAGATCATATTATGATGACATGTGCCTAGAGGCCTCTAGCGACTTAAATCATCTCTATAATTAATTGAAGGTCATCTGGGCTTACATGGGCTTATATGGGTGTGCCGATCATCTCACATGGGCTAACACGTGGAACTTTAAACTATGCGGAGTACCCCAGAGCTCCAACATTGTATAATTAATACTACATAGGTACATTTGGTATTGTTAATTTAAATAGATAGATATAATATTGATTTACTGGGGGATTTGTAGGACAAATTCTAAGTATTCAAGGAGAGGATTATTTAAAGCCGCATGCGGCGGTAGAGCTTTCAAATGTGCTTTGTCCCAATACGAGCCATATGTAGTTAATGACTTCTTAATTACTCGGTTAATCCTGTTCCTTTGATTATTCTGAACCAATCCAATTTGAGACTAGCGAAGCCAAGCCGTTGAAGGATACTGGAAATCTTATTGGTTCCCGTATTCTCTCATCTCCCTTCTCAAGCTCCTCACTTTTCTCTTCTTAACATCTATTTTGCTTCTCTACTGGATATTATCCAGTGTAGATACCGCGATCATGGCGGGCAACAGCACTAAAGTCAGTCCGCAGGGTGGCATCCTCGAAGGCGGCAACCCAACTCAGTATGACCCCAAGAACCCACTGGTCTTGTTTATTATCCAGGTAACTAGATCGCCACCTGGGCATCCACATCATAAATTTAACTAACAAACAGGCTGTCATAATCATTGTGCTATGTCGTCTACTTCACTGGCCTCTTTCGAAAATTCGTCAACCTCGAGTTATCGCAGAGGTGATCGGCGGAATTATTCTGGGCCCATCGGTGATGGGTCGCATCCCCGGATTTACTGACGCTATTTTCCCGCCCGCCAGTATTCCCAGTCTCAATGTAGTCGCCAATCTGGGCCTGGTACTTTTCCTATTCTTGGTCGGCCTCGAGACCGACCTCCGTTTCTTGATCAGTAATTGGCGGGTCGCTTTGAGTGTGTCCGCTGCGGGGATGATCTTACCATTCGGGTTGGGCTGTGCTATCTCATATGGCCTCTATCATGAGTTCCACGGTGACCCCGGGACCAAGCCCATTGCCTTTGGTACTTATCTACTGTTTATTGGTATTGCGATGGCAATCACGGCCTTTCCTGTGCTGTGTCGTATTCTCACTGAGCTGAAGCTGCTCTCAACCCGCGTCGGTGTTATCGTACTGTCCGCCGGTGTTGGCAATGACGTGGTGGGATGGATCCTGCTTGCGCTTTGCGTCGCTCTTGTCAACGCGGGCAGTGGTATCGCAGCTCTATATGTGCTGCTGGTCTGCGCCGCCTACATGCTCTTTTTAACTTTCGCTTTCCGCCCGGTGTTTCTGCGCTTCCTCGAGAAAACGGGCAGCCTGCAAAAAGGACCCAGTCAGTCGGTCGTGACTCTAACCCTCCTCATTGCGTTGGCCTCGGCCTTCTTCACACAGGTCATTGGTGTTCACGCCATTTTTGGAGGTTTCGTTATCGGATTGATTTGCCCACATGAAGGTGGATTTGCCATCAAGCTCACTGAGAAAATTGAGGATGTGGTCGCTGCTATTTTTCTGCCACTTTACTTCACCCTGTCTGGTCTGAGTACTAACCTTGGCCTGCTTGACTCTGGAATTGTCTGGGGTTATGTGGTGGGCGTTATTGCCATCGCGTTCATTGCCAAGGTCACCGGAGGCGCTGTTGCGTCGCGGCTTTGTGGTCTTTTATGGCGTGAAAGCTTTTCGATCGGTGTTTTGATGAGTTGCAAGGGTTTGGTAGAATTGATTGTATTGGTAAGTGCTGATCCTGGATGAAGTTGCCCGACCCAATGTAGGCTAATTCAATTTCCCCAGAACATTGGCCTCCAAGCCAAGATTTTGAGCACTCGCACCTTTACTATTTTTGTCGTTATGGCCTTGGTCACCACATTCCTTACCACACCGTTGACTACCATGCTGTACCCAGGGTGGTACCAGGTCAAGGTCGAGCGATGGAGACGCGGAGAAATCGACTGGGAAGGGAACCCTGTACAGCGCGATGACCGCAATGATAGCGTCGCCCTTGCCAAGAATCAGTTGAAGACTGTCCCAGTACGCAAGCTCCTCGTCTACCTTCGTCTCGACGGTCTCTCAGGTGTCTGCACCGTCGCAGCCCTCCTTAGCTCAAAGCGACGGACATCTGTATCATCACGCATCCACCCTGCAAAGATGCCAAAGCAAACCGAACAAACGATTGAAGATCCCATTACGTCAGAAGAGGAAGAAGACACCACCCTCAAGGTGCACGGTGTTAGGCTGATGGAATTGACTGATCGTGACTCCAGTGTCATGAAAGTTGCTGCTGCAGGTGAGCATGCGTTGTGGGATCCGGTGGTCAACACCTTCCGCGCGTTCGGAGACTGGCATGATCTCTCGCTCATGGCTGGTGTCTCTGTCATTCCCGAGCACTCTTACGCGGACACCGTTATCGGGATGGCGCAGCAGGACACTGCAGATATGCTCCTTCTCCCCTGGAGCGAGACTGGGACACTGGCCGACCACCATAACGGCCTGGAAATTGACGACGCAAATCGTTTCTCCAACGGCGCCTACACAAGCTTCATTTCTGATATCTTAGAGCGGGTCACAGGCCATGTCGGCATCCTAATAGAATACAGCGCAGCCTCGGCCTCATCAAAACGACCTGTTATCTCACGCACCGCCAGCGGTATGAGCCTGCAGGGCTCCATCTTCGCCCGTCAGGCAACTGGCAGCCGCTCCCACCATATTGTCCTTCCCTACTTTGGCGGCGATGACGACCGCTTTGCTCTTCGATTGGTCCTGCAGCTTGCTAAGAATGACCAGGTCACTGCAACTGTTATTCATATTGGCGGATGGAGCAGCGATAGCACCACAATAGGAGCAGAGACGTCTGCCTCGAGCTCGAATGCGGTTCCCGCGTCCAGTTCTCAATCTGACATGGTCTTCTTCGAGACACTCCGTGATTCAGTACCAGAGGAACTTCAAGAACGCGTCGTCTTCAACCAAGCAGCCGTTAACGATACTATCACCGACCCGGCCCAAATGGCTGTCCTTTCTGTCCGCGAAGAACTTAACCAGACATTCAACAAGGCGAACAACATTGTTATCATTGGTCGTCGTAGTATCCCTTCCACGACCGAGCTGGGTCTTTCGGAAGACGGTGTTGGACATGATACCCGTCGGGCTCTGGGAGCTGTCGGTACTGCGATGGTACGGCCCGAGAGCAAGATTTACGGTAGTGTGTTGGTGCTGCAGGCTGGTACCGACACTGGGTTGGCTGATTACTATCGCTGAATAATTTGACATCTGACTTGGAGCAATTCTTGAGGATTTCATTGCATTTATGGAAAGTTGTTTTGCTGGTATGAACTTTTTGAACATCCTTTATCACCTATGGAGATGTAGGAATTATCAACAAATGTAACAAGTAGAACAGTAGAACTTTGTCAAAATCAAACCAAGCCAGACGATGGCGGGGTATCATGGATCGCGCAGAACATTAGACGAAGTAGAAGCAGTAGATGAAGAAACGAAACCAATATCTTCCCGAAGCCACGGCGGACTGTTGGGTCGATGAACCTGCATCGGCGACTCTATATTCGGATTCCGATCCCCATCCGACGGAAGCGAGGTAACCTCATTAATACCACGCTCACTGGAATGCAAATCCTGATCATGATGACCACGCGCAACCGCAATCAATTTACCAAGAATAGCATACTCAAGCTTCAACTTGATACTGTACGCAAGAGGCTTGAACGTGACCTGGATAGCATATAAGCCAACATATTCAATGATGACGACAGCAATATCCAATAGCAGAATAACGATATTAATAACCAGCAACTGGTTCAGAATCCCATGCGAACGCCCTTCAGGTCTAAGCCGAAGCAATTTAACCGTTTCCCAGACATAGATACTGGAAATGATAAATTCCTGCACACAGAATCCCACCAGCTCGATACGCTCCAGGATATCGTATGCGCGGGGCCAGGGGCCCATCGGATGAGCAACGGTCCCATATATTACGACGCTGGTTGAGATATGTAAGACGAAAGCATCGATACAGATCATCCACAGCACACCGCGCAGCACTTTTCTATTCTGCAGTACCAGGTGTAGTCGTGACCACAGAACCATTGACTGGCCGGTGACCATGCCGTACCAGCTCGGCAGGAAGAGGGTTACGCATAGCCAGGGAGTGACGCCTGTTGAGAAGAAGAGGAGGATGAACCCGGTAGTGTATGGGATTATGCAGGCGGAGGAGATGAGTAGACTCCAGAAGTAGGTGCTGTTCCAGCGTCTAAAGGAGTGGAAGCAGAGGATGAGTAATTCGATTGCGTTGTAGAGGGCTACGGCGGAGAATCCGGCGAATATGCCAGCGCGGGTTAATTCGGATGTGCCGCCGTAGTTGTGGAGGAGGGAGGTTGAAATGATGCTAGGGTAATCGGAGGCCATTGGCGGGGGGACATTGCTGTGCTCTTGTGTGTGAATTTATGGGATAGATTTATAGGGGAATGAGAATGAAGGTTTGTAACGGCACTACCGAGTTTCCCAAGGTTTGTAGTGCGGGTTTGCCCTCTAGTTCAAGCGGAGGAATCATAGGAAGATAGTGGGAGTCACGAACCGAGGAAATGGTGTTATATATACTTGAATGACAGCTTCTCGGGATTGTGGAGTAATTTGGTGAAAGGAGACTGGATGTGGAGAGATTGGGGAAGTTGCCGAGCCATGGAAGTTAGACACCCGTTAGAAAGAACGGTAATTATATCGAAAAGGGATGAGCTACCATTTACCCTTTCGCACTATTGAACTGTGGAGGAAAATCTGTCGATCCCCCTTGATCTGAAGTTTGGGAAATATGCTATTCCTAGGATGGTGCATAGTCTATGCTTGATGTGTCGATGAAGGACGCCACGAGGAAGATCATAAGTCTGGAGTATTTTGAACTAAATGTTGAATTGAAGGTCTATGAAGTGAAAATCTTTGAGTTTAGAATACGAGGTTATTCACTTCCAGCGTGTGATTGGCTAGAGGCTCAACGCTAGATCTACCGTAGCGACTTGGCCAAGCTTACCTAGTGACAAGAAATAGGGGACTCGTACTCGGTACGGAGTATGGGGTTAGCACTCCGTAATATTCCAAAAGGCAGATCAACTTGAAGATGCAGGTCAAGATGCAGGTCCAGACGCAGGTCTAGACTATAAGAGTTCAGACCATCAGATCGCGTTCAGATCGACTCTGACGTCACCCGATCTGAGGTGGATCTCGATCTCGATCTTTGGCGACTTGAGATATTTTGCAGGGCTGTATCCCCCTTTCCCTGTAATCCCAGATGAAGAATCAGTTTCTTTGTTCTTTTCAATCAATCTCACAAGTGTTTCTATTTAGACAATCGCGAGTCCTCCTTCGCAATCTGTCAGCTATGCCAAAGAGAAAGGTCACCGAACCAACATCTGAACAGCCCAATGGCTCACACGCAAGTAAAAAGGGCTGCCCCGACTTGCACCAGCCGCACCCGAATGCGAAGCAAACTGAGGACTTCGGTATAGTCCTTCGCCAATTCTATCCGCCGGAGATGAGCAACGAGCGCTGCCAAGCATACACCAATGGCGAGCTGGAACGTCCCATTGAAGCGCTACAGAAGGCTTGCCGGGAAACCGCCGAAAAGCGCAAGTCAATTGACGTGGGTGATGCCGTGGTGCACTGGTTCAAGAGCGATCTCCGGCTTCATGACAACAGGGCACTATATGCAGCCTACCAATTCGCAAAAGAGAAGCAGGTCCCATTGATCGGTCTCTACATCGTGTCACCGGAAGATTGGACTGCCCATTTGACTAGTCCTGCTCGAGTGGACTTCACCCTGCGCAACTTGGGGCGACTGCAACAAGACCTAGCGGAGTTGGATATCCCTCTGCACATGGAAACGCAGGAGAAAAGGAAGGCGATCCCGAAACGGATCGTGGAATTGTGCCAAGAATGGGGTGCGAACAGCCTATATGCGAATATCGAGTATGAGGTAGACGAACTGCGCCGCGAAGCTAAGCTTGTTAGGCTCTGCGCAGAGAGCGATATCAATTTCACTCCCACTCATGATACCTGTGTGGTCACTCCGGGCACCCTGGCTAGCCAACAAGGGAAACAATATGCTGTTTATACTCCATGGTATCGCTCTTGGTTGGCATTTCTCAAAGAGAACCCTGAGTATCTCGAGGTCTCAGAGGAACCCGGGTCTAATCCAGGGAATGCGCGCCAACAACTGAAGGAATTGTTCGACTGCAAGGTGCCAGCCGCACCAAAAACACATACCTTGTCCGATGAAGACCAGAAACGCCTTGAGGGGCTTTACCCAGCCGGCGAGCATGAAGCTTTCCAGCGGCTGGAGAATTTTCTTGAGGAGAAAGGTAAACAGTATGAGGAGATGCGGAGCATGTTGCCTGGTGAGCACACTTCGGTGTTGAGTCCTTACTTTGCATGCGGAGCGCTCAGCGCAAGGACTGCTGTCGTGGCAGCGAAGACAGCCAACAAAGGCCATCTCGATCGATATGACCCCGGTTACATGACTTGGATCAGCGAGTTGGCTTGGCGTGACTTTTACAAGCATGTGTTGGTGAATTGGCCCTTCATCTGGTAGGTGTTTATCTTCCATGACAACGAGTTTCCCATTTTAATGCAAGTCTTCAAATAGCATGAACAAGTGCTTCAAGCCCGAACATACCAACATTGAATGGGAGTACGACAAGGAGAAATTTCAAGCATGGTGCGATGGCAAGACAGGCTTCCCGATCGTCGACGCAGCAATGCGGCAGCTACGTCACTGCGCGTGGATGCACAATCGCACGCGCATGATCGTCTCGTCGTTCCTTACCAAGGACTTGATGATTGATTGGCGCCGTGGCGAGCGCTACTTCATGGAGAACTTGATTGATGGCGATTTCGCATCCAACCATGGAGGATGGGGGTTTGGGTCCAGTACTGGTGTAGATCCGCAGCCATATTTCCGCATTTTCAACCCTCTCCGCCAGAGTGAGCAATTCGACCCGGCGGGGGATTACATCCGCCACTGGGTGCCGGAGCTACGCGATGTGTCAGGTAAAGCCACTCACGAGCCATATACGAGGGGAGCGGCGGCCATTGCGCAGAAGAATGGCTACCCTAAGCCCATAGTAGATCACGCCGAGAGTCGAAATCGGGCGTTGGAGCGTTTCAAGAGTGTAGTTCAGAAAGGGTGAATGTGGAAATGAAATGTAAATTAAGCGGCTTATGATGTGTTGATCAAAGAATAAAAAGAAGTTGGAGAAATTCCATGCCAAGTCCAATTGCGGGTGAGACATCTTTAGTGTCTTTTTTCCCCGCAACATTCTTTTCTCTTTAGCTTCTTTTTCTTATTTGATCTCACCAATGATGTCCCGCAATGGAGTCCCAGGGTGATCAGCCGTCTCCAGACCCAGACTCGCTGGAGGTTGAATTATCAAACGGCAAGCGACGATGGCGACGAAATAGAGTCGCATGTGACTCTTGCCACACTCGGCGTGTACGATGCGACCGGGCTTTTCCCTGCTCGAGATGTTTGCGCGGTGAAATAAGTTGCCAATTTACCCGCGAGCGCCGGAAGCGAGGACGAATTGCGAGATCAAAGCCGAATAATCCGAATGCGAATGGCGAGGACGAGACAGCCCAGGAACCCATCGATCGGAAGCCACCCGACGGGGAACACAGTCGGGGATCGCAGTCGCAGCAGGTGCTATCGCCAGTGGATAATAATTCCCCTGCGTCAACCTTCCAGCAGCGATCGCCAGAAACAAATGAGATCAGCGCCATCTCGGCGCCTAGTGTCGAAGGTCGTCGGTCTGCACCGGATCGTCCACAACCGCAGCGGGCAGGGCCTGCTGCAAATATAACGGAGGAATGGCTGTCAGCGGCACATCTGTCTCCAGACTCGTATGAACTGCTTGCAGGCACTGGCGGCAGCGAGCCGCCTTTGCCCCGGTTGATGGATATTTGGAACCCGGTTGATTTCGCTGGTCATCAACCGACACAGCGGGCACCTCCTATATCTTCCATGTCGGGGGTGAACCCCCCAAGACAGAGAAAACCGTCGGCTTCCACGCCATTGAAATACCCTGTGTTGGAACCTCTCATGCCTTATGTGGAATCAAGCCTCCCGCGTCGACTGGTGTGCGATCTGCTCGCACTCTACTTTACCAGTGCTTTTTCAACCCATATGCACCCTGTATGCCATCATATTCACTGTTATGTCCTGCGAAAGACTTCTTTTCTAAGTGTCGACCGTCCCAGGCCCACTAGTCCTGCCTTGCTGGCAAGTATGCTCTGGGTAGCTGCTGTGGACGATCGGGCCTTCTCTTTATCAATCTCACCATTACAACGGAGGAAGATATGCCAATTTCTCTGTGCTTTGATTATTCGTTTACTGCGGCCACTGATACATGTCTCGTTCAAAGACCAAGATTCATCACCCGCTGAAAACCCGACCGCACACGACTTTTCAGCAGGGGCTCACCACCCGTTCGAAGGAGTCGGCGATGACAAAGGACTGGTGGGCCCTGCTGGATCTTTAGACGATGTCATTACCTATATCCATGTGGCCTCGATTATCTCATCTAGTGAACAGAAGGCTGCAAGTATGAGATGGTGCGTTTGTATCCCTGTTCCTACCCCTGTCTACTCCACTAACTCTAGTCTAGGTGGCATGCAGCCTTTACATTAGCTCGAGAGCTTAAATTGAATCAAGAGATGGAAATCACTCCTAATATCGACAGCCTAACTGACGGCTCAAGCCCGTCATTCGGCTACGGTTTAGGTGGTTGGCCTGGTTCCCCGGGTGGGCTGGGTGTCGACTATTCCAATCCATCACGCCCAAGTCTGAATTGCGTGTGTGACAAGAATCATGATTCGCATAATGCACCCATTACAGAAGAGCATCGCGAAGAGCGTCGCAGAACCTGGTGGCTGCTATATATCATGGATCGCCATCTCGCATTATGTTACAACCGTCCGCTGGCCCTACTCGATGCCGAGAGTGAGGACCTGTTACTGCCACTGGATGAAAGCTCCTGGCAAGCAGGTATCATCCACAGCAATAGTCCTCGTCCAGATGGGCCTCAATGCCCTCGGTCGGGTGACCAAAACAAACGTCGCATTTTCCCCAATTTCATTTGCCACGACCACTCTATTCTTGGATTTTTCCTCCCACTGATGACGATCACTGGGGAACTGATCGATCTAAACCAGGCGCGAAACCACCCTACTCTTGGCGTTAGGCTTCAAGGAAAAGAGGCGTGGGAGGTTCACGTGTCAGAAGTGCTACGGCAGCTCGAGGTCTACAAAGCTAGTCTGACAACTTTCGCGGCAGCGACGGCGGCAGACCCGGCGGCCTCATCGACAAGTGCCTACACCAACAACCCAGAACCTGTCGATCCGCAATTGTCCCAGGCTTATTCATGGCATACTCAAACTGTCATTGCCTATTCCTCCTACCTAACCCACGTCCTTCATATCCTGCTCGTGGGAAAATGGGATCCTGTCTCACTGATCGAAGACAAAGATTTCTGGACATCTTCCCCGGCTTTTGCATCGACCATCTCGCACGCACTGGAAGCTGCTGATTCGGTGCAACAAATCCTCCGCTTCGATCCTGATATTAGTTTCATGCCCTACTTCTTCGGCATCCAACTTTTACAAGGCAGTTTCCTTCTCCTACTTATTGTAGAGCGCCTACAAAAGGAAGCGGGCGAGGGCATTCTCAATGCCTGCGAGACCATGATCCGAGCGACAGAATCATGTGTCGTCACCCTGAACACGGAGTACCAGCGCAGCTTCCGGCAAGTGATGCGCTCTGCTGTGGCGCAGGCTAGGGGTCGCCCGGTAAATCCGAGTGAAATTCGGCACCGCCGAAAAGCGGTTCTGGCCCTTTACCGGTGGACACGAAAGGGGACAGGCTTAGCCCTGTAAATACGGAGTACCCCACACAGATCTAACCAGGTCCTCGTTGTACCTGTCGATCCCTGCGCGTTACGGGGCTAACCCACGCATTCTCCTGCGGGTCCCCAGATTGTACCTGAGTGGGAACTGTTTTCCCCCACGATCTATTCATTGTGGTACTACCCACTGTGGTTGACTGAATATACCACTTTTGATCTTGCGAGTGTCTACTTGGCGTTTTCGGATGGCGTTTTCCTCGGCCAAAGCTTCTTTTTCTGTAAATACGGATAATTCTATATAATTTAACCTTGAAGCCATTCTCGGTCCATTCTTAACATTTGTGGCGTTCGAGAATAAATATCCTTCCAGCCCTATATCAACCTGATCAAATATTACGTAGACATGAAACAAGGTGTTCGTCACTCCCCGTGCTCTTTTAGGTGCTTCAGAATGCAACTCCTTTCTAATTTACCCGAAACGCCACGGAGTCTCGATTAAATTCTTAATGCCGAGCAACTGTAATTGACCGATTGGACAACGAGCTCTCCGGCATGTACGCCATTCCCTGCAAAATCCGGGGAAATCGGTTAATTAAATAATTCGATGGGATCATGAGGTCTTCGGGAAGTTCCTTTGTGGACATTTGCCGTTGGAGCTTTGCCCCAGGTTTCTCCGCAACTCCACAGCTCCTCATGCATTAATCTGGAGATATTTTTTTTTGGTTTAAATAAATCAAGCATGGCCCCCGGTTGTTGCGGGGAATTATTCTTTTCTTGCGCTGGTAGCAAGCTCCTACACAAACCATTTCAAGCTTCAAGCTTCACATACAATTTAAGCTTCTACATAGCTTCTATTTCAGCTTCAGCTTCCAGAGCTTCACTCCTAGAGGTGTCTCTTGCTTCATATCCTCGCGCTATCACTGTTTCTACTACAAATACAGCACATCCACCATGACCGAAGCTCAGTTCCCATACGAGATTCCCTCCTGGCCCATGGAGGGTCTCCTTGATTTGCAAATGGGCCACGACGAGCTCGGCGCAGACCCCTTCATCGCTAGCGACTTTAGTTTGACGATGCAAGAGGGACTGGACACCTGGAGTCCCGAACAGTTTAGCTGGGAAAATGAACACCCGGTTAAATCAAGCGCATCTCGACCATATCCGCAAATGTGGTATGATGCCGGTCTTGTGAGACAGGACCGTGCAGGGATGAAAACCACTAGGTAAATTACTCCTGCCTGTTTTTCCCCAGAACCCCGAGAAACAAGAAGGAAAACAAGACACAAAATATAGAACCATGTGACTGACATGTGGTAGCTTCTCCAACCAATCAACTCCTTTCCAACCCACCGAGAATCCCCCGATCCAACCCCACCCAGATCTCGAGACAACACAAAGAGCCCTTTTCATGACTCCCTCACCAAATCCCCTATTCCCCTTCCCCGGATCTCCAACCTCAGATCCCCACGGTTCCCCAGACCCAAGTCACGCTTCTTCACGGGGGTGGGATGGGGATGCCGATGAAGATTCTCACTACACGTTCGATTTCGGCCCGTCGCCATTGAATACCCACTATCAGGCTCCTGTTCAGACCCACACATTCAGCTCCCCGCACCAATACTCGGGGCAAGACGAAGAATGTCTCACACCACTCGAGATGCCAGATGGAACTACCCGCATGACTTCCAATTGGCTCCCCGTTGACCCTGACGCGGGGTTCGCGATTAGTTCCATGAGTATGAATGAGGATGTAGCTTCGTTTCAGAATGTGAAGCACGCTTTCTTTTCAACCCCTGCCTCTTGGTCATATGACCCTTGAGAGCAGGTAGTGTTCGCCGTTTGCGACAAATTGCTGAACTACCCGCCTCCACCCCCCCCCTTGGTGTGAGCTCCGCTACACCGAGAGCCATCATTGCGCAGTGGTGGTTATACAAAGGTCATTACGTCCGCCCAAGTTCCCCGCGTCCCTGTATTCTAGCTCGGTTCTCTTACCAGCTGTTGGGGACTGGTGAGCACCGGGCGCCGAATATAATTTCGAAAATAATTGAGATGGAAGAGCAGAATTGGATGGAATCTTACCGAGACTAGAGTCCACACAGGCCTAGATCCAATTCTACGCCTTGGACCTCGCAAGGAATGATGTCGTATCGACGGCACAACTGGATGTTCTGTTTCAGACATATGTCACCTATACAAAGTTGTTCAGGGACAATATTACATAATAACAGTAATACAAAATTGTTGATAAAAACATTGTTATGCTGCATATGGAGACAATCTGGTCGATATATATTATAGCTAAAAAGGATCCTTTTCAAATCTTTGAAGGTCGTTGGTTCGAAAAATAACCGACCAACGGCTGTTTTTTTGGATTCCATAAAACATCCCCCCAAATCAATACCCTAAACATACCAAATGACTCAATGAGCTCTCTTCATATCTTACTCCAATCAAACCAGACAGTAATATCCTCCAGCTCATCCCGATGCTCCATGTAATAAGCCTGTCCCAGCATGTGAAGCTTTCGCCTATCTGTCTTCTTGGACTTGGTGCGCGGGACTCTATCCATAAGGATATACAGCCCAGGGACATAGTACTTGGGTAAACTCTGGCGGACTGCCTCACTCAGCGATTGAGTGAGTGCATGCACAGCATACTTATCGCTGATCGGACGGAACCCCATCTCTTCAACCGGACCATTTTCCATGTTCATCGGGTTATTCGCCAAGTATATATAAACGGCAAGGATGGGATCGCTCTGGCCATCAATCACACCTAGGACATCCACAACGACGGCATCTCCGGTTTTCAAATTGCGTCGGAGAACATACTCCACCTGGCCTGCTTCAACTCGTGCACCGTCGAGCTTGAGCATGCTATCCTTTCGGCCCATCAATTCGATAGTCCCATCATGGTTGTATCGACCTAGATCACCGGAGCGATAGAAGCGGTGTTTCAGCCTGTCGGTGTGTAGCTGGTCCATCCACACTGGCGGTGAAGTGAGAAAGTTCTCCGATTTTCCAGAGACGTGGTCTAGATATCCCTTGGAGAGATGCGGACCCTCGATGAGAAGTTCTCCCACCGCTCCCACAGGCATTAGTTGATTGGGGTTATCGGGATTAACGATCCAGATTGCACCCGTAGCAGGACGACCGACCACTGACCCATGGCCCATCTGGAGATTGCGGTTATATGCACACAGGGAAGCTATCTCGCCCATGCCATATTGGTTGACCACCTGCACTCGGTTCAGCCATTTCATCAGTACCGCGTCTGAGACTGGCTCGCCGCCGATACACATCATTTTCAGTGTTGGGACGAGTTCTGGTTCCATATCGATAGCGACAGATGGTGTGACGAACATTATGTTCGCCTCCAGATCGTTCATATCGTTCATCAGCGCTTGCATTGTGAGTGATCTTGTTGGGACGCAGCAGCACCCGCCGGCGATGAGCGGTGTCAGGAAGTCGTTGTTGCTGATGTCGAAGGTGTACGAGTCGAACTGGAACATCCGGCTATGCGGCCCCATATCCATGACTCGGATGTAATCCGTCAACGCGGAAGCATAGCTACGGTGCTCTTGGATTATTCCCTTTGGTTTCCCCGTGCTTCCTGATGTGAAGAGTACAACGCAAGGGTCTGTGGGCTTGACGGTTGTACAAGGGACTGAATTCACCAATGGTAAACTGGAAACGGATTCCTCGCTGACCTCGAACAGAGTTTCAACACGATCAGAAAATCTCTCCTTGTACCCGACGGAAGTGAGCATGATCTTTATCTGGGTGCGTTCGAGCGAGGATTGCAGATATGGTGGCGGATCACTGCCATCAACGCAGATGTACGCACCACCGGCCATGAGGATAGCCAGTCTAGCTACAATCGCCCAGGTAGATTTGTAGAACCCACAAGCCACGTAGATATTTGGTCCTACGCCTTGTCCCACTAGCCAATGTGCTAATCGGGAAGTCAGATCCTCGAGTTGATAATATGTCAAATCCCCGTCCCAGGAGCGAACAGCTGGAGCATCGGGTGTTGTTTTTGCATGTTGTAAACAGAGGTCATGTAAGAGGGAATCATGGGCCGGCGCGATATTCCCAGTAAATTGGGTAATCTGGTCACGATCCTGCGCGGAGCATAAATCGAGGCTACCAATCGTTTGTGTGGGTGCACCATCGATTGAGGAGAGGGCCTGGTTGAAGCTGTTCAGGAGGCTTTTAGCCAATGGTAGTCCGATGCCAGTGTTCCCAATGTCCAGTCGGGCGTGTAACCTATCATCGGAGGTATGCCGTATTGAAAGGCGGAGGCCGGCGAATATCATGTTAACCTCCGTCGAGTCTTTCCCCGGTATGGCACAGCAGACTTGGCATTCGCCCACGCATGTATCCGCACCAGACAGGTTCCGGTGCGCCGGTTGTTTCTCGTAGATGATTGTCACGTCCAAAGCAGAATTCTTGTCGGTATTGTCGGTGTGGCCATTTTCTGTAGCTTTGACATGGGATAACGGGGCCAGAGCTTCAATGCTCTCGCGAAAGAGGTCTTTCACGGTGTCATGGGGATCTACGTGGATCTGGACGGTCGGCTTCGAGTAACCATGGGCTGTTTCGCCTATATAGCTTTGGCCCTTTGAATAGTCTTGACCAATGTATAGGGTTGTTGAGCAGGTAAATGCTTTGATCGTAGTGATCCAGGCCAGTTGGAGTAGTCGCTGGATATGGATATCCGGATGCTCTTCTTGGGCGACCGGGGGAGGGTTGAGAACATCGACGAGGTGTAGGAGCCGCCAAGGACGCTCCCTTAGGATGAAGTCGACTTCATTCGTGGAAGTGCCATTGACAGCTATCTTCAATGGAGCAATACTAGGCTTGGAAAAAACAACTGTAGGTTCTAATAGGACGGTCATGATGAAGATGATATAATTGAGAAACAACCTTGGAAATTAATACAGTGCAGTATTAGGGGCTTATGGTTTAAATGTACGGCAACTTGCACAGGGAACAGGCATGCAGAAGCTCGTGGTCTCGTTGTTGATATGCCGCTTGGCACCGATCCCTTTGTTGAACCTACTGGGCAATCAATAAAACCCTTGTTATTGACACCGCGGGTACCTTTTGGGGCAAATCATAGCCGTCGTTCGGCATGTTTAGAGCTTGTAAGATGTAAGCTGTCTCGCGCCATCACTTTGTGCTGGATCCCGGAGTGTTTGCTCTGGTGTGAGAGGTGACTGTATTTAGAAATAGGCTGCTTGAACGTCCGAGCTAGCAGGGAAAGCAATTGGTTCCGGGACCTTTGTGGTACTCTGCTAATAACAGTAGTCCAAACGAAGTAGACTTGAGAATAAAACGATGTGTTTCAAACCTACTTTGGTGAACCCGGTGTTGGATATCAGCATGGGCGTCAACCTAAATGGTCAACTCTAGAGTAGTAGTAGTACAAATAGTCAGCTATAAATGGAGTCAATGTAAGATATTATGTGAGAATGAAATGATTCATCATGCCTAGCCATGCTTTATGTACGAGGTTTAATAAATTGGTCAACTTAAATTATATACACGGAGCTCGCAATAACTTTATGTCAAATATTCTGCATGATCCCAGGATAAACGCCCTCAAGGATCGACGATAACTCAGCCCACAGTTTCTCACGGGCTTGGCGTCCCTCATCACTACGGACAAAGGGCGAAAGCGCAGTGTTTTCCACATGTCCATCTGTCATATATGCGCCGTGACTTTCGAGTCCAGCCGTAACGCCGGCCACTAGCGTTCGAGACCCAACCTCCGTGGATCGCGCCAATACCATCTGATACACCTTGAAGCCGAAGCCCATCTCCCGTCCTAACTGTGAGTGACAGAAACCAGGATTGATCATATTGATGATCACCTCGGATCCGCGCACCCGGCCCGCTAGTTCCTGCACGAGTAGCACCTCCAACAACTTCGATAATGGGTACCGGTCGGCCATCTTGGTATTTGTTTTATCACTGACGAACTTCATTGGCTCATCTTCCTTCCATTCTGGGAGGTTCACCCATGCATGTACCTCGCTTACAACAAAAGCAAGTCGCGGCGTACGCGATGGGTTCTTTTGTCGTGTAGCTTTCAGGGTTGGCAGGAGGAGCAGGCCGAGGAGTAGAGTGTTGATGACATTGACAGTGATACTTCGCTCATAGCCTTCGGAAATGCTAAACTCTTGTGTGGCGATAGCTGCGTTGAGGATAGCTGCGTCGAGCTTGGGGAGCTGTGAGATGCGCTTGCCAAATGCAAGGACCGAGGCGTGGGAAGCTAGATCGACCTCCCACACTTCACAGACGCCTGATCGGCCTGTAGATTTCTCAATGTCCTCTTTTGCTTCTTTACCTGCAGCCACATTTCGAACGCCAAGGATGACTCGTGCTGCACCTAGTCGCGTGATGTGACGTGCAGCTTCTAGCCCTAACCCAACATTCGCGCCGGTGACGAGTACCGTCTGATCCGCGAAGGATTGTGTCGGATATGTGGGAGTAACGAAAAATTGTGAATAAAGGAAACCCATGATTGATGTTTGAATAGATGAATATTCGAGGGACAAAAGGAACAAGCAACTATAAATAAAGAAGGGCAACGTAAGGCTTGGATGCCTGCGTGAAGATAAGCCGGAGATTATCGGGTTTAAGCTCATTCAACCACCACGGAATTATTTTTTAACACCGAACAAGTGTGAAGAATAGGGGACAATATACCAAGAATATTAATTCCGTAATAACCGTGCCAAGTTCGGCACTTCCATTATATACGTTTTCCATCTTCTATTACTGTCCAGACTCTAACGTCCATAGGTGACGTCATGGACTATTGAGGGTAAGAGGGCAGAACACTTTTCTCTACGAATCAAAATGTCCCTGCGGAGGAGGGACGTATGGATGCAAATATCCATTTGTATGTGAGGATTACAATAGACCCCATTGCTCTTACCCAGCGGAATTTGAAAGACTGCTGTCAAGGGGTTCCTTTTGAGAGAACTGGGGCAACATATAGATGACCGCAATCCAACAATTCCAAAGTCGAAATGTCCGTTTATCCCCATTGACAGAGCGAACTAATATAGCCCTCAATGCCACCAGCGAAGCCAAGCCCATAGTGATGGCAAACCAAAGGGATGAAACACCCCAGAACATCGGACACCATATTCCCCAACAAAGCATAGGTAAAGCAATACTCCAGCGCGCCGCAGTATCACCCCATACAAGAGGCACCGTTCGTCGACCTCTCTTAGCATCGCCAAGCTGATCGGACATGTCCTGCAACTGGACGGTGGAGAAAATAATTGCGATGATTACAAGAAGCCACCGCCCCAGCCATCCGTGGAGAGGAAGAAAAGAGCCGCCTAGGGCCACCTCCATCGCTCCCGATGCGAAACAAGTATATCCTAGTCCGTTAATAATATTGCGAATGACCGGGTTCTTGTCCGCGCCACCCCAGTGGTTGTACCACAGTCCTAACCATATCAAAGCCACAGAATGTCGGACGCCGCCAAATGCAAGACTATATATCGGGGCAAATATATATAGAATGATCATGATTCGTGTGCCCCCCTCATAAGAAACCTGACCGCAAGGAAAGGGCCGCCATGGCTTGTTTAGCCCGTCCTCTAAAATTGCTCTTTCACCCCGTTGGTTGTTAATGGCGAAAGGGATTAAGTTAATCACAACCCATAGTGATGCTGCGAGACCTCTTCCAATCGACTTTGGAGACTCGCTGATCGAGTGTGGAGGGGACAAGGCTCCTCGAACATGCGGGTCGTATTTTGATGCGGCCCAGGCATTTGTGATGCCGAAAATAGTACTTGGTGCCACAATGGTTTTGAAATCGCTGAAGATGAATAGCCAGATTGTGTATGAGTTGTACCATAGAGATGCCAGTGCGCATTGAGCAATTAAGACATATCGGCTCATGATTGATATGTGTGGATGGTCTAATCGAGATGGATCGTGCATAATATATCTTACACCTCTGGCGTGAGTGGGCGGTCATGCTAAACAGCGCGGAATCCAAGGGTTGAACAACGGTCAAATAAGACAAGAAAAGACTCTGAATGTGTCGGACGTGGCGGCAACTATATTTTAAATAGAAAACTATCCACTAGGATACCTAGATGTCCAATATTAGAAATAGGCCGACTACGCAGCGGTATAGTGGCCATACGACAAAACCACCCTTTCAGGCAATATTGATGTCTAAGTGCCTGATTAACCACGGAATATTGTAAATTGACAAGTACAAAAATGAAGCTTTTGGCGCCTTTCACACCTCAAAAAGAGGAGATACATAGGTATAGTGCCAAAAGCCTTATTTGGAAGTTGATAAACCACCTCAAAAAATATGGATTTATCTTATACCAAAAGCTTCATTTCTTACTTACAGGGTTAGGTGACAGAACAAGGTTGGCTACCTTGTTTATTAAGGCCTCTGTAATAATAATTGCAGGAAATAATCAGGCATCTAGACATCAATATTAGCTGAAAACGGGGTTTTCTCGCATGGCCACTATACCGCTGCGTAGCGGAATTTAGTCATATCCTCCGATGGAGGGCTGCTAATGACGAGTGTTGTCCAACATCGTCTCTGAGTCTATCTTCCACTGTGACGCTGATACAAAGAACCATAATCCCAGCCACTGTAGGACTAGTTCCACTTTCAGGGTCAGAATAGCCATCAGTTCGATCATCATAATGCTAGCTCCAGGGGCAATTGCAATCATTGTAGGGCTACTAGTCCACCAACTTGTCTTTATCCACGGAGAATGGCATCTGAAAGGACCAACTGTTGTTGTTGTTCACCTTCTTTTTGGCACCCTATTATGCGCTAACCATTTTCTTGGTTATGGAGCCATCCAAGCCAGCTTAACCGAGACGATATACCTGGCGACATGTTATCTGTCCTCACTATTCACAAGCATCGTGGTATACCGACTTATATTCCATCGGTTGAAACACTTCCCCGGCCCAAAATTAGCGGCAATGAGCAAATTGTGGCATGTGTGGAAGTGCAGGGACTCTCGTGGCCATCTCGTCTTACAGGACTGGCACGAAAAATATGGGGAATTTGTGCGAACCGGTAAGAAATATCTCAAGCCAAGCTGGAGTGCATGATACCATTGGAATTGAATCTTCAGGTCCCGCTGAAATTACCATATTTCATCCCGCGGCCTACGAGGCCATGGATGGTCATGACAATCGAAACACACGCTCTGATTGGTACGACCTTCTCTATCCTCGCATATCCTCAATCTTTACTCGCGACCGACACCTGCACCATGAACGGCGCAAGATGTGGGAGCAAGCGTTGAGCAAAAAGGGTTTGGTGGACCAATGCCCTACGATATATAGAACACTGACATGGTCAATTCAGCATTGATCCAGTATCATCGGCGGGTGTTGAAAAAGGTACGAACACTGGAAAGCCGCGTTGCTTCTCAACAATCGCGTGCTGTTCTCATAAATGACCTGATGTATTTCTTTGCCTTCGACTCTATGGGTGATTTTGCCTTTAGCGAGGATTTTGGCATGATGAGGAGCAACAGGTGGCATTCGTCGATAGCCATGCTGCGTTCGGCGCTCACGATGCTGGGTCCTTTCAGTCCTGCGATATGGATCCCGAGACTGGGATTCGCATTTATTCCTACCCTTTGGAAGGTCCGACACTGGTTTCACATGCTTGAATTTTGTGATCAATGCATGGCTCGACGGATGAAGGTACTAAACAGCATATTGCAATTGTCCTTCTAGCTAACATGGAGATAGAAAACACTTCCAGATCGCGATATTGCATCTTGGTTCATTGAGGACCATGTCAAACATGGATCTGATCCCACGCGAGCGAGATGGTTGAGCGGTGATACTGCAACACTAGTTGTAGCTGGAAGGTGAGTAAGGCTGGAGATCATGAGACAACTGACTAATAATTGTAGTGATACCACTGCTCCAAGCCTAACCCTTCTCTTCTATTTCCTTGCTCGGTTTCCTACCCATACTGAGAAGATATATAAAGAGATCCGCGACATTGATAGGGAAAATCCAGCTGCCTTGGCCACATTGCCACATCTGACAGGAACTATAAATGAAGCAATGCGACTGCTCCCAGCAGTGCTAACCTTTAGCTCTCGAGTAACGCCACCAGAAGGGCTGACGATAGACGGGACGTTTATCCCGGGAAATACCAAAATATGTGCGCCACGTTATACACTTGGTCGACGTGAGAAACCCTTATGCTATTTTCGGTCAGAAATACTGAAACAAACTTTAAGTTGAGACGGCATATGTCAATCCCCATGAGTTCATTCCTGAGAGGTGGTACAGCAAACCGGAGCTGATCAAGGATAAAAGGGCATTTGCTCCTTTTGGTGTCGGTAAGAGACAACCCTACCATTGACCCGGGTGGTCAGATCTCCCATGTGGCCACTCGGGTTGCACGAGGAGTAATAGTATCTTCGTATGCTGAGTCTTTTGTTCATACAGGGCGTACAAGCTGTGTCGGCCGTCATCTAGCTCTCGCACAAATCCGCCTAGTAACTGCTGCCTTGGTATTCCATTATCGGATCAAATTTGCACCAGGTGAAAATAACGGGGAGGCCGTAGAACGCGACATGAAGGACCAGTTGACAGCTCAGCCTGGTGCTTGTCGGCTTGTGTTCCAAAGTCGGGGATAGGCTAGGTGAAACAAGACGGGCCGAGAATGGATATAATATGAGAAATAATTTTCATTGGTTCTTATTGACTTGTTTCAAGTTCCTTGTGAGAAGTTTGAGGTAGATACCACCTGCCGATAACATCTGTTTGCTGTTCTTACTCGGGCCGGAATCCCCAGGCAACGTGGATGTCATACGTGACATAACAACCAGATTGAATATCTGCATAAGCCTTCTGCTCCAGATCATCAATCTGGTGCATAGTCAGTGCTCCCTGCGTCCCTCTAGCAGAATGAAGACGTGCCCATGCAAACATAGCCCTCATCCCATTTGCAGTCAAGCGTGCTCGCGTATCATACACCCGACCTGCGGAAACAGCTTCAGTGTGGACATCTAGAAGACCCGCATTGCGCATCTCAATCGCCAGTCGATTCCAGCCATAGTCGAAGCGGGGTTTCATGGCAGTCATGTACATCACTCCCATGGTACTGGCAGCGTCAGTCGTAGATTCAGGTCGACCGGGGAGATGGCGAACGTTAGTAAAGTCGCACTCTTCCCACTGCATAGCACCCCCGGGCTTTAGGAGCCTAGAAAGATTTCGAATAGTTCTGCCCCATTCGGACGCTGTCAGGCCAGCAGCAATAAGCCGAACGTGCACGATATCATATTGTCCGTACAGGCTGACAGGAACATCCCTGCGGGCGTCGAGAAGGTACAGATTGACGTTTTTTGGAAGTGTTCTGGAGGGTGGATAGAGAGAAGTTGAGATGTCATAGCCGTGTAGGATTGCATCGGGCCAGTCATGGGCCAGGTCGCGCAGGAAGGCTGCAGTGCCCGTGGCAATGTCGGCAACGCGCGCGTGGGGATGCATTTTGGCTCGAACGGACGGGTGCAGCAGATAGCCGATGTTTCTGTGTCAGCAGGAGTCAGTATGGTTTGCTTGTGGACTGCATTGCCACACAGGGCTTGGCGCGTTCTCTTACTCGGTGAGAAGATCAAATTGCTCGTCGAGTCTAGGAGCCGCTGATGTTAGCGTCTGGTGTTTTCATTGGCTGCTCGCGGGTTCTTACCTTTGGGCTTCGGTGGAATCTCGCTGCATATTCTCCGCGTATGTATCCCTGAAAAGAGGCATTTTGAATGAGGTACTTTTTGTCGAACTGGAGAAGGTTGACGTTGACGTCTCAGATTGTACAGATAGAGAGGGATGCAGGAGGCTGCAGAGAGTTGAAATGAGTACAGATTTCAGTGCTGCAAATGATAGGATCACTGTAATCTCTAACACAGCCTTGGACGTCTGACCTTCACTGTAGCGTCTCACTCGGGTACCTCAGCTGAAATTCTGCTCATCCGCAAATTGGAGGAAATTGTGGTGAAGGTTTTGACGTTGTACGAAATGAAGACTGCAGAGTTCATGGGCACCTTCCCTATCAAACACTATGTTGTCCTCTGAATTGAGCAACCATAGCAGATTAGTTGAAATCAAAGCCTTTCTTGGGTTTGCAAAATGCCAATCTGCTTCTTGAACATTTCTACTGTCAAGCTACATATATCCCGTCGAACAACTTTCCTTTATACTGTCAGACCCCGTCATCGCTGATTACCGCCTCAAATATGGTCCACTTGAATCATCGGTCTCCAGTCCTGATTGTGTGGAGTCTAATATTTTTCTTTATTGCTGCAGTGGCTGTTGCGCTTCGAGTTGCATCAACACATATACGGCGTCGGGGTTTAAAAAGTCATGATTACCTTGTTTTCTTCTCATTGGTGGGTACTGACTGGGCATCGAGCTATCCAGGTGGCTGATGATAAAGCTAGGTCCTATTGACCGGCTATGTGGCAGACATGCTAGTTGGTAAGTTGACTCCATTGACTCCGGCGGAAGCAGAGCTAATTCACATCAGGAGCTACCACAGCTGGCTATGGTGGACACACAGCGACAATGGCAGTGCGGAACCCGGGGGAGTTGGTTAGCGCATTGAAGGTACTTGGTCGACCTCCATCGACGTTATGCCAGGCATTAACCCACTTAGATATTCTGGGCATCAGAATGGATGTGGGCAACCTCAACAGTCTGTTTCAGACTCGCCATAATCCTGTTATATATTGAGATCTTCCCAGGAAATCAGACTTTCTTTTGGTGTGCAAGTGGAGTAGGATGCCTTGTCTTCCTATATTGGGTCTCCGCAATCTTGACAATCGCCTTGCTCTGTCGTCCAGTCGCCTACAACTGGGATCGCACTATTCTAGGGAGCTGCGGTGATGTCCTAAAGATACAGTATGCATCTGCAGGGTTCAACATGGGGATTGATTTGGGAGTGGTTTTACTACCGCTCCCTATTGTCTGGCGGCTGCAAATGTCGAGTCGCAAGAAGACTGGGGTCACTGCGTCATTTGCGATAGGCATCCTGTAAGACCCACGCGCTCAAATCCCGTTTCAGATTCAGTTGCTGACGGCGGGTAGAACGGCTGGTATCAATCTGGGCCGCATTATTCAGACCAAGTTGTGTCCAGCTGACGATCTCATCTACTGCCTCAGAGACTCTTCTATTTTTATCATGGCAGAAATGACGGCAGGAATTTTGGTTGCGTGTGTTCCAACATTTGGGCCCCTATTGTTTCGCAGGCGAAACGTGCGTTCAGTGCGACCACACGATCTGCCCACAATTGGATCACCTCGAGTCCGCCGTCCTGCGAAATTCGATTCTCTCCTTTCCACATTCGACCGTAGTCACCACGATTGCGAAGAGCAAGCCCAAACAAAGGAATCGGAGCCTAGTGCGCCCACATCGCATGTCGGGGCTGGGGCTGAGAATGAAACTCCAGAGACCGGTATTATGGTGACGCGCGACCTCGATGTTCATAGTCTGAATGTGCTCCCTCGAGTGTCTGAGAATTCTACTGTTTGAAGAGTAGAGATTCTCTCAGAGATCAACAATCACTGACATGCCATTGCCCGGGAGATCTGCATAGCTCCACAGGAGACTATGAACTCTCACCGGGCTAGCCCTGGAGGACGCGGATGCTTACGCTCCGTGCTGCATGTCAGATTTGTACCACCTTGAGTCGTTTGTATTTAGGAAGATACTTCAAAGAGATAAAACTTCTGTTTTTGTCAGATATTACTGTCAGAATAATTTGAAATAAAAAAAATTATCAGGCAAATATAAGGCCAGAACCACGTGCGGGGAACCTTACCTTTTATCTTTTGCCTCAATTCTTTTCTCTTTCCCAATTAATCATGACTTCTTTTACTGTTGTGATATGCCATGGCTCTTACCATACTCCTGCCCCATATCAAGGTCTTGTTGATGCTTTGACTACAAAGGGCATTGAAACATATTGTCCACAACGGCACACTTGTGATCTCAGTCAGCTCAATGTCGGGAACCCTAGCAACCCTGATTTTGATCGCAAGGCTCCCCCGGGAGGATATCCACTTCCTGCAGATGATGCGACAGAGATTGGGGTGCTACTTGACAAGTTGATTGCACAAGGAAAGTCGGTACTACTCGCAGGACACTCTTCCGGTGGTTGGGTCGCGGCTGAGGCTGCACAACCCTCTCGGCAAGCTCCTATTCGTGCAAGGGAAGGAAAGGCTGGCGGTGTCATAGGGATTTTCTTTATTGGAGCATTCATTGTTCCTCAAGGCCAATCCGTGCATTCATTCTTCCAGCCTGCAGACGGCAAAGTTGTCGTGCCTCCATTTATGCGATTCCACGTGGGTTCACCTGCAAATGAACCTCCTTTAATCGGTACTAACCATTAATGACAGAAGCACGGCATTAGTGGCCTCGGAACCATGGTCGAACCTGAAAGATACCTGTTCAATGATCTTGATGCAGCGACTGCGAAGAAGTGGGCATCCACATTGACAGCAGCTCCTGTTATGAACAGTCCTCTTACGCACAATCCTTATGATGTGCTGCCGTGTGCCTATCTTGTGCTGGAACAGGACCGCACATTGCCTAAAGAGTATCAAGAGAAGATGGCGGCGAGCCAAAGAAAGCCATTCACAATCTACCGTGCGCCCTGCGGTCACTCGCCGCACCTTAGTTGGACAAATGACCTTGTTGCAAAGCTGGAGGAATTTGGAAAACAGGTCCTAGCTGAAGGCAAAGCAGACTAAGTGTTTAGAAATAAATCTGGCTGGGAAATATATAGCAAATGAGTTACACTCGAACAATCGCAACGTTTGACGAATGGGAGAGGTTTGTGCAACGCGCCTTCCATTCGAGATCAAATACCCTCCCTTTCCACTTTTTCATTTCTTCGTCTGTCCAGTCCCTTTCGACATTTTCAACCCCTTTCAGCCATTTCTTATCTCTGATTCTATTTAACCATGGATACCCCTCGCTATGTATTCGGTGCCCAAGGATTTGGTGGGGCTTGGACAGCCGACAATGTCGACCACCTGATGAAAAGTCTCACAGAGGCTGGAATCCGTCAGTTTGACACCGCTGCCCTGTATCCTGCTACAAGTCCAGGTTCATCTGAGGAGCTGCTTGGCAAAAAGAAGCCAGATGATGCACTCATCGATACGAAGGTTCTCTTTATTGGCGATGACTCTTTGTCCTTCAAAAATATGGGAACCTCTATCAAGGCCAGCTTGGAGCGGCTGCAGGTCAAGAAGGTGAGTGAACCCCATACACTACCTATTCAAAATGCTAAAGCAGCTAATTGATATAGATCCACACCCTTTACGCTCATGCCCCGGACCGCAAAACCCCGATTCCTCTGCAGGCTGCACACTTCGACCACTACTATCGTGAGGGGTACTTTGAAAGGTTGGGTCTCTCCAACTACAGTCCATCTGCGATCCGCGCCTGGATGGAAATCGCAGTGGAGGAAAACCTGATTATGCCTTCTGTCTATCAAGGCCAGTATAACGTCTTCTGTCGAGGCTACGAAGATGAACTCTTTCCCGTACTTCGCGAGTTCGGTATTGACTTCGAGGCAACCTCGCCGCTAGCGGGTGGGTTCCTGACTGGAAAGCTTTCCTATTCTCCATCACCTGAGCAGTTGGAGGGTACCCGTTTCGAGGTCGGGGAGGGTAACATGCTCGGTGCTGTTTACCGCATGTGGTATGATCAGCCCCTCTATCATCAGGCAATGCGATCTTTGGACAATATTGGTAAACGGCTGGGGTCTACGGGGGCTCAATGCGCCCTACGCTGGTTGCTCTTCCATTCCAATCTCAAGGATCCAGATCGAATTGTGATCGGACCTAGCACTTTGAAGCAGCTCCAGGACTATGTCGACGCCCGCAAGGCTGGACCACTTCCAGTTGACGCAGCAGCCGAAATCAGTGCACTTTGGCCGCCCTTGAAGAAACTTGCGGCGACGATTATTGAGAAGGGATGGTGGTCTCTGTGATTTTATGTTCGATTGACAAGATATCAGGACCAAATTGCTCATTAAAAGAGACTCCAGTGGATGGCAGGTTATTCATACGCGGTCACATCCATGGATGGACCACAAGTATTCGAACAGTTAACCACATATGCGCAATGGTATCTCCAAGTTTATCATTTATAATTCCTCTGTAGTATCATCCACTCCGATAACTTTGCGACTTACACAATCGCCCATTCTCAGCCGGTGTCCAAGACTCACTACCCACACCCTTAAAAGAGTAGAACCTGTTGTCCGGATCATACCTTCTCTTTATTTCAAGCAAACTGTCATAGTTATCCCCATAAAACGCCTGTTGCCAATCTTTTTGATTTGGATCGGCTTCATTCAAATATGCGCCACTTCCGGGTGTTAATTCTTCTAGCGGAGGCATAATAATGTCCGTAATAACAGCCTGTCGAGCGACATTGCTGTCCCAGTCAGCATAGTCAAACGCACTGAACTAAGGTTAATAAAAGATTGACAAATCTGAGAAGTAAACACATACCCTCCGATTACAACATCCATCAGCGCATGTCGCCAGGCTGGGTTAACACTGTTGTCGGGATATGAAACTCGAGACGAGTTAACCATAATTCCTGAAATGAGAAATCCGGCATTTCTTTCGACAATATTACGGAATTCGGTCTTTAGACTAGCCAGGCTTTGCTCGACTACAGACCTTGGAATCAGGCGACCACCAAGAAGTTGATCTGTTATGTTGTTTGGTGGACTCATCGTCTGAAATGCGTTGTAATATGTAGGGAAATCATTTACATAAAATCCTATCCAGCCTCTGTCAGCGCTCATTCCAACACTTCGTGATCATTCACTTACTGTGCTGTATGTTGTTCCGTTCCAGAAATGTAATCAAAGGATTGAATAGAGAATTGAAAAGTGTCGCCGTGCCACCGGGAATGGTAGTAGGCGTCGTCGCCAGTGTAGTGTTAGTTAACCACCAAACACTCGCACCCCCAGCGTCCCCGATTGACGGGAGAATGGATATAAACATCTCGACCGCTTCAAAGACTGTATCACGCGATACACCTGTATCTGAGAATGAAAGGTTTCCCGACACCGTCGGCAGTTCTGGATAAGCCTTGCTTGTCATCGACACAACAACACCGTAAGTCCCTCCACCTCCGCCAGACAGCGCCCAATACAGATCTGGATAGTCCGATGGTGACGCAATTACCAAATCCCCATTCGCGAGAACAACCTCCCATTCCAGAACCTGATCAGCAGCGAGTCCAACATAAGACGCTAGTTGGCTATGTCCGCCGCCTTGAGAATATCCCCCAGCCAGGCTGATCGTTGTACAGCTCCCTCCCACGATAACAAGTCCAGCCTTATAAGCCGCATCGCTACCTTCAAATGATTGAACCCCAGCTCCGACTTTTATCGCCTTGCCGGCATATTCTGAGGAGTCGTAGTCAACGATCGAGATATCTTTCATGTAATGCAGCCAGATCGCTAGCCCTCCCGCCCCAGTGGACTTCCCAAGTAGGTCGTGTCCAGTATTGCGAATGACAAGGCGGATGTTATGACGAGCTGCGAAATGAATTGTTTTCTGCACGTGTGCGGCGTCTGTCGCGTTGACGGCGTACTGGACGTAGTTACCGATCGTGCAAGGCGAGGTCTTTGACGAGAAGGGATTGCAGCTTAGATTTGTGAAGATCGGGGCCATTACTGATGATGGGCTTTCATAGTGCGTTGCTGCGAAACCCCAATTGGACTGAAGTTGTGCGCATTGTGATTGTTCGTATAGGGTGAATGAGTCGATGTGACAGACACTGGCGATTGGGATTGTCGCGATTAACCTGCCATCTACTGTGTTGTTGAATCGAGCCCATATATGGTCTTCAGGCCAGCAGGGGTCTTGTGGCATGCAATGACAGGCTAGTGGGGTTGTGCCATTCGCGATTGAACGACCACAAACCATAATTGCGGTGGAAAGGGCGAGGATGTAGCGCTGCCATGCTAGGTAGTCGTTGGCCACCATGATTCTTGGAAATTGGGTCACTTATTTGTAAGATCAGGGAGATTGAAACTTATATCGGAGGCGTGGCCCAAGGCATATCACCTTCGAATTCGAACTCAGCTTTGCATTCGAAAACAGCGCCCAACTGATTGTATATGAGACCTGATATATGCCGAAATATCACATCACTTCGGCCCCTGCATAATTATGTCGTGACAATTCTGAGTGGTAGGCTCGGTGGGAGCTGCACTTGGAACTCGGAGGAATACCCTTGGCCGCTCATCCGTAGGTGAGAGAGGCTCGAACTAAACTTAGACTGCCCATAGTTGGTGTAACTAGGCACAGACACGTTGTAATGCCAGAAATGAGTAGAGGCGATTGCTTTTTTTAGAATGAAACATGAGTTATCGTGCTTACTCTGTAGACTTGCTTACAATTTATTGCGACTTTGACCAAGCCCTTCAAGCGAGAGGAGTACTGTCGGTCTCTTTAGGAATTTCTGTATTAACTGAGACAACTTATGGCTTTCAGCTTCTGTTTGTCTGTTTGCTTTGTTGCTATTTCAAGTGTTTGCTTCCATTTATTTTATATAGAAACTCCCCACAAATACAAGTTTCAACCCTTTTTCCTTCATTGAAGCATACCCCAGTTCTATCCCCACCCTTTGGCCACGAATCTATAACCATCTATAACATGGCCTTGTATAGCGTGTCATATATTCCATTTGAACGTGGACTCGACATATTATATATACAGCGCCAGTGAAGAGAGAGCTGAATGAGGTGTGTGAGATGTTCCTTTGTCAACTTGCAAAGACTGCATGCGGACATTTTGGGTGAATTCGTGAGCTCTATAGACGTTTATTCAAAAAGTATATAAGATACAAGGCACGGTATATGGGTGTTTGCTTTGAGAGTACCAGGCGATGAACCCCTGGTAGGGGTTGTACTATTAGCGGACCATGACCTGCATTCTTTCCCCTTTCCTTTCTTCTACCTAGCAGGCTGCTGGACCAGAAATGGCACGGATTCATCGACATCGTATGGCCAAGTTGGATTGAATATTTCCTCTCACTAGTACTTGAAAGCGCTAACCACTCATTCAATAGGAGGTGCCAGTCAAAGGTGCCGTGAAAATTTCTTCCGTCAAACCGATAAATAACCTCCCACTCCACCCTAAATACAAGGATATTGAGTGAGTTCCCGACCATCAAGGTATCACCAATGGTGCCTAGCGTGTATCCAAGGCATAAGATAACCTGGTACATGGGTTGTCTTCAAGTTTTGGTATGATATCGTTTAGGCTGCTGAGGAAGCAGCCTGAGAACCCTGTCCACCACTGAGGATGTGAACGGGCTATGGGAAATAGCCTTCGGAGCTCCTAAGAAAGTAAGAAACTGCCCAGTTTTGCTGCCTCCTCTTTATTATGAGAAGCAGTCTACTCACGGGATTGCAGGACGCTCTTGTCTTGGGCCATGACATTTCGATTCACCAACCTAGGTGGTAATGGTGTGATCCTCGGCCAGGTCGCTTCGGAGGGTGATGAGGTGGTGTTTTGAGACTCTTTATGTTCACCCGGAGGAACTTTCACCACCTGCAGTTCCACAGATCGGACGTCCAGCTGCCCCATACCCAACGAATCCAACACTTGGTAACTCCACGTTGAAAAGTAGTATTTGAAAGATTATATTCACTCGGCCCTGTCTCGCTCGGCTGTTTCCCATATTGAATGTTTCATGGATGACGCCGTCAAACGAGGATTCACCGTTAACGTCATATGAAGATCCCAATTCGAGCCCGGGACATTGTGGGGTCTAATTCGAAACTATGCCAATCTGTCATCGCCTCTCCTGTTGATCCATGCACACAGACATCGATCAAATGATGGAGAAACAATACTCCAATAATCCTAACGGCATCCACAAATTATTTGAAGGGATCTAATTGCATAGCATTAAGGAAGGAAACATACGGCAGGGCGAGACAGGCCACGGCCTGTGTTCCGCGGCGAGGTAGTGAATTTTACCTGATAGGCGCATTTCAGCAACAAGATGCCTAATCACATTGCTGTTTTCGCCGCTAGCAAGTCCGTCACCAATGGTGACAAATTACCAAATAACCTTGAATAGCTAATGGTAAGCATTGCATTAAAGCCGCCACAAAGTCAGCCGGTGTCTGCCACTTCTTGGCAACATGGCTGTTCTCGCGTACGGCATGCTGAAGCAAGAAGGAACCTTGTGTTGTACGGTGATCCAGTTTTCTGTCCGGGGCACCTTTAACGACCGTCATCAGCTGCAAGCTCGGATGTCCGTTATCGACAATGGGCTTTGCATTAACAAAGGGCTAGATGCTATCCGACAGAGTGAAGGGTTGGCAGCGGCAAGCAGTTCCTGAAGTTTACGACATGGGCCAAAGAGAAGTTGCACGGTGGAGATTGCCAACTTCATTTAGACTTGGCCTTCTTACGCTCGTACTCGATGGAGACCTTTAGCGATGGGTCGACATGAGGTTTGCCGATGGGGTTTGTTCCGACTGCCGAAAAGGCGATAGAGGTCAGGCTGTGGAGCTATTTAGTGCGCTAAATAACATGCAGCCGGACGAGAAACCTCTCATGTTGCTGGATCTCCCACAGGAACCGAGACATCGATCTGTGGCCAACAGTATCCCTACCAAGGTCACATTGTACACTTCCTGAGAACTATTGGCCGTGTGTACAATATACTCAGCAAGCATCAACGGTCACCACCAGGGTCAGATCTGTCAAGGAACATCACCTTTATCAAAGTTCACAGAGATTCCAGTGCCAGAAAACGAACTCGTCATGACTGATGATGAGTTTATCCGTAACTTAGAGGGTTTAAAAGTCATTTTATCCTCGTGAATCGTTTATTTTAGTAGAACTTCGAGATAGAAACTTCTTGCCAGTTGACTCAACCAATATCCTCGGCAACTCGCCTTCCGTTCGACCTCCCCGCGTTCCGGGAGATCATCCCCTATTCCTCCCCCACAAAACACTACATATTCGATTCGACCAGCGTAAGCTGTCACGATCATACCATGTCTACACCTACTAAACCGGGGACTGAGCCACAAAAGCTGACGGTACTTCTTCATGACTGCATCAATTACCTACCACAACTAACTTAGCCCAGTTCCATACGCCCCAGTGGGTATCCCTCGTGGCAGGAGGAATTGCCGGTGGAGTGGAAGCAGCCATAACAGTCAGTGTCTTCACTGCACATAACCGGCCAGTAACTAACTACCGCAGTATCCATTTGAGTATTCAAAAACACGTGTCCAACTGTTGAAAGACAGTGCTATTCGGACATCGAATCCACTCAGTCTCATCATCCAAGTTGCAAGACAGGAAGGTGTCGGTGCCTTGTACACAGGATGCTCAACACTTGTCATTGTAGGTCTATTGACTGTGAATGAAGGTTGACCTCAAATTGATCTATATCTGTAGGGAACCACAGCAAAAGCCGCAGTGCGGTTCGTATCATACGACACGATCCGTAATTCTCTTGCAGATGATCGCGGCGTTCTCTCAGCCGGTCGAGGGATTCTCGCTGGAATGACTGCTGGCGCTGTAGAAAGTGTACTAGCTGTAACACCGACTGAGAGAATTAAAACAGCATTGTCGGTATTCTTTGCTATATATGAAGGACTTCAGCTGACCGATTCTGCTACAGAATTGACGATGCGAAAGGCGCTCGCCAATTCAAGTCGAGCATACATGCGGTTCAAGTGCTTGTCCAAAGGCGTGGTATCACCGAGCTTTACCGTGGCCTTGTCTCCACAATGATGAAGCAATCGGCCACTTCTGCGGTTCGCATGGGGACGTACAATGTGCTCAGGGAGGCCATCAAATCTAGGGGCATCAAGCCGAATATGTTCACAACGTTCGGCATCGGTGCCGTGGCAGGCGTAGTCACTGTCTACGCGACACAACCATTTGATACCATCAAGACACGTGCACAGGGTGTCCAAGGCGCTGGAATTGCCGAAGCCTCCCGGAGTGTCATTCGTGACTACGGGATTCGAGGATTTTGGAAGGGTAGCTCGATGCGACTCGGTCGGCTACTTCTGAGTGGAGGGATCGTATTTTCTGTTTATGAAGAGGTGGCTGCCATTCTGTCTCCGGGGAAATATCGATAGATCTTCAAGGGCGGAAATGTCTGTACATTCCACTTTGTATGGCACATACTATATAGGCTGGCTTTGGAATCAATGATAATAGGGAATAATTCGGGCGCGTGGTCACAGAACAGGGGTGGTGTAAATCTCAATAGAAGCTTTTTGTACGGTATTCTTCCATCCAGGAAAACGCGCCCGTGGCACAATTGAAATTCGGTCGCCCGCTTGGAGATTCTGCATCCAGTGTAATTTCTGGTCCCTCTGGTACGTAATCTGATGATGCGTGGGTTCGCGTCTAGCATGAACATTGGTGGCCAGGCGTTGATCTTGATTTTTGGCGATATCCTCTCGACCCGGTGGTCTTTCAATATCAAGGTCGAACCATGTCCAAGAGTTTCTGAATGTGCCATGATCTTCGCGATAGCTGCTCCATCCTTGATCATGGCTCCAGATGTTGATTCTTATCTCTTGAACGGGAAATCGCTCGCCTTCAATAGGATCGGATGTCAAATATGGGGCTCGATCGCGACACTCATTTTCAGTATAATCCATCCTGTCATCTCTGTAGACGGCATTTAACACCCAATATTCTGCGAATTCTAGAATGTTTAGGACGAGTTCCGACGGCAGCATCTGTCGAAGAATGTTGAAACTCTCAATTGCATCTTCTGAGTTTCTTGGATAATACGTTCTGTCTCCTTCATGAGAGTTTGAAGCTCCATGTAGGACAGAATTGATGTTCTGATATGTTGTAGAGTATGAGGATCCCATGCTGACCAAAAGAGGTGACGTGTGAAGACTCCCCAGAGCTCGGCCGAAAGTTGTTTTGAGCTTGGCCACTTGTGGCTTGGCATCCATCATCAAACTGTGGCTATGCAGGATAACAGAGCATACTTAATTTTCAAATGTCAAGTTAATTATACTAAGGCAATGAAAGACAAATTGTTGATATTTCGAGTCGTAATGACTCAAATATAAGGTGTTGGTGGTTCTGTAAGCTCATGAGGATATATATCCATGATCATTGGACAGAGATACCTAGGTAGGTTTGGCATAGGCATTAGAACAAAAGCCCACCTCCACTTGGCTAATTTCGCTATTCTGGGCATGATGGTAAACTTCGTATAACCCGGAGGTGGAAGCTTGGCTTCAAAAGCGAGTAATTAGCAGACTGGCCAGTTGGCTGGATTTATACTTGCGGAGAAACAAAAGATGTATGATTTGGGAACCCGAAACAAAGAGAGCACATATATATTCATGAAGATGTCTCATATGACCTATTCTCTGCATTGCGCATAACTACTAGTCATGACTAGCTCTCATCCAAAAAAGGGATTCAATCCAGTGCTTGCACAACCTGCGCCCAGTCACCAAATCCATAAGCGCCTGGCACGCTTTCACCATCGAATAGACTTGCCATAATCACTCGATCAGATTGCTCGCCTTGCCATGGCTCTCTGCCATGTTGAGCAATGATGTTATCATAAACCAACACATCACCTTCCTGCCAACGATGCAGAACCCGAATCTCATCCGTGATCTTCGCTAGGTGTGCAAGATACTTGTCGGGAATAGGCGTCCCATCCCCAAAGAGCTGTTGAGTGACCTTCTTGCGCGCCTCGTTATCAAACTGTGTACGTTTCCAATATGCCGCCAACCCAGTGAAAAGAGTCGGCAGGTTTGTACCGGGCTGCGTTCGAATGACAGGTAGCCGGTGCGTCAAAACAAGTCCATCGCCAGTCCACTCCCATGTCGTATGCTCCCCTCTACCATAGCGGGCAATCTGAGCCTCGACCTTGCGGCGTTTTGTCTCTTCCTCGTCGCCATCTTGGATTTCCTTGCCAAAAGCCTGCTTCAGTGTGGATCCCCCTTCATACTGCTTCTCCACTCGATATGTCACTTTACTCAGCACTCCTTTCTCCGCTAGCTCAGCGATGAATTCTGGGATCTCTTGCTGTGCACGGTTAAACAATTCCAATGAAGAAGAGATGGGCGATTCCCCACCCTTAGATGGTGCATGATGTCCGTAGAAAAAGATATACTCGGGCGCATGTGGTACTTGCGGCGACTCATTGTGGCTGTATATCAATACCTCCTTGGGGGCTTCATTGGCGGGCGCGACATTTGGCGCGAGAAGTGGTCTGTCGACTACGATGCCAATAATCTCGTGGGGTTTATAGCCGAAAGCATGTGCGAATTTGCTGAAGTCTTCCGCGTTGTGGATGGGTAAATTGCGAAATAGTAGTGTGCCATGTCTTGCGAGCTTCTTGGTCAAAATGCCGTCTTTTTCTTGGAGAGACTTAATCGTCTCTACCACATCGTCGAGGGTTGCCTTGGCGTCGGCCTTGGTGGGTCGCAACGTGAGAGGGATAACTGTATTCTTGGGATGTGGAGGCCCAAGAATACGTTGGTTGGAAGTTGGTAGTTCAAAGGATTCAAATGTGACAATAGAGCCTTCTAACTGAAGCTGGGCGAGTTGCAGCTCTTCGGTAATTGTCGCCATGTTTTGCGCAAGTTAAATGTGAGATGCATGAAGGTGCAGGAAGCGCTGTTGTACATTTGTAGCTGCGAGCGTGACCCCTCACAACTCCTCACAACTGCCGTGATAGCGGAGTATTATTGGGCACCTCGAAATGATTTGTGTTATAAGGCACCTTCCAAGCCCATTATGGCCTCATCGTTCATTGCCGAGGGATATCGTGATTATGCCATGCTTTTATTGTTTTGCGTGCTCATCCTCCCGATAAGCTTAACATGATATACGAGGAAAATCTCCAATCATATAACATAGGCTTAATAGCTCCTTTGCATGCCTTCGCATGACAGGGATTACATCTCGAGTGGTTTGCTCATATTCACACGCACACTGTAATCATGTCAGCATCCCTAGGGAATTCTGAAGGCAAAGCCGATGTCTCGACAACTGTGGAGAGCCAAGATGAACACCCACCACCTCGTCCCCGATTTTTCTACAGTACCCTTTTTCAAATCCTGGTTGTAGGATTCTGTGCATTTTGTGCGCCAGGGATATGGAGTGCAATGAACGGGTTGGGTGTGGGCGGATCCCAGAGCCCAGATTTGGTCAACACAGCCAACGCCTTACTATACGCCTTGATGACAGTGACCTGTTTCGCGGGTCCTTTCCTCACAAACGCGATCGGCTTCCGTTGGACTCTGACGTTAGGGTCACTTGGATACCCACTCTATGCAGCGGGGTTGTATCTGAACAATCGCACTGGCGCAACATGGCTTGTGTATCTTGGGTGTGTCACTTGCGGCATCAGCGCTGGTTTCTTCTGGAGTGTTGAGGGTGCTGTCGCCACAGGGTATCCCGAGCAACACAAGCGTGGTCGCTACATTGCAACTTGGTTCACGTTCCGCAATTTTGGAAACATCGTCGGTGGTGCTGTCTCTTTGGGAATCAACCACAGTGTCAATCATCGCGGCCAGGTTGGGTACCAGACATACCTTGCTTTTATTGCCATCCAGTGTCTTGGACTAGTCATTGGTCCTCTCTTGTCGAACCCAGAGAAAGTGCAAAGAGATGATGGAGCACGTATCGAGGCGCCCCGTGGTATCCACTTTCGTGAAGAGCTCTCCGCGATGTGGCGGTTAGCGAGGAGTAGGTCAATCTTGCTCCTTGTCCCGCTGTTCTGGTATTTCGGGTGGATCCAGGCATACCCTGGTACATATCTTGCCACATATTTCACCGTTCGTTCTCGCGCACTCGGAAGCTTCATGTCTGCGGTTGTAGGGACACTGGCAACTTGGTTGGGCGGGTCGTTGGTGGATCTGACTTGGTTGAAAAATCGGAAACATCGAGCAATCGTCACATTTGTCCTGATCGCACTTATGAACAGTGCGACTTGGATCTGGGCAGTCATTATCCAAAACGAGTACCGACACACCAACCCCGTGTTGGACTGGGGCGATCAGCGCTCCTTCGGTCGTGGCTTTGGCCTTTATCTTTTTGAACGCATCAGTCTTGGTCTGGTTGAGAATTATATTTACTGGTGTATCGGAAATTTGTCGGACTCACCCGGCGATCAAATTCGATACAGCTCATTGCTTCGGGGGATTGAAACCGCTGGAGTTGCTGTCGGATTTGGCGTTCAGGCTGTACCAACAGCTTTGATTGCGACAGCGAGTATTAATCTCGGCTTGTGGTTCATCGCTTTACCTTTCAGTTATTATGCCACTCTCCGAGTCGTTCGGAAGTTCGAATTGTTGGAGAAAGGAAAGCAGAGTCCGGATGGGCGGGACAGAGTGGGTGAATGATATGATATAATGCTTCCAGGGTTGCCTGAATGTTTCGTTTTACCATCTTCCAACATACAAATATATCTAAAGCTCTGAATGTTGAACATTTTACCTTGTGATTTACTGTTCTTGAGAACATCATTAAAAGGTAGTCCGAATGCGAACCATGGCGGCTGAATCATCCTGTGGGTTCCCTTTGCCTTAATACAACATGGATATACTAATGAGGAATAGGGAACATGACTTCATAAGCAGGCTACCTTCTCGGTGGACAATTCGTGTACCTCCGGTCATCGATACGAGCCATCACAATCCACGACGGCACCCCAGCATGGCGCCTTCGATGACAATTGGCTGCCGGACGGCACTGCACCGACAGATCCTTGGTGTTGTCTCAATATCCGAGCTGTTCTAGGAAAATTACCTATATATGAAGACAAATATTGATATAAAATCCAAAATTTGCATAGAATTGACTTACTCGAGTATTGGCTTTCTACACTAGATATTGAAAGTCGAATCAATTAGAATTTTAAAGATATATTATCCTTTGCTCTCTCTGCTGCGTCTAACAAAAAAGAATTTAACGAGATTAAAGAGATCAATAGGGCAAACGCACAAAGACTTAAATTTGTGTCTTCGTAGACGGTTCTCGAGATATATATCTTAGACAACACACAGTTCCCGATTCCAGACATGGAAAGGTATTTGGTAGATCCAAAGATACCCTGTAGAATAAGCCTGAAATCACAAATTGATTCTGATCGTAATGCAAGGAGATGATCTGGATGCCTGAGATCGGAGAAGCTTTGTGGTCCGTTCCGCATATGCATGCATTGTGTCAGCCAGCCACACGAGGATCAGCACCTCTATGGTAACACAAGGGCTAAAGATGTTATATATCAAAAGGAAAACAGCAGATTTTCACCTGTACTACTTCGTACCCCTCATATCTCTGCATAGACACCGTCACCCACCTCTCACCGCTTGGTCGACAAGTCAACAATCACCTTGGAATGATTGCCAGTGGATATCCAGTCCGGCTGATCCTAAGCTTTGGGAGCGACAAGTACTGGCTCTCGTTACTCGACCCTGCCAGCTGGGCATATGAATGACGTGTTTCGAGCGTGTCCTGGTGCTGCAGTGGTGCATATAATGGAGAATTCTCAAAACATCGGTCAGAGGCCATAGACTAATTGATATAAGAATACAATAATCCTTTGCCAGTCTCTACATTTGATTCTCATAATTGCGAAGTGGGCAGTGTTGAGAATACATACACCCGATTCTCTGCTTCATCTCCCTTACCAAAACTGAAAAATGCCCCTTCTCCCCAAAAATGACCCCCTCCATCCCCGGTGGCTGCTTGATACCGAGAAATGGACTATCCTTGAGTACCAGAATATCAAAGAGGATGTGGTAAAGCAGGGATACGGCATCATCTCTTACACCTGGGGTAGGTGGGCCAAATGGGTCGAGCAACCCCCTGACCTGCCATCCGGGCTACTGTGGCGAGTACCCCTCGTGACAGACTTGCCCCTGAGCCTGGCTCGAACGGTAGTCTCGAGTATGAAGATTCGATACGTGTGGTGGGACTGGATGTGTGTTCCACAGGAACCTCTACAGGACACTCCAGCGAAGTTGCGGGGTGAGCTTTTGAAAGCCAAAGGGGAAGAGGTTGGGAAGCAGATGTAAGTATGTCCCTAATTTCTTCTTCCTATTGCTCTCTCCATTGAAACCAACGCTTATCTTCCTGCGTACTTAGGGCAATTTACAAAGGGGCAAAGAAAAGCATCGTGTGGCTTCATCTCACGCATTGGGGCAAGACCTCTGCGATCGAGAGGCTACTGATGAACCAGCTGCAAAAGAAGGACCTCCCCTCTTACCTGACTGCTGTCACTGCCCTGATCAGCGATATGCAGAAAGCTGAGTCTTGGTTGACATCTGGCTGGACACTACAGGAGGGGGTTCTTCTTAGCGAAACTCATTTGTTAGATCATGGAGGAGCGACACTACACGGTAGCCATTTCATCCATGAAGGCCAGGCCGCCGTTGTTAACCTCACAGCCGGTCTCACAAAATTCGCAATTGACATCGCCACAGCCTTCCTAAAGCTCAGTGTGACACAAAAGGGTAGTGATCAGGACGAGGTTGTTCAGTACATCCGTGCCTCGGAGAAAAATTACCAATTCGTCGCACAGTTCCTCTCCCGTCTAGTGCGGTCAGGTTTGATTGCCTACACTAAGAAGTCTCCACTGTACATCTTGGCCGGAAAGTTCTCGCGCCGCTTCGGCGTGGACAAGGATGAGTGCTGGGCATTGTTGGGAGCACTGGAGCTAGAGAACGTGACACCCTGGTACGAAGCCACTCCGGGCATAGATCAGGTGAAGTCGGTCTTCTTTGAAAGTCTACTTCAGAAGTACCAGTGGTCGATACTGCTCGTGGCCGGTGCAAGTGCAGACAACCAGAAGCTTGCTCGACTGCCGTGGCACACTAAAGTGACCGATGGGAAACATCTCCCCTTGGGAATATACTTCGACGTGAATTGGAAGCCGAAACTCCCAACTCTGTCTTGGAAACGTCCTGCTAAGCCACAAGACGATGCCATTCATATCCAAAATAAGAACGGGGCGCCATTCGCTGTTGTAAAGCTTCGTGAGAAGGGCTCCGCGGAGTGTAGGCGTTACGAACAGCTTCCTACTTCCGATGGGGCAGACTACATTCGTGTTCTGTCTGTCAAGCCCTTGGACCATTCGTCGGCATTGTTCATCCCAATTGCAGACCTGGAAAGCAGGTCAAAGACGCCGGGTGCACGCTACATTGAAATTATCCCCACTGGAACGACTTCAACCGGTAAATTCAGGGGTGTGATTGATATCTGGGCGACTAAAGATTCCTTGGAGGAGGTTTCTCTAACCAAGCTCTCAATGCTAAGCGGGGTCTGATGGCATCTGTCGTGAAGGATCAAGACCAAGTTTTAAGACCATCACTATAGCCTAACGGTTGAAAGCTAGGTGAAGGTAAAGATGATGCAAGTGTTAGTAGTCTTTCTCGAATGGATATTAGATATTACGGGCCCGCTTTACTTAGTAATGCAACTATGAGGTAACTACAGAGGGAAAGCTCCGCTAAAAGCTAGAAGTATACTAGGAACTTCGGGATATAGGAAAAGTAGCCTACCTAGTTCTGCTACTTGACCTATTACCATGATTAATGAGCTAAATGCCAACAGGACGTCTTACAAAGTAAGAACCCATTCAACCGAGGCTCAAGAAGCCGTACTGGTGTAGATCGATAATGCCAAGACCGCGAGTCGGCTATATGTGAATGACCTAGATGGGGTATATATATATTCCTCGTAGCCAAGAAGCTCTCCAAAATATTGAACATCCAACATAAGTGCCATGTATCGGTCACAAATCCAGTGCGCTCTGCGGTCGCAATGGCCTGCTCTTTTGCGCGGTCCATGTCGGACGGGCATCTCCCATCAAGCTCGCGCGGCATTCTCCACCACAGGGCGACGCGACATTATGGGGATGACAGGCTTCACAGAAGAACAACTTACAGTCCGCGAAGCGATCTCGCATATTTGTTCCAAGTTCCCGAACACATATTGGCAGGAACGTGACCAACAAGAAAAAGATCCAACGGAATTCCATGCTGCATTGGCTAAGGATGGATGGCTTGGCATTGCTTTACCCGAATCTCTCGGAGGCGCTGGTTTAGGTACATTTGCGCACACGATTTATTCCCATGTAAATCTCTAACTTCTCCTTAGGTATTTCCGAAGCCACAATGATGATGCAGACTATTACACAGTCTGGCGCAGGCATGGCCGGTGCTCAAGCTATTCACGCCAATGTCTACGCCACACAACCTTTGGCCAAGTTTGGCACCAAGGAGCAGCTAGAGACAACTATCCCAAATATTATCAACGGGACATGGCGGACATGCTTTGGAGTCACCGAACCAAACACTGGCCTTGAGACTCTTAAGCTCACGACCTTGGCTAGTAAAACTGCTGATGGATATTCGGTCACCGGCCAGAAGATCTGGATTACTTGTGCGCAAGTGGCATCAAAGATGATCCTCCTCGCCCGAACCACGCCTCTCGAAGAAGTCAAGAAGACCAGCGAAGGTCTCTCCTTGTTCTGCATCGATATCGACCGTGAAAATCCTGGCTTGGATCTGCGCAAGATCAAGAAGATGGGTGGACGCGCTGTGGATGCTAATGAGGTCTTTTTTGATAATTATGAGATCCCTGCAAACATATTAATCGGAAAGGAGAATGAAGGCTTCAAGATTATCCTCCACGGTATGAACGCAGAGCGATGCCTTCTGGCCGGTGAGGCACTTGGTCTTGGCTATGCGGCTCTTGAGAAGGCCTCGCAGTACGCCAGGGACAGGGTTGTCTTCGGGCGGCCAATTGGCCAAAATCAGGGTGTGGCACATCCGTTGGCCGACGCATTCATGAAGCTAGAGGCGGCGAAGCTGGCTACATACCACGCAGCACGTCTCTATGATACCAACGATGGATCAGTTCCTTTCCATGAAATCGGTGTTGCGTGTAACAGTGCAAAGTATTTGGCTGCAGAGGCTGCTTTCACGGCGTGTGAGCGTGCAGTTCTGGCACACGGTGGCATGGGATATGCGGTTGAATATGACGTCGAACGATATATGCGAGAATGCTTCGTGCCTCGTATTGCACCTGTGAGTCGGGAGATGATCTTAAACTATGTGAGCGAGAAGGTGCTTGATTTACCTCGAAGCTACTAAATATGATATCATAAATGAGAAGGAATCATACACAATGTCTACAGTCCAGTGTTGATTGAAACTGTCAAGGGATGTCGAGAATCCAGTGATCTCCATTATGTATATCAAACAACAATGCACCATTCCTTTTTTCTCTCTTGAGGGCAGTTCTAGATAGACCTCCCCAAAGTCTAAAGCCCAACCCAACCCAGTTTCGGGCCTATCTCCGGTCCTGATGGTAGGCTACAGGCCCGGGGTAAAACCCCTATAGGCACCAACCAATGAAAATATATAAAGTTGAACCCCTTCTATAGCTTTTCTTGGTTACCCTATACTTAGCATCGATTCTCACTATTTATTATACCTAAGGTAATATTTTATTAATTTCAATGGTTTAGAATCAATCATTAATTTGGATGGTTTTAAAATTATACAGGTTTACCTAAAAATTGGAAGGCCATCACCATAATACAGCAATTACAGAGGCCAATTTGTTAGATACAGATGGGCTTTAATGGCGGCCCATAGCTCAACCAGCAATGGGCTATGGGTTGGGTTGGACTTCAGACACTGGGCCCATTTATGGGCTTTTGCGGAGCTCTAGTTCTAGGTGCTTGTTTGACTTAGTGCTGTAACCCCGGGCTTGGGTGCTACATGCTTGGCATGCCGATATCCGAGATGTTAAAATGGCATGCGGAAGGGTCATCCCTTGAGTATTACTCGAATAGGGCATATATCCATGGATTGACATCGCAGAATATGTCAGCGTTCTCTTCATAAGTATTACGGATCTTATCGGCATAACCCTTCTCACATCTGCTAATGAGACTAGAGGGCCGACTTCGGAGCCTCATTAACTAACATCTTCAATTCATCCAATGCTTGGGTTCATAATTATAAGTAGAAGATACATTGCATCTATCATCAATTAGTGCATCATAAGAGGCTCATAATATTATGAAATGTGCTTTCATTAACGAGCTGAACAACGAGGCGCACCCAATTGGCGGGGAGGAATTGTCCTTCTCCGGTTTGATTTTCGGACCGATAGACCCACTTTGTTGAGCTTCCGCCTTTTATTTCCTATCCCCCTCTCTTCTCCAGACTTTCAATTTAGCTCTATCTGGGTGTGATTTTTGCATATCATACTCTCATCATGCTTCCCCAAACACGGGCACGCATCCCGGCTGCTCTCCGGAGCTTGTCTCGGTCGAACATGTGAGTTGATCTGCAATTGCGTCAACTGCTTTACTAACTTCTTGCTTCCTAGTCGAACTCTTTCAACCACTCTCCCTCGCTTCCAGAATGACGATAAAGCCCTCAACAAGGTCTCCCGTACCATCACCCAGCCCAAGTCACAGGGTGCTTCCCAGGCAATGTTGTACGCAGTCGGCTTGGAAGAGGCCGATATGAACAAGGCCCAGGTCGGCATTTCCTCAGTGTGGTTCAACGGCAACCCTTGCAATATGCATTTGCTTGACCTGAACAACAAGGTCCGCCAGGGTGTTCAGGATCAAGACTTGATTGGCTTCCAGTTCAACACCGTCGGTGTCAGTGATGCTATTAGTATGGGTACCCCCGGTATGCGTTACTCTCTGCAGAGTCGTGACCTTATTGCCGATTCCGTGGAGACCGTAATGGGTGGACAATGGTACGATGCCAACATCAGTATTCCCGGCTGTGACAAGAACATGCCCGGTGTCCTGATGGCTATGGGTCGTATCAACCGTCCTAGTCTGATGGTCTACGGTGGAACCATCAAGCCCGGCTGCGCTGCTACCCAGAACAACGCCGATATCGACATTGTGTCTGCTTTCCAGGCCTACGGTCAATTCCTTACCAAGGAGATTACCGAGCCCCAGCGCTTTGACGTCATCCGTCACGCCTGTCCCGGTGAGGGTGCTTGCGGTGGTATGTACACTGCCAACACCATGGCTTCCGCCATTGAGACCATGGGTATGACCCTTCCCGGCTCATCTTCCAACCCGGCCAACTCCCAGGCCAAGTACCTTGAGTGTCTCGCGGCTGGTGGTGCCATCAAGAGACTGCTCGCTGAGGACATTCGCCCTCGCGACATTCTTACTCGTCAGGCCTTCGAGAACGCCATGGTTGTTGTCAACATCACTGGTGGCTCGACCAACGCTGTGCTACACTTGATTGCTATCGCTGACTCTGTCGGCATCAAGCTCACCATTGATGACTTCCAGGCTGTGTCCGACCGGATTCCCTTCCTGGCTGATCTCAAGCCCTCTGGCAAGTACGTCATGGCCGATCTCCACGCCGTTGGTGGTACCCCGGCACTTCTCAAGCTTCTCCTCAAGGAGGGTCTTATCGATGGCTCTGGTATGACCGTTACTGGTGAGACCATGGCTCAGAACCTGGAGAAGCTCCCTGGCTTCCCCGACGACCAGAAGGTCATCCGCCCCTTCTCCAACCCTATCAAGAAGACTGGTCACATTCAGATCCTCCGCGGTTCTCTCGCCCCTGGTGGCAGTGTCGGCAAGATCACCGGTAAGGAGGGCATGACTTTCACCGGAAAGGCCCGCGTGTTCGACAGTGAGGATGACTTCATCGCCGCTCTGGAGCGTGGGGAAATCAAGAAGGAGGAGAAGACCGTTGTTGTCATTCGCTACTGCGGCCCTAAGGGTGGCCCTGGAATGCCTGGTATGTGTAATGAGTCTACGTAATCGCTGACCATAATGCTAACTCTATGATAGAAATGCTCAAGCCCTCTAGTGCCCTCATGGGATACGGTCTCGGTAACTCCTGTGCCCTCATCACCGATGGTCGTTTCTCCGGTGGTTCCCACGGTTTCTTGATCGGTCACATTGTCCCTGAGGCTGCTGTCGGTGGTCCCATCGGTCTTGTCAACGATGGCGATATCATCACTATCGATGCTGAGAAGCGCATTCTTGATGTCGAACTCACCGACGCTGAGTTTGCCGATCGTAAAGAGAAATGGGAAGCCCGCAAGGCTGCTGGTGACCTCCCTGAGACTGGTCTCACCATGCGTGGTACTTTGGGCAAATATGCCAGAAACGTCCAGAACGCCAGTCTGGGCTGTATCACTGATGCTCTAGAGTAAATTTTTCCTCGGTTTTGTTTTTTTTTTATGTTGAGCCCTGTCTGGAACACAAAAGCGATTCCCCGTTTTGGAGTCTTCTATATGATATCATTTTGAATAATATTTTCCTCCTTGTTCAATTCGTTTACTTTCATGGATTTTTTATAGTGTGTACTATAGTAGGTACTATATCTAGATCCATTTTGAGTTGGACTCTTTCTATTCTTAATATCCGATCTTTTCTCTCTCGGCGTATATGGGAGACTCAACCTGACAGAAAATGACACGTCGAAAGAAGCACTTTGTCGAGAATTTAACGAAGGTGGATTGTTTGACTTCCTTTGCTCGTAGAAACGTGGAGGTAACCGGGGTAGAGGCAAAAGAATTAAAAAAAGCCATCTCGTGCAGGAATCGAACTTTGACCATGTAAAATAGCTAATTGTCCCAATTAGGAAGGAGGTCCATGGAGGTCCCCTTATATGTCAGTTGAAAAGCTTCCTACCTGCCAACCCACCCCAGTTAGCTTGGTAGATTGGGGCCACTATAATCCTACTCTACTGTGCTGGATGCTTCGTCCTTTGCTTCGGTTGTTCGTTGCACCCTTCATAGGCACAGTGAGGCTGGAGGAGGTGACCTCACACCGCCTAGCATTATGGCGTTAGGGTCTCTGTCCTGGAGGGGGGGGCGGTCCTAAAGGGACAGGGTTCGTGGGTTGGCACCTCTTTTTTTCATCACACCTGTGACCCATCCTGACGTATCAATTTTTGTGTGTAGCCGCGCGCAAATTTGTGATTGAATCTGACCAGTCGAGGCCTACAGAGGTCAAGCATTACAGGTTAGATTGTCTGACTTGCCGGGACTACCTCTTAGGAACATCTACTACCTATATGTTGATTTAACGTGGCCCCAGAAACCATGGTTGATCTCTTCCTATACAAGTGCCCCATCACCGTACTCAGATCTGAGATGACACTATCGTACTAGACAGTCAACGATTCACCACTGAATCTCATTATTCCCTCCTCTAGCCCTCTTTTCTTTGGCATATCTAGCGAAATCCGAAAGTTGTCCGTAAGATCCAGGATCCATGCCTACCGTGACCTTCACGCCCCTTCTAGGCCTTATCATCGTGAACCCATGAGTACCTTCGCCATGACCTTGCATTATGGAACGCTATCAAAGGTCAGTAGTCCACCTTGTGAGATACTCCCTTCCCTGAACTTACCGAGAGGTTCTATAATGACCGAATGCAATCCCTAATCTGCACCTTGATGGCATCGACAGAGAGTCTGGTACGATTTTCGGGTGGCCGATCCATAGCAGTAGGAAGGAACTACTATCGCTCGAGCTTGAGGGAATATCAAAGGGCCCGGACAGTTTAGAGAACGTGAAATTGGCGAAAATCAACATACCGGATCTTCTTGGATTTTAAATAGAAAGCATGGAATATAATAAATGATCAAATAGATACAACATATCCTCCAACGCCAGTGCTAGGGCTACTCCTAGTATTATGCTCTCCATACTTCCAAGGTTCACGAGCTAGGTATCTTTTGGCTACTTACCTCAGCCTACCATCACACCCATCACCAACATATCTGCAGTGCATATTGGTGCACGCGATTTAGCGAGTTTCGGATGTTGTGAACTGACTGTGAATTCACTGGGGACCAAGATATATCAAACCCTTACACATATCATGCTTTCCTCGGATATAATACGAAATACTACAAAGAGGTACTGATCTCAAAGTACGGGGCGCAGAGCACCGTTGGAACTTGACTCGATAACACATTTGATTATGCTACAAATTGGATGGTTCATATTGATTGGTGACAGGATGAAGGCAACGATTGACATGATGACTGACAACTTCATTGCCATATTCTTCAATCAAAACCACCATTTGCCCGTCGTCGCTCCTCAATGGCGAGTCGATTAATCGTGCTCTCGAGTCTCTCGAGAAGCCGAACGTCCTCCCTAGTAGCCCAGGGCTGAAATACCAAGTATCGGTGGGCTGTCTGTATGGAAATGACTGCCTCCAAGGCAGTAGGTATTGATTGCACCGGCGGAGTGGACACAATGGCATCATCTAGTTCCTGTAGAGTCGGTTCACCTTCGACCATAAACCCGGCAACATTTAATACACCTTCGAAATCCTCGTCGACAGGATGAGTGAAGTTTTCAAGGCTGGTGACCGGTCGAGCGCCAGGGTTGTATCGCGTCACGGTCTCGTAGAGGGTTGTCAGATCTGGCGATTTTGGAGCAGTGATGAATTCAATTTGGGGGTCTATAAGACTGCTTTTCCGGAAGGCTCTGTAGATAATCGCGTTTGCAACGTCGTGACGCCAGATCCGAGTGATCCAGGATATAGTTTGATAAAGAGTCATCGTGTGGACAGGGTTTTGGGGCGATTCCATACCCGCCGCAAGGTACGCAAGCCATTGTCTGCGATAGTAGTGTTTGAGAGTCTGTGAAATTCCCAAGTTGACTGGCTGTTGCTGATTCGCGTTGGGAGATTGAGCAGGAAATAGTTGGATATGGACATTCGGAGGCGGCGGTGTAGCCTCGACGGCAGCTTGGTGGTCTGGATGATTATCCAGTAAAAGCAAAACTCGGCGCTCCCCTACATGGCCGTAGAAGAAGGCCAGCCATTCTTGCATGATTGATTGTGTTAGCCAGGCCTGCCGATGATATCGCCAATGGCAATCCATGGCTTTTAGATTGGCTTCGCGAAGTGCCTCTGGCCTATTGGTATGTCCGATCACCCAAAGGGGTAAACGATCTGACCCAGTGCTGTTTGTGCAGAGCATGAGACAGATGCGGGAGTTTTCCCGATTTGTTATCAATTGATCCTGGGCGGAGGAAGCGCCGAAAGGAGGCTTTCGCCAGAAAAGTCCGGTCTCATCCATGTTGTAAATATCGTCTTCGGGGAATTCACCACATAGCGTTTTCAGGGCTTTCATTTCCTTGCGACCAGTAGGGGTTGGGGGTTGAGGGATGCCTTCCTGACGAGCATGGGCTTGAGTGGCATATCGTTTCTTGAATCTGCTCAGCCACCCATTACTAAAGTGGGGAATTGGCAGGGCCTGGTATTCGGGAATTTGACTCCAGATTTCGCGTGCTTTGGTAGTAATAGCCTCAGCCGTGGGTGTTGAGCCTTCATGGCTCGCGACCCATTCGGAAAGTGGCATCTCTAGGAGGGGCCATTGTGGTGATATTTGACGTCTTAGGGGAGTTGCTGGACCGCCATCAAGGTAGTCGAACTTTTTGGAGAGGATTATTGAGATAGTCGATTGAGAGAGGCTGCGTCCATAGGTTCGTTCGAACCAAGCAGAACATTGGGCTTGCGATGGACGGGGGGTCTGACTTTGTGCCCAAGCTCGAAGAGCTTGTTTATGGGTCCCCGAGATTCCCAAAGCCTGACGTTTTGTTGTTGGAGTGGACATGATATGTGCACATTTGATATATTCACTTGGGAAATAAATCTTCGTCGCGTGGGAACATTGAAGTCGGCTAAGCAATAATACCGTAATTACCATCCAACTCAATACACATGCTACCAAGTATACCGCCTTCAACCCGCACGTAACTATGTTATGTTCTGTTTTATTACACTTATCGCCAATTCAGCGCATGTCGATATTGCCTTCCCCGAACAACTATCAACCTGGAGGTGGCGCTCTAAATATTATTTTACTCCAACGTCCTCGAAGTCGCAACCTGTCAGCAGCACTGCGCTTCCAAGGTTAGCGTTCTACCAGCTCATTCTCAGCCCATATCTCTCTATGCAATGAGAGGGCTCCCGGCTCCATATGTGCGAATTCAAGTGAAAATGGGTCGCAATGCGGCTGACAAATAACGGATGCGAAGCTTCAAAGCTGTTGAGGCAGAGCTAATCACAGATTTTCCCACTGATCTAGCGAGGCCTAGTGATGAGAGAACCCTAGCAAACGTGAGGAATAAGAATAGCGTGTGTCAACAGTTTTTCCGGGTGCATGGTTCCGTGCTTAGAAATTAACGCGTCGAAAAATCAGAAATAAATTATACAGCAAGAAACTCCAGGTATCAATATCCACTATATAGAAAAAGCAGCTCCATTCACGCAGAGAAGGAAAATAATCCAACGCCAACACTCGCCCCAAAGGTATAAAAGACCCCACCGGGGCCCGCCTCGACTCAATGCTCCACTTCCAAATCTCCAAATTTCTGACAACTCCTCAGAACCGTTGCCCCGGTGTGCTTCCTGGTGCCTCCCAAATCATAGGATGACCCTCTAGCTCTGTGGCTACCACACTTGTGTGGGCACGTGGGTAAGGCTGGGGCTGGGGCTGAGGCTGAGGCTGAGGCTCATTCCAGCTCCAGTGGCCCTGCTGGGCAGACGGCGAACCGTGAGGAGGATGAACTTCCACCCCAGGTGACAATGTGCGCACAGTCGGATCTGGACTAGACACGGCGGTCATGTCGATATGGCCTGGTTTGTGGCTAGGTACAGTACTTGCGATATCGCTTTTCCCGCCATCGCCGTGATTGAACATAGCCCAGCGCGCGGTACGTTCCGTGCGCCCATCTTCCGACGACATCCACTGCGAGTACACACGGTTGCGGCCGAGAACGAAGAACAATGCCACCAGTAAGGCCACGAAGACTACAGCTGCAACGGCGATGCCTGCAATGGCCCCCGTACTAAGCCCATGCTTACCATCGCCGCCTTTTTCATCATCGCCGTCGCCGCTTCCTGGAGTTTCACCTTCGGGGGGCGCGGCCTGCCCTGGGACTAGCATGTATGGGTATTTCAGAGCTTTTGCGTATTGCGTTTGCCATGTCTGGGTTGAATTCTGCGGGTTCAACAGTCAGCCTGTATTCGTGCTCGGGAGGAACTGAGAGTCATACCGGGTTTATCACTCCAACCATCCCATTCTTGATGCATGAATCTACTGCGGTGCAATAGAAGAATGTCGGCTACATGGAATATTGGTTAGCCTCAGTGCAAGATTGCGGGCATGTGCTTTGACTAGATACATACCTCGGTGTTGTTGACTCTCAAGGACCAAGTCGGGGGCTATATTGCATATATCAGCCACATTGCTTTGGTCAACATCCTATTTTGCAACTTGACTATACTCACCGGGCCGACGAGTTGTCCATCATGCAGATTGAAATCTGCGAAGGGTTCCGAATAAAATATATTCCCGCTTGCTGGTACACAAGGAGCGAGATATTCTGCTTGTACGACGGAATGGTTTGTTGGGTAAAATTCAAAGACGACAATATCGCCCACCTTGGCCTTTATACTGGTTGGAGAAAACTGATGTGGATCTGACTTCGGTCCAGCCTGGATTGTATGAGTCGTGATACCGGTTGAGGTTGAAGTTGCCGTCGATGACGAGTCTACATCAGATCTCGTGGGAATTGCTCTGGAAGATTGGGCCACTGTGATGGTCGCCAAAGCCAGCCATGCCAGTGGTCGGACTAATTGGCTCAACATAACGTGCAGGGGAGGGTTGACTATTTGTCAACACAATATAATATGTACACCGCAATAGTTGGGATTCTGCACCATAGAAGAAATTGGGAAGGGCGAGAAAGGAGGACTAGGTGAGAAAACAAAGAAGTCGAAAATTCAAAGCCAGGTCTCGGACAGGGTTGAGGCTGAGGACGGGAAATGTTTTTGGGCTGGACAAGTCACTGGGTACATTAACTTCCTAATTAATTATTTAGTGCTGGTGGTACTTTTATCCATGCATTTCTTTATCTTTCATTCTTCCCCAAAGTAACTCCTTGATATAGAAAAACATTTACTCTCTTCTGCTCAGATATGAAACATTGATTTAACGTGGATTTAACATAGATTCACTATGAATTTATCAGGAATTTATCATGATATTAGGTAGAATACTAGGATATACGAAAAGCCAAGCTTTAGATGGATTCCCCTCCCTTAGGCCCTCAGGCCCCATCAGGCCGCTTTGTTAGATTGAAAGACTTATCTCTGCCTCGTCTCCTGGTTCAACTCGTGATTTATTTTAAATTTTGGCTTTAAACCATCAAAGAATCAGAAACGTTTTCAAGAAAATATTTGAAGTATGGTCAGCAGAAAGAAAGCTCACGTTTTCGCTCTCGCCGTAGCAAAATCGAGGCTGAAATTGATCATTTGGGGGCCATTCTCTTGCTTTTCGTCCAATCATAATTGCCTATTCACGTTAGAATTGCTGTTCATGTTTTCTACAAAAATACATAGACTTTGTGGCATGAAAATAAGCTTAAGGCGTGTCCACGCCACTCACTCGAGTCCACTCATGTCCAAGTAGGAAAGGTTTTCTAATGTTAATTCCTCCCCAACGTTGTTTATCAACACGTTTGTCTATAATGAGGGTTCATTTGTTAATTTCCGAGATGTTAGCGCTGCTTTTAGTGGAGATTCATGGACACGAGTCAGATACGACTCTAGTCCCTTCTTGTGCCGTAAGTAGTAAGTACATCCAACACATGGGTGTTCATTGCTAATCAGTATGTGCTAGATCACATGTAACAATAATTTATTTTCTATTTGCTCATTGGCCAATAATACATCATGCTTCTGTGCTAGTGACTCTCGTACCACGGCCCTGTAAGATCTATTAGATTGTCTTGAAAAGAACTGCACGACAAACGAATTCTCCAGTGCGTCTCCATCTTGGTTGATATACTAAGGCTCCTCTTAACTCTGCTAGCCATAATACGGCTACATGAGAAAGAGTTTGGTATAACACCCCTCAAAGGGCCATTAGCACTCGACCCCTCAACCCTAATCCCTCTTGTTCTCGCGTCGTGTTTCTTCATCGTGAGATTAATCGCTAAGGGTGGCGGCCTCGCTGATGGATGTAGATGGAATCATTATACATATACAATAATCGTCTTATACGTAAGTTACACTTTTTAATATTCCTTCGCACTGTATTAATACACTCGTGGGTCATGGGAGTCGCCATACATGTTCTAAATATATGTAGTAAGCATATTGTCTAGATGCCCACTTTCTTAAGAAAGAAAGACTAAAGAATTAGTGGTCAGCTGTGGCTTTGGTCCAAATACCTAGGACATCCCTTTTCCAGCAATCGCTAAGTCCCATTAGGTTCGTCCCTCTCCGCCAACCTCAGTTCTAGTCTAACCAGAGCAGCATTTCCAATGCCTTGCTGTTATATATAACATTCAAATTTCTCTGGCAAAGATCTCCGTCTATCTCTTCTTACTCCGTATCTTAAAGGCACGGATATTCCGCTATTTGGCATACGCGATCATCGGTATCAACGCCGCCATTGGCATCACATGGGCCTTTATGGACTTTTTGCGCTGCGTATCGGTACACCTTACATCGACCGGCTGGAGCAATGAGGAATCCGGACAGTGCATCAATTTTATTTCCTCAATTCTTATCAACAGTCTATGCCCGGCGACAGAAGCGTTTCGCTTTCGCCGGTTCTGGGAGGTGCCGGATGCTGTAGTACTCTGAGGAGCGGCAGGCTCTAATCCATTACCCGTAATGACTGGGGCGCAACGTTAACCCTCAACATGGTGAGCGTTGCCCTGGTCACCAGTGGGGAGCCGGGAGCGCCACCTTCAGAGCCACTATAGCCTCCGGCAACCTCACCAGAGATAGCGGCTCCGACCTATATCAAGCGATACCCGGCCTCAAACCTAGTGTGCTATCCACGAAAGATTTGGCTAGTATGGAAGAATAGTGGAAAAGAAGGGGGTATCTTACAGCACGGGCGCCGCCCGTGCCCTCCGCATGGAGCCGAGCGGCGTCGGCGTCGGCCGCGAACTTGGCTATTGCGGCCCGGTGGTCGGCCTGGGGGGCGGCAGCGTCAAGGGCGGCTTGCTATATTTGACTTCAGTCAACCCTGATCAATCCAAAGTCCCATAAGTGCGGGCCATGAAGTGTTTCAAATACGAATGGACCAAATATTCTACAAACAGAGAGTTCATTGTGAATACACAGGTCCATCTCCATCGAGATCTGAATTACAACTCAATTTTGCCGCCATTTTTGCCGGAGACGTATAAGCAGGACAAGGCATCTAAATATAATGATATCTGAGAAGGCCAGGCAGAGACCACTGAGAGACCACTCAAACGACCATCGAACAGAGCACTGACAAGATATTGTTGGGATATCAACCCCGCTATTTGCTATGATATTTGCTAGTCCAGACTAAGACCTTTGCTTACTAGTTTGTTTCCTAGTTGGCTTGCTGCTTTACAGGTGTATAAATACCATATCTCTCCATAGTTTCTGAAATACAGATCTATCCTTCTTCATCATCCCTCTCTCTCACACTATATAACGAACAGATATATATTACAAGGCCACTTATACGGCCGACTATTCTTATGTTCATATTTCCCAGGATATTGATGTCGTTTCCCAGGAGTCCGTTACTAACGATTGTGGTAGGAATTTAGATACATATATATCGATACTCCAGTAGTTTCGGCTTAGCCAAACTTCCACCCAGACTACTCTGAGACCGAGGGTATCTGACAGATTGTAACGCCGATTCATACCTAGAAAATGCCTCCCTGCCGGAGTATCCCTCTGGTAGACTAAAGCACATCAGAACCCCTGCTGTCACCGGCATTCCCAACCCTATTCCCGCGCGGAGGCATCGAGTTCGTGACGCGTCGCCCAAGACACCTACTACATCGTGGATATGTCCTGCATCTCCTAAAGCACAAGTCTAGCGGATTTGCGCGCTATCCTCGGTTCCGGTTCGTGGCATTCAATACCCTTCTGCTACAGCAGGCAAGCATGACCGCAATATTTTACATGCATCGTCGGGTGGATCGGCCTGATATCACCGTGGAGGAGCTACAGGACCTCTTCTATAACAATAATGCCGAGAGCCATTCACTACTCAATAGTGCATCCAGCCTGGATAATACAACTCCCGGCACACGGACTTTGTAGACTCCGCATCGTAATGAACTCGAGGCAATGGTCAAGAAGCTAGGCGCTCCACGCATCTCATTGTGACAATTTCCACAGCGGATCTACTCTGGGATGATCTGATAGGATATCCCTTACGCCCATCTCATATCCCAGTGCTTGCTACAGACTGAACGTTTGCTATTCTATTTGCTATTTGTGCATCCTCGACAAAGCAGTACTTGTCCACGAGAGGAATTACTTGACCTTAGCTCGTTTGACAGAGATCGACTGTTTCCACCCCAAAGGTGGCCCTGTCGGTCGGTCGACACGTTGCTATCCGCCCCAGCGATTTCCCTGTTGACGAATGGAATATCCGCAATTCCATGCTCCGTGAAAGACAAAGAAACCTTTTAACGCACTTTCACAAAGGACATCACAGATGTCACAAAGAGAAAATACAACGAGCAGGTGGATCAGGTGAGCCAGGGCGTCAGAAACGGATGACCAATCTGGGATAACGACCAGAAAGCCCTGTGCCACTATTGTTCCTGGACGCCAAGTTGGCAGCTATTGCACCGGTCGCCATAGAGGCAACATTCGACAAAGACGGCAATTGGGTGCAATCAGCCAAAGGGTGTCAAACTCAGCGACGAAGACGTATACTCGGCCACAAAGTTTATGCCAGCCAACGAGTGTGGAGAGAAATATTCCATTGATTTGTGTCAGAAGGTCGGGTGACTTCTATGCTCCCAGGACCCAATTAGTCTAACAGTGTAGATAGCTTTCTTCTCTCCCCACGCATCTCAATACAACTATCCAGATATTTACTGCTTCATAGTAAATCATCTATCCTCAATTTTGATATTTAAGAGACTACGAGAAAGCGGTGCACATTGAGTGGAGACAAGAGGCCCATCGAATCGCTCTACATACGACAGCGCGGAACTGGCCGAATAGAATTTGTTGGGATATCAACCCTATTATTTGCTACACGGTTTGCCGGTTTGCCTTTTACATGTGTATAAATACCCCGTGTCTTCATAGATTCTCTAAAAATCGACTTCCTTCTTCGTCTTTCATAGCATGCCCAACGGGTTATAAGACCATCCACTCATCTTGAGCACCTTTTCCTCCATTGTTAGGGTAGCGGGCCTGTATACCTCAACATAATCTCTAGGAACCTCATTGGTATAATTTGTACCAAACCTGGCCCTTCTGCCAGGATTTTTGAAAAGGGCTGTGTGTATAAGAGAACCCAAAAGTATGATAGGGTATTAATAAGTAAGAGCAGAACTAAATATGGGCTATGTCGATGCAAAGTATAGAATCAAGAGGTTGACGAAAGGATATACTATGCATCGATTCAAAGTAAACGAGGGCTAATTATCAACTGGACAATGCGAAGCCGAGCTTCTTCGGCCCTTGGGGATCTTCCCGCTTACCAAACCCCTGGTTTCAGAAGAGCAAAATTGCACGGTCGTTTGTTTCCGTTCTCTTCGTGCGTCTCTTCCTCCCCTCAGACGATAGTCTTCTTGGATTCGTGATCGCGCAGTGTAGGTGAATTCGGAGCAACACATATGTTCCGTTTAGACCTCATCCATGAGTAGAGATACAGCGTCGCATCCTTGTCCTCTAGCCTCGGAAGAACTTCATGCTTTCTGTTGTGCAGGAAGCCTAGTGCTATGCTGAACATACTATGGGAGATGAAGAAGGAAAGAGATGCTGTACTGGATAATCGATGGAGAAATAGGCTATTTATACCCGTGTAAAACAGGGGCTTTCTAAAATGGACTTTTCTAAGTAGTATACCCTTGAAATACCGAGTTCAAGGGCCAACCGATGGCCAGCCACAGCAAGTGTGTATGGTTGCACTTGTTGCCCTATGAAAACGTGGAGCTGAAAAGGTACCTTCGAGTCAGTAAATCAATTTGTACTCCGTACTCCTTACTCAATATGGAGTAGATCAGGATCAATTCTCTATATAGCCAATTTTGAGACTCACTTGTATCTTTTAGACACTCATCCACTAAAGCGACGGCTCAATTCTGAGGGAAATAATAATTTATTATCTCAATCCACTTACCGGGGTTGCGCATAAAATCGTGCATTAATCAATGAGACCGAGTGGCAAATGATAATTAAATGTCATTACCATGTCGGCTCCTCCGTACTCTCTATACGGAGTATTCCGTGTGGAGCTATGTAGTGTACTCATATCCGATGTTGAACTAATTTCTCACAGCATGAATCCCCGTTCCACTCAATGTGATGTATGACAGAAATGCTTTTTCCCGTACCAAGCCTGGAACAAATCAAAAGTTGCATGCAATGCATTACCAACATGTGATATTGGGCTCATCTGCAGAGGGCCATCTCGCTAAGATTAAATCAGGGAACAACGCAAGAACTCAAAGGGAAAAAAAAAATCCAAGGGGGATTCTTAAGTGCCCGAGTCCACAGTCAAGGCACTATTCTGCATAGAAACGCTAGTTTCGCCGAATGCCAAGGGTATAGCCGATTGGGACACTAGCGTCTGATAGCACTACTCACAAATTTATTAAGGACATTATTAGAGATACTTTCTATATCAAATTCCAGTATAGATTCCCCGCACGAATTCCTATCTCGATATCCCCGCGCTGTCAGAAGATGCACTTGAATCGCAATTTTAAAGGAGTACGCATAAATCCCGATCCCTGACGATCTTGTTGATCTTGGTAAATCTTGACGATCTTTTTCCACCACTTCAGCTCCACATGCACGAACTTGACTAGTGTCTCCACATACTCCTCTTTGAGCTATTATGAGCTATTATCGTTACGTTCGCCCCTCTGTACTACGAAGTGGGTAACATTGAAAATTCTTATAAAGACCTATGGTGCTGCCGTGCGGAACTGTTCTAGCTGAGTAGTCGCGCATATCTTTCAAGATGGTGTTAATCAAGGCAACCTTCGCGTCCATTTTTGTCTCCCTGCTGGCATGTGCCACCGCTGTCGAAGTCCCCAAGACCGACTATGATGTGATCGTGGTTGGCGGTGGTCCTGCGGGCCTCAGTGCGATCAGTGGTGTGTCTCGTGTTCGCCGAACAGCTCTCTTAATTGATAGCCAGGTATACCGCAATGGTGTGACTCGGGAAATGCACGACGTCATTGGTAACGACGGTGAGATTTGGTTCAATTCCCTTGAAACATAAAGTATCTTGTCTAACGCACCTCAATTTTTTTTTTCAGGTACCCCACCGGCCGATTTCAGAACTCTGGCTCGCGAGCAGATCCAGCAGTATCCAACTGCCCACTTTACCAACGAGACTGTGGCGTCAATCGTCCCTCTCAAATCAGGTGAATTCACTGCCTTCACGGTGACCGACAGCCAAGGCAAGAACTACACAGCCCGTAAAGTCGTGCTCGGCACCGGTGTCCGTGACGTCCTACCAACGACTCCAGGCCTTCAAGAGGCATGGGGCAAGGGTATCTTCTGGTGTCCGTGGTGCGATGGCTACGAGCACAGAGACCAACCATTTGGAATGATCGGCGATATCACCGATATGCTGAGCAACGTGTTGGAAACCCACACTCTGTACACTGATATCATTGCCTTTGTCAACGGGTCGCAAACCGCAGATGGCGAGACCCGGGCAACCGCAAAGGTTGCAGACTGGAAGGAGCAACTTGCCGCTTGGAACACTACCATTGACAACCGTACAATCACTTCCATCGAGCGCCTCCAGGATGGTGGTAAGAATAGGGACGAGATGGATCATAAGCAGTTTGACAAGTTCCGCCTTCACTTCGCTACCGGCGAGCCTGTCGAGCGAAATGCATTGATTATCAACTTCCCAACTGTTCAGACCTCGACACTTCCAGCACAGATGCACCTTGGTATGGTCGGCGATAAGATCAATGTTACTAGCGGGATGCGCACTAGTGAGCCTGGTGTCTTTGCTGTTGGTGATGCCAACAGCGATGGTAGCACAAATGTGCCACATGCAATGTACAGTGGCAAGAAGGCCGCTGTTTTTGTTCACGGTATGTTCTTTTCTACTTATCGACGCTAGATAGACCACTGATAATATTTGGTCACAGTGGAAATGTCCCGTGAGGAGTCGAAGTCTAAGATCTCGAAGCGTACCGGTCTTTCTCACCGTGAGCTCGAGAAGGAGGCCATGCGTGCAATTGGCAAAAACCTTGATGAACAATGGAAGCGTGCTCAGGAGTAATGGGCTCGCTCAATTAAGACTGATGGCTGGCTTCGGCTGCGGCCTGCAGTATTTACATAGTCAGCTACCTGTTGGGCTCTTCCAGATGAGAATTATTAATGGTCGGTCTACTGTCTTTGACCTTGATGTATTTATTCCAACTCGGTATTCCAAATATAATGATGTATAAATGCTTTGGAAGCCCATCTTTTTTTGACCTGCCGTTTTTTTATTTCGACCTCTTGTTTATCCTGTACGTCTGTACAACCCTCGCTCCTTGCAGATTCTCTTCACAAACTTGCGTATGATGAGCCCTGCATAAATTTTCGAAATGTGACAAGGGCTACCAAATTTTCATTCTTACCAACGTATCGTACGTTAGAATTCAAGATTAGAGTTCGATGTGTGTGAGATACAGTACAGAGTATCAAAAATACCCGTAGCTCCATTCCAGATACAATTGATACAGTATGGTATGTACCGTAAATAAAAGTGGATATACATCCGTCCCGTGCGGCCCGAGACCCGTACCATTCCAAGGTCGAGATTCCAACATTTGAAGCTTGCTCGCTACATCTCAATTTTATAGCTATGATGCATATATAGTATAATGCGGGCGAATTCAAAGCCCGAAAAGACCCAGAAAAGAAATATATAGAATGTATAATATCCCATGTATGTAACGGTGTACATGTATATCCCAACAATTTTCCGTCACTGCCAGAAAGATCTAGTCTGAAGTGTATTCCTCTGCCAGAGCCGAGATATTCCCACGATGACTTGTACTCTATAGAGTAATCCGGAATTTGAACAAATCCTTTTCAACAACCTCACCCTTCCTCTTCTCCAACTCCTCCATGTTCCAATTTGAACTAAGCATCCGAGCATTCAACCACTCACGTCGCTCTTTCCCAAGCCAGACAATGGTATCCGCCGGAAGCTCCGCTTCATCAATGAAGATATCGGGGAAGATATTCTTTAGTTTGTCTGCCATATCCGTCCTTACAGCCCCAGGATGAAGAGCCAACACAATCAGCCCTTCATCTCTATGCTCACGGGCAAGGCTTTCAGTAAAGCGACAGATCGCAAATCGCGAATTCTGATACGCAGATCCACCATTTGTAAGCAAATGAGCCCCAATCGACGTCAAATTGACAATTGTCTTCGTGTCGGATTTCAATATCATTGGCAACAGATACCGGCAACATAGGTATGGACCCTTAATGTTGACATCCCACCCTTTCATCCAATCATCCGGGTCGGAGTCCATGACGCGGGTCATATCCGGTAAATATCCAGCATTGTTTACAAGGATATCCAATTTTTCATCAAACGAGTCATTTACGGCTTTTGCGGCTGCTTCGACTGATTCCTTTGATGTGACATCGACCTCTAATGCGAGAATCTGTGGCTCGGGAAGGTTTGAGTTTCCGGCTTCCGCTTTGAGCTCTTTCACGACTTCATCGAGTGATGAGCGCGCTGCGATTGCAATTCTTGAGACTCCGGCCTTCACACAGCGGATGGCTGTTGCTCGGCCAATTCCTCTTGATGCGCCCGTGATGAAGATGGATTTTCCGACAAGCTCGGTTCCGGTTGGAGTGATGTATGGGTAGGTGTTATTGCAATTTGGAACGAAGACGGCCCATTCCATTCCATTGGTTGGGCCGATATTATCTAACTCTTCGGGTGTCATATCTGACGGTGGTTTGTAATTGAAGTGAAGATCTAGAGTGGGTAGTTGAGGTTCGGATTTGCTCTTGGGGCAACTCGTGTTTTAAGTCATGGACTTCGGCAAATAGCGGGGTAAATTGGGGCCAAAGGACTCAAGTTGTCTTGGAAGTAAAAGCGCGGTTAACACATGCCAGTTACCTATTACAGCTGATACTTGCAGATCGCATGGTAGTGCCCGTGAAGAAAAGATCATACACCAGACCATCCTCTCGGACTATATACATCCAATGTTGGAACCATTTTATTTACAAACAAGGCTCTAAGTATTGTTAGGCTACTCTATTTAGAAGCACACTTCACATCGAGCAATTTTTCATCAACCTGTACAGAAAAATAAGTTAGCGAAGGTTCTTGGAAAGTCCACGGGTTACACCGATCTTCAAGATAAACCTACATTTGTGCACGTGAACTGGTCATCCCCATCAGGGCTAAGAACATCAATGTTACTAGCATGGATATTTGAGCAAACCTATAAAAGTTAGATCATGAGTTATAACCTGTGGTGTTCGAGTACTTACGTCGGGACTCGAGCAGACAATCATTCCCACATAAGGGTCACGTTTACCAGAGGTGGAGCCCTTGATATTCTTGAAAACAACATCTTCAATGACAAGTTTGCTCTGGCGTATTTGTTAGTGTTTGATAACCAGAAACAAGTGATCATGATGCGTTTAAGGTTCTACAAAAGCCAATAATAACCAAAAGAGATGGACACGTACCGGGAACTCGTTGCAGAGAGTCAAATTCTTCTGGCCATAGCATTGGGTCACTTCGATAGCGTAGTCGACATTGTCAATTGTCATGCCATCGTAGGTAATGTTCTTCACCAGGCCGGATCCACCGCCGCCCTGGAGATCGGTAGACAACTCAGCGGAAGCCCCAGGCCACACTTTGATACGGGCACCATCCTTCATGAGATTGTTAGAAACGTAATTATCTCACCCGCGGTATTAAACTTACCGATGCGTTGAACATGGAGATATTGGACACAAGCACATTCTGCACAATATCAACCTCGCCGGGGTACTGGCCCAGGGATCCAACGGAGATACCGTGGGAGCCGTTACAATGAAGGTTCTGAACTAGAATGTCGGTAACATTGGGCTTGAACGAGACGCAATCTTGGACATTGTTAGTAAAATAGATCGCGTCAATCATCTTTCAAGGTAACTATACCGTCTCCATTATTGATCACGGAATTCTGGATAACAACATTGGTGGAACGATAGAGGTCCCTAATGAAATATTAGTTAATTGAAACCAGCTCCTCTTTTAATACAGATAGACATACCATCCATCAGTGTTCTTAGCCACATTCTTACTGCTGCTATACCCGCTAATATCGATTCCGTCGAAGAGAATGTTGGATGAGTTCGCCACAAAGTGATACCACTGAGGCGAATAACGAAGGTTGAGAGGTCCAATGGTACCACCGTTTAGCCCAATTATACCCACCAAAATTGGACGCAGGATGAGGGGGTCTTTCGCATATAAATCATACCAGACTTGACCATTACCATCCAAAGTGCCGTCACCATAGACATTGACATCTTCACCACCGATCTGGAAGAAGGTTGTGGCGTTTTGGTAGACATGACTGAATGCATTCTTTTGCCAATAATCTGTGTCGTCGCTAAATTGGACATGGCCTTGGATTTCTATTACAGGTTGCGTAAGTACTTCACTCATCTCACAAACAACACGAAATACTGTACCAAGATCCACATGCTTCAAGAAGGTCATGTCAAGTGCCTTTCCAATTGTATATGTCTTTCCGGCATCAAAGACGACCTTTCCTCCGTTGTTGCATTTCTTCAATGCGGAAAGAACATTGGCTGAGTCGTCGAGTCCATTGCCGTGGTTGGCTACATGACACGTGCGAGTTCTGGCATGGCTGGCCGGAAGGGGCTTGAACGCATGGTGCGGGTGGCACGCCTCGTCTCGAGACTGTCCCTTGGCATGAACTGTGCCGCTGATTGACAACCAGATTCCCAAGGCCTGGGTGAAAGTATTTGAAATCTTCATCGTCGGTATCAAGAGAGTCTAGCGTTCTTGAGTTGGATCGGCGACCTTCCGGTTGTAGACACTTTTCGAGCACTTCCAGGACAGTTTATATAAAGTCTCAGAATTGACATTGCATTTCCTATGTTACTCCGATCTAGCTCTCCCAGGATCGACGCTAAACACCGCTCTTTGCGTTCAGCGGTGGGGTGACCCCATCTCCTTCAATTTGCTCCGGGGAAACAAGCTAGCGACTCCGTGAGGAGTGGAGAACCCGGGGTATGATCATGTCTTGTATGGTGAGCTTCAATCTCGTTGAGGAGCAGACCGGAGATACATTGACTCTGCGTTACGTGAGTGTGGTCCCCAAGTAGGTCTGATAGGAGGAATACTTGACGTGATTTTTCCGATTGGGAGGAAAATCCCGGATAAATCGGGTAGAGCTAGTAGACCCGAAATCCAATGTAGTCCAAACAAATGAAGCTAGACATCTTGCCGTAGTCTTCCGAATATCTACTAGACATAGATGGTGTAGTTGGGATTACAAAACAAATGCTACTGGACCTCGGGAAACCCTTCGGAATTATTGGATCTCTCACAGAACGGTAACCAATCACTTTGAAACATGCTTTATATGTACAACAACCATCCAATAAAAGGACCCGACTGCACGAGATGAAACACCGATCATCTCAAGCGAGCTCATTCAACCCTGAGATTCTCCTAAGATTCACCTCGACGCGGGTAAGAAGTCCCCTATAGATACCGATCTAGATGTATCAGGAACACTTTTCCGAGTTCCGCTGCCGTCGACACTGAATCCATTTTATATCTAAGTCGACTTCTCAATAACCTTCTTCACGGTGCCCTCAGCAGCATGGGCGGTAGCCTTGATGGAGTCAACAGCTTCGTGCTCAATCTCCTTGGCGGCTTCGATGGTCGACGCGGACTGGCTGCGCTGCCACAGGAAAATACGAGTGACCTGGACGGCACCCACGCATCCGAGGAAGAAGTTCACAGTCGCGAGCCTATAGAGTTATATCGTATTAGCATTGATACCCGGCGGGTCTTTTGTCCGGTTCCACATACAGGACGTTACGGGGCTTGATGATCAAGCACCAGCGAGTCCAGATGGCACCAGTGCCCATCAGAGCCGCATTCTGGGTGAGGGAGAGCTTTTCAGCGGGACGAGCGAAGTCGGAGACACCGGCGAGGACCAGGGCCCACTGTTGTAGGTAGGTATGTTAGCCAAACTGCTCGGCAGGTAGACGGAGAAGACTCCTATGGTTCAACGGCGTTTGATGGAGATATTGTTTCCGGAAGGATAGCTGGGGATGTAGGTGGAGATGGCATATCAGATGGGAAATCGAGTCATCGTACCTTCATAACCGGGGCCCTGCAAAACACGGGGTTAGCATCAATTCGTAGTAGTGAATAGCGTGATCAGAATGCTTACCAGAAGTGGACAGTCTTCACACCAACAGGGCTGTTCCATAGGCGCTGGAAGACGGTCTGCTGCTCCGCAGCACCGGCTTCGGAGCTCTGCCAGCGGAAGCCCTGGGCACCCGGCCGGCGGAATGGCGCAGAGGCATTGCGGAATGCAAAGCGAGTGTTGTTCACAAAGCGGAAACCCACGCGAGACGACATGGTGATAGCTGGGATGTTGGTTCTGGTGAGAGGGAAGATAGATGCACGTCCGGTGATCGGTGAAGGGGGAGTTTTCCGTTGGGAAAGGTAGATAGGGTAATTAACCACCACAACAACAGGTAATAAAAATTTATTTTATAGAGTATAAAACGGCTACTCTCAAGTAATTGATAGGATCTTTTTGAATTAATTATCTCCGGCTTACTGTGTCTCCAGCGCTGTCGCTCCCTAGCTATGACGCTTCACAGAGGTCGAAGCTGATGTAAGCATACCGCGCTAGTTTATATTGGGACTAGCGGGATTATGGCTCTGCGCAGCGAATCAACGCCGTCGTGAATAATGCACTGCATCGCAGACTGTCCAGCAAGTCAATTCCACACCCACGCTTATCCTCCTGTGGCTTGTCCGAGACCTCCATTTCTCTAATCCTTACATCCGATTGACCATCCTGCCACCATGTCTGGCAAGTACGTTTTCACTCAGGGCCTGAAGGAGCTCCGCTTCCTCTTCTGCCAAACCTCCGAAGCGAGCGCGGCCACAAGGTGCGTACACCCCGACCCGAGGCGAATTGTGTCCCAGTCCACTGATTGACCTTCTTCTGTGCCTATAGATCCTTCCTGAACCGGGCCTACCCGACTATGAAGAAGCACAACCCCCAGACTCCCATCATGATCCGCGAGGCCGCGGGCACCCAGCCCCGAGTCTATGCCCGATATGGTATGCCAGCCTATAAGCCCAATTGTGTGGGCTCTCTATACAAGCGAGCCACGCTAACGTTGCATGTTCCTCCCAATAGCTTTCGGCCAGGAGAAGCAAGAAGCGCTGTCCGGTGATTATCCCCCGCCATAATTTTGCACCAAGTCGCAATACTAATTGATGTTCCTAGGCCTGTCGGACTCCCAGATCGAAGAGCGCATTACACAGTTGGTGAAGCAGCAGCTATAAATCGTTTTGTTTCTCTGCCGACCTATTTTATGCCCCCCCGCGTTCCAACCGTTCTACACCCATCTTCTGTACCTATAGATGAAATCGAAGCTCATATCCAAAACAAATTCCAATTCCAACTCTACTTACAATGATTTAATGCTATATCATAACGCGCTAGCATTACCAACCTCGCCAAACCGATACTGCGCCCAGCTCATACTCCCCTCGGGGAGTGTCCAAGTCCTCTTCCCTAGATCCTCGCCCGCGGCACCAGCCCCAATATGAATAGGCAGCAAATGCTCAAAGGAAGGATGAGCCTGACGTGCATCTGGTCTCTTCAACAGCTCAGCCATAGCCTTCTGCCGTTCAGCCGGCGCAGTCGTCACGGCATCCTTAAGCGCCTGATCAAAGCTAACCGCATATGGCATCGGGGTTGAACTGCCAAACGCAAACCGCAGATCGCGTAGATTATGCACAGCCATTCCAGACACGATGATCAGAATATTCTGCTCGCGGAGACTCGCGACTGCCTGTCCGAGCCGGTAGTGCTGGTCTGGGTCTTCGCTGCCGAAAAGCGAGACTTGCACGATGGGCACGTTCAGTGGGTTTGTTTCTGGCTCGAAGGCTGCATCGCCATCAGCATTGAATTATCTTTTCGGTGGAAAATGTCACATACCGCACTTGAAGCTAACCCAGACGCCGTGGTCGAGTCCACGCTTGACGCCCTCTGCTGGGATCTTGGCTTCCTCCAATAACCTGAGTACTTCACTCGCTACCTCCTTGCTACCCACATGCGGGTACTTCTCTTTATAGTAATGGGTCGGGAAACCACCGAAGCTAAATCCAGTTAGTTTGGAATTTGCAGGATAGCGTTGGGATTACTATATCACACATACTCATAGATCAGATCGGTTTTCTCGGCGGTATTCACCTGGATCGTATTTCGGCCGGCCTGCCAATGCGCTGAGAATACCACGACAGCCTTCGGCTTGACCTTGGTTGTTATCTCGCGCCCGGCCTGGGCGAGCTTCACGTATGCCGGGTGGTCTACGTCGTACATGATGTTTGGCTAATAGACAACAAATCAGCGTTTAGTTCATGGTAAAAACCGGAATATGGATAACTCACCCCGCCATGGCCGAAGAAGTAAACGGGTGTCTTCATGTTGGTTTGTACGTGAGCGCTAGTAGCTGCGTCTGGTTGCCCTTTCAATGTCGGGGCTGCTGCAACAGATGCTGAAGCTGATAGAGGTGCTGCCACTGAGCGCGCGGAAGACCCAAAAAGACGTCGGAATCCGAACAGATTGGCGGTGTCTCCCCGGAGGGAGGTAATAAGTACAGCGACGATGACAGTTATAAGAGAGATAAGAGCGAGTTTGCTTCCGCTGAATGAATTTGGTGTTTGTGTTTCTGAGTCGTTATGTTGGTTTGATTCGGAAGACATATATGGCTTGTTGTGATTAGAGCCGGTAATGTACTTCCTAGGGCACAATAAACAGCGGTCTTATTTTATATTTGATCTCCAAAAAGACAAAAAGAACTTACTATCAAAATATAGCTTATTAATTCAGATAATTTGAGAAGCGCATAGAGCCGATCATAAGGCCGAGTCTTGGAATTAAATTTGTGTCAGCGCGGAATCTATCCGCGGACATATATCCGCCCTACGGCAGTGGCTCGGATTTACGGATATCTAGGGTTAGGATATGCATTGGACAAGTATTGAAGTTGTTCAACAATCTATTAATGTATACAGATGCGACCATTCCGGGATATCGACTCCATGTCCAGTCATGCACATCCCATTCGTGAAAAAAAAAGGAAAATGGGAGAGGAAAGAAGGAAAGAAAGAACAAATCGAAGTAGAAAAGGGTGTAGAAAAGGGTGTAGAAAATCGGTAGGAGGACAATAGGAAAAGTACAATCTCCATGCAGTCCAGAATCTAAAGATAAGCGTTCTTGACCGAGGTAGAATACATCAACCGCCGGTGATCATGAGGGAAAAGGCACAAGCATGCCGTATCGAGAGCGTAGCAAATCACGAAAGGACGAAAAGATCCAACTACATGAGAACACAATCCCCATCACTCTGCTTGTTAACAGCCGAGCGTGAGAGGCGAGTCTTTTGCATTCGGCTTCCGCCCTTCTTGAGATCTTCAAGACGCTCACGAGCCTTGGGGAATCCTTGAGCTGGGAAAGAAAAGAAAGGTCAGCTGAGGTTAAGGAGAAAAATAGTCATATGGAAGCCAACTCACCAGCTGCGCGCCAATACCATCGCTTTGCGTCATCCAAGTTAGCAGCAGAGCCAATTCCGACCTCGGTGAAATATCCCATTGCATATTCGGCCTTGGCAAGGCCAGCGGTGGCGGCCTTGCGAGCCCACAAATAGGCTTCGGTGTCATTCTGGGCGAGAATGCCCTCTGATCCGGTGAGATACCAGCCACTAAGGGCGAGTTCACTCTGGTGTTCACCCTGGGCCGCAGCACGAGTATACCAAATGATACTCATGCGATTATCAATGGGGCATCCCATCAGACCATATTCGTAGGCAGTACCAAGTCTGAATTGAGAGAACTTGTAGCCAAGCTCGGCAGCTTGATGGAATAACTGGGAGGCATACTGCTCGTCGCGGACGATGATATCGTTGGGGCCAGCGTTCTGATACATGAGGGCAAGCTCATGGAGTGCATGCGGGTTCTCCTCGTCCGCACGGTCAGCCGCCCGCTTAAGCCAGGATACACCCTCGCGGGGATTCCGAGCTTGACCCAGAAGGCCCTTTAGATTAATCATTCCCATTTTGTACATAGCGGGTGTATCACCGAGCGCAGCAGCACGCTTGTACCATTGAACGGCCTTGAATGGATCACGCTTGGTACCACCACCTTCTTCTTGGCCGATTTCGCAGCATACGGCGACACGGTACGCGGATTGTGCGTGTCCCTGCTTTGCAGCAGACTGGTATAGTGAGAATGCTTCTCTGGGGTCTACTTCCAGTCCCAATAGGCCTTCGCCGTGGCAGTCGGCCAGGAAAAATTGGGCTTCAGAGTACCCGGCTGAAACAAGCTTTTTGACAATCTTATGCGCGTCCATTATGTACTTCTCCTTGGCCTTCGCTTTGGTCTTCGGATCTAGTCTGCTGTCATCCCCTACTAGAACGGTAGATGCCTCAACCAGCTTTTTGGCGAGTAGAAGTTGGGTCTTATGGTCGGAAGGGTTCCCTCGCGCCTTCTGTTGTAGCCGCTGTATCTCTTCTATTGTGACAGGCACATGAGCTGTTCCACCAGGCGGCACTGTTGGCTGTGGAGCAGCGGGAGCTGGGACAGATTCGGGAGCGCTGTACTGCCGAACCGGTGGAGGTTTTGACGCCTGGTCATGACCGGGGCGGAATGGGGCTGGGTGGTGAGGAAGGGCATCGGGGTTCTGGTGAGGAGCTGGGCTCTCGGCTGGGTTGTGGTAGCCGGGCTGGGTGGTCTGGACCGGGGAAGGACCATGTGAGTATCCCGCATAATCTTCGTAACCATTCGGCTGATACCCAGCAGAGCCTGGGTGATCATAACCGGGAGCATGGGAAGCTTCGCCGGGAATGCCAAACTGGAATCCCGCGTTTTCAAACTGATTGGTACTGCCCCCCTGTTGTAAATTTGGGTCCGATTGGGAGCGCATAGGATCCACCCCATTGGAATACGAGTAGTCTCCAGGCGAAGAAGTCGGACCATGCGCAGGCTTCTTAGCTGGTGTTATTTCCAACCCCATCTCATCAATCGTGGGGCGCTGATGAGCCTCTATGGCATCAAAATTCGGCATCTCAGGTTCATCGGCAGCACCACCACCAGACTCATAATAGCTGTCCAGAAATTCCTTGGGCGCATATGAAACACGGTTGGCAGGCTCCGGGGGTATCATTAATCCAGCGGGTGGAATGATTAGACCTGGGTCTATATCGTTGGGGGCACGAGATCGTGGTGGTCGCATGCTTCCCGCAGTATCAGGGCGCATAGGAGGTTCTGGATAATCTGTTTCTTGATAGGTCGACTGGCCTGGGTAGAGTGGTCCGCCTTGGGCGAGCGGCATCGTTGCGCTTCTTGATGGCGGAGGCATCGGCCCCATGGGGTCTGGATAGTCTCTATCAGATCTATTTGGTCTCCCTGAGCTAGCAGCTCGCACTGGGCCCATTGGATAGCCACCTCGGCCCCGCCCCGGTGGAGGTCCACGTGGAGGTGGCTGTCGCATATCCGGGCGTCTTCCATTGGAATTCGAAGTGTGCGGTCTAGGTGGGCCTCTTCCATTGATATCCATTGCAGCCATGTCATTTTCTAGACCCCGCGGTGGCGGACCACGCCGATCCCTCGGGTCTCTTTGGCCTCTAGGGTCTCGCGGGTCGCGCGGGTCTCTGGGCGCCCTCGGATCTCTTGGGTCTCGATTAGGAAAAGAGGGAAATGGATTGTCGAAGGTACCGCCTGGGGGTGGGCGTGCACCAGCTTGAAGTGGATTAGTAGGCGCTTTGCGGTCTCTTTCTGAATTAACATACGTGTTCTTGACCGCGATTGCGGGGGTGGTCTTCCACTTCCGTTAGGAGGATAGCCACGTCGATCATCGTATCCAGGGCCTGGGGGTCGTCCATATCCCGGGCCTGGTGGTCCTGGTGGTCCTGGTGGGCGCATCGAGCGCGGCTGAGATTGCGCAGCAGCGTATGGTTGCGAACTGGAGGAGCTGGACTGGTAACTGTATGCCGTATCGTCGTAACCCGGATCGGTGTGCTGGTAGCTACTCATCCCACTGTCGCTGTATCCTCCGTGGGAACCATCTTGTGAATATCCTCCTGGTGATGCCACGGAAGGCGGAGCGGGGTTGTTGTATTGTCGCAAAGGCGGCGGCCTCTGCGCAGGATGTTGGGGGTATGACATGGCCGAGAAGCGTACTATACGATAGTGCCTCGAGAAATCTCCGGCCACTCAAGGTGAAAAACTTGTAGTCGCATGCAAGGAGATAGTTCGGTAAACTCCAGGGCTGCAAATTGGAGTTAGCTCCTCAATTTCATGATCCATGGGTATAAGGCAACCGGAACTCCACATCCTTACCTTGCGCAATAACTCCAATAACGCGCCTCAAGCTTGAGAGCTAAGCACCTGAGGTGGTCAGAAGCCACTCAAGTGTATTTGAAAGTAAATGAAGCGGGCAGAATGATTTAGGGGTGATCGCAGGTGACTTTTTTTAAAAAGAGTCTCTTGACCCACTGGGGGTTCCCATACATATCGGTAATTTGTGTAATTAATCTCCTTTTTTGCAGTTACAATCTATTGGTTCAATTTCTGATTATCCACCTAATTTCCTTCCAGGGCTATTATTATACTCTATGATTGAATTAAAACTTATCCTCCCTTTGATACAATGTATACTCTATAGTTGATGTATCATTATATGATTAAGTCCGTTGAAAACTAATTTATCCCACTCGGTGCCTGGCGATCAGGGGTTCGAAGATGGGTCCTGCAGACTCTCTCATCCTGCAAGCCTATCGTAATAAAAATTTCAATGCTGACGGGACTTTTCTGGCGAGTTGTCTACAGGTGCTTCCTAAAGTCCCCGGTGCCCTATTAACTGTCCGTATTGGCCATTATGCCATCCAAAGACAGGGTTTACCTGCCCATGTTACATAGATCCTACATACCATAGTAGGTGGCCTTGAGGTCAAACAATGATGACTAAACCAGACCCTGTGCACACGTGCCCACCTGAGTAGGTGCCCTGGGCACCATTGCAATTGGGCAGCACTCTCGAGGGCTGCCATGCCGGTATTCCGGAGGTATAGACTTTGTAGGTTAGTAGCACATGAGAACATGGAATGTCTCCACATCTGGGAACAATTCCTTGCTACGTCACAGTCAATGAAGAAACAGACAAAGGTGGACAAAAGTGTGGGGGGGAAATAAATGATGTGAAACACACTCGATTGGGCTAAGCGTGTTACTGCGCCACATCAACTGCGCCACGCCGCCTCCAAGAACAAATGAGAGCCGCGATGATGTTGATGATCTCCGTCGGCCTCAGCACCTCTATATCTCCCCGAGTCATCCGAGATCCATATCGTCATACCGAACCCTTGAATCGGTAATCAATATCCGTGTTTCGGATTTCCCAGTATGTCTCGCGCTGGATTGTGGGCGAAGACCATAGCCGGGTAAGTGGCACCGCCTGCACCGCGACAAAGACTTGTGCTCACATTCGGTCCTCATCATAGTGGCCTTCTCATGGTCGTCGGTGGCCCCGCTCTTGTTCAATATATCCGACCCACCGACGAAGAGCTCAGGAAGCGATATAACCCGGATCTGCGGAAGCGCAGCACCGAGCAGGGAGAGCGTCGGGCACAGGAATTCGATGACTACGTCAATAAACTGAAGCATTGGTCTAAATCCGATAAGTCCAGTATGTCATTTACTCGCAATTCACCTTAGGAATTATCAACCCTGTGGAATTGGCTCTCCTGAGGCTTGAAAGTGATCCGTGGCTAATGGTTATGTGTTTTTTTAGTTTGGTACGCCGCTCAGGAAGAATTAGACCAGAAGCAAGCAGCATTGGAGGCACAACGCGCACAGGAGAAGGAACAAACTCGGACACAACGGGAGGAGATGCGCAAGGAGATGCTGGGTGAAAAATGATCCCCCCGACGAAAACCACCGCACCTCTGATCTGTGATCATGCTGTGTCTGAACGACAGAATGTGATCTTCCTACATCCCCGAACCTCCTCCACCTTTCCTGCCATTGACTCAATTGCTCCTCCCATAACTTTTTCCTTCATCCTAGGGCTTCAAGGGTCCGAGGTTTCTGCACTATCTGCAATCTTGGATATCCTGGGTGTATGTCATGATTTTTATTGGCTGTACGATACGTTTGCGACTCTACTCTCATATTTGCATTCACGGCCTCAATACTGGAGGCCTACATCAATGTACAACTACCGACTTTCAAACTTTGTCTTTTCAATACCATAATCTAAAAACAATGTCGTTCTACCTCAATCACGCAACATATATCTACATATTGTTAACCTTAGCTGTAAAGCTCATATTGTGGATCTGGGTAGAACTATATACATTAGCTGGGCTTCTAGTTGGCCAATAAGCTGGAATATTGATCACACTGATATGGTGTACGCAGATATATATATTAAACAAAAGCCCCTAGCTAATGTCGCTAGAGCGTGAAAAATGTACGGTATGTATATATAAAACTCCCATGAAAACATAGTAATACAAGGATGTTGCTGGAAATATGCATAGCCAATGCTATATAACCTTGAACATGAATACAGCGGCACCGATAGGGATCAAAACTCCCAGCATGGTAAGGATACCAGCACCAGCTTTCTCACCACTTCCAATCGTCCGAGTTCGAACATCATTTTGTTCTGTATTTTCCAACCCATCGTCCTCACCAGTGCCTTTGTTTCCCTTACTTGTCCCTCCAGTCTTCTCTGTGACAGGCGGTTTAACCCTATGCACCAAGTTAGCTTTGAAGATCTCTAAAGCTGCCATCTGCTCGCCGATCCCAGTGGTGCTCTTGTAATTCGTGTGATCGGTCCAGATCAGCCCGCAGGCATTATCGGGCCCATTGCATTGCTCTGCGGCAGCTAATGCTGACGTTTGGATTTTCGACCGCAATAGCTCGTCAGTGAATGGCGCCAATGGAATTGTCGCCCCCATGAATCGTGCCAGATAGGCTTTGAACGACCGTGAGTTGAGGTCGCATTTCACTGTTTCACAGGGTTGGGCCATTATATCCTGGTTGTTGGGGAAGAATGTTCCAAGGGCGCTGATAATGCCTTCTATCCGTTCCCTCCAGACATCAGACCCGTCTGTCTGATCATAGTTAGCAAACAGTCTATTTTTAGTCAGATTAGAAACATCTGATACACCCCAAGTACTCACAATATTATACATATTAGCAGCCCCATGAAGATATACCGCAGGCAGATATGCATGTTGCTCATGATTGATGACGGAACAATTGGTCGAGATATCGGCACCATCAAAAATATGATACTCCTCGCCAATAAATCCCACCGCAGCTGTCCAATCCCAGATTTTGTTGGCCCAATCGGTGAAGGTATTGTTCCCAGTATACCGAGCCAATCGGGCAGCGACGTTGAAGAGCCCACCATTGGCAATAGTATTCTTATACGACCAGCCTTTATTATACTCAAAGGCCTGCCAATGCAAGCCGCCACCACAAGCGCTATTATCCCAGCGCGTAGCCTGCGAGTTGAACACATTCTGCACAAGCGATAGCCATTGCGGCTGGCCTTTCGGGGGATCGGGATATTTGAGCTCGGCAGCCGACATGGCTGCAAAGCCCCAGAAGATCTGGTCATCATTTCCGAGCGACAGCGTCTGGTTTTGCGGCATGTAATTATTGTCGTCGCCTACTTGGTGGAGTAGAGCTTGGGTGGTGATCTCGTTCCACTTGCCATCGCCAGTGTAGTACCAGTATTCGACCATTGCGCCAAACATCGCCCCAGCTTCCCACCAGTAATATGGGTCGGGGATGTTTCCTGGTACATCGCCGGGACGGTTACCTGTATAGTATTGCAACATGCCTGCTGCGGCAGTTTTGGCAGCGGCTTTGATGGATTCTAGGTCCTTTGGAGTAAGCAATTGACCATTGTATGTGGTTAATATACTCATTCAAACATACCATCGTTTTTCAAGTCAAGCTCGATAGACGCATGCGTTATTTGGGGCCCCAGCGTGGATAGAAGCAAGATTATGACATTGAATGGTTGTGTTGGGTATCTCATGATGGGAGGGATCGGATCGATACTAAGATACACAAGGCAGAAGAGACCGATCGGAATTTGAAAAGAACTCTTAGACGCTAAGGGTACCTAAAATTAGTTTTCGTTCCATTGCTATTGCTATCACCTTGCTTGGAAAGACCAAGGGCCAAGCAATCCGAATAGCGGCCCCGGGGGCTGCGATGTGCTCATGAAGGAACGCATTTTCTTTAACACCTCAACAGTGGTTCGTCACCGTATCATGTGGCTTCTGCCTATTCGTGTATGCTGGGAACAAGAACAGTCTTGTGCAGGGGTAGGTGCTCACGATGAGACAGCGGTGAGATAATTCGTCAAATAGCAAGTAGAGATCGACAGACGATGAAACGGAGCTGCCTATAGCATCGAAAAAGGATTCGGCATTATGTACTTTGTACACAGGCTTATATGTACCCAAGTGTAGGCACTAAGCTTCAGTCTTGTGACCGAGCCTCTTTGCTCTCGAGTCACCATAATCACCTCGAGCATTGGAGAGGGCTCTCATTTGGCAGATATAAACAATAACCAGCCTGTAGATCTAGTTGATGACGGGAGTCATGTGTCGAGATACAGTTGATGAAGTGGAAGCACAGCTACCGCGTCGATGCACAAGATATGGGTAGCTAGACCTTAGCTGTGAAAGTGGTTCCCTTCGTGGGGTACACAACGTGCTACGATCTCCCCGCAATGCGCTAAACGCGACGAGTAAGAAGTACATACCACACGAACCAAATTCGAACCTTCCACGCTAAAAAAGGGTAGTTTGCCAACTTTTTTATAGCCAGCTTTAGTGTCACCATCGGAACAGTCATGAAAGCGGCATAGCTCATCGTAGCGGTTTTCCCAACATCCCTACCTATTCTCAAGGGTACGTAGTATAGGTTATGGTAGACACTAATAGGGAATTGCGCTGACCAGTGAGTTGACGACATTGACCACCGCAGCCTACTCAGTAGCAACCTGTGACTACTACTAGCTATGAAATTGAACTATGCAAGATGATAAAATGCCGCCAAACTATGCAGTATTGCTGCCCGTCAAGGTATATTTGATGCATCATTATGTATTCCAGAAGTGGACCTGGGTTGGGGTTGTTAATGCTTCTTCTGCGCAGATCGCTGCGGTTTTGATGACTGATATTTACACCAGATCACAGCAGCAAGCAGCACCATGAACCCCACAATCAAGTTATATCCCCAAAGGCCACTTGCCATGCCTCTCTGATCTTGACCAAGTCATAGACCAGCGGAAACATTACCCTCGCCTTGTGCGAGGGCCTTCTCAATGAAGTTCTCCAGATCATCAACTTCCTCGGGGGTCGCCGAGTGACCAAGACCTCTATAATTAGGGATATCAAATTAGCGGATGATCATAACCCGGAACAACAGCGACGAAAAACATACTCATATTCGTTGAAGGAGACATTCTCTAGGCCAATTTCCTTAAGTTTAGCCGCTGAGGCCTTTCCAGAGGAAAACGGAACAACCGCATCCTCGAGACCATGGGCAAGGAAGAAGGGGGTCTTCTTGTTGGCCCACTCCTCGGGCATATAGTTCTTAATCCGATCGCTCAGCAGCATGTAGCATGACAGACCAAAGACACCGCCGAGCTTTTCCTTCTGGGTGATGCCGGCGAACACGGACATCGCACCGCCCTGAGAGAACCCGCCCAGGATGATCCGCGAAGGCTTGATACCGTTATTGATTTCTTTCTTGATAAGGGAATCGAAGTACTCGCGGGAGCGGAGAATTCCAGGTTCGTCTTGGGAGCTGATGGATTCCTCTAAGGTCAACTAGATAGAAGGAGACGATGGTTAGCGCTGGCAGATTATTTAGCGATTTTGGGGATGGAGGGCTCACATCACCGCCGAGCTTGGAGATGTCGTACCATCCGGGCATGCGGCTGCCGAAGTTCTAATCGAAACCAGTTAATCAATATTGCATTGCCGACATATATTGAGGCCAACTTACAATTGTGATGGGGATTTCGGGCGCATTAGGGAAGACGAAGGCCACCTCGTTGAACTTGCCGCGGCGGCGCCAGGTTTGGGCAAGGGACACCCTATTGGAAATCGATGGTTAGAGGCAAGGCTCATGGGCTTAGCCCAGATAAACAATGGGCATTTTCATACCATCCGGCACCACTGTATTCAAACACTGTTAGACTTGATCCTATCGTCTATCTGCTTTTGGCGATCCATGTACTTACGTATCTCCTAACCCGTGGGCCATAATAACGGTGGCGGTGTGCTTTGTGAGCGCCGGAACAATATAGGGATCGCGAATCATATTGAAGGTTGATATGTTATCAGATGAAAAGAAAAATAACAGTTGAGCGAAAGGAAACTGGTGAGATTTCTCCGATGTTTGGTTCCCCCACGATTCTGCCGCCGGGGTTATCGCACTCTCACCGCCCACTTGATAACAGGATCCGAAGATGAACTCCAGGGCTCTTGGAATGGTTGAATTGATGCAGTATTAAACATTATGAAGGATATACCTACCTAGGCAAATAACAATGATATCCAGTGCTCACACCACTTCAATATTGTATAACTCCTGCTTCGTCGACTCAATGACCTGATTGACGAGATCAGCCTCCACAACCCCTTGCTGCCAAGAGATAGCCAACACCAAACACCCATCTCCACCAGTGACAGCTGACACCTCGATAGCATTACCCATCACACTAGCACATTGGGAAAACACCATACCCTTGATGGAAGGCAGCTCAGGGTTCGTCTGCGGCTCCAAAACGCCAACGTTCGACACCTCAAAGCTCTTATCGCGGTCCTTGCCAACCTTGGACAAACACAGTTCCTCTTGAAAATCGTCGACAAACTGCAACAGACTAGGGCTCGCATTTGCGCCTTCCATTTTCAAGACTGACTGGATTGTTTTACGCGACCGTCTGGCCTCTGCCCACGGGAAGGAACCGTCAGACGGCGCAACTGTCGCTCGGGAATACGTCTCTTCGTAATCCTGGACCCAGACGCCCATTGACTCATCGGTGATGACATCTGGCAACCAGCGCCGACTTGAGAGCGCACCGGTGCAGGCAAGCAGCGCAAACTCGGGCGGGATGTGCGCGAAGATGGAGCGGGCGATGATCGTCTGTAGAAGTGCAGTGATCGTCGTTCCCTCTGCTCGACATCTGTCTCTTATTGTGCTAACGAGTAGTTTGGAGAATGGCACGAGCCGTAGGCGGGTTTGAGAGGGGGCTAGGACCTTGGAGCCGGTCCATAGACCAGTGGGCCGTCGGGAGTAGATTTTTGCCTGGAATATTTTCTTGGCAAGATAGAGGAAGGAAAGAGACATTGGGTGCACGAGCTCGATATTTGGCAAAAGAGGGAGCCCCGGTGACTTGACGATGGATTTAGTCTGGTCCGGGGAGTCCATTGCCCCCAGGGCTCGTAGGAAAGTTTGGTGGAAGGCTTTTCCGGAGGTTCCATCGCCAATGGCGTGGTGATATACAAATGCTGCAGTGAATTGTCTCTCGTCCTCTACATCGAGCAAGATGCAGAGTCTCCAGAGGGGATTCGGAGCCTTGAAAGGCATGTTGTGCTGCGTTGCAAGCAAGGTTTGCAGATCAAGGTCTGGGGCAGGCTCGCCATTGGCTTCGGTACCCAACAGGCCCGGTTTTCTGTCTTGAAAAGAAACAACTTGGTCAAGATTAATCTCTGGCAGCCGCACAAAATACGGGTCTTGTGTATGATCGTCTGCCACGATGGCGGATAGCGACGGATGTTCCGCTATTGCGGCCTCGCATGCCTGATAGACATAGTCTTTCACAGGAAGCACAAATGTTTCTGGTAGGAAATATGTTGCTGATACAGCCACATTCAAATAAAATCCGACCTGGTGGCGCGACGTTGAATATTGTTCCAATCGACCTGACTGGTGTCAGGATTTGTTGAAGTTCGGAAAAGGTTTCCGACTGTTTGAGGATCTACTTACCAACGGGTCGCAGTATCTCAAATTTCTCCATGATAGATTATGGCCAGTGACTTTATAAAAATTCCCTCTTGCTTGTTGGATGACCAAGATGTATGAAGATAGACTTGGCCCCCTGATCGATTTTCCTTGTTGCTAGATATATATAGCTCAATCTACGCGCACACGTGACAGTTCAAACTATATCTATCTGGACCAGGAAAGGCGTTCCTCTAATGCTGTAAAAGGGCCGCAATGCAATGATTATATATAATTGTCGCTTGACTAAGTCAGTTACACCATACCTGGTTGTCAAATGATTCCGGTTGCAAGATTCTCGAAGAACCAGGATTGATCCCTATACGTGACCGAAGAGAAATGAGTCACAAAAGGAATAGGGTAATGGAGTATCCCTTAAGGACCGGCAAGTTATTAGATAGCTCTCTCGCAGGACTGAATTATTAAGTAATGAGTCAGTTTTTTTTTCAAACAGATGCAGTGTGATGGTTGACAGTAATTGCTTGTCGTCGATTTGCTTCTAAGATACCTCCCCAGTCTCTAGGCGCCTGAAATCAGATTCGGAATTCAATATTTCGTAGGTAATGTGGTTCTAGCATAGCTAGCAAGACGGTCTTTATTGTATTGCTGTGAGACGGGAACAATGGGACACAAGATATCATCATCATTATGTATCACGAAACTTTTAGACCAAATAGAGAAGGAAGTCGGAGAACCAGCCTTTACAGCGCGGCAATTCCACCGACGAGAGCAGCACCAATAACCCCCCAAGCAGCGGTTTGCATTGGCATAGCAGCACCCTTAGAAGTGGAGGACGAGGGGGAAGATCCACTCTGTGGTTGACCCTCAGCAGTAGACTCGTTGGCATTACGCGCAGCAGAATCCTTGGAGAAAGCAGTGGCAACGAGATTGGTGTTATTGCTACAGGCAGATGGTGTCTGGTATGTAACGTCGGAGGAGAATTGGATATCGGCGCACTGTATTGTATTAGTATACCGCAAAATGCACTAGGTGTGAGAAATGAACATACAGCATAGAGACCACCACTTGGGTCACCGTTGGTCTGTACCTGAAGTGTTGCGTTCATTCCATTGGTGAGGTTACGACCAATAAGTTTCTCAGTGATCTCGACATGAGGGAGACAGAACTCGCCGAGTCCTTTGACCTGGAAAGTTGGTGAGAGCACAATGTTGAAGTTGTCTCCTGGATCGTTGCCTAGAGCAAGGAGGACCTCGACGGCAGTCTGGGCATGGTGCATCTCAAGAGCGACGGGGAATGAGCCACCGGAAAGTGGTAGCTTGGTACGATTAGAGGATTGGCCCATTCCACCACAGGGAAAGTTGGTCATGGTATCCTCGTTGAAGCCACGGGAGGTGGGGTACATCAGCTTGAAGTGTGCGGCGGCCAGAGGCACGATGGCCGTGAAGGCGAGGAGGGATAACTTCATTGTGATGTTTTGAGGGGTGCAAAAAAGGCAGGAGTCAAGGGTAGAGAATAAATTAGAGAAGAGGTAGCCAGAAAAAAGAGAACTCACCTGGGCAGTACTTTGAACTCCTCTATACGAACTCCGCATATACAAGGTGAGCAAGTTAGCGGAACCTGAAAGAAGGGTCCACTTGTAAAGCCCATTGGATTTCGCATTTCGGCAATTATGAACCTTTTCCATTTGAGATTGTGCGTGCCTCGGTATCTTCCGACGCCAGTACTCTGTCCTATGAAGTGATATTTAGACTCATGCTCTGCACTCCTCTCCTATTTGCTTCTTTGCCACTGTATATTTAGCAATGATAAATCTGTATGAATCTGCACTCCAGCTTAATGTAATACACTTCCAATTTGAAGATGATTATATCTCAAATTACATTCTGTGTATAATTACATGGACCTGGTGTTTTGGCTCGGACTATACCTGCTTAAACGTAAATAAAAGCCTTACGCTAGCGCCAAATGTGGATATTACCCGTCAGGCTAGTCCAAACTCGGTTAGTAAATTAGCTCAATTGCGCGCGTTGGGCTTAGTCATCCGATTGCATGCAGCTCCCAGAGACAGCGATGCAAGTATTTAAGTGGAATAGAGGGGAAATGAGGGGTTTAATGATGACGAGAACAATTGAAATATCTCAACTCGGGAGAAGCGGGCCAATTCGTATCGTATTACCCCAAAGCATTATCCCCAACGCCAGACCAATGCTGTTCAAGGTCATAAATAATATCAACATGCAGTAAAATGTGTCAGATAAAATCAAAAGCTAAAAGTCCTCAATGTCCGTGCTCATTAGTTTGAATGAAGCGACCGACCGCTAATTCTCCGAGGAATGCGCCTGCAAGCACCGAGCAGAAATAGCCGATGTTCATAGTCATGACAGCTAGCATGCTAGACAATGCATTAGCACCCATCCAAACCAACATTAAGGAATATTAGAACACACAGTAGATATGATATACCCACAATACATAGGAATAGCAATGCACGCGGTAGATCAACGCTGAACCGCCAGGGAATTGGTCCGTGAGTGATGTTGTGCACAACTTTGACAGATTCCTCAACGCCCTGCGCAGTGATGAGGGATGCAAGTTTCGCGTCCGGGTCGGCGTTAATGTTGGCAGCTTCGGTGTTTTTACCAGCCACAGCGACATATCGTCGGTTGAGATGCGAGGCGAGCCAGTGGCGCTCCATGGTTGCTTTGAAAGCAATGAGGCATCGGTCGATGATAGCGAGAACAATCAAGAAAATACATGTCCCGGCAAAGCTACCCGAGGATGAAGGAGTCCAGGTATTGGAGAAAAGTGGTGTGTCGTGAGTGTTTGTGAATACCATACTCATGCTCATAGAGCTTGAGGAGCTCATACTGTGTGTAGAGCTGCTCATATCCATGCCTTCCATGATGAGAGAATCAAAAGAGTAGAATGAAAATTGGAAAACAAGAAAACAAAAAAACATGAAAGATGAACCTTGAAAGTTACACATTGACGCATTGGGTATGTAAACGGTGGACCTGCGAATTACTGTATCGGGTAAGCCCTTTTAGGCTTAGCGCCGCGATACGCCCCAATACGTAACCTTAAAAATATTTAGCCCTCGGTCATACAAAGCTGCTCCTCTACCTTTAGCCACTTTGCTCCGGGTTTCTCTTTATCTCGGGTCGAGCTCTGACGGACCTGTTGAGATAACATTGACTAACTGATCGAAGCAAGAGCCCGTTTAAAGCTCGAATCTGTGACCTAGACACGGAACTCATCCCACAAAGAGACAGCCGTCTCATCTACATACAGTCCAGCCTTCTTGAGGATGCGATTATAGTTCTTCTATTGTCGGAGGTGCTATGCTTCCTTGTCGACCGACCCGAAAGGGGGATGGTCTGGCATTTCCGAACCAGAGGAGGTTTTTGCTGATATTGATAATGGAATGCTTACTACATTTAGTGGTTTTACTCATTCAAAATCAGTTAGTCATTCATTCAATATCATATGGATGCTGGATCATTTCAAGTTTTGAGAGGGAGTCTTGGAGCTATGTTACGAAGGGAAATCTAGATATTATTGGGAGCTGGGGGTGACGAACAACTTCGTCTGCTCACCTTTACTCACCCTTTTGCTCAGTGGGCAAATGAGATGATATTTTGGGTGAATGTCATCAGGACGCTAGTGTATTAGGAACTACATGTCAATGTTGTGATACTGCAGTTCCTCGGAGGTTTGGCACCGACTCAAAGCCCGGCAGAGAATGATGGACATCAATGGACTCCTCCGCACGGAAACCACCAAATACTGCCATAGTGTTTGTGACGTGCGTGCATTAGCGTCCCTTGTCCGAGTTCAATTGAGAGATTACCGAGATGCCGATCTTAGTTCGATTGTGGGCCGAGTGGATATTACTCACGTTTTGACCGATCTCACGATGATACGTCAGACGCTAGAACTGCATAATATTCAAGCGCTTACACGAGCCCACCATAACCCAACAAATCCGCTGCCACCAAGGCACCTGACACATCACATCAGTGACATATCACGTTCAACCGATTGGAAAATTTGGCGGAATGGACCAGCAGTAGGTCTCTGCATGTGTTAATGTGGAGTTAATTTATTCATCACGGTTGTCCTGTTGTTACCAGTCACCCAGACGAAGCAGTATAAAGCCCCTTGCGACCCCCGGTTAACGGGGTCTTGTCTCATTAGGCTGACTATTACCGCTGGCTTCTATCATACTGCCGGAAATGGCAGACCTTGATATACAGTCCCTGGGGATAAATTTGCCCCCTGGCTACTCCATCCAAACGTAGCAGCTCGTCCAGAAATGTACAGACCCTGCTTGATCCCGAACATCCGATGACCTCTCTTTGGCCACAATTCATTACGTCAACGCCTGTTACAGAAAGGTACTGGTCACAGTTGACAGATATTCCACTATTCGTCTCCTACCAATTGATGATTCTCCACAAAGATGTGCAGAACGGCCACGAATCAGTGGTGGCATGTGGAAATTCAATTCCAGTCCGTTGGCCACTCAATGACTTGCCCGATGGGGGATGGGAAGCTACCCTGCAGACTGGCATTGAGAACTATCACGCCGGTCATAAACAGCCTCCCAATTTGCTGTTCGCCCTCAGTGTCACGGTGAACCCTGCTCACAGACAGCAGAAGCTGACTGATATTCTCATCCGCACATTGAGAGGGCTCGGTAGTCAGGCCCATTTTGAAGCCTTGGTTGTACCTCTACGGCCAACTAGGAAGAGCCAACACCCTATAGTGCCTTTACAGGCGTACGTGAATTGGAAGCTTGATGATCATACCCCGTATGATCCATGGCTGAGGAAACACCTCATACACGGAGGCCAAATCTTTCGAATCGCTCCCCACAGTATGACAAACACCGCACACGCAGATCAGTGGAAAGACTGGACTGGATGTGACTTAGCCGCCTTAGCCAAATCAGGCGTGGAGACCTGCTCAAATGGACATGTTGACGTGCCTATTCCCGGTGCCCTGGTACCTGTCCAATATGACCCCGTCTCTAAGACTGCTTCGTATGTGGAGCCCAATATCTGGGTAATTCACCCAATGCATTAAAGTGACCTAATGTTGCGCATCTTGAATATGGCGCAATTGGAGGTTTCTTTGAAAATTGCAGGTCTGATGTCAAGTGCTAAGGCCCATGGCGTCACGCATGGGGATTATAAGAAATCAAAATATCAATCTTTTTACACCGCACTTTGTACCACAAATTGGAGAAAATGTAGTTTCTCTACATGCAGACTCCGAATTTTTGCACTTACGAGATCTAGTGTGAGCACTTTAGCAGCATTCAGACCTTCGTATTCCTAAATTTTTGTTACATATAAAGAAGGGGAAAGAGTAGCGGAACGAATAGGGTGATATAGAGACTAGAGTGATGAAGATCGTGGGAGCTTTAAATCTGATATCTTGGGTGACTACCTGACCATCATCCATTAATACCACTAACAACTCAAGTGCTTGGTTCGAGCACAGCGACGCTTTGCGGGTTATGAAAAACGTCTTGGGGATCAACAGATGTTTTAATCTTCATCAGTCTGGGGAGGCTTGGACCCCAGTACGCATCTTGAGGATTGAGTAAGGAGGGATCCACATGTCCTGCGTATGCCCCAAAGATGCCGTCTGGCATGCCTCCAGTGATAATACCAACAATACAGTTCACAAAATCCTGTGACTTTTGAGGAACGACTCCCATTCCGGCCACAGCAAACTGGCCCCAAAATAGCGTATCTCGATACGGATACGCCGTTTCGCCTTTGGGAACATTCAAAATGGCGCCGCCTCCGAGATGAAACGATAGGAAAAGCCTTCCTCGACCCTGAGCCCATGTACTCAAGAAATGGAATAAAGTATCGACAACAGCTGGCGGTAGAATGCTCTGCGCATTGAAGTTCAACGACTTCGCGTAGAAAGCTCGTGGCACACCGCCACCGAATTCGCGAAGCACATGGTTCGCCCAACTATCCACCAACTGCATCCAGTCTGATGTGACAGTGACGTTGCCTTGAATATCTGAAAAGCAGATGTCCAGGTTAAGGGCGTCAAAGCTCTCCCGTGTGCCGAAGAAGGTTCCCGATATCACTATCTTGTGTTCGAAAATATCAATCATGCTGTGCAGGTCCACCGGGAGAGCAGGATCTGCAACCAGCTGCTGCCAGGCCTTGAAGGTATTTGCCCTCACAACTGGATTGGTGGATTCGAGCACATACTCATACTGGACGGCCTCTGTGGGTGCCGGCTGCGTCCGCATCACGAACTCAGTCACAATCCCAAAGCTAGCACCGGCACCTCTTAGAGCAAAAAACAAGTCCTCGTGCTCTGTCTGAGATGTTCGAACGATCTGTCCATCCGCGAGGACAACTTGCATTTCGAGGATTTGGTCAATCGCTAGCCCCCATTGGCGTGAAGCGGGGCCCATACCACCGGTGGTAGCGTGTCCACCGATCCCAACATCAGGGCATGTTCCATGTGCCATTGCTCTTCCTTGTTTGTAGAGAAACCGCGCAATGTCTCCAAGATGAGCACCCGCCCCAAAGGTTGCAGCGTGACTCGACTCGTCGATGGAGAGATACTGTAGATTCTTCAAATCCACGACTACGGCTCCGTCGACGCCACCATATCCTGAAAGAATTAGCCTTTGAGTCAAGGCAGTCAGTTAGTTGGATTCATACCATGATTGGCGTAACTGTGCCCGCCACTCCTTGCCTGGACCTTATAGCCGGCAGCGGCAGAACGCTTCACTATTTCCGCCACTTGCTCGACAGATTGCGGAAAGGTGATAGCTTTGGGGGTCAATGGAATGTTGCGATTGAACACCGGAATTCCCTCAGGAGAAACGGGGAAGGTAACGAGAGAATCGTCGCTTCCAACAGTACGGAGCAGTTGCTCCTCGAACGAGATCTCACCCATAATCACTGTAGAGATTTCAATCTAGAAAGACGAGTTCACTTAATAAAGAACTGGCTACTTAAGAGCCTGGAGCCAAAGCAAGAATGATTAAGACAGATAGGATAAAAGAAACTCTGGTTGCTCAGGTGGTTTTAATTCTTTTCTCGCCACCTCAGTTAAGAAACACTTACCCACCACCAACTTTGGCACCTGAGCAAATACCGAAACACCGAAACGGACAATTGTACATCTGGACTAGCTCTAAAGCTTTGACAATCATTATACCAAACGTGTGTATTCGAAAAATGATAGTCATGATTCACACGAAAAGTCGCTCCTACTTTCTGATAGGCCAAATATGACTATGAGAATTACGTAGTTTTATGGGAAATGGAATATAGGCTATACCGAAGGAGTAGTACGACAAAATCCAGTGGTTTTGGAAGCAATATCTATGTTTGCCAGCTAATGGTTGACTATATGGTTGAAAACGACACCGGTGGACGTTGTTATTTTGTTAACTTTGAAGCATATTCACCAGCCATCCCTCCAAGAATGCAGATGCTAGTCACCATATAGGCACTCCCAACACATCTATGATAACTATCGGGGTTGTTTAAATCCATCAACAAGACCATGGAAAATAAGCTGCACCCTGTACCGCCAACTGCGAGGACAAAATATATAGGGCCCATGGAGGAACCGATACCCACTATACCCAGAAAGATCGTGATGGCCAGTGCCATAATATAAGCCAACAACCTGATTGAATGTCGGAAGCGCACTGCCATGCCCTTGACCCCAGCCTTGACATCATCCGCAGTATCTTGTCGTGCGTAGATGATATCGTACAACATCATCAAGAGCACTATTGAAAAATACAGACTCAATGTGGAGATGTGAGTCGGATAGGCCCAAGGATCCACACCGAGTGAATGTGTTGCCATAATGATAGCAAATGCGATGGTCAGGCCAAGCACGACCTGAGGGTAATTGGTGACTCGTTTGAGGTAAGGGTAGACCAAGGACAGAACAACGATGACAATTGCGTCGAACGAGCATTCGATAGGTAGCAATCGGAGGTTGTATACGCCTATGGCGGAGAGAACAAGTGTGAACAAAAATGCATTGGTGGTAGAGACGGCGCCTCTTGGAATTGGCCGTCCCTGGCTGCGCCCAACCTTGCGATCCAGGTCTTGATCGACAATATCATCCCAGGTGCATCCTGCGGAGCGCAGAATGATGCTCCCTGTCAGGAAGATCCGGGCGCGGTCTAAGAGCTCGGAGATGGGGAGGGCGTCGGGTGCGATACTAGCCGCGTAAATTATACCAATGAGGTACGGGAGATAGACAATAGCGAATCCAATGGGTTTGTCAAGTCGAATTAACTGAGCATACGGTACCCAAGGACTAGGGAGGACAGAGAGGATAGTCGAGCCACTGCCTTTGGGGGCCATTTTCAAGAAACAGGGACTTGGTTGACCATAGAACAAATATAGCCATTTTTGCGAAGAATATGGCTAAATATATGCACCTGTGGGAGCATTCTCATACTCCGTGTCTGGCACGGAGCATATGCCTACTGAGGTACTTATACCCACCTAGCTATGATTATGTGCCTAGGACTCTACACGGCTGACATTGAACTACTATAAAATAGTCACAGAATTTACTAGAATCAAAGCATTCCCAACTACACGGAAAAATCAAAGCAATCAACATGGATGGAAAGATTGACGTCCACCACCACTATTTACCCGAGGAAGTCGTGGCGAGTAGGTTTTAAATCTCTACAGAATCTATACAACGCTAACATACCCCAGAACTTGCTCGGTCTCTAATTGGTCAGAGAAAGCTGCCACCAGTCCCGCGTTGGTCACCCGAAGTGAGCAGCGAGTACATGGAAAAAGTTGGAACAGGCACTGCCATTCTGTCCTTCCCAATTACATTTGCCTTTGAGGGCAATGAAGGCAGTGAAGTAGCAAGACAGGTCAACGAGTATGCAGCCAAAGTACGAGATCAAGATCCCAAGCGATTTGGATTCTTCGCAGCGATTCCCTCGCTCTTAGAGCCCGAAAATGCCTTGCTGGAAATCCGCCATGCCTTCGATAATTTGCAAGCAGATGGTGTCATGTTGCTTGCTCGCTATGGTGATGCATACCTAGGCAATCCATCCTTCATCCCTATCTGGGAAGAATTGAACCAGCGCTCTGCGGTGGTGTTGGTGCACCCAGGTTCCAGCTTCCTCGGGGGGCCCCGGTTCAACCAATACGTTGACCCCAGTGTCGCTGAGTTCCCCCAGGAAACCACAAACACGGCTTTGGATATGATCATGAACAACACTCTGCGGAGCTTTTCCAATTGCAAAGTTATCTTGTCCCATGCCGGCGGGACGCTCCCGTACCTTATTCGACGAGCGTCGGCTCTCATTCCAATGTTTGCCGCGCACATCGACCCTCCACCCAAGCCGGCCCATGAGATTCTTGAGGATTTCAAAACCTTCTACTTTGACCTGGCTCTGTCGAGCTCTGCTTATACTTTGGATCTGTTGCTGAAGCATGTGCCTCACGACCATATCTTGTATGGTAGTGACTTCCCATTTGCGCCAACTCCAGCAACTGTTGCCTTTGCAAGGGAATTGGACGAGTACCCAATGACCGATGAGACAAGAGAGATGATCAATTGGAAGAATGCGCGGGCGCTCTTCCCGCGTCTTATGAAGCAGTGATGGCGAGAAGGATGTAATGAAGAAGACAGGGATGTATTTTCTAATTTGATATTAGTACCCCCCACTCTCCTTTCTTCATAGCACTCACAATTATGTATGATCCCTTCCCTTCTGAGCATAAATACTCCATTGGTTAGGCATAGTGTAGTTTCGCACTGGGTGCTTCTTTCAGAAAACCATAATGACTGACAGGCTAGACAACAAGCTTTAAATAAACTTTAGGTCTCGTCTTCAGTAGGCGTAATATTTTAGCTGAAAGCATTGTTTCAGTACCCCAACAATAGGCAGATCATATATGAAGTATCCCAAGTCCGCCAAACCAACTGGTTGCTGCTAGAGCAAGCCATTAGAGCACAAATCAGGAAAATTTTTAAAACAAATGAGTAAATAACTAGGTATATTTAGCTTTACCAACACCGCTAGCTTACTTCAACATTTCTTTCGACCATGCCGGTCATTTTGACTTTGACCTGGCCCCTTCCTGGAGATTGTCCCTGCACCTTTTTCGGATATCCTACCAGACGGACATGATGAACCTCAATGTCATCTTTCATCGTATCGTGGAGATCCATGTCAAATGTATTTGCAATTCTAGCAATAGCAATGTAGAGCTCGGCGTTTGCCATGCTGAAAAATTATGTTCGATTAGACGCATGCTGATTCGGCGGTTATCAAGGGGTGCTTACTTCAATCCAAGGCATTGGCGTGTACCCTTGCTAAAGCTGACCAGGTACCTTCCCAGCGGTACGCGATCATTCTCAGCCTTGATCCATCGTGTGGGGTCGAAGACAAATGGCTCGGGGAATATTGCTGGATCTGTATGAACGAAGTAGGTAGATTGGCTAACAGGAGTCTGTTATGGCAAGTGCGTATTAGTTATAATTTGAGATGGAATGGAGACCGTAGAATAATGAATTACTTACGCCCGGTGGGATCGTATAGTCCCCGTACTGCAGCGCGTCGTGCGTAGATACCCGCGGAAGACGTCCAACAGCACCGAAAGATAAACGAAGGCATTCATTCACGACACCAGTCTATATATACGAGGTTAAGGAAGGTAATGGCAAGGTCACCCAGTGGGGAGAATTTGACTCACCAGGAATGGAAGAGCTTCTAGCTCAGAGAGACTCCATTCTTTGCTTGGTCGGGTGCCGATGGTGGAGCTGAGCTCATCTCGAAGCTTCTTCAGATGTGACTTGTTGTCATAAAGATGGAAAAATGCCACACTCATAGCTCGCGCAGAAGTTTCTGTCCCAGCGAAAATAATAGTGGTACCTTCATCCATTAAACGATCAATGCTTCTCTCCTCCTGTGGAATCTCTGGATCTTTAAGCGCAGCCGCGATGACTGATTGAACATTCTGAGTTTGTTTAGAGTCTAGAGCACAAAGAAGGTTGCGTTTGATACCCTCGCGAATGTCTAGAAGATCAGCAGCGCTTGGCATGATCGATCTAATCATCGCAACTGGTAGGAGCTTGAGAGTTGCCATCATGAAAGGGATGAATCGAGATAAGTGGAACACCAGCGACATGCCTTCGAATGTCTCCCGCACGGCGAACTTGAAATCTTCGATTCCTAAATAATCAAAGTGCTCTCCATACAGGCGGGAGGTGATGATGTCCGCTGTCAGAGCAGAGAAGGCCGAGTCTAAGCTGATCACATTTTGTGTCTGGAGCGCAAATTGGAAACGTCCGCATAATCGGTCAACTCTTTCGTGGATGATTGGTTCAAGGTCGACAATAGAACGCTTGGAAAAGTACTGGTTGATATAGCCGCGACGTGCACGATGGTGGTAATGGTCCACAGTAGCCGCCACAGAGGTGGGCACGGCAAAGGCCTGGACCGTTGGGGCATCTTTATTGATTTTTCGGCTATTTCCGGCGTAAATCTGGGAGTAAAATTCCGAGTCGCGAATATGCAGCTCCCTCGTGTTGATTCGGACGATTGGCCCTATTGGATGGTTAGCGTTTCCTACCAAAGTAGATTGAAATGGGCACAGTCTTCTCACCATACTTCTGATGCATTTTTTCAATTTCCCAGAGGAATGTTCCATCCTTGATGACATCATAATAGAACTCGTAGAAAGGACCGATTAGGGCAAGTATTGGTCCAGGAAATCCACTTAATGGATGCCAATAAATTCCCACTAAACATTTTAAAATAAAGAGGCCGACAAGCGCTATGGTGACAGGCCATAGCGCAAAGTAATCTACCAATATCATTATTGGTCACAGACGACTGTATGGGTGTGAGATGTTTCTCAGTCTGCTGGACATGGAAATGAAGATATAGTGACAATAGACATCATAAATCACAGATTGCCTGATTGTAACTTATCTCTAGTATTGGAGCTCCGTGCTAAGTACGGAGTTTAATCATCTAAAAAACGTTTAAGACGTAATTTATCTGCAGCCTCAGCCACGAATGCTGATTTGCATATCTAGCGCTGACTGCTAACTTAATCCATAGATTCCCCGAGAACGGTAATTGGGGTTACGCTGTTGAGGCAGCGCTGATCTCTTCAAACGTGCGCTATTGAGCAAACTACTACGTTGAATTGAGAATAAGGAGATAGGGTCTTTTTTTACAGTAAGATCTCCACTGATGTGTTTCCGTACTTCTCATGATCCTCTAAGCGAATTTAGGGGGCTAAACTTCGAAATCTAGATTATCTCTGTAGTGAATCCGAAAATGCTCCAATGTTCATGAATCTTGACTTCCCAAGTCGTAGCCTGGTAGAGAGTGACTTCTGAGACGTAAGAATGCTTGATAGTCAAACACTTTATAGCCATTTTCCAGACAGCGTTCCCATTCCGCAGTTCGAGATTTAATAATCCGCGCGAACTGCTCTCGGAAAATTAACCTAAGAGAAGGAAAGTGTGCGATTTTCAAAAGATAGTCCAGACTGAAAGTTTCTATGCAAATAGGTAAGTAGAGGCGCCAACACATGTAGAGATGGATACCCTACCTGCAAGGAGAATCAATGCGAATGACTGTTCATTGGTACTGACACCTTCCAAGACACCGAATACTGCCTTTGCCGCCCTGCGTCCATCACTTGCCCAATCACTCGATTTTCCACGACGGCGGAGCGCACTCGTCATCTTTTGATTCATCTGTATGTATTGTGGGTCAGCGAGATCAGTTGATGTGACTAAGGCAATTGATCGGACCTGCTTTGCTGCAATATAAGGTGAGAGCCTGTCGTTTTTGACAAGGCGATCCTCTTCCAATCCAAAAATATTCCAACTAAGCAATCCGTAAATTGTCCCTACCGCGGAGGAAACGCTGCTGTGTTTACCAAGAACTGCAGCGAACTGGACCATCGACATATCCTGTGAGCACGAAAATAGTTGCGGGCCGTTGTAGAGTCCCTCAATCTGTCTGTTATGATCTTCTTTGCTAGCCACTTCGTGGTTCTCCAGCGCACCCAACATTCGATGAAGCTTTTGTGCTCGTTTCAGTCCCATAGGTCTCGATTCACTACCGACACTGGCCCCTGGGCTCTGCGTATTAGGTTCTCCTGGAATTTGACCAATTGGGGGATTTTCGGGCAACACAGGAACACAAGACATGTCAAACGGATCGGGAAGATCCCAGGAATCGGACAAGGCAGGGATGTCAAACGGAAATACAACACCCGATTCTGCGGTCCTCGCCTCGGCTTCCAAGGGGAGTGTGGGGTATGGAGGTGCATCTAGGAACTGATCTATGTAAGTGCCTGATGGTCCGTGTCCCATATCTGTAGGAGCGAAGCATGTCTGGTCGAATGCGAGAGTGTGACTGCTATGCTGCTGCAGAAACGAGATACTGCGGGGCTCAATAGGATTTGCATCCATACTAGCTATCATCTCATGCAGAGCATTCACCCAGGCTGGTGGCAACTGAGATTGTGAGAAGACTTTTCGTTGTATAATTTCCCCGTCGTTGATTTTGATCGCCGTGACAGCGCCTTGGCCGTCAACGGTGAAGTATACATCGGTTGCTGGTATCGGCTGCATGGGTGACTGATCCTAGGTATACTTGAAGTTTGAATAGTGGGCTCTATTTCTGGAATCAGGGACATTAGCCAGTTCTTCCCAAGGTGGAGGTACCTAGTGGCACATTATACTTACTGCACCTTTGAAATTGACTCGCAGTGCTAGGCGTTCGGCTGAGCAGGTAGGTAGTTTGTCTGGAGCACCTGTCCTTAATGTGTACCAATCAGTTGAGAGGGTGGAGTTGTGACGGAATGTTCGAGGTTCTTCCCAAGACAAGTATTGTGAACAATATAGTAAATAACAATGTCCATTCTTGCGTGCTGTCAGAGCGGCCCGCCTTATACATAATCTCGGGCGTATTCAGGTATCCTACACAGTGAGAGACTATAGTGGCGGGGGCCAAAACTAGACGGCAATGAAACTCATGGCAGGATCAGTTTGCTCGTTTGCTCAGGATTCATATGGGTGCCAAAGTTAGATTACCTACTTGTAGTTCTCGGCTGGGCTAACCAATAAATCTCGCTATGTGGGTCTTTCCGGTTTCTTCTCCGATGCAGGCCGCGTAAATGTAGCAGATAAAGTTCCATACAACCTGGGAAGGACAAGGCTTCCAAGATTGGCATAAAGTCAATTTATTCGTCGACGATCCATGTGGGGTTCTAAGGTTCCAACGTTTGTCATATTGTCCCAACCTTGGAAGGTCTCTACCCCAATAACCCTTTTAGGTTGTCGGACCGATTACGGCCCCACAAACCTTTTACAAAAAAATACGGACCCTTCCAAGCAAATATGGAAGGGATCACCCAAATAGTAGTTTTTTGCTTTTTTTTACTTTGACCTCAATTTGCGAGACAGAAAAAAAAAGCCTTGAAATGAGCTGCATAATCCATGTGCGGCTCTTTTGAGACTTGGAGAACAAGGTTCGTGAAACAAAGTTTGTAGGTAAGACTGTATGGTATCCTCCGAATTTCGGATTGGGAACCGGAAAAGTTAAAAGCCGTTGCTACCCCGAAGGATCGTGATCCTGGCCCGTCCCGTGCTCCACTGACAGGCCCCGGCCCTGGCTTTTGGTTCCTTGCTGGTTGGTTAGTGCATGGCATCGGCCCAGCGGAAAACAAAACTGTCAAACCTCCCCCCTTCCTTTCCTTAGCCGACTGTTTCGCTTGATATCTCTCCCTAACTTATCTGATCAGTTATGTTTTCCATCAGATTACGACCTCTACAAGGTTACGGTATGCACTATTGTCTGATCTGAGATCACCCTTGCTGACCTCTTGTTTCTAAGCTCGCTCCGCCCAGATTGGGCTTGGCCGCGCGGGCGTGACCTCTCGATGTGCGATACCAAGAAGGTAAGAAGCCCGTAAACGGCCATCTTCACGTTTAGCTAATGACCTGATTCTCGTCTACAGTTTCGGCCTCAGATATTCATCGCAGCTCAACAAGACACCCAAAAATGCCGATATTCTCATACAGCAACGCTTAAGACGTCCAGTCTCCCCTCATCTCTCTATCTACCGTCCTCAGATTACCTGGATTGTCAGCATAGCGACTCGGATTACTGGCGTTGCCCTTTCGGGTGGATTGTATCTCTACGCAACCGCCTATCTTGCGTCCCCACTGTTCGGGTGGAATATTGGGTCCGAGTCATTAGTAGCTGCGTTTAGTAGCCTTTCGCCATCCGTACAGTTTGCCTTGAAATTCGGAGCTGCTCTTCCATTCGTCTTCCACGGCATGAATGGAATGCGTCATTTGGTTTGGGATACCGGCCGAATGCTCACCAACCAACAAATATCTCGGAGTGGTTGGACAGTAGTCGGTGCCTCAACAGTTGTCGCTGTACTCTTGGCACTCTGGAAACCGAAGAAGGATGATGCCGAAGTGGTTTGAGCCATTCACCAGTCTACAACTACACGTCAAGTAATTTCCGGAGTGTTTAATTTACAATCTAGCTACAAGACAACTAAATGGCTCATCTGAGTGAAATTCAAAACTGTATTTCTTATTTTAACCTATGGTGTTGCGATGTAGTGGACTTCTTGCACTTGTTCAATGCCATCATCATCAGGCATGGCCCGAATCCTTTTGAAAAGGCAGTTGGTATCCGCTCCAATCTGAACGCCAAAAGCTACCGCCGCCACCCAGAAAGTAAGTGCACCGCTCCAAGCATAGGGTCCATCATGTTGAACATGCACGCCAGTAAGTGACAGGTAAAAGAAGGGTACCACAAAATTGATTAGCCCGACAGTTTTCGAGAACACCGGGTTTTCGCTGGTATCGGCGAAAGCGGCCCAAGACACGGTCCAAGCCTGGATTAAAAATGTAGGCCAGGGCAGGAAGAAATTCAGCCAGAACTGGTCGCTGATCAACAGGGTCAATTCTGGCCCGTAGTCGCGGAAAGTGATCAACCCAAGGAAGCTAGCGGGGACCATGATGGAAAAAATACCAGCAGCCCCAGCTGCTAGCTGGAGGTCGGGGAGGATGGGATCAATTCCGGGAATTTGCCGAAGATGTTTGGAGAGTACAGCTGCAAAGGGTAGGTAGAGGCCGCCCGAGAGGAGGAGGAGGGGCACACTGGCCCGGATGCCTTCCTTGTGTGAGAAATAGTGTTCATGAACCCTCTCGGCTGACCAGGTTGGCTTCATGGGGGGGAGAAACCCTGCGGCGACGAGGACCATGAAGGCGCAAAGGAATGATAGTTGGCCGCTTAGGAGACAAAAGTACTGCCATTTTTTCCGAGTGAAGAGTTGGGAACGTATGCAGAGGCGGTGCAGCAGGGCCTCCAGGGAATCCAGCATGCGTGATACTTTTGCCACTGGCGATCGGCTTTGCTTGCCGGTAGTTGAAGTCATGGCTGCTTTTAATTGCTCATATTTTGTCAGATGAAGCACAGTAGCTCTTATAGCATATTATTGGGTATACTGTTTTGGCTAGCCTTTGACATTGATACTAAAGACGTTGTGTCATTTGATATTGGGACATACTAAAGACGTTGTGGTAATGACCTGACTCCGTGCTGAGTACGGAGTCGAGTGATGAGAATGCCAAGTTTGGAAAGTCTCCTCCAAAACGGTAAAATAAACCTACGAAGATCTTGAGCATTTGTATGGACCCCCTACTGATGTTTGATTGTTGTTTAATTTTAAAGATCTCAATTGTTTACATTGGAGAGGTCTTTGCATATGATTATCATGATGATATATTCTCCATAGCTCTTTATACATCTCTGCCATGGTTTCCTACATTTCTAAGGTCTATTGATTAACTATCCCCCACCATCACTGGAGTAATATATTCAATACAAGCTGTTTCCAGTCTTTTTAGGCGTCGTGTAGGAGTGATTGGCTGTTGTGTAGCTACATACTATTCCAATGTTTTCGAAATTATTGCTATGGTTGCTATAATTAGAAGTATTGTTGTTCATTTAATTCGAAAAAAACCGTTACCATCTAGGTTCTTATAGGCTGTATCAATAATTAGGGCTATTCAAGTACCTGTATCATGTATCGTCGGTAAAGAATAATACTGTAAGATTACGCAGCCACCTGGGCGAGGAGCGGCCAAACATAGCAAAAACATTCAAAGAAAGAGAGCAAACATTGATAGATCTAACACGCTAGCTTTCGTCTATCTCAAACACACTCATTTATATGATGAGGTCTTGACCGATTGCGGATAAGAGTAAATCCAGTTCACGACAGTCCAGTAGAATGTCTTGAATCCTGTTGGGATACTGGTACTAACCACCCCTTCATGGTTGGGCCTAGCGTCTCGGGAAGTCCTCTCCACCTCTGCTTGCGAGAGTGCATTCACAGCCAAAGCTGTGGCCAGTCCCCTGTTTCCAATTCTGACATCGGTCTTACCATACCGATACACCCATCCGGGCTCCCATCCCCCGTCGGCACGCTGCATCAAACGAAGTTTTGCTAGATCGGCGTCGTCTGGAATTCCGACATACTGACAGGTGAGTACACGCATGGCGAGACATAGTGCATCGCCAGGAAGCCCAACGCGCTCCTTGACTCGCTCTCGGAGAATTTGGAACAGTTCGCCGTGGATGTAGATGTCGTTGGCACTCTCGAGCAGACGGCTGAGGAAGTACAGAAATGCTTCCGGGGTTGGATAATATCGCGTGCCTTCGATATAGGCCCGGCTCTTCAACACATCGCGCACCCAATGGAGGGTCTTTTGTAACTCCTGACCGCGTCCATGCTTATAGAAAAGCCTTAGAACATTGACACAGACAACTGGGTCCACTCGGGGTCTAGAACGGTCAAAGTAGGTCTGCCCCAATCGAGATTAATCAGTTCTTGCTTGGAATTGTCCATTGCGGGGTGGGGAAATACCAGAACAATGCCGTCGTTGCTGACATAGCCAACCAACTCATCCAAGACCGAAGATACAATCTTGGTGTCAGGGTCCAGGACGGTCAATGCTGTGCATGTAGTGTCGAAGTCATCAGGATACTTAGTACTCGTGAGCAATGACTTCCCTATGTATCACAGTAAGAACTCGGGATTCGGACACCAATCTCGCACGATAATATATTTCGACACACCTATAAAAAAGTTCCACGTCCTTGAGTGCTCCTCGAGGTATATCAAATCACTGGATTGTAGTCTTTAGCTTGCGGCCACATTCACTTGGAAAGTCCGAAAATATACCGATTATTAGTAGCTTCCAAAACCAAGAGCTGGGTAAAGTTATCCCGAATAGTGACACCAGTGTTTGTCACGCTGTCTAGGTGTTGTGCGTTGGCTCGGAGAAACTCCTTTCCTCGCTCAATGGGGTTTCCCAGTAAGTTCTGTAGAGATTGAAACAGACTCGATTTATCTGTGTGCAGAATGACGCGACTCCCGACTGATCGAGCAGGTAGAACGTGCTCGGGGTTTGATTCGACAAAGATCACCTCCCCGGGAGACTGTCGGATCTCACTGAGAACATGTCGGTAAAAGCCCAAGTCAGGCTTGCGCATGCCCGTTTGACTGGATGTGAAGACCCGGTCGAAAATGGCCCACTCTGCGATCCGGTGACGGATAGTTGCGTAACCTGCGGTCGAAACATTCAGCATCGCGCATAGAAAAACACCATTGCCGTCTTTTCCTTTCAAGGCTTGAAGACTCTGTATCAGGCTTTCATCTTGAGTGTCGATCTTCTGGGTTTGCTCTAGGATAACAACGACATCGGCCACATTCAGTGAATATCTCACGGCAATCTCCTGGCAAATGCCATCATCGCTGAGCTGGCCACACTCGTAGCTATGCCATATGTCGGTAGAGAATATATCTTTCAACACATGACGCGAAATGTTGGTGCTGACGGGAACAGGTTGGGATAGCAATATATCCCACAGATCTAGTACGACGACTTTCAGTGGCGGATCCATGGCCGTATTCTTGAGCAACAGCAGGTGAGTAATTTGGACACAATTAGCTAGTCCTGTCGGGATGATACTTATATTCAAGCGGCCAAGGCACTAGAATGAAATCCACTAGTCTCAATCCATAGATCTGGGGTAGTGGATGATGCATCCTATGGATGAAGGAATAGACCAATTGAGAAGAGGTAGAAGAGAGAAGCTCAATTTTCCACACTACCTACAGAACTACAGGGCAGGGGCACCAAGGCCTCAGCACCTCTCTCCACTTCGTGCTTAGTACGGAGTTCAAGGGCCAGCTTGTGCTGGCACTATGCACGGTGGTCGAAGCGTACACTGTAATCCACATCTTAGACGATTTGAACAAGCTTACTCGGTATTAAGATTAACTGCATCCAGTAATTACGTATTGTATCGAAAGAATCGAAAGACCCGGAATGCTTTGTAGTACACAGTTGGATCTTGGTTTGTTATGGCAGAATATACCTATGTAGTACTTACTAGGAAAGAATGTATGGTATTGTAATTCAAGACCCCAGTCCTACAATAATACATATTCGTTCAGATGTTTCAACTGATTACTTGATCAAATTTGGAAAAGAAGATGTAAACATTCTATGTCATGTTGGACGAAGGTTGTACGATTGGGCTCATATTTTATTAGTATTTCTACGCACAAGTTTGACAGTAATTATTCCAACTAGATACATATGCCACATGGATACTTAAGTACTCTTGCGGACGAAGTGTGCGTATTTAAAATCCAGAGTTATTTGCTCCTTTTACTACCTAGTACGATCTCATAGAAACCGAAGTATTTTACAAGTATTATCAGTGTATGGTATGTAAGATGCTTGCAAATCAAGTAATCAAATACACGTGCTTATTGGTCACAACCTAACTATAGGCTACGGCGGCCCCGGTGGTCTATTGCTTAGACCCAACGATCCACAGGATTTTTAGTATGTTTTATGACCTCTGAACCTATTTCTGTTATATTAGATACCTATGTATATACATATATTCGCATGGATCTTTCTTTTTTGAATCTGCAGGAAAATCGCCCACTATGGACCATATCATCCATGTAGCGTTTTTCGGTGGTCAAGGCAGCCGGACGCTCTTTTCGCCGTCAGTGACCTCAAGTTCTCGGAGAGCGACGCTCAGCTCCAGCACTGTTTCATTACTACTCTCCTCCTGCCATAGCGCCTTTCTAGGCGAGCTGTTATACCTGAGAAGCCTAGGCCAGTTGCCGACCTGGGCCATATTTGAAAGTGTTCGGGCACCATTGGATTTACTTGGCATGCCAGAACAGTGCCAAAAGAATCCTGTTATCCAGGGTGTTGTTCTATGCGTGCACCAACTAGTAACCTATCTTCATGTCGAACAAGATTGGCCGCACAAATCGGGATCAGCAGTGGCTGGACTTTGCTCTGGTATCTTGCCTGCAGCTGTGGCAGCCTCTAGTCAAGATGTCTCAACATTTATCACATTATCCAAGGAGGCTGTGCGTCTTGCATTCTGGATCGGTTATCGAGTGGGTGAACTCAGTGCCCACCTCGGGGGTGCGGATTGGCACCTCCACCCCTGGTCTTTAGCGGTGACTGGACTTGATAGAGCAGAGATGGAACAGACCTTGAATACATTCAGGAATAATGTGAGTCTCTGGTGACTATGAAGTGCTGTGATGACTCAAGTGTTCAATTTTATTTAACATTCAAGCATTGCACAGCACCCAGTATCTACACAGGCCCCCCTTCGTATATCTAGCATCTCCGGAAACACCTTTCTCAGCCTTACAGGAGACAGTCGGCTATTGCAGCGTCTACGTTCCGACTATATATCTTCACCGGCTCACAGCGAGCCCATCGACGTTTATGGACTTTACCATGGGGGCTGCGAGGAATTGACTACACTAGAGGCGGTTCTCCAGGACATGAAACAACGGAACATTGCGTTCCCCGACATCTCCGACTTAGTTATTCCACTATGGTCTGCCAAAGACGGATCTCTTTTGACTGAAAAGAGCGAACTGGATACATCTTTTGCCGAGTATGTTCTCCGCTGCATTCTGATTGACTCTTCTGAATGGGTGAAGACATGGACAAACATAATCCAATCCAACCCAAAGAATCTAACTGTGACAACCATTGGCCCTGGGTCATACTCGTTTCTGTTGCGTGCATCCAGATCCATAGGGATGGAGACTTGTTTGATCCCTCGAATTATCGATAGCGCCGTTGAACAACCTTGCGAGCCAGATCACGACGGCTTTGCTATCGTGGGGATGTCAGTGAATTTCCCAATGGGGGCTACGAAGGAACAGCTTTGGCATACACTGGAGAATGGGCTGAGCGCCCTTCGAGAGGTATTTGACTGATTTTGGATGCTCTTTGTGGTCTATACCTTTTTGTATTAACGTTATCCTAGATTCCCGAGACTCGCTTTGAGGTTAGTGACTACTCCGATGGAAAACGGTCAATGTCAACTCGTACTGGGAACTTCCTGGAAAACCCTTTCCTTTTCGACCATGGATTCTTCAACATTTCTCCTCGGGAAGCAAAGTCAATGGATCCTCAGCAAAAGCTATTGCTGCAGGGGGCAAAAATCGCCCTTGACGATGCCGGATATGTCCCCGATGCAACACCATCATTTCAACGCGATTCAATCGGTTGTTACATAGGCGTTGCAACCGATGACTACGTGCAGAACCTTATTGATGACATTGACGTCTATTACTCTCCTGGTATTAGCCACCACAATACTTCCAAAACGTGTGAGGAAGTTACTAATGATTTCTAGGCACTCTTCGGGCTTTTTTGAGTGGAAAGATTTCCTACGCATTTGGTCTCAGTGGACCATCGGCTGTTGTTGACACGGCATGCTCATCGTCTCTAACTGCTATTTACCAAGCTTGCCGCGCATTGCAAAATGGTGACTGCTCGGCGGCAATCGCAGGAGGAGTTAACGCAATCACAAGTCCCGACGTAATGCAACCCCTTGCCCTTTGAACAATGAATGAGGAACTGATAATGAGCCAGATGTTCCTGGGACTTGCACGAGCACACTTTCTGAGTGAGAATGGCCAATGCAAAGCGTTTGACGCCGATGCCGATGGTTACAGCCGAGCTGAGGGATGTGGAATATTCATTATCAAACGCCTACAAGATGCCATCGATGAGAATGACCGCATATATGGTGTAATTAAGGAAGTTGAAGTGAACCAATGTGGAAATGCGAAATCGATCACCCATCCCCATGGACCGACGCAGGCCAGATTATTCAAGCGGCTGCTTCACAAAACAGGGTATCATCCCAGCTCCATCAGCGTCATCGAGGCCCACGGCACTGGAACCCAGGTAGGTCCTCACATATATTGACTCAAACATCCATCGCTGAATATTTCTAGGCTGGAGATGCTACTGAGGTATCAAGTATCGCTTCGGTATTTAGCAGCCTTCATTCCTCCCGAAATTCGGTACATCTCACATCTATCAAAGCCAACATTGGCCACGCCGAAGCGGCCTCCGGTGCTGCAGGCTTAGCGAAGCTCTTGCTGATGCTCACCAAAAGCAAAATCCCACCTCAGATTGGATTGAAGAGCATTAATCCCGTGTTCTCAGCGCGCAAATCTGACAACATCCATATCACCACCGAAATCAAAAATTGGACACCAACGGCGGAGAAACCGCGACGCGCACTTCTCAATAACTTTGGCGCAGCGGGATCCAATGCTGCACTTATTCTTCAAGAGTCACCCCTGAAGCAAGAGAACAATCAGTGGGGAAAGAGACGAGCTGCATACAACTTCCTTTTATCTGCCAAGAGCGCGGATTCCCTGGACAAATATCGCCTTGCATTCGCTCAAATGCTGCGCATTACTCCAGACACGGAGCTCCATAATGTTTGTTACACTGTCACTGCAAGGCGGGAGATATACGATCATCGAATTTCTTTTGTGTGCGAGAGTACACAGGATGCTCTGAGCAGCCTTGAAAACGAGAACATCATGAAGCAAATTACACAGCAAGGAAAACGGCCCATCATCTTCATTTGCTCTGGGCAAGGGGGGTGTTATCCAGGCATGGGCAAAAGTTTGCTTTCCACAGCACCGGCTTTCAAACGAGTAGTGGATGAGTGTGATGCAGTCCTTGAATCTCTAGGCTATCCCAGAACAACGCCATACCTGAGTGATAGATGCGCTCCTATGACACAAGAAGAACTGCTGGTGGTATCCCAGGCTTCCTGCTTCGTTATCGAGTACGGAATCGCTTGCCTGTGGCTATCTTTCAATATTCGACCGGATTTCGTACTCGGGCACAGGTAAGTCAGACAGTGCATCCATTTTGGCTTTGACCTAGCTAACTTACCAATTACTAGTTTGGGAGAGTATGCCGCATTAGCTATCAGCGGGGCCATTTCCCTGAGGGACGCACTATCACTAGTAGCGTTCCGTGCCCGGTTAATGGCAGAGAAATGTAAGCTGGGACGCACAGGAATGTTGGCATGTGATCTCTCCTTATCAGAGATCGTGTCCCTGCTCAAATCTGCTCTTGGGGCTCGGTCGTCGTTAGAGGTTGCTTGCAACAACGGTAAAACCGACCTGGTTCTTTCAGGCTCCGTGGAAGACCTCAAATGGCTGGCTGAGGAGCTCGAACGCGATGGCCGCCGGTATAAAAGATTGGATGTTTCGCTTGGTTTCCACTCGGCGGCTCTCGATCCCATCTTAGAGAACTTGCGGCAATTTTGTGCCAATATCATCTTTTCCAGCCCGAAATTTCCAATTGGATCTTGCCATTACGGTCGACAGCTGAAACTTGAGGACCTTACACCTGAGTATTTTGTTAAACAAGCCCGGGGTGCAGTTCAGTTTGACGCGCTATTGGCTTCCGTCTTTCGGGATACGAGGTTCCAAAGCCCGTTGACTTTCATCGAAATCGGACCTGCACCCATCACCCTTCCACTGGTCAAACACATGTTTTCTGACTCAGAGAGCCTTCTCCTACCATCATTAAGAAGAAACCAGGACCCTTGGGTAACGATATGCAACTCTCTCAGCAATCTATCCAATCTTCATCACGGGATTAATTTCCGTGATGTCTTTGCTGGAACAAATGCCACTGTCACCGATGTACCCTACTATCCGTTCCAAGAAAGCGCCATATACGTGCCGTATAAGGAGCGGGCTGGTGTGAAATCAGGGGGAAAGATTTCAGAAGCGTTTAATTTTCGGCGATATTTCCATCTGTTGGAAAGTTTTCCACCACCCGGAGAAGATTCCACTAACTTACAATTTGAGACACGAGTTGCATCTATCTCGAAGTACATCACAGGGCATATGGTCGGCGGTCAACCATTGTGTCCGGCGTCTATATACCATGGAATGCTTCTCGAAGCCAGCACAGTTGACCCTATCACACAGAAAGACCATAGCCTGGTTGTTCAGAGCATGGTATTCTCCCGACCTTTGCTACATTTGGAAACAAAAGAGGAACGGTCAATCAGGATGACAATAGAGAGCCGGACTCCCCAGAATCTACAGGTATCAAATACCGCGACATGGAGATTCACCTTCAAATCCGTGGACACGGCCGGAAATGATAATTCCATCGTTCATTGTTCCGGCCAAGTTGAGTACGAGCCCCATTCGGTCACAGAAACATACCTGGCTCTGAAGGCAGCATATGTTAAGCGGCAACTCAACCATCTTCGATCGGAGCACATCCCGCGCAACTACTTCCAAACCCGCATAATTTACCAAGTCATTTTCCCTCGCGTTGTGACCTACTCGGACATCTACCAGACTCTCAAAGAGCTGACCATCATTGATGGTAGCCTGGAGGCATTTGGCAGCTTCCGCTCCCCTGAAGATCCACGCGGCCCCAGCAAGGGATTACTTTCACCCGTTTATATTGATACACTCTTGCATGCAGCAGGGTTTGTGGCAAACAGTCATATTGAAGCCACGGAGGCATGCATTTGCAGCAAGGTGGAGTCTTGCCGAGTTTCCGTTGAGAAAATTGGTCCGGGTCAAGAGTTCAGTATATATTGCAGTCTTCTTCCCTCAGGTGAAGGAATGCTGGTTGGTGAGGCATACGCCATCAACTCTGACGGGACTGTGGTAGCAGCAGTTGAAGGAATGCATTTCCAGAAGCTGAATCTCGCTTCGTTCAAACGCCATCTCTCACGGTTCAACTCCCGTCCCTTGACTTCAGCAGCCACTTCCATTGCAGGCCCGCCTATAGCAACAACCATTGAAGATGAAAGGTCAAGAGAGAAAATATATCCTGTTGGGGATACTTCCCCTGGCGATGGAAGGCATTCTATTGCGGAACTCTTGTCTCAGATCTGCGAGATACCATTGCAAGCTATCGCGAGTTCTTCACCTCTCTCACGACTGGGCATTGATTCTTTGATGAAGCTGGAGCTTTGTGATGGCATGCGGCGTCTATTCCCACAGCAGCAGCTAGATATGGCACTCGTAATGGGCGCCGAGACTGTGAAAGATTTGCAGGACTGTGTTCATCTGGCCGACCGGGGTCCAGGTATAGGACATCCTACTCACAGCTCCAACGAGCACTCCCTGGTACAAAATTCTAGCGTACATGGAGCATATAAAAGTGGCTGGATAGCACCAAGCACAAACAGCGAGTTGATTGCTCCTACCTCGCCTTCACCACTCCCCCAATCCTCCCTCATTGATACGTTCGCGTCCATTCTACATGAAATTACAGGGGTGCCAGAAAGTGATATCTCATTCAATACCCCAATTGGGTCACTAGGTGTTGACTCTCTGCTCTCGTTAGAGTTGTCGGATATCCTATCGGATAGATTAGGACAAAGAATACCACATGAAGCCATACACTCAGAACTCCGGCTATCTGATCTCGAAAAGCTGGTCTCAAGTCACACTTCAACAACAACCACCGACCCAGATCCGGGCGACATGACACCCTTATCTTCGATCTCTTATTCCCCAAATGTGCGCGCCACTCCTTTAGCAACAGGTTCACCGGACCAGATCCCGTTGTTCCTATTTCACGATGGAGGTGGAACAGTGGGAATGTACAAGAGCCTGGGTAATCTCGGTTCAGTCAATTGCAATGTATTCGGCATCGGAAATCCGGAGTTGGTGACAGGCCCCCACTGGGCATCAAGCTTGACCAACATGGCTGCACATTATGCTACAATGATATCCTCAGCCTCAGAGGGAAAGACAATCATTCTGGGAGGTAAGCATACATTTGACACACTCTGCTTCCGTCGTCTAAGCCTTACCCTTTCTGCTACTGGCTCGTCAAACTAACTATCATTGAATTATATAGGATGGTCTTTTGGTGGTGTTCTGGCTCATGAGGTTGCGCTGCAGCTTTCTTCCTTGGGTCAAAAGGTGCAAGGGGTAATTTTGATCGACTCACCTTGTCCCAGCGACCATACACCTCTTCCATCAGCCGTTATTGAATATGTTCTCAACTCAACGCGCAGGCCACAGGCCCCAGACCTCAAATTACCAGATGATTATACGCGGTCCATCCTACGCTCACAGTTTCAGAATCACGCACGCTTCCTATCGGATTATTCCCATGGTCACGATTCAAAGCCATCGACTATCGTTCCATATGTGATGCTCCAATGCGAAGACGTACTTGATACCACAAGCCTCTGTGGTGTTCATTATCCTTTTCTGGAGGATCAGGCAGCTCGTGCGCACAATAACCATGCATGGGAAGAATTTCTCAACCAAAAGATTTCAGTCTTGATGGTCCCAGGGAATCATTTTGAACCTTTTAAACCAGAAAATGTAAGTGAACTGGGGTCTCTGCCTTGAAGATGAGGTCTTGTTTCCTAACAAATATCTCAGACAACATTGGTCTCGGAGCAGATGCAAAGGGCCTACCGAATGATTGTCGATAACGAGCAATAGCGACCCATGGAGATACTGGAGCGGCAGAAGGGTCTATTGCAGTATAGTGTCTATAGACTAGTCCACACAGATACTTGCTGAGTCTGAATGGGAATTATGAACGTGCTTGCACAGTAATGTAGATTCCTGTAGCGGCCTAAGCACAGGCGTGTTGTAAACCCACGATGACCTGCCCTAGACATTATTTATATAAACATTAGTGTATCCATAATGTAAACCGCCAAGAATGTCTGAAAAATATTGACTAAAATACCTAGATGTATATAATAGGTATGATTGTTGTATGGATGCATATTTGGCTGATGGTTGTGATTATATATATTTTAACAGTCAATATGAAACAAAAAAAGTAGATATATATGGCTAGGTTTGAATCCCTAGTTTTCTCTATTTAACACTCGGCTTATTATACCTCAAGCTCTTATCAGCGTCAATATTTTATAATGATTTCTTCCTACCTATGAACGCGTATATTGTCAGCCCGTCACGTGTGTAATTTACTCGGGAGTGCTGGGTGCGGAATAGTGGTGCTACAGGTCAAAATTACGGAAAGGCGGTCATTTTCGTCATTTTCGTCATTTTCACTTTCTAGTAAGAACCCCACATAGACCCGTGGACCCACTGAGCATGGATGAGCATAATATTGGTAATCTCTGCCATTTGCCCTGAGTAGGTATCCATCTTGTCTTGGCTTTGCATTCTTCTACAATGTTGCAAAGATGTCCATGTCAATGGGTGACATGCCTGCGGGCTCAATGTCCATGGGAGATGGCGTTCCCAGTTTGTTCACCCTACAGAGGATGTACTGGGCTGTCGTGGGAAGTGTAATAGGCGCAGCAACCCTTGTGAACGTGCTAGATCGAGTTCTTGCTGGACATCGGTATGTTTGACCTTGATAGCCGGGGATCTTGACTGACAATAATTAGCTTGCGAGATTCTTCACTCACGCCTGCTAAACCAAAATCACTGTTCTTCAATATCTATGCCAGCATCACAGCAACAACCCGCGAAGTCAGCTATGCGACACTACGGCCGCTCAGACTTGGAAGATGGACCCTCCATCTCCCGCCACTTGGTCCCGTTCTTATCATCCTAGCCAACTTGGTGGTAGTCATGGTCCTTTGTTTCTATAAGCTGGACACCCTGGATCCATGGAAATGGGAGAACGTCGGCTACCGCACTGGTTTCATCGCTATTTGCCAACTACCACTGATCTTTCTGCTCGCTGGCAGACAGAACATTATTGGGTTCTTGGCTGGAATGAGTTACGTCAGTCTGAACTGGTACCATCGTTGGGTCGCCCGGACACTGTGGCTGACTACCACCATTCATATGGCATTCTGGTTCCGAAATTGGGCTCGGTGGAATTATATCACCTACCAGCTTTATAACGATCCGTTGGCGAAGCGTGGATTTGCCGCTTGGGTTATTCTGACCTTTATTGTGATCACTTCCTTTGCTCCAGTTCGCCGGCTCAGTTATGAGTTATTTGTCATCCAGCATCTGGTAACCTTTATTGGTTTTATTGTTGCGGTATGGATGCATGCGCCTGAAGAAGTCAAGATCTGGGTATGGATCCCCATTGGGCTTGTGGTCTTCGATAGGCTTGCTCGCTACACCTGGGGTGCATATGCGAACTTGGCCATTTTCCACCGAAAGAACAAGACCAACGCTCTCTGGGCACACTCGGCTACGTTCACTCCGCTACCTGGAAATGTCACTTGCGTTACTATCGAAAACCCCAGTATCAAATGGGAACCCGGTCAGCATGTCTTCCTCACTTGCCACACTGTCGCTCCGTTGCAATGTCACCCATTCACTATCGCATCGATCCCAGAAGATAATAAAATGAGGTTCTTCATCCGCGCAGAAAATGGGGCAACAAGACGTTTTTTCCGATACGCCTCAAAGAGCAATAGTCTTTTGGGAGATGAACAGGTAGTGGGGATGTCCGATACGACAGTTTTCATTGAAGGACCATATGGAAGCATCCGGCCATTACGTCAGTTCGACAGTGTTATACTGCTGGCAGGCGGCATGGGCGCGACATTCACGATACCTCTACTGCGAGACGTTGTTTCATCATGGAAGATGGAGAGTACTAGCAGCAAAGAGCAGATCCCCACTCGTCTCGCTCGTTTAACAGCCACAAAGCGATTGCGTTTTGTGTGGGTAATCAAATCACGTTCTCAGCTGGCTTACTTCGACTCGGAACTTCATTCCCTGCTGGCAGACGTGAGTGAATGTCGACGCACACATTCAAATTTCGACAAGGAAATTGAAATCAGCATTTATATCACATGTGATGAAAAGCTAGATCCACCTGTCCCTATCTCGCTACCATTGCAGACACAGCCTCCTCTTACAATGGAGACGTTTACACAAGATGAGACTAAACACCTCCACGAGAAAGACAATATCTCGATTCACTCTGTCTCTGCCGAGTCAGCATCGACTCCAGGCCCGGTAGCCACAGGCAAAGGATGTCTCTCTGGTGGAGGCTGCTGTTGCACTGCTCAACTCGAGGACGAGGAGATCAGTACAGCCTGCGCCTGTAACTGCTCCGGCCCAGCAGCTGTGCAGTCTGTGAAGGCTACTATGGATGTGAAGTTCCCAAGGTCTAAAGAATCCACGAGCGAAGCAACAATTCATCCCAATATTGTCTCTGGTCGTCCCACGCCACGAACCATTATTCGAAAGGTCTTGGAGAAAGCTGAAGGAGAAAGTGCTGTGGTTGTATGCGGACCTCGTGGCTTAGCAGACGATGTTCGCCGTAGCGTGGTTTCTCTGAGCGATGAACGGGCTGTACACAAAGGAACTGGCGCACAGGGGATCTACTTGCATGTCGAGAACTTTGGTTTATGATTGTCTCGTATGTCCATCTCCTTGAGCAATTGACACCTAGCCTGGCATTAACCAGTGTGTAGAGGTGCAGCTAGGTTGCCAAAGACGAGAGTCGATCACCTCCAGCGAGCAAGGTACAAACACCACGCCGCCCCTAACTAAATTCGGCGCCTGCCCTTCCACCGCCCCCAACAGCTTGTGCTTTTAACCGCATTGGATACAGCGCTCAGTCCTACCACAGAATCGGACCGATTGGCTACATGAAGACCATGAATCAATCAGGATAAGGAGCTATGCCGCAAAGATGGGGTTCAAGGTACTGAGACATGATCAAAATCCTTCCCAAAATCGGAATTTGATAGGCATGCTTTTGCTCTCTGTCAAGGCTAGACGCCTAAGTATAGAAAATAAAGCTATACCCATCATATCATTTCTCAATTTAGTATTCCGTAACCTATGATTACGAAACAAGAAATCAAAATGAAGTTGACTCATTAGAGCTTAGCCCGAAACGAGCCGAGCCAGCACATGACATCATCCAGGAACTGCCAAAGCTCTTGGAACTCCAATTCTTCCACCATCAACTTCCCCAATCACAACCATCTCAATCGCAATTCAAACCGCCAACATGTTCCGCTTCGTACGTTCCAAATACCAAATACCAAATCCACAATCATCCTCTATCCATCAACTAACAAAAGCAGAGCAAAACCCTCGACCCAATCACCCTCTTCCACTCCCCCTCCATCCAAGCCTCAACCAGAACCCTCAACATCCTGAAACAAGCTTCCGCGACCGCCAGCGAAACCGCCACAGAAGACCAGGCCAGCGACCACTCCACTCACGCGAAGAAACAGCGTGGCGAGTTCGAGCTGGAGGTCACCACCTCCCCCCCGACAGCAGATCAGCTCCGCAGTATCCTGGACTACATCTCTCCCGTCAGTGGTGTTGGTGGTCAGAGCGATAAGGTGACATACGGCGTTGCACAGCTTGTGAAGGGCGCCCGTGATGCGGATGATGCGTTGAAGAAGTTCAAGGAAAATAATGAGAATTTCGTGAGACCTATCGTATGTTCAACCTATTCTTACTCTCATTGCCACTGGTATCTGGACGTGTTTTACTAATGCTTTATACAGACTGTTGACTGGGTCAATGGCCGCGCTGTGATTGGAGACAACGAGTCCGAGATCCTGCGCATGGTGCGCCAGCTTCCTGCCAACTAAAAGAGATGATTTTTTTACTGGGAGAAGTAACACAATAGTCTACTCAGGATTTGATTGAAGTCAAACTCATATTCCATATTCCATACAATGAAATTACTAGCCGAAGACAGGAAGTGCGCCATTTTTGGTCTATGGCTGTATCATACAAGAATCGAATTTCACAACTCCAGGCGCATCATAAAACTAGAAGGTCGAGACGACGTATGGGGTTGCAAGTTGCAACTTGAAAATGAAGTTGAAGTTGAAACAGTGAAAAAGACGAATGAGCCATTAAACTCAATACTGGAACATCTGGCACAAGGAAACCAAGATCCAGCTCGGAGGCCCGCACCAGCGGAACGTAAGAAGAGAAGAAAGGACCGAATATGAGACTGAAATCTCGATATTTGGCCAGGAGCTTAGAACATTGTCCCGAATGTGCCGTCCGTCGCGATAGGCTTCCGTGGAGAGCTACTGCGGCCGTTGCTATCGACAGCAGGTTTGCGGTGACTAGAAGTGGTCAGTAAGAGAAATAAATATACGGAAGCCATTGGGCGTTGGTTCAAGCGGAACATACCGGAAAGTAAACCCGACAAACAAGCCCTTGCCCATTTTATCATCACGATCGGCCATATCCTCCAGTGCGCGTTGTTTATCATGGACCTCCTTGTACTTAGCCATATCTGCCTCATTGCTGAAATCATCAAAGTACCCAGCATCGGTCTCGGAATCAAGTTCAGGCACGAATGGAGCCCGTTGGTCACGCAAAGTCTCGAAATCGACCTCGGCGAAATAGTCATGCGCATGAATCTCTTTCATATTCTTGAACCGCTGATCCTTCCCAGCAACCAGTCTCGTAATAAGATCCCAGGTCCGCCGTGAGAGGAAGTAATTCGGGTCCTCATAAACGGGCTTCCGCAACACCTTCTGCCATCGCTTCAGGTTCTGCCACGTCTCGTCGGATGTCGCGCCTGCAAATGGCGGGTAGCCTGCTAGCGCCTCGAACAGCATGCATCCCAAGCTCCAGTAATCCACGGTGAAATCGTATTGCTCGCCCTTAAGAACTTCTGGCGCCATGTAATCCGGCGATCCGACAATGGACTTAGCGTAGTTGACTTCTCGCTGACGCAGAGACTGGTATCCTTGTCGTCGTTCAGCCATTGTGCGTTGCTCCATAGGACGACCAAAAGGAACGGGGGTGTTCCCGACTTCCTCAAGCTTAACGCGCATTGACTCGATCTTGCCGGGACTCAGCATACCAGCGGCCAAACCGAAATCAGTCAGCTTGACATGGCCCGTAGAATCGATCAGGAAATTCTCAGGCTTCAAGTCACGATGAATGTAGCCCAGCACATGCAGCGCATCAATGCAGCTAAACATTTCAGCAATATAGAAGCGCGCGTGACGATTATGGAGCACTCCCGTGTTATTCAGCAGCGTGCGGAAGTCTCCACCGGGTACATACTCCATAGCTAAGTAAATCTGTGAATCATCCTGGAAGGCATAGAGCAGCTTGACTAGCCACTCGCTCTTGGCGGCAGTGAGAATATCGCGCTCGGTCAGGATATGGCGAACCTCATCCAGCTTGAAAAGCAACTTCTTGCTCATGACTTTCAATGCGCATACTTCTCGTGTATCCTTCTTCTGTGCCAGATACACCTGTCCATATCCGCCCTGGCCAACCTGTGTCAGGATCTGGAAGTCGCCCTGGCGGAGACGTGTGCGACGCTTTCGCAGGTGTGCGCGCTCGCGACCGAGGTATTTTAGGAGGGCGGGTTCGTGCTCTTCGTCAGGGGTGGCAGGGGGGTCGGGGTAGGCGGCTTTGAATTGTGCATGGCGGGTTTGGCGATTGTGGACGTAGCTGAGGAGATCGAAGTAGTGGTCAAGGAAGTCTGTGATGGGGAAGTCAGTCTATAAAACCCTTTATTGTTAGTCTGGGCCGCACTTACAGAGTTGGGTCACATTGACGAGGCGCTTCACTTTTGGCTGTGCTAGCTTCTCTATTTCCTCGGGGGTCAGGCCGCGCATCTGCACCTGGCGTCTGGTTGTTTCATCGCGTGTTTGGTATGGCTCCTGACGTGATAGTGCAGCAGCAGTCGGTGTTGATCCCAGGTCCTTTGTTAGGCGCGTTGGGTTGGGGGGTGTGTTCTCCTTGTTGGCTCTGCGCGTTGGGCTGGAAGGGGCTTGGTGGATAACGCTTTCGTTGAAGTCCTCACCCCTGCCAGCAGAGAACATAGGATGATTGTAGTGATTATATGTTGATTTGGAGGGAGAAGTGGGTGTCAACTTCATCGCCTTGTCGAAGACATTGGGCAGGTCAAGTGCGCCCGGAGGCAACCTTGACTTGCTGGGACTACCCTGAGGGGTCTGTGTGGGACTGGTAAATCCATCGGCAGGAGTAGAAGGACGATCGAATTGACCACGAGTATGCAACAGTGGAGGTGGATTAGGGAGGCGTAGACCAAGATGGTCCTCTGAAATAATAGCCATGGTGTTGATGGGAGGTAGCGATAGAGGGGTTGGTTGTGATAAGGCCGGAACTTAGGCCAAGAACAAAGGCAAAGTAACCCAATATTTGTCAGGACGGCAAAAAGAGGAAAAAGAAGAAAATGCCTTTGTCTCAGGGATTGGGTTATGTTTATTATTTCAAAAGTCGATCACTCTCCACCAAGATCGAACCGATCTTGATTCTCAATTCTGCAATCCACTATATCATCCCCCGTTATCCCCCCCCTTCCTCAGAGAGTTGCTGTAGCAACTCCCCCCACGTCATACAGAGTTCTAAAACCCGCCTATGAATCCTGGTATAGTGGATGAGTTTATCGAGGCGAGCTGAACATCGTCTCCACTTCCAATCGTAAATTGGGCTTTGATGGTTTTCTCTGAAGTGGGATCGACTCTAGTAACTCTAACATGAAACCGCTACTGGATGCGGTCGGACACTCTATTTTTTTGACATTTGCATATTCCAGACTAGCGAATGTCACACATCCTACATATTTAGGGAATAAGCAATAATTGTCCGATCCCTTAATTCATGCATAGTGTGCAGTGTAAGTCCATATAGTGCAGTTGCGATCACATGAAATTTCAAGGTATATCGCAAGGGATAAGCAAACTACCGGATTAGGAATAACATAAGTCAGTGTTCCATGGATTTAAGGCACGGGGACCCCGATAATTGACAATCACAACCACGGAACCAAAATAATCAAATTTAATTTTTAAATTAAAAATTTCTCTCACGCTGCGCCCTTCTTTCGTTGGCCGGTCTAATTTCATTAGCCTTGGATACGATATTCAGCCCTGGGTACCCACATAGAAAGCCAGCCCATAATCATCCGTTGTAAACGTGATTTTCGCCCCCTTGGGAAAATAAAAAACATCCCCCGGAGTCGCCGTAACCTTCTGGCCCGTCTCATCTGCAATCTCAAACTTACCCTCGACAATAATCTTCATTTCGTCGTAGGTGTAGGTGTAGACGAGAGGTGTGCCCTTTTCAAGTCTGTAGAAGCCACATGAAATTGGCGTATCTGGGTTCTCATTCTCGCTATAATTTGTTAGCACAATCGGCTATCTCCATTATGTGTTAGCCATACCTTGATTGCACATCACCTAAGAAGGCGTTCTCGTTTGCGATAAGCGGCGGCTTGAAGGTAGATTGCGCCTTGGCGTGGTAGGTGAAGGGAAGAGACATGGTTGGTGGGATCGGTGTGGCTATGAGGGCCAGTGTAATATAGACATCAATATTCAGCTTTCGAGGACTACCTTCATTTTATACTGATGTTGCCGCAGTCTGTCTGCCATTGCATGAAATGAGGGGATGCCCGTGAAAAAGAAAGCTTTCTCAAACATAGGGCAACTCAATCCAGACAAAAAGAGACAGTCGGATCTGATGTCCTGAGTAGGCAGCCCAACAGAGAACTGGGAGAGAGCCGGGCGGGTGATGAGGGGAAGCTTGAAGCTTGAGATAAAGATCCGAAATGGTAGAGTGGGAGACAGGTATCAATGGAGAGAAAACTACCGACAACTTTCAACAGTACTGCTTAGCTAGATGATCTCCAATCTAATTGTACATAGATGTACTCCATACTCCATAGTTATGCAGATACTACATTAAGGGGATTCCTTTACTTGATGTGGTTAGCCTTTCCCCATCAACCCCGGAACCACAGTATGCTCACCCATGGCACTGTTGCTCCTCTTTAAATGCTTGGCATGATATGTAGAAATGTGACATCAAATATTGAATGTGATAGGCGCAATGCCAAAGATTGGGTTATTTGACACTATATTCAGCCTTTTTTAACAGGCGGCTCTGCAGTGGCCTCTCCTAATGAAAGCAAGAATCCTCCAACTTCATTCCATCCCTTCTATACCAATCACCCGTTACCCCGCTTGGCTTTCCATATTGTTTGTGCTCGACTCAAACAATACCGTAAAAGTCCATTAAGCTCTTGAATTTAGAGTACTGGGTTATTACAGTATTCGGCAAGTAACTCACATTAACAATGGAGGATATGCGATATATATAGTCGCATTCTCTTCTAGGTCTGTCTAAACCTTGGCAAGGAGCCCACCATCCTCGACTCGAATTTCTGGGGATAGATTTTCAGCCAATGGCGCCAAAAGAATACCCTTGGTGCTTCATCCATGTCTACCCCACCATGATGCGTCTTATCTATCCAATAACAGTTCTTCACCGTGAGTTCCCCCATTTAATTTTGAGCCTCATACATACCGAGTTAAACAAAGAAAGTTGCTTAAATTGTAAGACGTACTTGTCAACGGGTGTGTTCCGCGCGCGATATGCGTGAAGTGTGATTGGAATTGGATATTTAAAAGACGAGTATAAATAGTACAGCCATACCAGGGGAAGTTCACATTAAGATAACTTACTCCTTGCTTTGACATTTCTGTTTGATCTTAATTGATCAACCTATCGTTCAATTCTTCCACTTATTTCTACTCCCCTACATCTTCGTCCATAGCTCTCTGATAACTATGACTTCGCAAATTTCACCCAGTGAAATGAAGACTGATGTTGGCAATCGTCTAGTCAACAACCTTGACAATCCAAAGAGCTGCCCTTGTGGTTGGTATGTCTACTACTCGGCTGTCTGTGGGCATATGTACCAGGAGGTCAAATTCCAATGCGGTGCAAACAGTGACAAGAAAACTACACCATCTGGTCGAGGTAGATTCTGCAGAACGCCGGCACCGAAAAATATTATCCAAGGGGTACAGATCGACACCAAGTGCCCCTGTTGCTGATTCTGGGTGTTCAAGTAGGTGACAAGCCAATTCTGAAGAAGAAAGGTACTAAAAAAGTGATGTTAGACACCATTCCGCGCCTAGGGTCACATTTGACGGATGGAACGTGTCGAAACCTATGGGTGGAGCTTCACTTTACTCGGAGAATCAACGGACCGAGGGATATGACATCCCACACAAAAGAGAGAAGCGCATTTCTTGATTAATTAGACTGTCTAGAAGTCCAATGTTACATACCATTAAAAGGGCATGCATTTGTCATACCAGATTTCTGTTCTAATCTTGGAAGGTGTCCGAGCCGCCCCTGGAGGTCTAGAGCTACAGATGTGACTAATCTCGGGAAGGTCCCGAGGTCCATAAGCCGAGGCCATATCTCCGACGATGCCGATCCTATACAACATCCATAGATATATACCGGAAGTATAAATACTTTGGTCCGTCTCCAGCAGGTACAACGTAGAGTCTGGCTCATATCTCTCAAACAATTCCCGTTTCAATTTTTCAATCCACCCGAAGCCATTTTTCGCCAATAGCCCAGCATTTAAACCAAGATGCCTTTGACAATCCACCACCTTGGCCGCTCGCAATCAGAGCGTATCGTCTGGCTCGCCGAAGAACTTGGCATCGAATATAACTTCGTCTTCCACAAGCGCGACCCTATCTTCGCACCGCAATCAATCAAAGACCTACATCCCTCTGGCACTGCACCAGTGATCGAAGATGACAACTCCCCCTTTACGAAAAACAAGGTTGTACTTGCTGAATCGGGAGCTATTATCGACTATATCATCGCTGCCTACGGGGAAGGCCGTCTCTCGCGCACACCGAAGGATGGCGAGGAATACATCCAGTTCTTAGAGTGGTACCACTGGGCGAATGCCTCTCTGCAGCCAGCGTTGTTCCGTGTGCTGATGACCCGGCGTCTGACCAACGACCCAGACGGTGTGCACGTTAAGATGGGCAATGCGAAGCTAGAGTGTGCGCTCTCAATGATTGAGGCGAGACTCGGTGAAACTGGAGCCTACCTGGTTGGGAATGACGTCACCGCGGCAGATATCATGGCTATCTGTACTCTCACTACCATGAGAGGATTCTGTCCCATTGAGTTTGATGAGCAGAAGCATAAGAATATTCTTGCTTATCTCAAGCGTGTTGGCGACAGGCCTGCTTATCAAAAGGCTATGAAGATTTGTGAAGGCGAAGATTTTGTGCCTATTCTTGGTGCAAAGGCCGAACAGTTTGCATTCCCTTATTGAGATCTGAGTTTTGTGTATCTATTGTAAATTATCATGTACAGAAATATGACCAACAATCAAAATCTTGGTTCTAGCTCTGAGATACTCGAAAAACCATTCCCGGGTAAATCCATAATACCCCGGGCCCGGCCCCCGGGGCCATCCATCTCGCTTATGGTTAACCTAAAGTACTCAACATTACGGAGTACTTTTATTTGAATTCCATATTATGGTATATCTCTTATATAGTACTCCGTAGAAGTATTTACTTGCGGTTTTAGAAATGATTTATCTTATGTAAAATGTGTATAGGTACTCCGGGCTTTTGGTCAGCATCTCGGCCCCCGAGTGCCCAGGCGGGCAGTGCTCGGTGGCTTGTAAGCACCTAGGCCTACTTAAGTAGCCCATCCTTATGCTCACGGAACACAATCAGCGATAAAATGGGCTAAATATCGTTCAGCTCATTTTTAGCCTCTCTAGACAAATCCATCTACCTCGTGGAACTATAACGATTTCAACAATTTTGGGTGGCAGATGATAGAAGTATAAGCATCGGAGAGCTCCTAGGGCTCGGTGCTTAGGTTTGATTGTATTGGTGGCGTCGTCTAGCTAGTCCGCTAATCTCGTCCGGTTCGTCCGTCCTTATTTCAATGTTGTCTTTAAAGGAAGCTCGACATGCCCTTTTTGCTTGGGTTTCCCACACCTCCTAATAGCGGCTTCCGAACCTGTCGACGGCGTTTCTCTATCACACTGTTACAATACCAGCTCTTTTTAATATCGCGTCAAATCGCGTAACAATACCCTAGATCTCCCCGCTTCTACTGTGAACTGTCCTCTTCATATATTCAACACGCACCAAGAGCATAAGGAATGTCACCAAACACACAGCTCCCGACCGTACCGTCAACCATGCGTGCCTGGGTACGCCGGCAGCGCGGTCCTGCTTCTAGTGCGCTCGAGCTGGTCACTGACTATCCAACACCCGACGTGCCCACAGGCTCGTCGTCGGACGTTCTAATCCGCGTGTCAAACGTCTCACTGCAGTTCAGTACTGAGATGATGATGAAAATGCTGCCAAAACTGCCTTTCGCCAGCCCATGGATCCCGGAAATCGAGCTTTCCGGCGTGGTAGTAGCGGCTGGCGGTGGTGCGCCGACAGGGATGCGCGATCCGGGCACACATGTCATTGCCTTCGCGAGCATTCCTAGCGCTGTATTCATGGGCCACGGTGTACTAGCGGAGTACGTTCGACTGCCTGGAAGCCAGGTCGCGCGTATCGACGAGGGTATTGATATGGCGTCTGCCTCTGGCATAGTTGGGTCTGGTAGCACCGCGCTTAAGATGATTCGCACAGCAGGTGTGCGCGAGGGCCACACAGTACTCGTGAATGGTGCTAGCGGGTCGGTCGGGTCGGTGCTGGTGCAGCTGTGCAAGCTGCGTGGTGTAAAGGTTGTCGGCGTGGCGAGCGGGGGCAACGAGGCCATGGTTCGTGGTCTGGGTGTAGATGAGGTAGGCGCGGTTTCCAACGTTGCACAAGGAAATTGCTAATATGCAAATAGTTCATCGATTACCGCGAACATGAATCGCTGCCAACATACCTAGCGCATCAGTATGGGGCCAAGCCATTTGACTTCGTGCTTGATTGCGTCGGTACGCAAGCACTTTTTGTCAACTCCCCGGCTTATCTTAAGCCAGAGGGAGCTGTTGTAAATATCGGCATGCTGGAGGGTGCGTATGCGACGACGCGAAATGCGCTGCTTAACATTTTGTTGCCTACCTTCCTTGGCGGCGTCCCGCGTCGCTATATAATGTTCAGTACGCCCCCATCTTGTGACGACGCAGTCTACTTGGCGCATCTTATTGAGGAGGGAAAATTGCGTATCCCTGTTGACTCTGTCTTCGAGATGAAGAATGCCATAGGCGCCTATGAGCGCATCGCCACAAAGCGTGCGCGTGGCAAGGTTGTGGTCAAGGTGCATGATGGTTAGGCCGCTGGCACATCAAGGTCGTATACGGGGGCTCACATTAACAGAGAATAATCGGATTGGTTTTATGTATGTTGCTTGGCCTATGGTGTCGAGTGGATGTGGAAAATAAAAAACATTCTTGTCTATCGACATGGTGATATGAAGTCTCTCGGGATTAAAAGATACTCGAAGTTTGTAAATAAGTTGGGTAGACGACGGCGGGATCTCAGAGTATAGCATCATTAAAAAAACATCAACAAAAGTATCAAGTAAATAAATGTATGAAGTAAAAAAAGTCCCCATAAATCCAGACCTTTCCTGGACCTCAGGAGGGTATGAACAGAGTCTGGTCACTCTATGTTCATGGTCCTCTCCTCCGACCTTTCCCTTATACACCTCCACCCGACGTACTAACTACAGCCTCCCCCCTTAACTAACGGGATCGCCGCGTGTGGTCATCCGCGGGGGGCTTGCCTAGCGTAGTGCTTCGGAAGAGCTTCAGCATATAAGAGTCCGACCGACAGTGGGGAGCGAGTAAAACCCGTTGCGACATCCTGGTGTGGGATGCCCTGGCCGCAATACCGCTGGGCCACTGGGGGGGGGCTGGTTGTAATGTTAGTCCTTAACGTCGTCAAATAGGAGAAAAACTTAACGGCGAAGTCACTGTAGATTTTTGATCTTAATTTGGGCTACCTTCCTATTATCGTATAATACTGAAATTTGAACTACGGTATCTAGGACCAACCGGCTTACTGTATGTCAATTTTCGAAAGAATCTAAGCACCTCACAGTGGTGGGTGGCAGCGAATTTCACCTCCGGTACATCTATGTGAAGTCAAAAATGAAGCTATTCGCACACCCATTTTAGGAAGGAACGTCGACGGTGAGAACCGGCGGTAATCTCAAAGCCAGGAATTCGAGTCCTGCCATCGTCAACATTCTTTTTTTGTTTCCAAACCTTCTCCAATATATTGGTCGCTACATTCTTATTGCTATTCATCAGCATGTTGAGCGTAATTTCTCATCATAGGATTTTGACTATCTCGTAAGCCTCCAAGCAACAATGCAGATGCTGATACACAGCCCCGGAATCCTCATATCATTTCATTCAACATAGGCTCGAGGCTGACTTTCTCAGGGAAGCCGTAGTGATTCTACTGATCTATTTTAGAGCCAACGGCAATCCCTCGAAACCATCATTAGCACGTCAAATTGACGGTGGACTGAGCATCGAGCCATACTGACCTTATATAGCTCTCTTTATGAACATTTGGACATCTTTTAGCGAAAATAGATTGATATTGATGTTGAACCAACGTGAGAATCTGACTAAGGAAATAGTTCATTTGCGCGTAGGGGAAACCAGAAGTTTGGGAGTTAGATACTGCTGCAAGAATTAGAGAATGGTCTCTCTAGAAGCATAGACTCCTATCATGTTTACAGTTTTCGCAGTAGGGACAATGTCAGACGAAGCCTTGCTGAGTAGCGCCTACGAAGGCAAATGTTGCTTACTCCATGCGCAGGATGATCAGGATTGATAGCTGGGTATTCCGAGCACGGATTATGCCAAAGCTGACATGGGTAGCTGTTATATCGGGCGGCTGAAAGGGTGAGGATAATATGATTAGGCTTTGATCGAGCTGGTCATGTTTCCTCATTACTGGAAATCCAAATTGGGTGGCTGTGGGTTGTTGTCAATAGGCCGGGAGACTGGACAGTTGCGTGGGGCTTCCGGGACGGAGGATCGCGTATTGGAAAGTTGAATAAATGGGTGGAAGTCACATAAATCACCCGTCATAGTAGATATATCAGTTCCTAGATCAACCATAATTTGTAGTCAGAGAGTAGATCACAGTTGCAGGACAAGTCCCAAACAAAAACACCAAATGTCGTTGTCATAATTCATCAAGAAGAGAACAATAGATCCCTAGACGCCGCGCTGGTTCAAGGTAACACCAATTCAGGGCTGGAGAGTACAATTTCAACCTTGACACAAAGAAACGAGAATCAAAACAATGAGAATATAAAACAAAAACGAGGGAAAAAAACAAGAACTTAGACTGCTTGCTTTGTTAGTTATCATGTTAGTATATCAGGCCGAGATGAAAATAGTAAATGATTTCCGCCCGACGCGTAGACTTGCAACGAGGATTCGGACTTCAGTCAGACTATCCAAGGAAAACTATAAATTGCAGGGTTAGAATGGAGTAAAGCAGATCGACAGTTGTCAAACACACCTTCCCATCCCCACTCAGCCATAACGTTCACCCAATGCAATTTGCCACGCACAGTTCTTTCAAATTCAATATTCTCAAGCGAGGTGAGTGCAGAACCACGTCGCGCAGACCTTGATGGAGCTTGCGCCGATCTTCCTGCTGTCGGGCCCTTGGAGCCATTGAGACTGTATTTACGAAAATTGGTTGGCAATGATGAGCTCAGTTTCTCGTTGTCTCCAGATGAGAATGATCCGGTTCGTCGAGAACTAGGCATTTCACGCTCTCTTCTGGCATTCATAGCGTCGCGGCGTTCCCAGACCTCCTTTAAGACCTCCAGGCAGCGGTCTACACCACCTAGCATCAAGCGAGACTGAATTGTGGTCCATCGATCCAAGACCCATTTTCGGTCATCGTCGGTGTCAACCTCAGAGCCAGCTGCTAAAAGAGGGAACATCTGTATTATAGTTGTTCGGGAGGTATAGGGAACAGTGGCAAGCAAGATCAGCACCCGCTTTGCTAATTCATCGGCCGGCTCGGAGGGTATCTCTGGGACTGCCTGATGCAAATACAGCAATGTAGCCCAGCGATAGGCATGTGCAACTTGAATGCTATGCTGGACTTCGGAATTGGGGTCTTCTGGAGGCTCAAACCAGTGCGGTGGCTCCCATTGCTCGACGAGGGCTTTGAGTTCCATACCTTGAGCTACAATCGATACCGTGTTCGACGAGCTCTTCCGCACATGCTGGATCAGCTTCGCCACCTGACTCATGAGAGGATATAGCGTAGTTGCACAGCCCATCAACGGGTCAATATCATGGACTGCGTCACTCGGAAGCTCGAAGATGGAAGAATCCCAGGTTTGAGGACCACAGTCATCCAAAGAGGTCAGTCGTGCAATCACGTCCATATATGACCATGTATTACAGAGAAATCGGATGCGATCCAATTCATCGTCGCTAACACCACCTTGCATTCCGGCCGCGATGACCTGGGACATCAAGGTTTTTGCACCTCGCAAATGTTGAATGCATGTGCTGGTGTGTTGGTCCCAGGTATCAGCAAATGCCAACGCAAGGCTAGTTGCAAGCGCAGCATCTGGTCTCATATTCTGAATTTGACCAACCAGACCAGTTATGCTCTGGCGCATGTATTTTGCTCCATGGACCCGAAGATGGGGACTTTGCTTACCCGAGTGGAAAGCTGTCAGAGCAAAGATGGCATGGCGAAGTGTAGGTGTGTCTTTTGCCATCGGCCAAATGAGTGTCCGCCACGGATTTTCTGTTGCTCCATCCTTGATAGATAGAATCCCACATGTGAGCTTATCGAACCGCAATACTAGCATTTCTGGACTTTCGGGCGGTAGAGATGGGTTGGCTGGCATGCGAGTATCAATATTGAAAGAGTCCCCCTCTGTGATGGTGAAGTTCCAAGGCCCCATTCCTGGATCCGACTTCCGGATGATCTCTTCAATGTCATCATTCTCATCTCCCAACAGTTGAGAGAAACTCAACCTTGATATATCGGGATCTAGCTGATCTGGACCAAAGGTAATATGTCTAGCAGAATCGACATCGGCATCAGAAACCAATGAGTTTGCGAGCGACAAAGAATCCTGAAATGGCTCCAAAAAGGAGAGGAAATTGAAAGGGGGAGAATCGGCAGACAATGACACATTGATATCAAGAGGAGGTTCGGTACATTCAGTCATAGAAACATCTTCTCGTGTGAGAGAAAGATCTTCAAGGGAACGTGCGTCGGTAGACATAAAGCTATTCATACTAATGGGCGAGCCATGCAAAGAAGAGGCTGGAGGTGAGCGAGAGACATCAAACTTGTGTGACTGAATGCGGATCGGTGATGTGGATTGTTCAGTCGTCGGGGGAGTTGGAAGGGTCTGGCCAATATTGGCAGCAGACGGAGTTTGACCGGACGATGGGTTTGCTGAAGAGGATTTGTGAGTATATCAAGTCCAACCCGAAGGCCGCACGGGACCCATTACCTTTCTTGGATTTGGTCACTATAGGCCGTCCTGAAGCCAAGTTGGTCTCCTCGAATGGCCGCCATTTGAAGTCTTTCTTGTATCCTCCGCATCGGACCTTTCTTCTTTCGCACTGCTGGCATGACGGCTTGATTTCGTCGCACTTCAACCGCTTTGCCTTGCAGGTGATGCAACCTATAAATGTAGAGGCTCAAGTCAATGTTATCCAAGATAATAAGAAGTATTCATCTCCATTATCCTTGAAAACTGCAACTTCATATCGTGACTTACCATTCCGACTCTTTGTCTGCTTTGGCTTTTGTTTCCCGAGCTTTCCCCGCGCTGATGTCGGGTTGTCGGGCGGATCTAAAATCGATGGGATTTTAATGCTTTCCATACCAAGTCGATGTTGAAACCCATTCACACAGAGGAAAACAAGATGAAAATATAGAGAGACGCAGAGAGATAAGAGATGAATTGTAGAAGATAGGGAAATCCAACGGAGAGGAGATGATAAGCCAATGCGGGGGTGCCGATCTTGGAGAAATTGATGTCCAGCGTTTTCTATTGCAATCACAACCGGGTTGGGCAGCGGCCATATCTGATTCAATTTTGAAATATGCTAAGTAGAAATGATTTCTTCGTCATTCAAATCAGAGTAGCTGTGAACACATCTGCTAGTACCCAGCTAGTAGATATCAATCACTATAAACAATAACAACGTGCGGGGAATTTCTCCAACGGTAGTACACTAGACTACAAATAAAACTACTGGCTACGACGAAGATATATTTTACAAGGAAACAGAAGGGAGGCGAAGAATCTTTATTTGAATAAAAAAGGAGACGGCGGCTGATGCCCCCAACAAGGGGGGGAACAGACGCAAGCAGTCTCGAACGCAGCTAGTACCGTTGCCGGTACGACTTTGTGGAGGTCCCGGCCTCGGAGGGCGGGACCACAGGGAGGGAGGTCGGCACGGCCGGGAAGGACGGCGGCACGACGGGGAGCGCAGGCACGACGGCCGGGAGGGAGGGCACCACGGGGGGGGAGGGGACCGCGGGCAGGGTGGGAGCCGCGAGAGGGAGGGAGGGAGGCAGACCCATGGGGGCGGAGGCCGCCACCGGCGCACAGACATCCATGTCCGGAGAGTAATCACGTTTCATGGTGTCCATGTAGACACCGGGGACGGACAGAAACTCAACGCCCTCCATGGGCGCCAAACCCTCCACATCCCTCTCGGGCGAGGAAGGGTACTCAACATCCACCATTGGTGGATGGACATCGGCGGCACCGGCTGCTGGCTGCAGCCGGGCGGGAAGGTAGGAGCTGTAGGGCTCAAAGTGAGCCCACAGGCGGCGGACCAGGACCTTCCACTCTTCGCTGACCCCCCGGTTTTGGTGGAGGGCCACCGAAGCGGCCAGGAGGCGGGAGTGGAGGAGGTCGAGGAGGGAGGAGGGGGAGAGGGGCACCTGGGCTAAGCGTGGGTTAGTATGTATTCTTCTGTTGATTCGTAGGACGTATGCTTACCAGGGTGTGGCATCCCTGCCCAGTGCAAGCCGAACCACGCAAACTCCGGAGCGAGAACGACACGAAGGAGGTGGCAATTGGGGGAGCCAGGCCCCACGACGACGACCATGTTGCATAGGAGCTCGGTCAGCTCCCAGCTCAGGACGCCCATTTCGGGCTCGGAGCCCGCAGCAAACAGCTGGTCAAACAGGGACATCTCGTCCCAGCTCACAAGAGGGCCAGCCAGGTACTCGCCAGCGAGTACCTGGAGGCCGCTCTTGGAGAACGGAGGAATGGTGTCCAGCACCATTTTTGAAACAAGAAAAAAAAAACAAAAGAAAACAAGACGGGAGAGAGGAGGAGGAGGAGGAGGAGCGGCGGGAGGAGGTAGAGATGGTGAGGTTTACAGAGGAAAGAAAAGAGAAGAGATGGAAGAAATGTACAGACTTTATATAGGTAGCAAATCAGTACTGAGGCTATTGACAGTGAACTTGAATTAAGCTCAGCATTGTTTCTCCAAGGCGTATTGAATGACTCCATTGAGTGAGGTGTGTTGAGTGATGCTTTGATGAATCTCTCAATGGGGGTGTCTGTTGTTAAACAATGTAGACTTGAATAGATATGAGGTTAATTTGTAGCATCTGAATAGCATTGTTCAATGCGTTGGCCTGTCAATGCATGTCAATGCCTGCCACTATACTCGTACCTGTGCCTTGGAGCAAGTAATATGTATGCATACTATTGATACCTTTGTTCGAAGAGTAAAATGAATTTGGATTGATTATTGAGAGTGTTATTTTGAATTGGTAGATAGCCCTGTCGAAATGAGTACAATTGGTCCAATTGTATGAGGCTTAGAAAGAAGTATTGAAGTGAAATGCTATTGAGATGAGGCTGAAGTGAAAGCAATGTAAGGTCCTATTGAGAGTAGTGTCAATTGATTTTGATGATAACGTTAAGGTCAGAATAAAGGCCGTAATAGGAGTTCTGGACTTTAACCAATAGACACTTGCAAGGTTACTACGGCCGCGTAGGTCAGAATAATTTCAACCTTCAGGTACCACCACATATGATGAAAACTGAGGTCCTAGTGTAGAAATAGTAAGCGAGAAGCGTAGCACCTTCTGAGTCTTTCCATCGAAATTCCGAATGTCCAGTTAGAGAGTGTAGCTATCTGACATAGAAAAGATATATTAAAGCACACTTGACATCTGGGGCGCACTGTCTTTAACATCCCAACCGCTACCCGACAATTTTGGGCGGCATATTTAGATATAGGGAGACAGTCGGGGCCAAAGAAAATATTTAGGACACAAATGGCACGACAAACGAATATTATATACAAAGTAGCTGTGTGATAGTCGAGGTAGCCCTGTCCCCTGAGGTCTATGCCAAGGATTAGTCAGGTAGCGAATTTCGGAGCTCCGTCAGTGGCGGGGAAACCCCAGATGTTCACGGCCCGAGGTCAAGCGGAGTCCGTCCAGGGTTATTTTTCTTTCTTCCTTTGCTTTACTTCTTTTCTTTTTCAATTCACCAATTGTTTTTCCACTTATACCTCTAGCCATGTTTCGCTCAGTACGACGTTTTCCTCGACGCGTTCCCGTTGTGTCTACTATTTCTTCGCGCTCATTGCGCCCGTTCACAAGCGGTTATACTCGGATGATGCCTGTGCAACCCCCCGTATCAACCACCCTCCCCTCAGATGCATACCAGCTGCTGTCCACACAAGAGAAAACGGGGGAAGCTGAAGATGCGCTCTACGAACAACAACTTCGCGATGTGGAAACATGGTGGAATTCCCCTCGTTACGAAGGCATCAAGCGTCCTTACACGGCGGCAGATGTTGTGAGCAAGCGCGGCTCTTTGCAACAAACATACCCCAGTTCTTTGATGGCGCGGAAGCTATTTAATCTTCTCAATGAGCGAGCAGCTGCTGGTCAACCTGTTCATACCAGTAAGTCCTTGACCGGTTGAGCTCCAATTATGCGAAATCTGACCACTGTTCTCCATAAAAGTGGGAGCTATCGACCCCGTCCAAATGACGCAGCAAGCCCCCAACCAAGAGATCCTGTATGTCTCTGGCTGGGCTTGTTCTTCACTTTTGACAAGTACCAATGAAGTATCTCCTGATTTCGGCGATTATCCCTATAATACCGTCCCAAACCAGGTCCAGCGTTTGTTCAAGGCCCAGTCGATGCACGACCGGAAGCAGTGGGACGCGAGACGAAAGATGACTCCGGAGCAGCGAAAGGCCACACCTTACACTGATTATATGCGACCAATCGTTGCGGATGGCGATACCGGGTACGTTAATAGTTGGGATCGTGTGCACAAAGTATTACTAATCCTCTCGGCGCAGTCATGGTGGTTTGTCGGCTGTCCTAAAACTTGCCAAGCTCTTTGCGGAGAATGGTGCAGCGGCTGTCCACTTCGAGGATCAGTTGCACGGCGGAAAGAAGTGCGGCCATCTTGCAGGCAAAGTGCTTGTCCCAATGGGTGAGCACATCAACCGACTGGTCGCAGCTCGATTCCAGTGGGATATGATGGGATGTGAGAACCTGGTCATTGCCCGAACAGATTCCGAGAGCGGCCGACTTATTAGCAGCGCCATTGACGTGCGTGACCACGAATTTATCCTTGGTATCACGGAAGATGTCGAACCTCTGGCCGAGACCCTCCAAGCCATGGAACGAGAGGGCGCTTCACCCAAAGAAATCGACGCATTCGAGCTCGACTGGGTTAAGAGGCACAAGCTTGTTACCTTTGACGAAGGTATGTTTATTCATTCTGTACCAGGCGATCCCATTTACTAACAATATGTAGCTGTCGATGCTCATCTTGAGTCAGAGGGCGCTCCCCAGACTTCTCGGGATGCATACAAGGCCCATGTCCAGAAGAACCCCGATCTTTCCTTCTCCCGTCGCCGTGCCCTGGCAAACGATTACACCAATACACCTGTTGTATGGTCATGTGATAGCCCGCGCACTCGCGAGGGATTCTACCACTACTCCGCGGGATTCCCTGCTGCGACCAAGCGTGCTAAGGAGTTCGCCCCTTACGCAGATCTTCTCTGGGTTGAGACCGGTGACCCAGATGTTAAGAAAGCTGGAACTCTGGCCAGCGAAGTGCGCGCAGCGTACCCAGGCAAGAAGCTTGTCTACAACCTCAGCCCTTCATTCAACTGGATGGGACAAGGATTTGATGAGGCTTCGCTCAAGTCCTTTATCTGGGATATTGCTAAGCAAGGGTAAGCTCAGCATTACGCCTCTGTCACTTCGATCCACTAACGTCTTTCAGATTTGTCCTGCAACTCATTTCCCTAGCTGGTCTGCACAGTAACGCCACCATTACGACCGAACTTTCCCGTGCGTTCAAGGAGGAGGGTATGCTGGCTTACGTCCGTCTTGTCCAGGCACGCGAAAAGGAACTCGGTGTCGATGTTCTCACTCACCAGAAGTGGAGTGGCGCGCCTTACATGGATGGAATCATGGGTGCTATCCAGAGTGGAAGCAGCAGCAGCAAGAGCATGGGTGAGGGTAACACCGAAAAGGGTAGGTCCTTGTGCATCGATCTTAATACAACATCAATTGCTAACCACACATCGCAGGTTTCTAATTCCGATAAAAGCTATGTATTGGCAACCATTTGTATTAGTGTGACTGTGTGATATTGAGATACATCCAATGACAGAGACAGCAGGACGTACAAACGTCCCAACCTCTATTTTTGTTTGTCTTGCGACCTATCTCTAGAAAGTTATGTTTACTAATCCTCTAATTACTTCCAAGGTCGATCAATTGAGGTGAGCCAAATACAATCCGCTCTCACGGCCTTGGACCATAGTGAGCGTTTATGGTTCTGATTTGACAAGTGTAGCCAACATTAGAGAGACTCCCTTGGGTCTTAGGCTTACAGCATCTATTCTTCTCCAGGATCTCATTCCAAGAACACATTTTGTCCAAAAGAGCCGGCTCATATTTAGTTAAAAACACCGACCGGTGTATGAATCTCGAGCCAAGATAGCCAGTCCACTCTGCCAGTAGGTTTATATCCTATCTCTTGGACAAATTCCTTTGGGCCGGACTGTTGCCTCGTCAATCAATTCACATCAATAGTGAGATCCGTAGTCTACTTACACACTCCCTCATTCTCATGAGCAAGTTGCTGCATGACAGGTTAGTCTTTGAACCCACGACTGCTTAGGTAGAAGGAGGGAAACATACCAAGCAGAACCCGCTGGCACAGTAACCTGCGCTGCCATCAGCTTTGCAAGGGTGCCCGGCGCCAATCTTATAAATGGTTAGAAGCTTCAAGGGTATTCAGTATTCCTTCATTCGAACGTACCGTAGCAGGAGGCTTGTCTGCAGCCAAGACAACGCCAATAGTGGCCATAAAAGCTATGAAGATGAAACGCATATTGAAATTGGAGGGACTATGTCTCGCTTTTGGGAATGTCAAATGTGAAACGGTATTGGAAGATGATATTAATCTAAGTTTATGGTGATGGTATTTATATTTCTCTGCAAGCCTTCTAGGGAGACATCGGGATAATAAAACTAGAGTCTTGACCATGTGACAGAGCGCACATTCGGAGATAAAGCTTGGTCGGGTACATTTTTGTTTCGAGAATTATCTTGCCTGTCTGCTTGGAAACTATTGGATTAAGACACAGCCTCTGAAAAGGGGGTTTCATTTTGAACGCTGATTTTAGATTATACGTTGTTCATTGAGAATTGGACTATGTTGTATTACTCCCGACGCGCCAAGTCCGAGTTCGGATTTGTGGCTTTTCTTCTGTTTCTTTTCTATAAAGACATTGAAATCATGATTCCCTTACTAGAACCACTTTTCTAGCGTTGTGGAATGGTGTTCACAACGATCGTGGGTGTGAGATGTATGGTCTTAAGATATTATGTCTAGCGCGCACCCTTTGGATAGCTCTGATTTGAGTCGCATTTTGATTTGGCCTACACGAGGATGTCTGCAAGGGGCATCATCCAATGATAGTCTCGGTACAAACCAGAAACCCGCGATGCTGTCAGCTGAACGACAGGGATGAACAGGCGGTCCGTGAGGCCTCATCGCAGGTTGGATTTCCAGGCCCCATACACGATTCTCAGTGGTTATTGTAGAGACTAGTAGTCGACTCGCGAGCGTATAATACTCAACATACGGGGCATATTAAATGATTTAGACTCGGACAAAGCTTCAACGGGGCCCAATTGAGGCCTACTTGCGCTCTGGTAATTAGATGACGGGCTTTTCCTGCAGATTAAACACCCACTCGACGGGATACTGCTCATGCATAATGTACCATATGAAGACTTCTTATTTCTTCTGCTGGTGGTTTGAGGCATACCTTAATCGGGGTCTGGTTAGACGGTTAGATCAGACTGTTACCGTAGTAAGTACTAGTTACAGCTTATATGGATTTAGCCCCATAGATGGCCTTGGGACGGAAAGAGACATTATTCTATTAAAATTGGTGACAACGAAGAAATCGCTTCAATATCTAATTGTACATTGCATAGTTGCGCCTATGCCCCCAGGTATCACATGATGGAAACAGGTCCGATTATGAATCAACAGGTCAACACGATGGGAGTTGCCAGTCAAACTCCATAAAGCCGACAGAAAAGGCAGAGCCGACAGGAGGACAGCCGTCGAGGTGGTAAGGCCTTAAACAGAGAGCCAATAACCTGGAGGTCATCAAATCCCGATGAACACAGCAGAGGCAAACAGCGTTGAAAGAAGCATGACAGCCTTCAAGCTGGTATGGGTCTTGGGCACAGACACATCCGCCCCAGAGCTGGTACTGGTACTAGTTGCTGCACTCTCCGTTGATGAACCTGTCTTATCGGCAGATGACTTTGTAGTTTCAGTTTCCGATGCAGTCGGGTATGAGGTCGCCGTTGCAGTGGCATTGGCTGATCCCTGGCACCACACGTCTTTCCATGCCACGCCAGCGTCGTAGAGGCAGTCGATAAGATCTTGAACTGACTGATCAACGGCGAGAGAGTAGAGGGCACAGTCGTCGTTATAGGAAGTTACCCCTGCGGGCTTTGCACATTTTGAGAGGAGGCCCTTGTATTTGTCGGTGTTGGGAACTCCACACGATGCGTCTTTGACGGGAAGTTCGTATTGGGCTGCGGTCCCACATCCTGTGGTAGTTGCCATAGCTCCGGTTGTTGTTGTAGTTGCCATGATTTTGAGGTTTGAAAGGATTTCGAGACGTGACTTTTGGGTTTTGATTAAATTTGGGTAATTTCTTGTATGTTTCTTGGTTCATATAGCCTTTTATAGTCGTTCGGCCCTTTTTGATGGACTCTACATTGGTGGCAGCCCTAGACTATTCCGGCTATTTTTAGTCGGCATTGGCAGTCTTGTTATTGCGCCAAGTTCACATGACACTGCCGAGTTCTATGAGGCTGGCTAACACAATAGCCATGTTGGGTGTTGTTGCCACGGTGATAAATAAATAAAGTAATATAAATCTCTCTATACGCCTCCTAGTGCCCCTGATCCTCATAGTGGGTCGGGCTGAGTTGGGCTGAGTTGGTATCCGGGTGGCTCAGTACGCTGTTTCAGCTAAATCGCAAGACTTTCGGCACTTTTCCGGGAAGCAAGCTATATGGGAGGTGGTGTTGGTAAAACATTTACAAACATGATTTTGACAAATATCTACTTTTCGAAGTGACTCTACCTGAGATGGCCCGAACCCACAAAATTTTATGCCCTCTATGGACAGCACACGTTTGGTATCTTCTACAAGAGCCCGATATTCACAAAATATTCCATTTAAGTAGGTGAAACAATGGAAGCTTTAGTTCGCTAGAGAAGTAACTAATTCTATAGGCATATATCTAGCCCAAGACAGATCGATTCCTACCTGAAACTTTATAGGATCTCAATTGTATGGCAAACCCAGTTAACATCCTTACTAGCACAGTGAGCACAGTACTAAGAAGGTTTCTTGATTCTGATATTGACTTTGGATGTAAAAATCAAATCTAGAAAACTACTAAACTGTCAAGAAAGGATTAACCCAAAGATGTCATGAGTAGTTCGATAAAGCTAGATAGTACTAAATACGGAGATAGGAGAATAACAGGCAAAGAAGGGCTGGACAAATATATTTCAAAAGTTGAGAGAAGAGGCAAAAAGTATAGATGTAGAAATCCCTAAGTCCACCGTTAATTCCATGCTTTATGGGATGAGGATGGGCCCATAACATGGACAGGAAATTCGAGATCTCGGATAACTGTCTGAAGCTGAATAAAAAGGGTAGGTATTAGCCATGATCAAGATAACCAGAAGAGATAATATCAATACTGTCTTACCTTGGAATCTCCAACAAGGAATGCAAGCCGTAAGTGAAGCTCGTATGTTCTCTTGATATTGCAAACTTCGAAGCTGGAAGTAAACTCAGGGGGAAGTCGGTTGTTGGCCCATATTATATCATTCAAATTGACCGTTGAGTCTCCAGGTGCACCTTCAAAACCTATCGGATAATTTATATTGGCCATACTTTGCACGATCCACGTGCTAGTAGATGACTCTGATGTCCCTTGCACTGTGACATGCGTCATTTCAACCAGCATGGTTTGAAATGCGCTCAGCAGTATGTTGCACCGCGAATCTCCAAGTTTCGTGACCTTTATACTCAAAGGAATTGATTCATCTAGAAGGAGATATGGTCCATTCTGGAGCTCAGTGTCGATTTGGAAGGACAAAGGTGACTCGCCGCCGAGGATATGCGGATTTACGCCGAAGGAGAATTGGCGCCGTAATGGCTTTTGATCCGGTGTTGGGTCTGGCAATGAATGAAAGACAATATTTCGAGTCTTAATAACGATAAGCAATGAGTTCAATGTAATTTTTCATTGCCCAGTAATTATTGGAGAAATCAAGCTGTTTCTTACCTTTTTCACTGTATTTTTCCCTGTAACAACCACACTCAGCAAATATTGGACCTCAGCCAATGACTCTGAGCCCCCTGTTGAGGGCGGAGTTTCCCTCAACAGGTGGGATTTCCTTTTGGACCAACACCCAATATTTGCACATCCGATCTGGGGTTTATTTGACCAGTGCCCAGTTTTGTAGCATTCAATAGCTTGTGGAATCTAAGTGATTCAAAATCCAGTTAAGCACATATCAACATAAGCGGTTTCGATTGCTATTGGTACTGACCGTGATAGAAAATCGGAGAATATGATTTCCGCTTCCGATAGTTACACTGGAGCTATTTGAATCATTTATCAGACGATCTGGAGGAAACAGGCGGTGAGATTTTTTGAACAGCTGAATTTGGAAGTGTTAATGACAAATACTCAAAATGCAATAGTCGATTGGCCATTTTCCTACATACCCTATGCGTTTCCGTGCGTCTGCTTTGACTCAGCCGGGACGTGGCTGTTCCTGACAAGTTTAGGACAATTGTTGACAAATCGGCCGGCGATTCGGTATGCAATATTACTTCGCCCGACACTGTATCTTGATGGGTATAGGGTGGCTCTTCCTCGTCTAATCTCAATTCAACTTTCATGGATTTTGAGAGCCCGAGTGCGCTCATTTTGAACATCATGGGGAAATGAGTAAAGGTAAGTGGTATGTTGGAAAGGATTATAAGTAGCCTCAGACTTATCCTTAAAAGGGTCCAATCCTGCAGTTAAAACTCTAGTACAGGAAAAATAGTACATAAGAAACCTCCACTACATGTCTCAGTTCACAGTGACTCCAGATCTCGGCGCAATCAGAATTTTGTGCCTCGTGGGATTTTAGTTATTTTTAGTCGGTTATTAAGGGAATTCATGAAATAATATCAATATGAACTCAGGAGATGTACAACTGGAGTACCCAAAATATAGTTTCCTCATTGGCTGGGCTAATAAAATAAGGGTGCTTTAGCCTCACGCTAAGGAATAGGTCCGGTCATCCTATTGGTTAATATATCTTATGAAAATGTGGGGACCCGTCTTAAAATAGCCGGCTTCCCTGAATATTACTTGGAGCGAGAGAATGTATTCTAGCTTCATATTTTTTTTCTTTGGGAGAGAAATGGGAAGCCCAATGCTTTCCAGGTTGAATGATCATGAAGTGTACAGCGTGTCACACGTTAATCCAAACCGGCTTGGCAGGGATTTCTGGGATTGCATCTCGGACTTACAGCTTACACACATCCCGGTGCATGTTCGACATTAGATCCAGATTGGTACAGGATGAATCCATTTGATCGACCTTATTCATTTCATTATGCACCGCAATATGATGAAAGCGACGGCCTGGGTGACAGTCATTCGCCGCGGGTAAGTGTATATGAAGTGGAGATTGCTAGATCTTCAGACATGCGGCAAGCCGAACTGACGATTCCGGTCGCCACCAGAATACTGAACTCCCAAATGAGCACGCCATCTCCCTACTTCATCCGGCCCATTCTTCTGCCTTGTCTCTCAACCCCTTCGAAGACCCAGTCTCTTCAAGTGAAGTGACTCGCCGGCCGTATCCCTCTTCATCTGCTGAGGTCAATAGCCCCAGAAGAGAGTCGATGGAATCACTAGATCTCCCTGATCAGATCAGATTACAAAAGCTTTCTAACCAGGGCTCGGCTATTTCCTCTTCCAAGGACTCAGCGCCGCGACACAATGGAAGTACCATTCGTCGATATCCAACACGGCGAATTAAGTTGACCCAAGGATCGGTCTTGAGTATTAACTACCCGGTACCAAGTCCTATACGCAATGCTATTCAACCTGAGTATCGAGACGCAGAAGGGGAGCTTCCTGAAGAATTCACGCAAATGAGATGTGAGTAATCGTATCAATGTGCCACATTCAACCTCATCATGATATCCTGACTTTTCATCTGTTTTCTTCCTTTTAGACACCGCTGCAACATGTGATCCTGATGAATTTACCCTACGCAATGGCTACAATCTCCGGCCTTCGATGTATAATCGACACACCGAACTTCTCATTGCCGTCACATACTACAACGAGGATAAAGTACTAACCGCCCGAACCCTCCATGGGGTAATGCAAAATGTACGAGATATTGTGAAATTGAAAAAGACAGAATTTTGGGATAGGGGAGGTCCCGCATGGCAGAAGATTGTCGTCTGTCTTGTCTTCGATGGCATGGATCCCTGCGATAAAAATACACTTGACGTTCTGGCAACCATTGGCGTTTTTCAAGACGGTGTGATGAAGCAAGATGTGGATGGAAGAGAAACGATCGCTCATATTGTTTGTTTACCCACCTCCCGATCCTTCTGGGTTCCAATATCTAGGGAATGTTCAAATGCTGACGGTTCCTAGTTTGAATATACCACACAGTTGTCGGTTACGCCGAAGCAAGAGCTTGTGCGCCCGTACAAAGACGACCCTATGAACCTGCCCCCGGTACAGATGATGTTTTGTCTGAAGAAAAAGAATACCAAAAAGATCAACTCACATCGGTGGTTATTCAATGCATTTGGACGCATTTTGAACCCTGAGATCTGCATTTTGATCGACGCGGGCACGAAACCCGGGCCTAAGTCCTTGCTAGCCCTATGGCAAGCCTTCTACAACGACAAGAACCTCGGCGGGTCATGCGGTGAAATTCATGCGCTTCTTGGCCATCGATGGAAGAAGCTCCTAAACCCCTTGGTTGCGGCCCAAAATTTCGAATACAAAATCTCGAATATTCTGGATAAACCATTAGAAAGCAGTTTCGGCTATGTTAGTGTACTTCCTGGGGCGTTTTCTGCCTACCGGTATCGCGCCATTATGGGCAGACCTCTGGAGCAGTATTTTCATGGAGATCACACGCTAGCTCAAAAGCTTGGTAAGAAAGGAATCGATGGGATGAATATCTTTAAGAAGAACATGTTTCTTGCGGAAGATCGCATTCTTTGCTTCGAGTTAGTTGCTAAGGCTGGCAACCGGTGGCACCTCACATACGTGAAAGCGTCGAAAGGAGAAACAGATGTCCCGGAACGACCAGCGGAGTTCCTGAGTCAACGGCGCCGATGGCTAAATGGCTCTTTTGCGGCATCGCTATATTCCATCATGCATTTCAACCGGATATATAAGAGTGGCCATAGTGCCATTCGGTTGCTGTTGCTTCATGTCCAATTGGCTTACAATGTCTGCCAGTTAGTTATGACATGGCTATCACTTGGTATGTCATTTGTGCTCTTTAGGGGCTTGGATGAAGATTATACCAGATCACTAACATATAATAGCATCCTACTGGCTCACAAGTTCCGTCATCTTGGACATTGTGGGAACCCCAAGTGAGACCAACAAATTCAAAGGGTGGCCTTTCGGAAATGACGCTACCCCGATTGTCAATAATATGTTGAAAATTGGTTATCTCGCCTTCCTTATGCTTCAATTCATTCTAGCTCTCGGAAATCGACCAAAGGGGTAAGTCCTAGGGCCTAGAGATGTGTACTCTATTTTTCTTCATAGCTAACATTCTCTCACAGATCAAAATTCCTGTACACGCTCTCCTTTCTCTACTTTTCTGTGGTCCAACTCTACCTCCTAATTTTGTCATTCTATCTCGTTGCACAGGCTATGACACCCGAGAATCTCAGTTTCGATTTAGATCATGGGTTTGGAGCACTCGTATCAGGCTTCCTTGCCTCCACTGGTGGACTTGTTCTAATCGCCTTGGTCTCAACATACGGAATCTACTTTATTGCTAGCATACTCTACGCCGACCCTTGGCATATGCTCACATCCTCTTGGGCCTATTTTCTCGGAATGCCTTCTTCGATCAATGTTCTAATGGTGTATGCATTTTGCAATTGGCATGATGTTTCATGGGGTACAAAGGGCTCAGATGCACCGGAGAAGCTTCCATCAGCGCAAACCAAAAAGGACGATGAAGCACCTTTCGTTGAAGAGCTTGATAAGCCTCAAGTGGACATTGATGAGCAATTTGCATCCACCGTGAAGCGGGCCTTGACCCCGTGGAAAGAACCAGTTGAGGACGAAGGGGTGGCCCTTGACGATTCGTACAAGGCATTCCGCACTAATCTAGTGTTGCTATGGACCTTCAGTAATGGTCTTCTGGCGTTGCTAATCAACAATCTCAGTATCGATAGGCTTTGCCTAACAGTAAGTCAAATTGAGTTCGAGTTCCTTCTTTTATTTACAGTCACTAACTGACATAGTCGACGTCTACACCTCGCACCGCGTGGTATTTCAAAATCATTCTGTGGGCTACTTCTGGTCTCTCAATTTTCCGATTCTTCGGGGCACTATATTTCCTATTAAAGACCGGAGTCTTGTGCTGCGTTTCCAAGCGTTGAACCAAGGCTCGAAACCATTCTCTAGGCCACTATATTACTTTCTTTTGTTTTCTTGGGTGTTAGATACCATCTCTCTTCATTTAGTCCAAACAGATAATATAATACGCTTGATTTCTATATTTCCATATCCATAGATATCTTGGCTCAAAATCCCTCGGGGGGTCCTCGGGGTTTTATATAAAAAAAGTCAAAGTGCCGTACCTGGGGCTTGGCATTTGCAAGATGCGTCGGGTTGACCGGAGAATGATGCACCTATGTATGCTATACATGCATGTATCTAGTATGTATTTAACAGGTTTTAAAGTATATACTAAAGTTCTACTATAATAAAAGTACTGAAATACTCCTGAAACAATATTACTTAGACAATATAATGCCAAGAAAAGTTATCCGCCCATGAAATGCTCTGCCTATTTTGCCCAGAATTCGGTCTCCGCTAGAAATTTCTTCTTTCTTTAATTATTTTTAATCGCAAGAGCCTGGACTCACCATATTTTACTCCACTTTCGCTATAACTTCATTTCAAAGGAATTATGTCGACAGTCGAGAGACAGGCACCTCTATTAGTGGTACGGTTATCCCACCTGAAACCCCCCCAACTTCCAATACTAATGCCAACTGCAGTGCGATCTCTGTCATTCTCGCAAGGTAATAACCCTTTAAAATCCATACATCTATATCTATATCTATATTCTTCAATTTACTGACTAGATACACAGGTCCGGTGCGACAGACGGGATCCATGTGGCAATTGCCAGGATGCAGGTATCTCCTGTAATCGTCAGCGGGCTGTGAAGCGCAAATGTCTGAGTAGCCGTCCCCGGGCTTACTCCCCCTCATCCTCTTCCCGCAGTTCGCGACGAAGACAAACGCCTCATTTTGACGATGGTAACTCTACTGAAGTCATACCAGTCCTCCGCTCTAACCCAAGTCGTGATTTCAATGATCTACGTGTGTTCAAAACCGGGGTTATATATGATCCCGTTTATGATGCGCAAATGACGATCCAGCATCAATTATGCAATCTACCGGGTCTCACTCTAGACAGACGCAGTGTGCTTGAAACAGCATTATCGGTCATACGAATATTGTCTGACAATTCGAGATCACTGGGAGAAGACAGTCTCAATGATCGTAAAGAGGAAGTTTCCTCTCGGGGTCTGTCTATTGAATTCCTTACCTGGATGTTGAAAGGTACATCGATGTCTAATTACTTGCACATGTTATAAACCTGACATTAACATGAAATTCTACAGATATTCGGACGGACAGGTTTGGAGTATTTGTTGTGGATTACTTTAAACATATCTCCATCCCATCATTGAAGAAGATGGGCCTTTCACTCCTTCGCAACGACACATCAAATCGTGAATCTATCATCTACACCGTTTGTGTTAATGCTGTTGCTTACAAGTTTATCACTACGGTTGTAAATCTTGAAGAAGACGCCGACGTTGCCCTCGAGCTGAGGAAGAATGCAACGGGATATCGAGCAGCAGCTCAGGCTGCATTAAAGCAGATCCCACTGCTAATACCCCCATCTCTCGCACTATTACAGGCTATCATTTGTGGTGTAAGTCCCTCAACCCTGTCATCGTACCCTTTCTCAACAGAACTAATCCATATCAGATATTCCTTCACCAGGGATCTGGAGACGTCGATTTAAGTGGAGACCTCACCAAGGCCGCCTGTAACACCTGCATTGACTTGCACCTTCAAACTAAGGTTCTATGTGGGAATGCAAGCGAAGAAGAGCTTTTCTGTTTCCTATGGTGCTACACCTTGGACAGAAACCACGCCTTCAAATCACGAACTTCACGCTGTCTTCTTAACGTCCAGCTACCACCTACTTTCACCGATCTTTATCCAACGTACCCTCCAATGGCCGAACATTTCTTGATTTATCTAGATCTCGCCCGGGTACAGGATACAGTGGTTTCATATCTTCCCGATAGCTTAATAGGTCACAACAATCCCTCATTACTATATGGTACTGGAGAATACATGCTGGTACAGATGCAATATATCGAGCAAAGAATGACACACGTGAGTCATTACTCCTATTTCATTTATACGATTCCCTAACCGGTCCAGATGTCTTCTCTGTCAACTGAATGGAAAGGCCTGGACTCCCAAACCGAAATGGCAGCTCTCAAATTCGCCTATCAATCAGTCATGACTGGAATCCTCTATCTTCTCCAATCCGACCCGGGCCAAACAATCCGCTCAACAGAGAGCTATCTTCAATCAGCACGCCGGGAACTGTCAGCACTCGTATCAATGTGTCACTCAGCGGAGAAGCAAACTGCAGTCAACTTTTTGAACTGGTAAGTATCAATACTACAATACATGGTCTACTTACATGTTCTCATCTAATATCCACAGGACGATTCTCCTCTACCCAGCAACGGCCTATCTAGTCCTATTCTGCAACGTCGTTGCAACATCCGACATCGGCGATTTCAACCTCATGAAAGCCATCGCTGATTGTCTAACTCAAACTGGAATCAGTTATCCCCTCGTTCAACTACGAACACTATACCAGAAATTCCTGGGTCTTTCGCAGGAGTTTTTCAACAATGAGCGCAATACGCTTCAGGCCAGTTCGGCGAATTCGCTGTCTAACCCTGTAGGAAACCAGTTTGCGATTACGTGGACAGATGATTCGATTTTCGATCAGTTTGTTTTCACCGGGGATGGGTTCTCTGGTATGCTAGGTATGCCAGAGATTGATCCATCTCTACCATACAATTTTGATTGAAAAGGTGTATAATACGAGTGCGTTGGTCTGTGGGTTTGGTATGGTGTTCTTGTATTGGTATACACGGGTGATCATGAATATATGTAGCATCAAATTAATTATTTCTACACATAAACATTGAATAATGATATACATGGTGAAATATTCAAAATTATATTCCTGGTACGTACAGGTATATACCGTTGTACGGTCTTGTGGTACATGACAGCGGGTTATATATCCCGTTCTATATTATTCCAACCTTGACATCTAAAATTCATTTGCATCCACCCACATAAATTTGATGTTTCCTTCATATGGATAGAAACAGTGACATCGCTGTTCTTATAGCTAAGTGTACATAATGTAGATTTACCAACATGACATTTTGTACAAAGGTACCATAAAACAGAGAAATAAACAGACCCGGGAACAATATTCATTTCATCAAAACGAAAATGGCTAAAAAAATATTTCATATCAAATTTGACGGAAATTTTGACTCGAAAGAGCCCGAATTGGAGATCCGAATTGGAGATGGGGCATGAAAAGTTGAGATCAAGATAACAAGAAACGTCTCAAAAGCTAGCAATACCTTACAAGGCCGACTATTTTGAGATAGATAGCCGTCAATGAAATACAGAAGAAGAATCATCAAAGACGAAACGAAGAGCAAGCATATCGCGAAGCTCAGAATCAGCTTCGTTGCGGCGGATACATGGGAAATCAGGGTGACGGATACATAGTATACCCATGGTTCGAAATGAAACAAAGAGAGTCCGGAGAACGAAGTCGTGGTGAGAAGAATCGAATCATAGAAACGTTGCGCCGCGTATCAAGAAATGGCAAAGTAGAAACACCGTTTTCCCATCACAAAGTTGAAGCTGAAGTTAAAAAGACACGAACTCGCTGAATAACGGACAAGACATGATCGACTGACAAGGGGATTGACCTAGTTGACACGGAACGAGTCGAAGATGACTGTACGGCCAGTTAGTATGGAACAATCGCAAAAAAGAAGGATCCAAGAAGCCTACCTTCATGACCTCTGCGGCAACCGCTGCCGATCCACATCAAGGTGTTCAAGAATGTGTAGCGCTCATCGCCAGTCTCCATTGACAAATTGACCCGGTATTTATAGCTGCCGGGGTTGACACCATCTGCCATATTGGAATCAATAACCTTCTCGAGAACATCCTTGGCACCAGTCAACCATCCTTGTGTGTGGACAATGATGAATGCAGGAGGCTCATCAACAGTCTGAAGAATATAATTCGCGCGAAGGTTGGTAGTGGAATCCTTGGTCACAAGCTGTGTATCTTGTCCGCCGGGCTTTGTTCAAAAGTTAAACACTGAACAAGGAATGATTGGAGGTCAAGATTCAGCTTACCAGAACGATACCCTTGCCCCATCGACCGGCCCATTGGCCCCCGATGAACGAGACCCACTCTCGCTGGCCCCAGATGCTGGGGCCAACAGACACCTTGGGGTTCATTTTGATGCTCATGCGGAAATCCAGCTCCAGCGACGGCGCAGGGATCTGAAGTGACCGGGCGACGTCGCCTTCGGGGAATGTGTGAAGTAGATTGTTGGCGGGGATCGAGTCCTTCATGACGCTGAGATAGGTGGGGCATTCGAGCAGATGCTGGCGCTGGCGACTAGTGTTCTTCGCGCGAACCTGCTGGCAGTAGATACATTGAACGGACAGACACTATTGCGCATTATTAGCTTATATGTTCCAACATGTATGACCGCGCTGCTTCGCCGTACCTTGTCCTCTTCCTTTGCGCGGAACTCCACGAAAGCTGCGTGCACATCGTCTAACGGAGGCGCAGGCAAACTGGAGCTTGATGTCTTGGTCTTTGGCTTGGGAGTCGGGCGCGAGGGAACGGCGCTTGACGGCGCAGAAGGAGGACCGGTAGCCGCAACTGGAGTTGCCATTGTGCGGTTCTGGAGAGCCCCGAGCGGGGTCTGCAATGGAGTGGCATGAGGGTTGACACCATTGGTCATGAGGGTGCCGTTGGGAGTTGGGATGGTACCACCAGTTGGACCTGATGGGGTGGCTGTCGGGCCATTGGGAGTTCCGGGGTAGCCATTTGGGGGACCGATTCCGTTAGGGGCGGCCTGGGCGGGCTGAGAAGGCTGAGGCGCGTTGGGATGACCGCGCAAACCTGGACATTCAAGGAGATGTTGTTTCTGTCGTGAAGTGTTCTTTGCTCGAATTTGTTGACAGTATATACACTGAACGGAGAGACACTAAAACGGGTTTTCGTATGTTAGTGACCAAGTCGTGGGTGAAATATTACGAAATACACACGCACCTTATCATCTTCCTTGGCGCGAAATTCGACAAACGCCGCGTGTACTTCCTGGTCGACGGTGCGACCCATGACGGAGTAAGTGAAGTAATAGTATTCAGGATAATAAACAAATGAAAGAATGGGTAAGGGTCGCGTATAGGTAAAGTTGGAGGGGTGAGGGAGAAGAAAAGAAAATGGAACGAGACGGGAGAATACGCGGGTTACGCGCCCTGCGTAATTTGGAGCACTGCTTACGGTACCTGCCACCCTGTACAGGTACTTATATTACAACGTAAATTGTTCTTATAGTATCTATCTCTAAATCTATATAGTACATATTGAAATATATTATTAAAATCTAGTATAATATGCTATCGTATTACTTCTTCTCTTTACTTTTGCTTCTATCACTTACTTGCTGGCATGGATGATACCGGCGCCCGGCACCTTAGAAATAAGAAATATAATAATTCTTCTTAGATAGCTGCCTAAAAAAAGCAACTCCGAAATAGGAATTTTGAATAATCGCTATAGATACATAGTAATTCACTATGAACTACAGAGTAAACAGCCCTTATATAGTCCTTGAAGAATATCGGTACAACCCTATCAAGTGGGTGCCCTGGAGGGCAAGCGAGACACACTCGGATCAGGGCTATGATTAGATCAGGGGAAGACAATTCTTGCGAATCTCACGCAATAAGCAAAAGCAAAAAGGACCAAGATACATATAGAAAAATATTTTTGAAGACATCATTATATGTAATTAGCAGTATAGATGTTCATTTCGACACGAAACAGGTATTATTACTGTTACTGAACCTGATGAACGTCTCGTATCCTATACGCGATACTGTCAACGACTTCAATTACAACATACAGGTTCCTGGTAAGATTGGGGTATATCGAAAAATAAAGATAAACATAGATTTCAATGTCACATCCTCATATACCCGTCGCCTTCTTCTCCCTCAAACTTGATAAAAATGTTCCATTCTCCCGGTGATGCAATATACCATAGATCGCGTCCATAGGTTCATTCATATGATCAGCGCCCATGGTCATTCAAGTTTTATTGCAATAGGAACCACACAACTGAGCAAATCCCCTCATACCTTCCACTTGCATTTCAACCCTTCGAAATTTCATCAATGTGTTCGTCGATGTCATTCGACGTCATTAGACTTAGAACGCACGGTTCCCCCTCACATTCCAGATAGTCGCAGGAAAATCTCGCCATAGCGATAACGGACTGCCCACTCGGTACTTTCATCGACGTACCCATCCTGATGGACATGCAGCACACCCTTTGTAGCGAGAGTGAGAACATTCATCAAAGCCTGAGTCGCGACAGCTCGGGTCGTACTCTCAGGAGGGAGAAGACTCGCGAACTTCGTCTGACCAAGTCTGGCCCGGACCGGGCTAGACATGTTGATGTTTGGGCTTTGTGTGGTTCCTACTTCGCCATTAGCAGTACCTATCTTGTTCTTCATGAATTCTATGAAGTTCAAGCTTTCCCGATCAAGAGTTGACTTGGCATGTTCGAGAGCAGAGCGCTTGCTTGGCGACAGTGAGCTGATCTTCTCGCGGTCTGTCGCAAGCTCGCCTTCGAGATATCGGGTGAGATCTAGGTCGTCCCCGAACTCTCCCAGTAGCTCGGCGCTAAGCCGGTCCTGGCCCTCGAGATAGCTGCGCCCGGCAAGGGGACTGGCGCTTGTCAGACGGCTTCGGGCCTTGCGTCCCTGTGAAGAAAGCTCGCTGACACTGCCGACTCGATGTCTTTGTCGAGAACTTTGAATAGAGGCGGTGATATTCCATGGCATCTGGGATGAGTGGTCATCGAATAGACTCGAAGGGGCATCACGGCCGAGTTCAACTTCCATGTTGAGACGGTCGATGTTCTCACGGCTGAGATGTCCTGCTTGTTCGTCTCTCGCGCGTACTCGACGTCCCACGGAACCTTCATCGTCATCTGCGCTGCGCTTTCGCCGATTTCGTTGAGGGTATCCACCAACGGCTTCAAAGAGATTCTCGCCCGAGTAGAGGTTGAGCGGATGAGGTTCATGGTCTATTCCCAGTCCGACTCCAACCGAGCCGATCCCCTGGCCGAAGACCCAGAAAGCAGCATTCTTCTTTGAAATGGTTGGAATCTTATTTTGCTGCTTTTGCTTCATTGCTTCGATCATGTTGGCAACGTATTCATTGTTCCATTGAGCCAACGTCATATTTCGAAGCGCTGTGGTATCATCATAGCTGATCTCCTTTGGGCGCCTGACCCGGCGCGTCCTCACTGGTGGAATCTCAATTGTTTCTTCAATCCTATCAAGGCTTTCATTTCGCTGGAGAATTGCCGGATCTGCAGTTTGGGCGTCGAGCTCCATCATATCGTTGGTATCAGTCACTCTGACTTCCTCGTTGTCAATCTGCATCTATTGAGCGGAGTCAGTGGACGTCCTTTTAGTTTCAGTACATATGTTTAAACACTCACAGAGTCTGCACGGAGCTGGTGTTGTTTGTCGTCTATCGGTCCTTCGCTTTCCCTCGGACCAACAGTGGACTTCCTTGTACGTGGGGACACTCTGTCACCAAGCTCGATGATATTGCCATCCTCGTCAAATTCAAAGTCAGGTTGAAGGAGAACACCCTCTTCATTGCCTAACCCTAGCCCCGTCATGTTGCTAAAGGCGTCTTTCTTCTGCGCAGACTCATTGATCTCATCAAGTCCAAGGATAGTACCGTCTCCTAGGATATCATCCGATGGGAGCTCAAGGCGCAGGCTTGAAAGTTGTGAAGTGCCAGACAAGCTATTACTGGGCGACTTGGTCCAAAGACCGCTGAGCTGGGTTGAGCTGTCATCCGTGGTGGCAGTGAAGTAGGACAAGTCAATCTCAAGTCCCGGGAGGGCTGTCTCGGGCAGGAAAGATGGGTCGTAAGGTAGGATCAGATTGCTAGGTCTGGGATGGGGTTAGTATTCGACCAATACCTTGCAAATGATATCACCAGTCAGTGGCACATACCTGGTCTGTCCGGCAGTGGGATCAAGCCCACTTCCCTGAATAATCTTCAACTTGGAGACCATCTTGTCGTGCATGGCCTGTGTGTCAAGCAACGTGTACCCACACTGTTGATTATACACTCGAGAGACTCCGTAACTAACACGACAACTTGTTAGCATATCCATGGATACCTCACTGGGTAGGAGTTCTTACAGCAAGCTCCCCTGCAGTCGAAGAGCCATGGGGGCTTCGGGATTGATGATAACTCGGCATGCATTGGGGACATCCACATCCAGGATCGCTTTTCGGTTTAGTCTTCTAGCAATGGACCGGGATCCTAGAGTTGCAACTAGCCTGTGGAGATGGTATTATTAGTCCTGGCTCTGAAATGGCGGAAGTATTGGGTGTTCTTACCATATTGTCGCGACACCATGCTCTGGTGATGTGAGGACTAGAGCGTGACAAGCAGGTCAGCTTTCAATCCGAGATGAAGGCAGCTTGTGGGGCGCTTTAACTTACTTTCATGGCTGTAGAACATGGTTGCGACGGAAGTGGACTCGAGTGGCCCCCAGGCCCTCGAGTCTCCACACGGCCTGGATTTTCAGGTGCGAGTTGAGGGTAGTGTAGCTGGATTGAGTGATATGTTGTTCGGTGGGAAAGGAGTCGGAAGATGAAGATATCAGCTGCAGGTTTGCTGCGTCGGTTTGCCCGTGGGCCAGGGTAATGTGTGGGCGGTTCTAGAATAGTTTTGGATGAAAGAGAGTGAGAAGGTACGATGAAAGTGCCTCGACAGTCACGAGTGACAAGACTTGGGTGAGGATACAAGGAAGAGGGAAAAGGTGGAAGGATGATGTGTGAAGAGGGTGTGCAAGTCTCAACCTGAGCACAAGGGCCTTGAGGAGAACAGATGCGTTATGCATCCCAGTATACGTCCACACTTACAGCTACACTGCTCGGACCAAAGGTTCACATTAACATATATTATTTTATAATTACACTCGACTGCATTCCCGGTTTTCAATTCAATAAATCAAATCAACTCGTATATCCATGGACATGAAATAGGGAACACTCGCGGTAGACCAGGTCGAATCCCAACACCAGAAGAAAATCTTACTTTTCTTGAGACTGAGAGACTATATGTCAGTTGAGGACAAGGGGAGGGAAAACAAAGCAGCAGAATTCTAAGGAGTAAAAAAAGACCGAGACCAACAAAAACCGAACTCTTTTGGCACAAAAGTATAAGCGTAGACATAGTCAACTATGGAAGATCTGAAAATAGATAGGCACCCGGAAATCTCCAACCCAGAGCGATGTATAGGATGCACGGGGGGTATGAGACAAAATACATGCAAAAACAACACACAAACACGCCCTGGCAACTACTCATCACTAACTTTGAGTGGGAGCTTAGTCGAGAGGGATGCCCTCGTACTCGGAGTAGCCGAGAGCCAAGTTCATGTTTTCTATTGGGTTCGTTAGTGTCATGGCTGATGAAGTAGATGGATTCAGAAACTTACGCAAGCACTGGGTAGCGGCACCCTTCAGCAGGTTGTCAATGGTGGCGCAGACAACAACGCGCTCGCCGCTGGAGTGGACGGCAAATCCACCGATCTCGACACCGTGACGGCCGGCAATGTCCTTGACAAGAGGGGCTTCGCCAACAATCTTGACGAGCTTCTCACCAGCGTAGCGATCCTGGTAGAGGTTGCGGATATCGCGGGAGGTCATCTTCTGCTTCAGAGGAATGCTAATAGAGTGCTGTATATAAATGTTAGCAATTGTGAGGATCAACGAGTAGCCAACGGGCACTTACGGAGATACCCTGGAACCAAACCGCGACGTGAGGAATGAACGCAATGCTGGTGCCCAGCTGTGCGCTGATCTCACGCTCGTGGATGTGGTCAGTCAAGCTGTAGGGGATGAGGTTGTTGGTAAGGAACTTGACGTCGTTCTTGGGGCTGGGCTTGGTACCCGCGCCGGAGTATCCAGAAACACCGAAGGTGGTAGGCTGGCCGCCAAGGAACGGAACAAGAGGAGCAATTCCAAGCTGAGCAGCGGTGGCGTAGCATCCGGGGTTGGCAATGCGAGTAGCCCGGGCAATCTTAGACCGCTCAACGAGCTCGGGAAGACCGTAAGTCCAGTTGGGGTCGAAACGGTAGTCAGCGCTCAGGTCAACAATGACGTTACCGGTCTTGGAACCCTCGTCAACAGCGTCGACAAAGGGCTTGCAGATACCGTTGGGCAGAGCCATCACCCAGCAGTCAATGTCACCGTTGGCAGACATCTTGCGGACGTCCTCGGGACTGAGATTCTCGTAGATGATCTCGCGCTTCTCGTAGCCTTGGAGCTTCTTACCAGCCAGCTCGCGAGACGAGACGTGACGAAGATCCATGTTAGGGTGGGCATTGAGCAAGTTGATCAGAGCCTGGCCGGTGTAGCCACGGGCACCAATGAGAGCAACCTTGGCGGGCTGGGTGTTGGAGATGTTCTTCTCTCCAAGAGGAGGGTTGGGGTTGGTAGTGGCAAAGGTGCGGAAAGAGTTCACGGCGACAACGGGACGCTTGGCACGGGCCATGCGGAGGGCATTGGTGGTGGTTGAGAACGCACGCTTCTGCTCAACAGAAGCACCGCTAGCGCCGAAACCCTTGCCAATGTTGGCGGCAGCCTCAGCAGCGCGGTGAAGGCGAGCCTCAAGGTTAATGTCACCGAACATCTGGCGACCGTGGGCGTTGAACTCCTGAACGAGCTGCTTGACTTCCTCGCCGTTCTCGGCGCCGTACCAGAAGAGGACTTGACCATCACGGCTCAAGCTGCCATCGGCCTTGTCGAAGAACCAGGTCAGGTTCTCATCGTCCTCCTTGACAGTCCATGCCAGCTTGGGGAAGTCCTTCTTGATGCTAGCGAAGACGTTGTCGGCAACGTTAGTCAACCAACCAGACTTGGTAATGGTGAAAGTGGCCAAGTGGGCCATCTGGGAGTTGGGCTGCGGGGGCAGCACAACACCGAGAGCTTCCATAGGATCATCGTAGTAGATCTTGAAGTCCTTGTTCTTCATACCCTCGACATAGCGGTCAACGACGGCACGGGCATCAAGACCCTCACGATCACGGACCAGAACCTCCTTCAGGGCATTCATGTCTTCAAACTCGGACAGAGAGGTCTTCACGTGGATCTTGTTACCGCGGCGGATCAGGGTACCAGCACCGGAGTCAGTGAAAAGTTCCTTCTGGAGATCGGCAGGGTGGATAATTGCGACGCTAGATGAGCGAGGCAGATCGCTGAGGAGCTCCTTCATCTCCTTGATCTTCAGACGAGTGCCGTGGCGCACCCACCACTGGCTCATCAAGTGATCGTACTCCTCATCGAGGTTGATGGCAGAGATCTTCTCACCAGTGTCGCCGTTGAACAAACCACCCTTCTCGGCGAGGTAGACGATCTTGAGGGGCTGCAAGGCGCGGGCAAGCTCACCAGCAGCCACATCCGCATTGACATTGAGCACCTGTCCCTCGGGGGTCTCGGCCATGGAGGTCAGGATGGGCAGACATCCAGCGGCAATAGCTGACTCAATGGGTGTCTTGTCAACACCATTGATCTTGCCAACCAGGTTGTACTTGGGCTTATCGAGATAATCGGCCGAAAAGACACCCGCGGTAATAGGACGGGCACGGATACCGATGCGTTCGAGCTCCTCGACCAACTTCATGTTCTCCTCCAGGAAGAGCTTGCGGGCGAGAGCCAGAGTCTTACCATCAGTCACCCGAATTCCATCCTCGAACTGAGGCTCAACACCGGCGGCCTCCAGCATGCGGTTAAGCTGGGGACCGGCACCGTGGACGACGATGGGGTACAGACCGACATGGTTAAGGAATGCAAGTGCAGATGACAGAGTCTCGAGGTGCTCAGTAATAATAGCACCACCAACCTTGATCACTGCGAATTGCTGAGAGGACACGGAGGTGAAATGTGACAGGTACTGTTGGACCTCGCGCTTAGAGCCAATATTGCTCAACAGTTGCACAACGGTGCTACGGGTGGAGGTCAGGTGAGGATCAGTTGCGCGGGAGTATTTGCGAGTCTGCAGGGAGGCAGTCTTCGCAACTGAAACTCGCAGAGCAGTCGGTGCGGAGAGAGAACGGAGGGGCTTGCACGAAGCTCTCCGCACAGCGGAGCGAAGGGACATCATCCTGGCAACACACATGCGGCAGCCTCAATGGTCACACGGTCGGCCCTGGGTGGGAGAGGCCCCAAAATATGTATAAAAGGTGGAAGGGTAGGTGGTGAGAAAGAGTTGAGTCAAGAGATATTTTTCAGATCGGCCGGGCCTCGGAGCGATAAGTTGGCCCAATGACGGGGAGAAGGCGGTGGACCCCCCTTCTAGCGAGCGATTTATGTGAAGTCCTGCATCTTTACGTGCGACATTTGATTATTCCAATACAGTTTTTTTACATGAACCATTTTATTATTTATTTTCTAATTCTCAAATTTGTATTGCTATATGTTGCTGGCTAATTTTCAATTGACTTCTTTCTTACAATAATTAACATTGGTGGTGCCCTAACCGGGACCAAAAAAAAGATGCGAAGTAAAAAAAAAGCAATGAAAAGCAGAATCTTCACACTTTTTCCTCGGATATCAATTTCCTTAGACTTTCTCATCCATTTATCTCCGAAAAAGCCCACTCCCAGGCTCTGCTCGGAGATCATGAAATGTCCCTGCTTGGGTTTAGTCTCACTTATCTGATCTTGTGCCTTCCTCTTACTCGTTGCGTTGGGTCACCGCTATCCACTTCCCTCCACCTTGGCTGGGTCTAGCACTCTTCGCTTCCTGCCGGTATATGTGAGACCTTCTCCAAGTGGTCTGATTGAGGAATTGGTGGACACTTGTTTTCGTGCCAAGAGTTCCCAGTATTATCTGATTTTTCTCCTACTCCGTACTGTTCAACAGCCTTCGGATGAATTTGGGAAGGACTCGTCAGGAAAGGGCAACGCTTGCACTGCACTCATATAGCAATACATGGGAACATCTACTCTGTAGAGCGAGTGAATTAATGAGTACCTAGGTAGACGCTGCTAAATGGTCTGGGCATACATAGCGGATTCCCTGCATGATCTCATTGGCGAATTGGAACTTCACAGGTCAGAGAATCTTACGCCACGTGGACAGTGTGTTACCATCCTGATATTGAGTGGCCTTGTCTGCGGACCAAGTTGAAACATAGTAGCCGATGTACCAAACCCAGTCCGCTCCCATCACCCATTGTATATACGAGTCCAGAGCCCGAGACTCAATCGCCAGTATGCACAAGGGTGGATGTCGACGTTGCCTGTTGAAGTGTGGATCTACACTAATATTCTACATTGTACATGCTGTTCAGTTATCCCGGCAAGATTGGAGGTTCAAAAAAGGGCATAAGTGCACTATAAGGGAAATTCATTGCAGTCAAAAAACACCCGAATGGCAATGTGATAAGCATACTTAAACACGGCGTCATGAAAGTATCATTTACATCTTCACCCGTCGACCGGGTCGCATAAAGCGACACAACCCTAAATCGGATGAACTCGGTTCGTTGCACGGAAAAGTCAAAGAGGATTTGGTCATTGAAAACACGCCCAGAAAAAAACAGCAGGAGGTATTAGCGGCTGCGAAGAAAACGGAAAAGGCCACACGGCCCCAACAACAGTAAGCCCAGTAAAATTCAAGAGTCCATGTCCAAAGAGAAGTCGTAAGTCGCGCGCAGTTGAGGTGCTTAGTGCTTGGCAGCCCACACTTTGTAAGGTGTTAGTGGAGAACTGAGAAGTAGGGATAATGCCTGGAAACGCTTACCAGACGGCACAATAATGACAATGAGAAGGACAATCACGCAAATGACTAGACACACACGCATCTTCATGTCCTTCCACCACATATCTTTGCGCACGCGATTGGCACCTCGGCGGAAGCCCTGAGCTGAGACGGCCAGGTTGTCGGTCTTGTCCTGGAGAGAATCCAAGTTCTCACCACGTTGGGAGACCTTGTTGATGTTTTCGCGCATTACACCGACAGTATCATCGATTTGCTATAGAAGAAGACACCTTGTCAGCCCCAATTCCGGGAATCAAGCGTACCAGCCTTCGCATTTCGATAAATGAACAATAACAAGTATGTGCCATCCGCCAGATGACATATAGCTGTTTTCTCAATGGTCGGGGATCGCTAGTAGTCAAGAGATCGTCGAGGATTAACTCACTGCTTGCAAAGCGGCGGTTCGCTGGTTGCCATTCTGCCCGGTGGCAGCGGTGGCTCCAGCAGAGCCGGAGGGGATGTAGGGGTCGTAAGGTTGTTCGGTAGCAGCCATTATGAAAGTCGTAAAAAAATTTGAGGAAACCTCAAATCTAGATTGGCGGGAAATTAGGAGTCTCTGACGACCTCGCGGGAGCACTAGGGGTTGCGCTGTTTTGATGGGGAAGTGTAGCAAAGAGGGAGTCTAGAAGACAAGGATCGATGCAGATCGTGGGTATGAGATCAGAGCTATCGTAATATGATAAAGATTGGGATGTAGCGCAACGGCGAGGGACGGAGGGAAAGGATTAACGGTTGTTGTCTGGAGTGAAGCTGACAAGGGTGACTTGCCGCTGAGGCGGCTTTGCCCAGAGTCACGTGCTGTGGCGTTCTCAGTACAAAGCCGTACTATGTCGGCCCCCAGCTTTGATATTTAGGGTCTTGACTATAAATTATTTTTAAGGACCTTGGCGTTATCGTTTGCAAAGAGTCGTCATCATAGTCAAATCGTGCCAGATAGTTTCGTGTTGTTCTTGCTTCATGTTGTGATACTGAAATTAATTTACCGCAAACAGGCACAATGTGGATGTTTCACTGTAAGTGCGTGTACAACAGTAGAATATTAGCCTAGGTATTGTCCTCTGTATGCTTAGCATAAGTAAATCCACGGACTCATAATTTTTCTTCAGTACACAAATAATCTGGCTCCACGGTCATTGATATATGGCTGCCTATTGATACAGTTAGAAAAGAGTGTTGCTCGAGGAACCCGGTGCTATTATTAGGATTAACCCGCATTAGGTAATAATTTCCGGACCCGTTGATGTCATCCCATCAGGACTAAGGAAGTACATACAACGCTCCAAGTAACTCAATATATGAAACAGACCTCACGTTGCGATCAATATGAGCATTATGTGGAAAATTGGCGACAATTCAAAAACAAACGTACAAGTCAAATCCGATATCCAAACATCCAAAGTAGGGCAAGCCGAGCGGATACATATGTATTCATTCCATCGATGTGCTCAGGCTCACAATGAAACCCACCCATCAGGATATCCAAAATCTAGGGAACCTTTATATAACGCTCAGCAGGAACAGTCACGATAACTCATTAGAGTTATAGAATAGCATCGCCTCCAAAGACTACACAGCAGTTTGCTATGATTCCTTCGAGAAAAGAGACCAGGCTAGCTCTCCAACGTCTGTCCCTCTTATCCCATTATCCTATGCGCCAACCTGGTGCTTCTATAACACAAGCCTGCGCCTGATACTTGCGTCGCGCGAGGCGGTGCCAACTTCCGACTATCAGGACTGCCATATAATGGTGCGGGTGGTTACCAGGTGAAAGATTTTGGCTAAGCCTGGCGCTGGAGATGCCCTGGTGGTTTCCAATGTCGATTTATCTCATTACACAACCACTCGCAGCTAACCCCTCATAGCCTTCGCAACAGTCTCCTCAATAACCCTAATCATCTCCTCCGTATTCTTCATATCAAACGGAACCATATGCTTTGAACCATGATCATAGAAAGTCGCCTTAGCGGGCTCACAAAGCTCAAATAAGCGCACGCTTTCAGGGAACAGCGCATCCGCCTTGCCAACAATATTCGCCGTCGGAATAGCAATCGGATATGTATCCGGCTGCGGCGCAATATGCTGGAGTCCGGTACTATCCCACGGCGCCGCGCCGCAGATAAACACCGCTGCGCGGAATAGCGGTTCATCCGGGTGCGTCTTGCTTTGGTGGATTATAAGTGATGCTGCTAGTGCCGCGCCTTGTGAGAAGCCTATCACCACGTCGAAGGGGCCTTCTTTCACGATAAAGCTCCTGGTATGATCGAAGGCCTCGTGGATACTGGAGCCTGGTGAGGAACCTCGGGTGTAGTGGTTATAGAAGGGGCCGTCCACTATGCCTTCGAGTTCTGGATTTCGGTCAGTATGTTTTTTAACTGGTGGCTGTAGGGATCAGAGCTTACCCTCTTCGACTTTGGCGTCCATCTTTCCGTTCATGAATTTGAACCGGTGGCCACTTTTCTCTAGTATCTGGCGGATACCTCCAATTTGGATTTCAAAGATCTATGGCTGGTCAGTATTTTTCTATGTTGAATTGAATATGTCCGTACTTCGCCATTGGTGCCCCCACCATGTAAGCAAAGAAATCGCATTTTGGTGCTTTCTGATTTCGCGTATAAGTGTAAATTTGAGCAAGATATTATATTGGAAGGTCAGGATTTTGTGTTACAGGACTCCTCGAGTTCGAGGAAAAGAAGAAAGGAAGTCTACAGGACAGGTGGCCAGGATAATCGGCATTAGTCTGGAGAGACCTCGGGGTACAAGGGGGATCAACCTGCAGGCGGGGCTGGTAGGACTCAGCTTGGCAGGTGAGATATACAAAGGTCTATGTGCGGATTGTTTCTTCTTTAAGTCTGCACTGCAGAAATTACTGCCAAGCGGACCAATAGGAAATTTTGATAAGATGATACTTAAATATATGTATGTAAAATTTCAGGAGATTTCTTGGGACTTCATCTCTAAAAAGAAATGTTTCTTGGCCCGAAGGCATTGACCGGCTATTTAACCCCCAAATCTGATCTCACTTTCCGCAAATATTCTTCAATCTGACCTGCAGCTATGGATCTCCGTGATATTCTAGCCACTCGTGGCTTTGCGACCTACAGCTTGCGTCATCCTCGGGAGGCATTGTCAAGCTTTGGCCCAACCCTGAACGAGGCCACATTCGGCTATTTAGGGACGTCATTCCAGCCTGAGCGCGACATTCGCAGCTTAGAAGGCAAGGTCGTCCTTGTGACAGGAGGTACATCTCCTCTTTCGACATATCTATAGCTTCCAGATCACTGACATCGCCATGGACCAACTCAGGCAATGCCGGCCTAGGCAAGGAGACCATTCTCCAACTCGCCAAGCATCGCCCGTCGCGCATCTACATGGCCGCCCGCACCGAGAGCAAAGCGCGCGAAGCAATTGAATCCCTACAAAGCCAGCTCTCCTCCCCCGCCGATATCCGCTTCCTCGCTCTCGATCTCTCTTCCTTCAAATCCATCCGCGCCGCCGCAGAAAAGTTCCAGTCCGATAGCGATCGGCTGGATATCCTTATCCTAAATGCAGGCACAATGGGCAACCCGCCCACCACGACGAAGGAGGGCTTCGAGATCCAGCTTGGCACAAACCATATCGGACACTTCCTGTTCACAAAACTGCTTCTGCCTACTCTGCAGAAGACCGTTGAGCTCCAGCGCGCAAAGGATGAGGTCCCCGATGTGCGGGTCGTGACTGTCGCTTCGGCAGCTCACTGTGTCGCCCCCTCCACCTTTGAGGAAATTACATCTACCCCTGGCTTGTTGGCGTCTAGTACTTGGACGCGCTACGGCGCTTCGAAGTTGGCTAACATCCTCTTTGCATCCGAGCTGGCCCGTCGGTATCCCGATATACTGTCTATTTCTGTGCACCCCGGTGCGGTTGATAGCGGGCTCTATGGACATACGAAGAGTCTCAGCTCGGTGATGAAGCACGGTATCACGGCCGTTGGCTCTATGCTCTTTCGGAATATTACTAGTGGCGCTCTTAATTCTCTTTGGGCGGCTGGCACCCAAAGAGAAAATATTATCAACGGAGCTTACTACACCCCTGTTGGGTACCGTAGTGGTGGCACTGCGCCTGTGCAAAACGCGCAATTGGCGCAGAAGCTTTGGGATTGGACCGAGAGTCAAGTTTCCAAGAGAAACTAAATGGAGCCATCGAGGCATGTACGAATATATGAAACGACTAAAATGTTATCAGCGATATAGCTTGCTTCTGCTTTTTAGAATGCACACTGTTCTGCAACACACGCTGTCATTCCCCCGTCTATAAGAAGCTGGAGGCAAATGGCATCATCATGATTTCGATGTCGGTCATGCTGCCCAAACCCCTGGATAAGTGTCCGTGTAGCTTGATCATTTCAAAGACTCCGCCAAAATCAGACAAGATATCCCTCGAGCGGAGTACTACCCCCAATTCCGCATCTCACCATACACTATCACCAACATGGGCCACATCGTCGTGACCGGCGGCTCCGGCAAAGTAGGCCAATTCGTCATCAGCGAACTCCTCAACGCCGGACACAAAATCCTAAACCTGGACCTAATACACCTGGAACACCCATCCGTGCACACTCTAAAAACCGACCTCGCAGACAGCGGCCAAGTCTTCAATGCCCTCTCCGGCCAATGGACCCTCACCGAGCCCTTCCCAGAAGGCCTCCCACCCCGCCCAGACGCCGTAGTCCATCTCGCCGGCTACGCACGCAACATGCTCGTACCAGACAACGAGACCTTCCGCTCGAACACGCAGGGCACATATAACATCATCGAGGCGGCGTGTAAGCTCGGAGTGCGCAAGATCGTCATTGCGAGTAGCATAACAGTGTATGGAGTATCATTTGCGCAAGGCGATGCCAATTTCCCCTCATTTCCGATCCACGAAGACCTGGACATCAACCCGACAGATACGTACGCGATCGCGAAACTGTGCAACGAGCGCATTGCGCGGGGATTTGCGTCGCGGTTCGGCGCGGATATCTACAGTCTACGCATTGGACGGCTTATCGAGCCCTATGAGTACAATGGGGATATTTTCTACAGCTATGTGCATGAGCCGGCGCTGTGGAAGGTGCATGGGTGGTCGTATATTGATGCGCGTGATCTGGGTGCGATGTGTGAGGCGGCGGTGCGGACTAGTGGACTTGGGTTTCAGGTCTTCAATGCTACCAATGATCATATTACCAATCTTAGTCCTACGAAGGAGTTTTTGAAGTCGCAGTTCCCGGATATACCTATCACGCGTGAGATGGGGGAATTTGAGGCGCCGTTTTCTAATGCGAAGATTAAACGGCTGCTTGGGTTTAAGGAGAAGCATCATTGGCATAAGTATTTTAGTAATTGGGAGAGGAAGAAAGAGATTGAGATGGAGAAGAAGGAGATGGTTAGTGGTTAGTGGTTAGAAAATGGAACTGTGTCCACTGGTTACCACATTTGGTATATACCAAGGTACTATTAGCATTAGAATTATTAACATATATTTATTTCAACATACAATATCAACATTCAATATTCCAATATTCAAATGTTGTCAACTCCCTTATTATTCGAAGTATATATATCTTCCTCATGGAGCCCGATTAGGGTTTAGCCGAGCATCCAATATCCCACAAACATGTTGAAGACTTGCGAATAACCAAAATCATCAAAAGAACAAGATAGTTTATATTTGAATAGAATCAATTTAGAAATTCCATATAAGAATGTAGTTATTTAGAAAAACAACAGTCCGTTAAACCCAAGTCGGCGCATTAGCGAATATTCACCCCACACAAAACTCTTGGGGATGCATCATCATTCCACCCACTTCCACTTCACGTTCCCTTTAACCATCTCCCCTTCAACCTTTTTATAACGGTACGCTATATAATTGTCGAAACAAATTGATTGAAATCCTTTTTTCAATCGCCCTACGAATTAAAAAAAAACTAATCCTGCGCCAGGCGATCACCCCTCCCGACTTCATCATGGATCAGGCAAAGTTGGCTAGAATGCAGGCGAGCGTTCGCATCGGTACGTTTTTGTCCCTTTTGAAGGATTTTCGAGCTTGAGATATGATTTGGGTCATGACGTGGAGCTGCGATTCTCTGGAATTGGTAGCCCTGGAGCTTGGTCATATCTCAATCTGGCAAGCTACTTGCATGACCTGGACCTTCGAGTGTGCAAATTTGATAGCTAACATGGTTTTCCTCAATAGGGTACGTATATTCCATCCAGAATTGTTTTCATCCCGACCTCTCGATCCCAAACAGAGGAAACGAATTTTCGAACCGCAATACCCGAATTCGACACAGCCGATAGTCAGACTACGATTTATCGAATCTCGACTCTATGCGATGGCGCTATATCCCAAATATTGAATCGAAGATAGAAATCACGAAAATCCAGTCTGACTCGGCCTGTGAATCCTCGCATTCCTTCGATCTTTTCGGAAACCCCTCCCATTCATCCCCCCACCCATGTTCACCCACACCGAGACCAAAATTTTTCCAGCAGTCCCAACTAACAACTTCATAGTGGCAAGGGTACTCCCCGCCGCAAGGTCAAGAAGGTCGTCCGCAACTCCGGCGCCGATGACAAGAAGCTCCAGGCCGCTCTCAAGAAGCTGAACGTCCAGCCCATCCAGGGCATTGAGGAGGTCAACATGTTCAAGGAGGACGGCAACGTCATCCACTTCGCCAACCCCCGTGGTGAGTAGCCCGAAACGAAGGACCTTGTCAACCGAACGAAAAACACTAATCATCCTCAGTCCACGGCGCCGTCCCCTCCAACACCTTCGCCCTGTACGGCAACGGCGAGGAGAAGGAGCTCACCGAGCTCGTCCCCAACATCCTCAACCAGCTCGGCCCCGACTCCCTCGCTTCCCTGCGCAAGCTCGCTGAGAGCTACCAGAACATGCAGAAGCAGCAGGGCGATAAGAAGGACGATGAGGAGGATGATATCCCCGACCTCGTCGAGGGCGAGAACTTCGAGACCAAGGAATAAATACGCCTAGATGCGAATTAAATCGAGTCTTTAAAAACTTTCGTCTATGATCAATGAAATTTAAGCTCCGGTTTGAGAGTTGTTTTTTGTTGAATGTTCTTTTTTCTGCTATTTTGTTTCTTTCCTCGCGGGGAGGTTTGACAGGTATATATATCGTGCCCGCGTTATTGATGGACCTGGTGATGGAGAGCACTTTCTGACAGCTCGATGACTTTATCTGAGTCGCTCAGAATCACGAGGAATTGTACTCGTTACTGTTCTACGGTATATCACTTTCGTGCGCGGTCCCTTAACAGGACAGTTCATTATGCCTGTATCAGATGCAGCTATCGTACACATTATCCATTGATCAAAGCCCGAGCCATTTTACCACAACGCCATTGACACCATGTCTTGCGCAATGCGCGTGGTGCTGTTGAGGACTGACTCCTCAAGCTGCGTAGCGATTCGGATTTTAGGTTGATCGCGCGCAAGACCTCTCAATTGCGGTGGACGATCCGTGTAGGGAATAATAAAAAGATGGTAAGGGATTCCATTTCCGTAATTCTCGATGGCCTTCATGTCGCCTCAATTATCCTCCTTCAGTCCGCACATATCCGTTCTCAGGAAGTAATCGAACGTGTACCAGAACCTCCAGTAAATGCCAGATTTTTCCTGATCAAATGTGCCATCCTCGCGGAGCAGCGGGCCCTCGCCCACGATGTCGCCTGTAAACCAGCTCAAGATGGGGATTGAGCGAAGGATGCGCTCGGTCATGGTGGGCTGCGGAGGGAGTGCCTCGACAATGGGGCGCAGCTTGGTACGGCGAACCGTCGGAATATGCGTCATGAATTCGTTGTCGGTGGTGGATTCCACCGGAGCTGGAGCTCGGCGTTGGTGAGCTGAGGTTCGGTCGGTAATTGACGAAGCTCCTGTTGTCCATGTTGAGGAAGACGTAGTTGTATTGAAACTGCCTTGTTGGAATGAGGGTGTCGCAGTAGCAGTTGCTGAAGTTGCAGTGGATGTAGTATCATCGAACGTACCAGCGACCGTCGAGGAGTCGACCGAGTGTCGTTCATCCTCTGGAATACCCGGTACACTGGAAAGGTTGTTCATGGCAAAGGATCGAGGCAATGTCATGCGATCCTGGTCTTTGCTAGAATTGGAGAGGAAGGTAGTTGAGTGCGAGGTGGTCAAGGTGCGAGGTGCTTTATTGCGAATTCGACTGCTCGCAGAGTCTGCAGGGATGGGAGCGTCTTCGGTTGGGCCGTGGCCGGTGTACAGTTCGCAGTAGACCAAGTGCCCATCGATTTCCTGTGGCGAGTAGAAGCACGCGCGGTCTGCGGCCTGGGTCGAGTCGTATGTGACCTTAATCCAGTGGTAGCCACCGGCATAGCGCTTCGATTTTCGATTCGCATCGGCGGACAGGTTTCGGATGACGACGTCGCCTCCGCTCAATAGCTGGGTGTAGTGGTTCGCTGAATTCGGGTCGTTGCGAGGGTAGTCTTCACAGATCATGCCCTGGGAGATGCGCTCATATTTGTCGATCACCTTCCACTCATTGTCCTTGTTTTTGTATCCGTAGAGTATGCATTCGGTCGCGACTTTCTCTGTTTGCTTCCGTGGATTGTCAAGGCTGGATGATGAAGATGATTTGGGCAAGCCGTGGGTCTTCTCCTCCTCCTGTTGCTGCTGTGAGAATAGTCGGCCGAATTCGGCAACATTGGGGTTTTCGCGCTTTGCTGGTGTTCCAGTCCGTGTTCGTGAGCGGGCATTATCGTATCGAGCATTTCTTCTCTTGCCGAAAGGTCCTGATTCCTCAGGTGGTCGTCGAGGATTGCGAGATTCACTAGGGAGGCATCTTGTCAGCTTTGATAGGAGAGGAGTTCAAGGTACAATGCACATACTCTTTGTAAACATAACCCCAAGGGAGGAGGTTGCCATCCTCGTCTCTAGCACGTTCCTCCGGTGGGACGGAGTGGTACTCCATGGCGGTAGATAGGATGCAGTCAAGTAGTTGAGAAAATGTGAAGTCAAGAGGTAGAAGTGAGAGCCTAAGAAAGGGAGGTTCTGTGAGATAGATGAATAGGGTAAATTTGTCGGGGCCATCGAGGGAGCCAAAACTTTTGGTAAACATTGGTTCGCCGGGATACGGTCACGTGATGCCATCTACATCTTTTACACAGTTGATCTTATACATCTCATTAATTACTTCTATAACAATTCTATAAGCTCAAATCAATAGGTATTTTTTACCTAAAATTATCCTCGGTAACTTTTGCAACTTCAACTTCAAGTAAATGCTACAGATTATTATAGTACTAATACAACACTCCTATGCATGTATGAGGCAAAAAGAACTTTGATTTAGTGCTAATAGCTCAAAGCGTAGTTATCTGCCATTCTTATTATTACCACGCAGTTTTGAAGATACCGTTGCTTGTCTCATGAGACATCGCATCCTCAAGCACTTTCGCGACTTCAGTTCTGTGGAGCCTCTTGGCACACTGCAAAGCGATTCAACCATTTGCATCTTTTATGTTTAGATCTATCTATCCCTTTAAAAGCGAACAACTTCAATATACCCACGTTCCTCCCACTTGTGCGAAACAGTACCAAGTCCCATAAAGCAATAAGCCTCCGGAGAAAAATAATCAGATTCATACATCTTAGCATTGAAGCACCTTTAATAAGAAGGAGCTGCAAAGCCCTAATGCCCACAGAGGGGGCTCAGTCAAAATGCCCCCGTTGATAAGACCCCAGCAAAAGGTTAGATAAATAAGTTGAACTAGAAGGGCTTGTGGAGATGTTTATATCAATTAGTGTCCCAACACTACGGCGATATATAATGAAGAGAACGGGTATATACTCTCTAGTATACGGGGTGACTTAATATATGTGATCCCGCTTTTTACCTATAAGAGAGACTCGGATTTACGTCTAACTAGTGAATTTAGGGAGACAAGAATACAGGGCTGCTACCAGTAATATCTTTTCAGTGGTTTTTTTTTAGATATCATTCTGTGTAAATGCCGTGCCAAGTTTATAGGTCGGCAATAAACGCGGAAAAGGGCTTTGAGCAAATGAATTTTCTATGTATAACATTTGATATATGAGTATGTGTTAATCACTCTACATCCCAGCTAACCCAATCAAATCTCGACCAACGCTAGCATGGACTTTATCATACGTGTATGTCACGAAGGGCATCATCCACCACACACACTGGACGGTTCTCTCAACTACCAGTATCCATCCTGAATCCCGGTAAGCATTGAACATTCCAAAAAGGGATCTTGAATTCCTACCTTCTGCATCCTGCGCGGTATCTGGCAGGACCTTCCACTGGCTCCCCACAGATACACCAAACGGTGCATCAGCGTAGGTCTCGACACCGGACTTGGTATTTCTCAACCAGCTCATGAATTGAATGTGCTTCTCGCCCCAGCGACCAATCCCTGGTATGATTGTAATAACATTGCGTAGTATATATGTCTCAATCGGATCCGATGTCTTGGGAGTTTGAAACAATTCGAGCTCGTATGTCGCGGGGTCAGTGGGGACCTGCTTTACGTCTGAAACCACCGGATTCAGTCTAATAAAGCTCGGCTGATCGTGTAGAGCTCGAAGGATCTCATTTCGATCAACGGAGTCGGGGATTTTGGTGGAAACGCTTCGGCTGTGAGTGGTACGCCAGTTGATTATCGGCAGGGACAGTACGAGGAGACATGCCAAAAGTTTGTAATGAACCATTTTGAAGGGTAAAATTCGAAAGAGAGATTATAAGCTCAGCTATGGAGAGGGGAACATTATTATATTATAAATATAATAAATGATCGTCGCTGCGATCTCATACAGATCCCCACTGGATCTGACAATACCGGTTTGACAAGTCTGATTCAAATGCAAAGAATCTTCAAAATTCAGATCGAATAGACAGACACTGTAGAATGTATTGAAATTTTAGAAATTCAACTCAAATATTAAATCATAGAATGTCAAGGTTCAATGTCGTATATGCAACTATTGCATAGATAAAGCTGAAACCTGCATATTAGGTAGCAATACGGAGTACGGAGTATTGGATCGATGATCACATTGGTACTGCCAAAAGGAGATTGTGGCGTGCATTAGTGTTCCTTCTCGGGCAAGGCAGTTTAGCGTGATATTCAGCTCGCCTCAGCTGTGTTGATTAATTTCCAAATCGGGGTATTTCTGCCTGAGAAGTTCCAATTTTGGAAGTAATTCACAGGTATTGGCAAGCCTTGATTTAAATTTTTGAACTGGGTTAGGAGAGCCGAGCCCTAGATCGCAAAGATGCGGCATATCAAAAGCCCAACATTCCCTTGGCTCCTGCGATCGAGATCTGACATTAAATCTTTGGAAGCAACTTCCAAATATCATTTTACATTGGCTCCAGGTGTATTAAGCCTGCGCTCACAACGCCTTATCTATACTCCCCTGCGAGATTGCAATTCGCACCCTGAAGCCTATGTCAGCTATCCGCTGATACCCACCAACCCATTGATTGAATTCCCATTCTAGCGGTCAAAATGCTCCAGACAATTTCCGCTACGCTATGGAGCTTCTTCGGTATTGGAAACAATCCGCTTCCTGACATCCCATACGCCTCCTGCTTTCCTACCCTGGGACTACTGTCAGAGAAATGGTCGCATGATTTCTATTCAACGTCTATGGGAGCCCTTTTCGATGCAGCCGTGGAGGAAGGTATATCCTGGACGCTTATCGGCGGCGTGCCATTGGTATACCTTCGAGACCCTGCCTTGATCCGACAGATGTTTGTCAAAAATGCAGAATCTATTAGCCGGTGCGGAACCCAAACCAGAGGTCCATTTGGAACTGGCAAACGTATTGTCCGCAATGCCCTGATTACTGCAGACGGCGACGTCGCCCGACATTGGCATGCTGATATGACCCGCGGATTCCACAATAGACCCGCTATGGAGGGTTTTCATTTGAAGCTGATCTCAATTGCAACGGACCACGTCCAAAGGCTCCGAGACCTCGGGCATGGTGATAATCTCCAAAATCTCCTGCAAGATTATGCCATGGATGCAGTCTGGTGTCTGGGGCTCGGGTTGGAGAATGCCTCCCAGCATACAAGAGAATGGCATGAGCCGTTTGGCCAGTATGTGCAGATGGCGGCGAGTATGTCATATCCACTCCATCACACCGTCATGAATCAGATGTGCGGTCGGAAATTTGAAGAACCAGATTATTACGAGAATGATCTTCACCAAAGGATTGAGAATTGTATCCTTCAGCTTCTGGAGGCCAACTCGCACCTCCTAAACCCGGAGGAGGCGAAAGCCCCAGAGCAAATGAACTTCCTCCAGAGGATATCCTATGAGACAGGTGGGAGCGCAGAGCAACCCATAACCCCGGATGTTTTCGCCCACGCAAGGCAAATCTTCTCCCACGGGTTTCCCGCCCCTACGCTTCTCCTCGTCTGGGCGCTGAGGGAGCTATCCCTACACCCCAAGGTAAAGCAGAAGCTCCGCGCAGAGCTCCAAGCAAGTGACTGGCATGATCGCCAGGAGCTGCAGCTCCTTTCGCAACTTCCTTACCTCAATGCGGTGGTAAACGAACTACTGCGCCTACACCCCCCGATCCCGACTACCGCCCGAGCCATTGATCGTCCCTTCAGCATGCAGACTAAATCTGGTGCTAGCTTTGTCCTTCCCGTGGAAGCTCGCGTGGCTGTTTCCCTTGCGATGTTACATCAAGACCCTCATGTTTGGGGCGAGGATGCCTCACAATTTCGACCGGAGCGATGGGACGGACTCCACCCGAATACGATCGAGAGCGAGTGCAAGTATTTGCCTTTTCTCTCGGGACCTAGACGGTGTCCATGTACCGGTTACGTCTTACAGCATGTCAAAGTATTTCTAGCGGTGTTATTGACGGAGGTGGAGTTGGACGTGACGAATGCGTCTACGGTAGAAAAGAGATTGGGGCCGGTATCAGAGCCAACAAAACCTCTGACCTTCACCGTCAGCCCAATTAAGACAAATTCAATTGGGCATGTCGAGCACTAATTACGCCGAACCTTAAGGTTGAGACGAATTTTCTTCGGGGGTCAGGCATTGAGTTTCAGCGTAATTTCCTTCAAATACCAACAATTAAATACAACCAATAGACTGTTTCTACCTAAAAAGAAGTTAATATGACACATATATTGCATACATTTGACCCCGTGGGGAGCTGAAAAAAGTGATTGACACGTGGGAGTCTAAATGGGGTCAGGAATCTTCAAGCAGTCGATGATCGGGATCGGAGATCGGCTACGGAGTAGGCCATGCACGAGAGATGCAGCGGTGGAGTTGATAAAAATGAGCTTCTGCCTGGCGCTTCTGGATACGAGATAATCTAGTGCATTGTCCCCACTCGGGCTGGATTCCAAGTTCCACTGTTACGGGTTGGAGTAAGCGCTAATCTGAGATGCGTCCTAATCGGGAATACCTGCATACCCCAGCCACCAGGTTTATTCGCTACTATGAATATTGTACAGCATAGTTTCTGTACAGAGTATGGAGTAGTTCCGTTGTTAAATCGCCAAATAGTGGACTATAATGTTGGACTTATAAAGAGTGAATATAGAGAGGAATAGAAGTATATATCCTTAATCTATATCTACCCACTACTTATAAACCTATAGATATCAATGGTTATATAGCGAAAGTCCGCAAGGAAGGATAGGTAAGGCGAGTGCGTAGTGACATAGTCCGACACTACAACATTTGTTTGTAAATTTATATCTTTGTACAAAATGATTAAAATATCAATAACCCATGACATCATAGCATGGTTCTAAATCCAAGATCCTCATTTATATCCCATTCTTATATATATTCCTGTCACATTGCCGCCTCCGCAGCGATACTAAATGCATGCACACTTCCTCGTGGATGGAAAGTCGAGGAGTCCTGGTGACCTCTTCTGTCACTCGTCACTACTTCATCGTCAGATGCGTTACCCCAACCACCACCCCCAGGCCTAAATCAAAATAATTGTCAGTATATATCAGAAAAATAAGGAAGAATGTATATCACTCACGTATGAATCAGAATCCGCTCCCCAGGTTGGACCACGAGTTCCATCTTGCCACCAATATTGATCATTCTCTCGGTTCCATCGAGCTCCTTCTTCATGTAAAGATTCAAGCCTGCCTGTCCAGACTCACCTCCCGCCAAGCCATATGGACGATAGACGCGCCGTTCACTGAGCATAGACACCGAAAGAGACATACGGAACTCCAGCTCACGGATAACACCATCTCCACCGCGGAACCGACCAACGCCACCAGACCCATCTCGGATACAGAACCTGCGGAGGATGACCGGGTACCGCAGCTCATAGACTTCTGCATCTGTAATGCGCGTATTTGTCATGTGGACATGCACGCCCGATGTGCCGTTCCAAGTCGGTCCAGCACCTGAGCCGCCGCAGATTGTCTCACCAACGCCGAATCCAGGTACTTCAATACCAGTCTTGGGATCAACGCCACCCATGCCAAATGAGATAATGTTGCAGCAGCCCTGTGAGGCGGCACATGCGTTAAATGCACCCAGAACGACATCTGTAATACGCTGCGAGGTAATGGGATTACCAGCGCAGACGGCGGCATGGCCGGATGGATTGAGCAGTGTTCCAGAGGGAATTATCACATTTACTGGGGCGAGACAGCCCTGATTGAGGGGAATATCAACATCAATCAAAGCCCGAAGACTGTAGATAATAGCTGAGTGGGCGATGGCTTTGGGGGCATTGAGGCAGTTGAATGTTTCCCGGCCAGTGCCTGTAAAGTCGAAGTCGGCAGATCCAGTCTCGGAATCGATACGGATCTCCAGCCTGATCTCAGTGCCGTCGTCCATGAAGTCAGAGAACCGGAGGGGAACTCCCTTGTTCTTGCGGCCAATGGACTTAAGCAGTTCACGGACGGCGATTTCTGCGTTGCGCTTGATTGCGTCCATGTAGAAGTGGACTACCTCCAATGTGTTCTCGATAACTAAACCTTCGAGGAGCTGTGCACCCTTATGATTTGCTGCAATGGCAGCCTTCAAATCTGAGACGTTGTCGTTATATGTACGGGTGCCACTGCATCCAGGGTATGCAGCGGGCTCATCGTAGAGGAATTTTCGGACTATCTCCTCGTCAAAACGGCCTTCTGATACCACCTTGAAACCCATTGTCATGGCACCTTCCTCGTACAGCATTTTGCTATTTGATGGCATAGATCCCGGGGCGATGCCGCCAATCTCGGCTGATTTTGGTTAGAACGATACGACAAATACTGAAGGGAAAGGTCGCCTGTATACTTACCATGGTGACCACGAGAGGCAACATAGAAGATAATGTTTTTACCCTCGCCGTCCCAGACTGGAGTAATAATAGTAATATCGGGCAGATGTGTTCCACCGGCAAGAGGATGGTTAGTGAGAATGTGATCGCCAGGCTTCAAATCGCCAGCCAATTTCTCATGTTGATAACGGACAGCATACTCCATACCTGATGATGTTAGCATGGCATTCCTTTTGGTTGCTCCAAAACAAGTCCGACTTACTTCCTAGATGCACTGGTACATTTGGCGCATTCGCAACCAATTTCCCATCAGGAGAGAACACGGCACAGGAAAAGTCGAGTCGCTCTTTGATGTTAGTTGACACAGAGGTTTTTTGGAACATTCGACTCATCTGATCAGCAACAGACATGAAACGATGACCAAAGATGGACAGTCTGATAGGGTCCACAACTGTTGAATCAGCAGTCTGTTTCTTCGAAGACTGAACATCCAAAATCACATGTCGTGACAAGATTGTAGCGGTGGCATTCGGTTCAACAACAATAGTTTGAGTTTTATCAATGATCATCGCAGGTCCCTGAAGGACATATCCCGGTTTCATGTTATTTAGGAAGAAGACCGGTGTAGTAACATCACCGACGCCGGCAAAGTATACAGAAGATGAATCGTCCTGCTTCTCTGGGCCCACGGGAATTTTGGCGACCGATTTTAGTTCTTTTTGAGGTGTCTCTGGTGCAATAGAGGTTGCCTTTCCAACACCTCGGACTCGAATGTCCTCGACAAGAATGTTACGACCGGGGAATGTGAAGGAAAACTCGCGTTTGTGCTCTTTGACAAACTCAGCAATAAAGTCTCCGTGTCCAGGTTCGAGCACCATCAGTAAGTTGTCAGTACCCTGGTATCGCAGATTGAGGTACGTCTCATGCCGAATCTGGGTCTCATCAATGCCATCTGCAGTCAATGCAGCAGTGACCTTAGATTTCAAAACAGCGATACGCTCAGTGACGCCTTTCATAGCTGTCTGGTCCAGCACCCCTGATGCGGGTTCTTGGGCCTCATGAACAACGTCCGCAAGAGCCATACCATAGGCAGAGAGAATAGATGAGAATTGATGAATGATCACAGTTCCAATAGATAAAGAAGAGGCAATGGCGCAAGCATGTTGTCCTCCGGCACCGCCAAAACAGGCCAGGTTATGCGCGGAAGTATCGTGGCCACGGGCCTCTGTGAGAGCTCGAATAGGCTTCGCCATTGATTCGTTGGCGACCTGAATGAAACCCAACGCAATTTCCTCTGGAGACTTGTTTTGTCCAGTCTCATAATTGATCTGGTCCGCGAGCTCTGTGAACTTCTTCCGCGTGATTTCGACATCGAGAGCTTCGTTTTCGTTCGGACCGAAGATCTTAGGGAAGTATGCTGGAAGAAGACGACCAAGGAAAAGGTTGGCATCAGTCACAGTCAAAGGACCTCCCTTCCGGTAGCATGCTGGTCCTGGATGAGCACTTGCAGACTCGGGACCAACAGCAAACAACCCGTGTCGCCAGAACAGAATACTGCCACCACCGGCAGCTACCGTGTTGATGTCTAATTGGGGTGCCATCACTGTCACGCCGGATATAGTGTTCTCGAAGGTATGTTCCAACTTTCCGTCATATCTGGAGACGTCTGTGCTAGTACCGCCCATATCGAATCTAGAAAGTCAGCTGATGGCACTTCATGAAAGAAGAAAAATTGACTCACCCAATGACAGGCTTCCGATCTGTGTCGTCGAAGGAAGTTCCCGCATAGCCCACAACGCCACCTGCTGGGCCAGACAAGATCGCACGGAGACCAGTGAATCTATAAGGGTTAGCAACATTCTGTTATGTATTCCAGGTGATTATCAACATACTTTCCAAAATTAGCCAAACCTCCATCACTCTGCATAAACTCGCAGCGTGTATCAGCAGATTTGAGTCCGTCCTTGAATCCGGAGCGGAAGCCTTGAATATAACGCTGAATGACTGGTGTCAAGTATGCATCTGCAGTAGCCGAAGCACCACGAGATGTCATCTTAATCATGGGCAATAGCTGGCTGGAAAGGGAGATCTGGGTGAACCCAACTTCTTTTGCGATCTTCTCAATTGCAAGTTCATGATCTTGGAATGTGTATGAGTGAACTAAGCAGACCGCAATGGAGCGATAACCCTTCTTGTACAACTTCTGAAGGTTCTGTCTTGTGCTTTCCTCGTCAAGAGGCTCCAATATGCGAATCACTTCTCCACTAACACCCCTTTCCAAAGATGCATCTGACTGCAAAGACTTTTGTAGACTCTCCTTATCTGGAGTGGGATTCTGTTGATAATCCTCAATTGTGACACGCTCATCAATCTCGACCACGTCCTCGTACAAGACATCAGGACGCTGGATATTGAGTGCAAACAGCTTTGGCCGAGACTGGTTTCCAATACGCAACGCATCTTTGAATCCCTTTGTTATTAACAGTGCATGACGTTCTCCCTTGCGCTCGAGCAGGGCATTGGTAGCGACTGTTGTTCCCATCCGGATGCTGACATTGGAGAAATCAGAAGTTGTGAGCTCCTGGTCGCGGGGAAAGCTCTTGCCTGTTGCTTGCTCTAGAATACGTCGAATGCCCTCGATCGGAGCATCGGCGTAGTTTGCTGGATCTTGTGAAAGCAGTTTGACGACAATTTCCTCATCGCGACCTTCAACAATGCCTAGACAGTCGGTGAAAGTACCACCACGATCTAGAAGGCGTATTAACTACCTGCTCTATTGGGTTGATTATGATCTTGCAGGTGACTCACCTATGGCAATCTTGATGCTTGGAGCATCCAATTGTGTAGACATTATGTGCGTTATGTTCAGATGCCCTGAGGATGTAAGGGTCAAGGCTTCCTTTTATGGCACTCCATTGAAATAATCAGCAGGTCGAAGCGAAGTGATTTGTAAACGAAAATGCGCCCCCAAAGCCACAATCTAATCAAATCGGCTGATGGATGCCAGCAAACGAGACAAAGCGGGGAGATAAACGGGGGGAGAGTGAAACGCGGAGAAGCACCGCTTATCAGTCGCTTCGACCTTCCTGGCGCACCCATACCCTAATTGGCCTCGCTTCTCACGATAACCATCTCAGTAACTCGCTTTCATGTTCCAAGAATTAAACCTTTACGTTCAATTGGGTATAAAACCATCTCAAATGTCTATGTTCTTCGTTTTCGAAGTATTCATGTACCTCTCCACCTGATATATACGATTCTTTACTTCAATACCATGGACGAAAAGCAAGTGACCCCTCCGGAGGTTCAAGTCGCGCTTGACCAAGAAAAAGCTCAAGCAGGAGAACTCCTTGAAGCCCAGAATCAAACAGACGACAAAGATGTTGCAGCACAATTCCTCACTCGCCTGGACCCAGCTATCGCAATTGAACCTGTCACCGAGACAGAAGCGCGCCGTGTACTATGGAAAATCGACCTGATACTCATTCCCTTGATTATGGTGACAGTGGTTCTGGCCGCTATTGATAAAGTCATCATCTCTAATGCGGCGATCTACGGCATGAAGACAGACACCCACTTGACTGGCGACCAGTACTCCTGGGTAGGCTCAATTTTCTACTTTGGATATCTTGCCTTTGAATACCCGGCAGCGCTTCTGATTCAGCGGCTTCCTGTGGCCAAGCTTTATGTGGGCATGGTCTTGGGATGGGCAATTCTGCTTCTGTGCACCGCAGCAACGCAGAACTTTGCTGGATTGGCCACAGTGCGCTTTTTGATGGGTATGACTGAAGCTGCCGTATTTCCAATCTCCAGCATTTTGACAGTCATGTGGTGGAAGACAAGTGAGCAGCCAATTCGTGTCGCGTTCTGGTTCAACCAGCTCTCCTCCGTTTTCTCGGGCGTTGTCAGCTATGGTATCGGCCAAACAAACACAGCTTTAGCACCTTGGAGATTACTCTTCATTGTGCTCGGTGTATTCTCCTTCATCTGGGCTGTTGTATTGTACATATTCTTGCCTGACTCGCCCGTGCAATGCTGGTATTTCTCAGATCGCGAAAAGTTCGTCTGCCTCGAGCGCGTCAAAGACAACAATACAGGCATAGAAGACAAAACCATCAAGTGGTACCAAGTGCGGGAGTGCCTACTTGACCCCAAGACTTGGCTTCTGGCGTTGTTTTCACTGGCCCAGAACATCCCCAATGGTGGTCTGGTGACTTTTTCGGCTATTATCGTGACCGGTATGGGGTATACCCCGTTGATCACTACCGTACTGGGTATCCCCACCGGTGTGCTTGCAACGGTGTGGCAGATCCTACTTAGTTTTATTGCTGCTAGCGTGCCTAACTCCCGTTGCAATATTATCGCCATGGCCAACCTGGTGCCCATGATCTGCGCCATCCTGATGTGGAAGCTGCCTCGTGAGAACCAACAAGGTCTGCTGGCAGCATACTATGTCTTTTACACTTACTGGGCGCCATACGTGCTATCCACTTCGCTTCCAATGGCCAACACCAGTGGGCATAGCAAAAAATTGACGATGAACGCCGTCTTCTTCTTGGCGTATTGTATTGGCAATATCATCGGTCCCCAATGTTTCCGTTCCGATGATGCACCATCGTATTCACGAGGATATGAGGGACTTCTGGGCTGTCTCGTTGTGGCTATAGCCGCCATTCTTTCCTATGGAGCTCTTTGTCGATGGGAAAACAACCGTCGTGATAAGGAAGCCCTATCAAATGCGGAGACATCGGAGATTGTCGCATTTTCGGATCTGACTGATAAGGAAAAACGGTCTTTCCGCTATACTTATTAGGAGACTGTGGAGATGTCTAGTGGGTTGTTGATAAGTTCGATATAGCGACAAATGAGAAGACGTGCCCAGGTGGATTGGATATGGTATCTTTGGCGTTGTAACTCCATACTTTTTTGCATAATTCAAATGTCAATCTAAAGTCATAAAATGGAAATTAATTTGGAAACTTTTTAATGAAAATATTGGAGAATGTTGGGGTAAAATAGTGCAGGTCGAAGCGAGTTAAACGAGCCTCGGGGAATCTCCGAGTACCCCAAGCTATGAGAGCTTTATCGGAAGGTCAGAACGAAGTGGTAGATTTGTTCCCCGCACACGAGAGTACAACATATGTCCATGATACATATGATTGTGCGCGAGGAAGCTGGTGGCGAGATCAGATGTTCCGAAAGAAGGTAGGACGAAGCAAAATACCTCAATAAATATGGCGACGGCACCCTCAAAGTTTAAGAATTCGAACCAAGTCGCGATAACTCTTCAACTCACATGATGGACAAAGACGCGCGAATCCTTATCGTCGGCGCCGGCTGCTTTGGCACTTCGACCGCATACCACCTTTCACAGCGCGGCTATACCTCCATCAGCGTGCTGGACCCATACGCACCTCCCTCCTGCGAAGCAGCTTCCACCGATATCAGTAAAGTCATCCGCAGCGACTATAACGAGCCGCTATATGCACGGCTTGGAATTGAGTCTATTGAAGCGTGGCGGTCTTGGCCGCTGTTTCGTGGGCTCTACCATGTCCCCGGGTGGATTCTCAGCGCGGCGAACCTGTCCCGGCCGTTTGTGGAGGGTTCAATTGAGACATGTAAAAAGCTTGGAGTACAGGGTCTCGAAAAGCTCACACCAGACCAGATCCGTTCTCGCTTCTCTGTTGTCACAGGCAAGCTGGATGGGTGGAATATCAATGTGTGGAATCCAACGGCCGGGTGGGCAGCTGCTGGTACAGCTATCGAGCGGATGGCAGGCGCCGCCCAGCTGAAGGGGGTGAAATATATTTCGGGGAACAAAAAGGGGAATGTGCAAGAGTTGATACTGGATGATATCACCGGCGAGTGCAAGGGGGTCATCACTGCAGATGGCACGAGACACGAGGCGGATGTGGTAATTATGGCAGCAGGAGCTTGGACACCTTCGCTGTTAGACGTGAAGGACCAGTTGACTGCCAAGGGGCACAGTGTCGCTCACATCCAGCTCACCCCTTCCGAAACGAAACACTATGCGTCGATGCCCATTATGGATAACCTCGAGCTGGGCTACTTCTTCCCACCCCAAGAAGATGGGATATTCAAGATGGCTCACAGTCAGTTCATTACCAATGTACAAACCACAAAGTCTGGAATCACCACTTCTGTCCCGCACACGTTCGTTCAGGCACCCGGCGATGGCCTCCCTCTTGAGATCGAAGCCCAGATGCGCCGGAACTTGCGGCGCGTGTTCCCTGAGCTTGCAGATAAACCTTTCTGTTATACAAGGCTCTGCTGGGATGCTGATACAGCTGATCGGCATTTTCTTGTGACCCCTCATCCGACTCACAAAAGTCTCTTCCTGGCAACCGGCGGCTCAGCACATGGGTTTAAGTTCCTCCCTGTCGTTGGAAAATATGTAGCCGATTTGCTTGAGGGGACTCTTGACCCAGAGATTGTGCGTCAATGGCAATGGAGAGCTGGACAAAAGAGCACAGCAAAGAACCTAGCGCACTTGGATCCGGAAATGGAGTTGAGCGACCTTACAGGGTGGAAGGGTAGACAGACACGCGAAAGAAGCCATGCTTCTAAATTATGATTTGACTGCATAAGAGGCGCGAGGTGGAATGAAGTTGACAATTAACTGCGGACTATACGAATTAAGCCATCTTTCTAGAATATATACGGAAGAACATAAACAAAAGCCTTCATTACCGTGCAAGTAAAAGCTCAAGTCAAGCTGAGCTTCCAATCACCCAGCATGACCATTGCATGCTCCCACGAGAACCGGGTCTCTCGCAAGGGATCTTTCTGGCGCTGTGGGTTGAGCCTTTTCTGGAGTTTTCTTTCATCCTGTACCGACAAGTCCCGCTGGCGCCAGACCATTTCAACGACTTCAATCGCAGGGGTGATGTTCTTTGGAACGGGAAATGTTAGTCACGCGATGCAGAACGTCATAGAAGAATATTATACATACCCCAAATCGACGAATACTCTCTAGTTCTCTAAACAACTGCAACACAATGACCCTCTCCTCTTCCCTGTGAGCACAGCACCCTGCCAAGAAGAGAGGCCATAAAGGCGTAACTGCAGTACGCATTATATTCGTCTTCTTTTCCAATAGCAATGTCAATATCCGTTCAACATAAACATTCTTCTCCTCGGATTCCAATGTCGGGATACCAGATCGATCAATAGGGGCTTTGGTCGAACAGATCTCATACAGAAGAAGAAGGGCCCCAAGCCTGTTTGCTTCTGCGATTGCAGCACACTCCATATTAGGATCGATGTGTTCTGTGGGTATCCTTTGTTGAAGGCTATCGAGGTCGTTCTTTAGTTGAGCAACATCTTTACGGTTGATTTTTATGTTGTCATTGTCACAAGCCCACGCTAGTTCGGCTACTTGATCGATCTTCAGTAAGAGAGCGGGGCTCAATCCCATGTACGGATCGATAATGTCTGATTTTTCCAGTATACTGCCCGGCAGGAGAGGCAATATATGGGATGAGGGAGGGGCGACGCGAAACGCAGTGCGGGCTAGAACTAAGTGAAAGGCGAAATAACGATTGAAGAAACTCGTCAATCTTTGACTGTGAGATGAGCGTCCGGGACGTTCTCTTCGTGTGCGAATTAAGTTCTGGAACCCGTTGAGATGGGTGACCCAGGAAGGGCGACTACTATCTGATATCTGCAGGGAGTTAGGAGATTTCTCATCGAACAGAAGTAAGATCCTACATCAAACCAGCATAACATCAAGACCAGACCGAGCATCTCATCCAGTTCATTTTCTACCCAGTCAGTCTTATTCAACAACCCGCGAAGGTGATTTAGTGCCCGGTGGTGATGCTCTAATGCCGGAAGCCGGTACCGTTGGTCTGACAGTTTGAGGGTATTGGCTGCTATTGCTAGGGCGGCGTGATATAGCCCCTCAGACTGTAGGGCCATGGGGAGTATGAGATATCGATATGGATTGTAATGTGCATTATCGACAAGAGTAGAGCTGCTGCAGATGATATGTTCGAAATACGACATGAGCACCGGGTCGCAATCTGATCGCTGGCCGGGAGATATGGTATTCAGCCAAGGCGACAACGGACTTGGTTGAGACAACGGCTTCATCCGTTTGCAATTGGGCTGGGTTCCATCAAAATAGATCTGGAGGTCGACCATTGTTGTGTTCAAAAACATCCAGGTCCGGTCATCGCCAGCATGCTCCGAATTTGACGGCAATCTATCGTTCACTTGCTCAAGTGTTTCTTTCTTTCGGGCATCTTTTCGCTTGGACCATACCCCCGCTCTTCCATGACAAACGCCTCGGGCTAATGACTCCTCGTGCCAGACTAGACGAAGTCCGTACCCGCATGAGGCATCGTTACGGGCGCAACGACGGCAAATTGGATGAGTTTCTAACAAGGTATCAATTAGAACGGGGATCACGTAAGGGTTTAGGGGAAATTACCATCACATTTGACGCGTCGTGCGCGACATGTCCAGCAGCCTGTACGAGCTCTTGAAATTGCAGTCATGGTAGATATCTAGACCGTTTACCCCGCATGAGTGGACTTTCTTTGTTAAATGCGAGGCGATAAGTATATTTCTTAGCCTTCGTATTCTATTCATTTCTATTCGCTCGTGAATATTGACGTATCCACTTGGGCTGATCTTTTTTTGGCAAAAGGGGGTTGGGGAATCCAGATGTATGGATCTTAGCTGCCGCTTTTATGAGGGCGCTCAGAATCAGGCTCTTTGAGTAAATTTCAGTCCAGGCTCAGGTGGTATACGGGGGTTCAATAGGTAACAGATTATTCAAGTACAAATATATATATATATATATATATATCTTATAGGGACAGAAGTAGGTATATCTTAAAATTGGTGATGTTGAACACTGTAGGAGGGTGCTTCTCTACTAGCATCCGATTATATACAATGGGAAGTGTTCAATGCCGAGAAATAATAGAATTCCAGATTTGTATAGGTGCGAATATCGAAGTATCCAAGCATCTGTAGACATCAATATTAACCAATAAGAGTTATGTCCAGCGTGGCATACTTAGTCGCCCGTACTCAGGCTCAGTAGCCTAGAGCTATCTATTGAGCACTCAGTCCACACTGCACAGTCCATACCCAAAGAAGTCCTTTGCCCCACAATTCATTTACGAACTACTTCTTGGTATTATTTCTTACTGTAAGCCCTACTTTTTTGAGGTACATGATCTTCCGATCTCGTCCCCCTCTTGAATTAATGTACTAGAGCACGATAATATAAATTAGAAGTTACGGATTTATCTATTATTGGGCGACACAGGAGAAAAGTCTTCGGCCGCGGAGAAGAGTGATTAACTATCCCTATTCAGCCTTTCCGATCCCCAGGTCCCTTAGGAAGATACTAGTAGCGAGATCGGTATCGTTCAGATCCTTGAGCAGCAGGATGCCGACTAGAGGATGAATAATGGGCTTTGACTGCGGCTCGGGGAATATGTAGCTTCATCCGTTGACACATTCACTTCGACGAAGCAGCTGGTCGATCTACATGATTATTAGTACTTGACTACCGTAGAACAAGAGAGACCGAGGCTACAAGAATGCCTGCATCAAAATGAATTGAAATTACACATGAGCTCTCCAAGTCGACTCTAAAAATTCCCGGACAGTCCTCGGTTTAAAGCCGGGGAATCTGTTTCCAATCCGCCCTTCGTCTGGTAACTGAAAGCCCCTTGCAAGGTAAAGTTGATACCCGAATACACTGTAGTCTAAAAGTTCCTTTGGCTGAATGCCACTTCCGTCGGGAACCTCGAGTATAGGAACATTGCCTTTTTCGACCTCCTCGGCCTTCAGATAGGTGACTCTAAACTTTTCACCTATAGCATATGGTAGTTAGAACAGACTGCATATCGTTCCAGAAAAGAGTTCTTACCGCAGATTTCCTCCGCCATCCTTAAAACCTCACTTAACGTTGTGTCATCCCCATTGCAAAAGCTGAATTCAGACCATTCATCAACTTCTAACAGCTTGGCAACCAATGTTGCAGCATCATAGCTGTAAATCATAGTGATAGGGGTATTTCCATCCCCAGGAATGTGAGCTTGTCGATTGAGAACGTCAATGACAATGTTCATTGGGGCAATATTTGATCGAGCATATGGCATTCCCAGGAAATCCATGAAGGCGCCACAAACAGGGCGAGTATAGGTCAACTTGCTGGTTTTAAGAATATCTGCAGCCTCCAAGAACCAGTCCACCCCTGGATCAATATGCCGTCTCCTGCAGGTGTGTGTAAGCTTCAGGTTCAAGTATATCTGGAGGGCCAGGGGGCGGTACTCTTCACGTGTAAAATAGCCAAACTCGCTTGTTATAAACCTTTGTACCGTGCTTGCCTCGTCGGCAGCTTTGATCAAACTGATTTGGGCTTGTGAACAGTCATCTCCTAACATGCCAATTGCACAGATCACCGTCTGTACTGCATGGCGCTCTAGTTGTTGCACAAGTGTTGTGTGATCATCATAGTCTGTTTGTACGTATTGTACGTTACTGACTGGTGATTCGACATGTTCCTAGTTCAGTTGTCAACTGGTATGCTCTGAGGAATTAGGGGGGTTTGCTTTACTGTAACATACCCTTCGTGTCAGAGCCACCACCGAAAATTTGTTCTCATTTAGGATCTGTTCAACGATTGTTTTTCCTACGGCACCAGTCGCGCCGGCCACTGCAACTGTCAAGGCCATGAGGGGCTGCTGTAGGAAAAAGGCAAGGCAAACAAGATCAAGATCGAGGTCCGTCTTCTACGGGGGGCGAACCAATGACACGTGACTATTATCCGGTTTGGGCGGGAGATCACCTTCCCGAAGCAGTGGTTAGGTGGGGCTGCCAAGGTCTCGGGGTCCGGGAGCCTGGGTTCTCGCGATCACATACTCCTTACAGCCTCAAGTCCATTTGTTACTGTCACGTAACTCCAGCCTTCTTTCTTGATATAAGCTTCTCGTGATTTCAGGCTTATTTGGTTGTCGTCAACAATTAAACTAATAGATCGTCACTGACTGTACCGTTTGCTGCGGGGAGTGGCGGAGCTCGTTGAGCAGCATGACGTACAAGCATTTATATGAAGCATCCCGGGCAAAGTTTTACTTTTTTTATTACCTAGTTAATCAACCACTTCATAAAATTTTATCTGTAGTAAAATAATTCTCCCTTCATGAGCAAAGACGCAGGACCATCACTGATGGTACTTGGCACCCGTGTCAACTAACTCGATATCACTATTTGTCTCCGATCTGGAAGTATAATTCACAGAATAGCTGACAGACTTATTAATATTACCCTTCCCTGACGTCTGTTTATGATAGTAGTCCACCGCAGGAGATGCGTACGTCCGTGACGAACCTCCCAGGAATCCGGGGAATACTCGGCCAAGGAGAGCTCTGAAGGCAGGCAAACAAGCGCACATGACGGCGATTTGGGTTTCGATCACGGACCAGTGGACGAGGGGGTACAAACCGACAGTCTGGTTGATGCCCCAGCGGTTTTTCCAGAAGACGATGACTCGGATTATAGCAATGATTGTTAGACTGTGATATCGGTAAGTACGTCATAGGTGATACATAAGCCAGGCTGGGAATTGCATACACAGAACCCACGATGAACATCAAGGCCACGGTTAACTTCTTCCGCAGAGGCAATTGCAACTTGGTCACTTCATACACTGGTACCACGACCATGAACGAGTCGACAAAGATGTTCACCAGACAGTTGACGAAGGTTGAGTTGATGAAATTGATGCATTGCCCAGATTCCTCATTTGTCCAGCCGGTCCATATCAATCGGGTTGGCAAACAGCGGAAAGAATCCACCAAAGCCCAGATGATACCGATGGCGGCGTTTATAGCAATGAGCGTGTATGCGAGATAGCGGAATGTACTCGATTGGAAGATGCGGAGTAGGAAGAGGCATACGGAGATCTTTGCGAGGGAAATTTGAATCTTATATGTCACAGCAAGAGCTTGGAAATACTGCGTTGGTTAGCTTAGATCGAGTTAAAGAGGGAGAGCCAAACCTGGTAGAAACTGGTGATGTCGGGGAAGTCGATGTCCCAGATATTTCGGCCAAAGCCGCTGCGGATCACTGGGCTGCTGTCAGTATTTCTGGTGGAATGGAGGACTCGTGGCACGGGCGTACTGTATATATTGAGAACATATATAGCGACTCCTAGGACCTGCGGGCCTGTTAACATTTACATAATATGGGGGAACATCAAAGGTGACATACATATGAAACGATAATTGTATAATCATCCCATCCCCATCCGCCAGCAAGACCGATACTCTTAGCAACAATTCTCGCAACAAAGAAAAATGAGGCGAGAATAAGAGGAACTAGAGTTGAGCCGCTGACCAGTGGAGGGCCTTTGAGTGGTGTGATGTCACATTCTTGTTCATACAGCCGTTTTGTAGCTAGAGCAGTTAGGTAAGAATTTAATTGCTCAAGAAGAACGAAACGTACTAAAAAATTCCTTAGTCGTGCAATTATTTGCAACACAATCCAACAGGTCGGTGGGGCGTGAGCTGCTGGCACAGAAACATGACGTATCATTGCTCAGTGAGCAATCGGAGAACAATTGATTGTTACAAGTGATCTAGTACAGATTAATCAGTAACAGACAACCCTTTTTCGAGGCAACTTACGTACAGCGCACGAAGGGAAGAGAGACGCATTTAAGGCCGTGGCGTGAAGGCCCACTACCAACAGAGCGAAGACAGCGTAAAAAGGCAAGAAAATCCTCATGACGGTGATGAACAAATTCAGCAACAATGCTGACGTTGTGAGAGCAGACTCTTTCTTCCACCTGGGGCAGCAGCAGATTTTGTTTCGGGTTCCGGGAGATATCCCGAACGTATAGCGTGGAACCTTCCTAGATGTATGATGGGTAAAAACATTGTATAACGCCTCATCATTGGGCCTCAAGTTGGGTTATGTTAAACAACCCCTTATACTGGCACGTCCGGAAAAAAATAGTGGGATGGCCTAAGATGAGCCTTTGGATCGCTAAAACCATAATATCCATATTATTGCTGAAAAAAGATTGATCGTCACTTCTTAGCAGCCTCGGTTCAGCCTAGCTAGTGATTATTGGCTAAAGAACACATAAAAGGTGGAGAGATGATCTCGGGAAAGACCTGATCAGTCATCACTAGCAAGAACCTTCGAAGTTTCAGTCCGCCAAGGAACGGACTAGACTCCAGACCTTTATACAATAGTACAATTGACCTCAGATGAGCTCAAAATAGGGGCAGTTTAGGTATGACGCTAAAACGAGATCTTCTTGGAACGAAATTAATTCCCAAGACGCTTTAGCCACATGCTATTGGTATTGGTTTGTGGTAAGGGTAATGGAATTATCTACTTCTCTATCAATCTAGAGTACAATTCCATAATTCAGTTTCCAAATGACAAGCAGCAACGGGGTCAATCTTATTAGTTAATAGATCCAATTGTGTAGTTGCTGATTTGCTGCATTGTGCTTATGGTAACGACCAGTTATGCAGGTAAGGAAATTTTCAAGAGCCGCACAATTGATCATAGAGTTACGTGCGTCCGCCCGCTACACCTGATCAAGGCATGAAGTCCTGTGCCAAGACGGCAGGGTACCTCTATGCATAAATGATCCAGCTTGACCTACCGTACTATTTGATGGATTTCCCCTGGCTAGAACGACCTTTTTTTTTTTACTTTCGGCAGTTTCAAGGGTTGAAAGCCGAATTTGTCAAAACTATAATAGTCCATGGGTGTATTTCCGTATTGTTCAACTGTTCAACCGCAATCTGTTAGAGACCATACCAAGAAGCCAGATAACTCGGTTCATATAGAATCGGGGTGTGGTAAAATAATTAAAGCTGAAATACGGAGTAAAACCATTTGCATTAAGGTCGGGTACTCGAACACCCGGGTATGTATCCCAATTTCTAGCAATTTACAGTCCCTCAGCGAAAATTCTTAAGTTCCCCGGCCCCACCTTCTGCAGCAATTACTTCCAACACCCGGTGGTTCATGATACGAACTAACCAAGCAATCCTGGCCTCTCCCGGTTTATGCGTAAGGCCTGTATAATTAAATCTCCTCTATAAATAGAGGGTGGTAAAGATTCCGGATTTCTAGGGATATAGTGATATAGCGAGTACGAAGATAGCTCAAAAGATAGCTGCAATGATTGTTGGCTTCCGGTCTTTTCGTAAGCTAGCTATTACAGAGCCTACGGCCAGCTACTAGGAGCAATATATCTAGAGCGTTATAAAGAAAATCCGATTACTTATAGAGGTCTGGGTGCATACGCTTATTAGCAGAGAAGCGGTTCTCTTTCTCTATATCCTGACGATCATCTCTGTTACCGTCTGTGCCAGGACATGTTGGGGATCTCCAAGTAGACTGAACCAAAACTCATGGCTCCGGTAGTTCTTCAAACCCTGGTTGGGAACTGGCGGGACCGAGAAGGTAAAGCATACCTAGGAGTATCGATCGTAAAACAATAATACTGATTAGGTGGTCAAATAGCAAGCTCTATTATAGCGCAATTGATTGCTTAATTGCAGATAGTTTACCAGGATTAGGTATCACATTGAAATTCCAGCCCTTTCTTTTGATGGGACAATGGGTGCTAAAAGTGGAGGGGCACACACGTGATAGAGCTAGTGTGCTGTATTTTCCAAAGTTATTGACGTAGCTTACTCAGGCTGCTCACCCCCCAAGCTCTGCCCACAGTGATCGCGCTCAGGGCGCTCAGGGGCGTGCTCAGATCTACTCAGTGAGCAAAAAGCAGCAAGGTCTGAGCACTAATTCGGAACGATAACGCCAAGAAGTGGAGGAAATCAAGTACATTTGAATATATGTGGAACACCTTCGGGTCATCCACATGGAGATCTTCGACATATTGTCTATCTCCTTTAACTGTAAGGGCCGGAGGGCGACATGCTAAGAGAAGAGATAAATGAGGTTAACATATAGCCACGGATTTCATTCTTATTGCCAATGCAATATGCATCGGCCACCCCGAGATGAAATCTCACTATCTCCGTGAATATCACAAAATAATGTGGATTAATGTAAATTTCTAATACACGACACATCGATGAATAAACTGCAGTCTTGAACCGGACCTATCGGCAAGTCGGATTTAACACTCTTTGTTGATATAACAGCCTGTAACCTCTTCCCCTCAGGGGTTCTCCACATCCCCAGCTCACCATGGGTTTCAGCACTACCGCCGAATTTGATCAGGTAAATATCATTCATATTATGCGATATCATCATTCACATTTTCTAGGCATATCAAAGTGTCCAGGGTGCATTTGCATCTGGCACCACCAAGAATAAGGAATGGAGGCGTCGTCAACTGAAACGTGCTTGGTGGATGATTGAGGACAACAAAAAGCGTATCTGCGATGCCCTCTATACCGACCTACACAAGCACTATCAAGAAGCCTATATCGGCGACTGCAGTAATATCCAAATCGATGTTCTACGCACTCTCAAAAAACTGAATGAGTGGACTAAGGATGAGAGACCAGAGAAATCTGATCTTCTCAACTTCCTGGGAGGAGCCACTGTCCGCAAGGAACCTCTTGGTGTGACTCTGATTATTGGCGCATGGAATTTCCCCGTCAGTCTGCTCCTACAGCCAATGATTGCGGCGATTGCTGCTGGGTGTGCCGTTATTCTCAAACCATCGGATGTGGCAAGTGCCACTCAAGATGTGCTGATGGATATCGTTCCCAAATATATGGATCAAGATGCGATTCGGTGTGTTTCCGCTGGTCCACAAGAGATGGGCTATATCCTCGAACATCGCTTTGATCACATTTTCTACACTGGATCCCCCAATATTGCCAAAATCATCCATGCAGCAGCGGCAAAGCATCTGACTCCCGTCACACTCGAGTTGGGCGGTCAATGTCCTGCTATTGTCGCGGAGTCAGCAAATATCGATCTTACTGCAAAACACATTGCCGTTACCAAGTTCATGAATGCTGGACAGGTAAGCTAACACGGTTCGCCCTGCAGCCATCAAAAGCTAACCTATCTCAACTAACCACAGATTTGCTTAAACGTGAACCACGTCCTCGTCCACCCGAGCCTACGAGAGCCCCTTGTCGCAGACTTAATTCGACACTTCGACACGTTCCGAGGAGGCAAAGACAACAACCCAGAGTATTATACACACATCATCAACGATCGCAACTTTGAGCGCCTTGAAAATCTACTCCAACAGACCTCCGGGAAGATAGTCTATGGTGGCCAGCGTGATCGCCAAAGTCTGTATTTTGCACCAACGATCGTGACTGGAGTCAAGCCCGGCGACTCCCTTCTCTCCGAAGAGCTTTTCGGCCCGATTCTCCCCATCGTCGATGCAGATTTCGATACCGCTATCTCCCACACACGTGCCGGAGAGCATCCACTCGCAATCTACGCCTTCACCACCCAAGAAGTCGAAAAGGCTCGGGTCTTGAACGAAACCCAGTCCGGCGGCGTTACCTTCAATGACTGCGGTCTCCATTTAGCTGCTCGTGATGTGCCATTCGGTGGTGTTGGAAACTCTGGTCAGGGGCGTTATCATGGACCGCATGGTATTTTGACTTTCTCCCATCTGCGTACGCATATCAATGCCGTGCCTTCATGGTTGGAGGGACTTATGGCTGCGCGCTATCCCCCCTACTCGGTTCAAAAGGCCCACAAGATGGGCTCATCTATCATCCCGCCCTTTGACCGAGACGGCAATGATACGACATTCGCTTCCTCGAAGTGGGTCCTTGGCGTTGGGGTAATCGCGGCTTCTGTATTGTTTATGACTCGGGGTCAGATTGTTGCTTTCGGTTCTAAGTGGCTCAAGTAAATCTAGTGTAGGAAATGAAAGTATATTTGCAACAGTTTCTGGATACCATAGGTGGAATTACCTCGTAAATGCCTTTGAGCGGGGAAGATCTCCAAGCTCTTTGACCTCGATGGCCTTGAAGGGGGGAAGCACAAAACGGCAAAGCCGGGGAAATGCGGCGTTAAAGATAAGCGCATTAATATATGCCGTGCATAATGAAGCTACTTCGGCACATTGAAACAAGCGGTCTAATGTGTGGAGTATAGACCGGCATATTCGGTGATCACGGCTATATCACCGGTGCAGATTGCCGGGGTTCAATCTAAACTAAGCTACTATACGAAGTATACAACTTAAAATTGAAGTTATAAAGACAAGAGTATGTGGAAGTTGAAATGAAACTGAGCTTCTTTTGCAACTTATAATTTATTTTCATATCGGGGAATCTCCGACATGAAGCTCTCACTCGCTCTTCTCGGATTGAGTGCCAGCATTGTCTCTACTTCTCCATTAGACAAATGGTCATCCAGGTTCCATGCGTCACCGCACGCGGTGGACATGTTCAATACTGCTATTGAATGGAATGATGGGTACTGGGATGACGAGGCCGGCTATCTGATCAGCGCAGCCAGTAGTCCTGGACGCTATGATAGTCGGCACACGGCCTGGTATGCACCTCAATTATTAGCTAGAAATGGACCGGGTGATGTTGCAAAAGCCATTCGCATTTTTGACAATGTCATCTCTGGTCAATATCTCGATCCATCTAAACAGTGGTATGGGGATTATCAACAAGCGCCTTCGGAGCCTCAGCCTGGGACGCTAGTATATCCTGATGATGGCCCATACAGCTCGGTAAGTCGATAAAATCTACTCTATACAAATTATTTGTGGGCCATTTTGCTAACCCGATGGTCAGTGGGATCCAAATATTCGCGTCTTCGTGGGCTGTTCTTGGATTGTGGCCTTGAATGATTACGGCCACCTGCTTCCACGCGCGACAGTCGCCAAGGTGGAGAAGTCCTTGCACATTGCCGCCAAAGGCGATCTTTATCGCGTTGGAGGAGTTGATGGCGACAATTCTTACCCCTGCTACTCTAATCCCTGGTTGATGCGAACGATTTTCCACAACTGGGTTGGTGCACGAGTGGGCGATGCAAACCTGACCCAGTCTGGTGAGATATTCGCACAGGATATCTACGACCTCTGGAGTAAGCACCACACATTATCCGAATTTAATTCTCCAACATACGCTGGCGTCGCCATGTGGGCTCTGGCTCTCTGGAACCAGTACGCGACAAAGGACAGTTCGTTGAAGAAGTATGGACCAGAGATGCTCGAAGCCAGCTGGAATGAACTTGCTCAGCTTTATAACGCAAACCTGAAGAACCTTGCTGGCCCTTGGGATCGGTCATATGGTTACAATATGAAGGAATACGCATCTCTTGTCGGCGCCGTCATTTGGGGTGTGATTGGCCGCAAGCATGCACCCGTTCCTCAGCAAAATTTGGGCATGTTCCATCAAGATGATCTGGCATTCTACCCTCTCTTCGCCTTGTCAATGCCTACAATGGTCAAGACTATGTCTGAAAAAGCAAAGGCAAGTTTGCTCAAATTCCCCGGCGAGCATGTGTATAGTTCGCAGGCTTTCTCGCCGCCCTTTGATACTTATCCTCGCAATATCACTGCTTGGATGTCCAAGGATGTGACAATTGGCGCAGAAACAATTGCCGAGGAACTTGTCGGAGGTCCCAGCATCAACCCCAGTCAATTCAGCCCTGCCGTTATTCAGTGGGCTATTGACGAGCAGAAGATTGGCTGCATTTCACACTGGGTTACCGAGTCATCTATTCATGCTGTGGCCACCCCTGGGTCTTTGCACATCTCATACCCGAACGCAACATCTGCGCTAGGTCCGATTTCATTCAACTTCTTGTTCAGTGGCCTCACGATCAACAATGGGTTCAATGTAACTGGGCTGGAAGGTCTACCTGGGTTGAAACTCAAAGTCTCGACAAACGCGCAACCGGATTATACAATGACTTACGTCGGTTCTGGTGGTGTTAATGAATTTTCGTATTACAACGTTACATATACGATGCCTGAGAGTTTCACTGGGGAACCCTTTGTGACCCTTCAGATAGTTTGAAGGTGTATATGAGCAAGATATCATATCACCCTATACCCTTGTTATTCAATGTCAATATTAATATTATATTACTCAAGGGTGAATCCGTGTGCAAGGCTTTGTTACTGTTTCACAGACCGTCACGAGTGGAACTTGCAACTTAAATGCCGTAGAGAGTATATAGCGGATCTATCATCTAGGAAAGGTATTAGGGGTCTTAATCAAACGCGACCACAACAATTAGAAGATAGCAATCAAGAATTGAAGTAACAGGTAACTAGGAAAGAAGATATAATGCAAAATGAAGGGGGAAATAAAGGATACAGTATCGGTGTAAATTGTACAAGCATATATTGAGTGTAGCAGAGCAACTATCGGGCCTCGCGCTTTCCCTGGGTCTTGGAAGCTCTCTGTGAAGCTAGATGAAAAGATTCAGGATGTCCGACACAACAATCCAGTTTTCAGGTCGTAATCCCACATATCACTTCCAATGCCGCTCCAAATGAACAAGCTTTCACTGGGATCGTACTTGCGCTTGATCTCCAGAAGCTTTTCATAGTTTTCACCATAGAAATCCTGCTTCCACGTAGTACTAAAAGGGTTTCCCTCATTCATGTAGGCACCGGTATTCGGAGCCCATTCCCTCCACACAGGCTCTTTGACTCTCTCGTAGTATTTCGCTCCGGATTTCAAAGACTCAGTTGGATCACCAGTGGCATTGATTGATGCCCCGTAAGTCATCACATGTGCATAGGCTTGACGCCAGGCTGGATGAACACTTCCGCGCATTTGCTCTGGGACGTTAGCGAGTCCAAGCCCGCCTTGTAGACCGAAAAGAAGCATCGATCCAGCGGGGCCATCAGAAACGAGGATCCGTTGAAGGTACTGAATCAGGTCCTCTTTGGGGATATCGGAGAGTTCCCGTCGGCCCAGGAGGCGACTAGTGAGCAGGCTGACAGCCCCAGCAGCGGTACTAGAGCCAGAGTCGGTGTAATAGCTCTTAGAAGTCGGTGCTGTCAAAGAGAAGTTCAAATGGCTCCCCTGCGTGGCGTTGGCAATCCGCGCTACCAAATTGTTGATTTTAGCGTTCATGGCACGAGTTGTCATGTTATACCCAGTCAAACCCACAGACACAGCGACACCGGGAGCTGATTGCTTTAGCCCCATCAGCGCCACGGCCTGTTGACCCGTTAGCGCGGTGACACTGCCTGTGAGGCCAGTATCCATAATATCGGGAATGAGAGAAGAAAGCTCGGCCATAGCAGTCCAAGACGCACTTTCACTAACGTTGGAGTCGGATACTGCATGGAAGGAAAACCCTCCCGTGACCATGTTCTTAGGTTCAGGATAAGTTTTCAGGACAAACTCGGTTACCACGCCAAACTGTCCTCCGCCGCCGCCGCGAATCGCCCAGAAAAGATCTTGGTTCTGTGCGGCATTTGCAACAAGGCGATGACCATCAGTGGTTATGACGGTGGCTTGGTATACTTGGTCCGATGCAAGACCATAATGGCTTGACAGCCACCCGTGGCCACCGTTTTGTATCAAGCCACCCAATCCCACTGTAGAGTCTTCGCCGCCCACGACAACTCTGTGCACTTTGTGTGCTGCAAGATTGGCAGAGCCCCAGTTATTTCCACTGCCACAGACGAGAACGTCCACGGTTTCATTCCTGCCAGGAACAATCCAATTTGGGTGGTGCATCGTGTGTTTGAAATTATGCGTCCAAATGGAGAGTGAAAATGCTCCCGTCGACCTAATAAGTAGTTAGAGGGTCAGGTTATTATAAGCTTGGAGTCGATGCCACATACCGACCATTCAGATCATGTCCGGTTCCCTTCACGACTACACGAATGTTCCTGTGTGAGGCCCATTTCATCGCAGTAGCAATCTGCATCTCAGTCGTGGCATTCACAATATACCGCGGTAGACCACCAATCTCGCACCCTCTATCCTTGGTGTATCCAGTAGCCCCCTGTGGTAGACAAGAGTTGTTGGCGTAGATCGGGTAGTCGACACTCTCAGGCCAAGAAGAATGGTACGAGGCATAGGTCCAATGGTTTTTCACAACAGTACAATTCTCCGAGGAGCCAAATGGATTCCCGGGGTAACATGACGAGGCTGCAGGAGCGGTCTTTATGAGAGTCCCCTGGATTGACTGGTTTAATGCCTGCCATTCGTTGGCAGAAGGCCAGCTTGAATCATCGGGAGAGGTTTTGCAACTTCCAGAAGCTGCAACAACAACGAGTAGATGTGCGAAGATTGCCTGAAGAGAGAATGGGATCATAGCTGCTGAAAGTGCACTAATTTGTAATTCAGAACTCGGCCAACGCAGGGTTAAAGGGGTACTTAAAGGGCGATCCGGGACCTTGTTTTCACGACCGCGCAGACTATCGAATACGAAAATACCTATTGCGGAAGGAACCACATGTGGATAACCTCTGAAGGGGTAAGACTTAGAGTGCGACTAGTGCACTCACTCGAAGTGTGAACGGGGGGCTGCGTACGTTTCTACCCACTGTCGGACTTGAAGATGTAGATCAATTATAAATTCAATATGGAGCGTGTAGTATGGATCGGGCCTTTTCAGAAACTTCTCCAATTCTGCTAAACAGAATATAAACTTAGGGATTTTGAGGAACTGGATATAGTGGGTTCTACTGTCCCAAGGTCTTCATCTGCATCAGCTAATTATAGAGATGTTGCCACTTTCCAGACTCTCCATTCTAGGCAGAAAAATAGAGACAGGAGATGTGATATTCTATTAAACATCTAAGAATAGTCAAGCATAAAGTAGGCACGGTTATCTCCACTATGTGGGAACTTCTGCCCGTACTAGGGTTCAGTGCTACGAGTACGACAAAATTTCCTAAAGCGGACAAGTGGGCACATTAATATATCTTTCTTTAGAACTTCATTTGAAAACTGTGATTATTTTAGGAAATTTTACATCTTTGCCTTGTAATAAGCTTCGCTTTAAAAGTAATGAAAATCCCCTCTACATAGGTTAGTATAAACTTGTATCTTTCCAGCCACAAAACCCTCGACTCTTTTTCTACCTATACCCATCCACCATGGTCAAATCCACACCTCGACCGATTGATCATTACTGGCACAAACGCGGAATCTGTGGAGTTATCAGCCGTGCTACACTTCGCGCCCTTCAGTTTATCTTCGCTGTCACGGTCGCTGGTCTCTATGGTGTCGATTTAGCACACGCTACGAAGACCAAAACCCATGCCCACACGGAATGGATATATGCCGAATTTGTTGCTGCACTCTCAGCTCTGACTTGCATTGTGCATTGCTTCGTCACTGTGACTCAAGTCGCATGGTCAGCTTGGGATGGAGTTTTGTTCATCCTTTGGGTTGCTCAGGTGGGCGTTTTTAGGACAGTCTATGGTTCCTCAGTCGACATAGAACATAGTATTGCGACTCTTTCAATCCCTCGTATGCGCGCTGCGGTGTGGATTGACCTTGTCAATATGCTTCTTTGGTGTGGGACAACAGTGCTCGGCATTGGGTGGTGTATCCGCACTCGCAAGGTCAATCGAAGACTTGACCGGGCGGATAGCGTGAAGGGAAAAGGCGACGAGGAGGTCGGTCTATGGATTGAAGAGGAGAAGAATGTAAAAGAGTTGGTTGGCAACGCCGATGACGACAAATGTCTGCAGGGGAACACCGAATCTTTACCTGTGTCAGTGGACAAGAAACCTACCGGGCAAGATAAAGAAGACCTCACATAAAGCCAAACTTCCTATCTCTTGGTTCAAGCCTCCTCTCTGTTACTGTTGCCATTTAGTCATCGGGTCTTCGAGATTTGAATTATTTACCGTCCCTTGTTCTTGGTTTTAGGTGTTAACATGGTTTGCTTTTCTTTCTTCGGACGTTAGTTCAATACATCTAAATATTTTGGGGTCCTTTATTATAATTGAAAAGACAACAAACAAAATTGACTAAAACTCAATGAAATTAGACTAGATGAAACTAAAACTAAGAACTAAGTAAAGAAAACCGGAAACAAGGTACAGACAAAGAGCTGAAATATAATGACTAAGAGTCGATATCAATCTCTGCATATAACGTGTTAGGAAAACCGCAAGCCTTGCCGCACGCCCATATCCTTTGTGCGAAACCCATAGTAGTATGGCGTGGCTAGAAGAGTTTCGATCAACTCTTCTCGAAGTTGACGTATTTGCGCGTCGATTTGGATTTCTGTCCCATTTTTCACAATGCTCCAGCACTTTTGAAGCTTGGAACATAGTCTTTTTCTTAGATAAGTATTCGCGTCGGAGCTTTCTTCATCCATGAGCCCAAGCAGCTCGCGCCGGAACCGATCGAAGTTATTCACATGTCTATAGTCCCGACAACAGAGAAGAAGCAAAGCCTCTGTAAAGAGAATCGGCTTTACGATTCTGACCAGATAGGTCTGCAGCCACGGACCGTCTGGGCCGAAGCGAGGTCATGTTCTTGGGGGAAGCCGTTGATCATCCGTAAGCATATAATGAGCATCATCTGGGGTCGGCAGAGATGGTGTGGGATCCGGTAGCCACCAAAGGACACTCGACTTCGGCCACAGACAAACTGGGCCCCAGAGCCGAGAATTCTGTACCGTATCGAAATGGATCGCTGGTGGAATTTCACAGTTAAGTTGGTTCCACTGGCAATCCCGGTTTAGACAGAGAGAGCAACACGGCAGGCATCAAAAGAGCCACGTAGTCTAAGGGCCATCATGTGCAGACAGCAGTTGAGCTAGATAGGAGCCTTCGTTTGCTTTTCGCCGACCCGATGCGATGACTATGCTGTATATTCCTGAAGTTATTTCAGCGCTCCAATTATTTCACTTTCATAAATGACGGGCGTTTATCGAAACAAGTATGTTTCAACACTTCAATACCGTTTCTAGCATAATCTAGACGGGCTATACCACAGAATTCAAGGTAGTCCTGCCTTCATCAATAGCGAGGGAATGTCCAAGCAGATATTTTAATGCAGTTCTGGCAGGTATCATTATTATCATTCAATCCAGTCAATAATTTGTGTATCACTTCGCCCCTGTAATCTCTACTGGCCGCACAGGTAATATATGACTCTTTGAAGTAGGAAAGATATTTGATAAGATACCATCTATATCAAGCTATTAGAAATGAATAATCGAAGAAAAAAACCTTGGAACCCATGCGCCATCACCTATATCGCCTAATTACAACGAGAAGAAAGGAAATATCAAAGTTGAAACTGCGATCAAGATAGTAGCCAGCACACCTATCTAGGCATCCATAATCCGTGGCTAATACCGAGTTAACTCAATACTTGGCACCCTATTCTCACTAGTCAGAGGCTCGTGAAAATCAGAAACCTTCCTCAGCCGACGAGCCTTTTTGATTAGAAGACCAGGATGATAGACAGCTAATACAAGCATAGAAAAGAACATAAGAAAGCCATCAAAAACGTAGATATACCACTCCTTTTGATTGACGTCCGAAGACTTATCCGCTCCAAACTGAACAGTCCGAACAAGGTTTCGAAGCATCAACGCAGAGCAGGCAACGTACAAAGCCAGCATATACCGCCGCCAATGAATTTCGTTCATGATCAAAAGATCGGTAGGAGTCTTCTGGAGTCGTCGATGCAAGGTTGCTGCAATCCAAATGAAGAAGGCAAACACAACCAGTGAAAAAATCAGACCTGCTAGGACGACTTTCTTGCCGATGGCCATGACATTCGCGTCTCCGGTGACTTGGACACCAGCGCCACCTAGTTGTGTGCAGAAAGTGAGCACATCGTTCAATACAAAGATGACCGTGATCTTTTTGGGAGTCATGCTGGCTAGATGTTCGGCGCCGAAGGAGCGGATGACTCGACCGAGGACCATGTAGACTGTTGCGGCGATGAGAGGCGGAGCGCAAAGGATGAGCATTTCTTGGAGGGCCCATGAGCCGATTTCTGTCCTGTCTTTATGGGACCATGCTCTACCGTAGTATCCGAATGATTCACCTGGTTAAGATCGTGTTAGTTGAGTTCGAATTACTACTTGGAGGAAGGGGGATATATACAAACACCTCCCAGGACGAGAGGAATGAAATATGCTGCGCGATATGGAAACATCAAGATGAGATGTACAATTGTCGCGATGCCGAACAAGGCCACGAATGCATAGCCTGCTGTGTCGGAGGGGGTATATGGGTAGAAGACGACATAAGGCTTGGAGCCATTGACACCGGGATGGAAGTCGATATCCATTGTGAAGGTGCAGAAGTCGATACTTCCTTATTTGATATATTTTCGAGATACAAGCTGAGGAGTTGCCAAGTCTTTATAAGATGATATATCTATTTTTGAAACAAATTTAGGCACTCTGCTTCTTGACGATCCATGGGATCTATACAGTTACCTGATTAGGAGATTTGGGAACGAATACGCTTGGCTAGTGGAGACGAGTGGGCCTTCTTCGTTTCCAAAGGTCGCGCATTCCTACGGACTCATCCAATTGTTTTAGTAGATTCCCTTGTTTTCTTGGTAGCCTAGTCGGGTTGTTCAAAAACTTCGGGCGTGCCGAGGTTCTTAGTAAATTCAGGGTTGATCGACATGTAAGCTTTGATTCCAAGGTTTCCAACACTTGAAGAAATTCCGAATGGGTAGATTTGGATTCAATAGCCCTGGAGTATAATTATGAAACCTGAGCTGGATACACTTTCTCTAATGGCCACTTAATCCACGGGTGGAAGGACTCGTGCAAATATGTAGAGATTCCCGATAGCACATGTTCAGCCCAGCCGTCCATGAACCACGCTGAGCCCATGTATTTCAGAAGCACGGCCCAATGTGCCAGTATAACAAGGGCATGTGGCTCCTTCTGCTCTATAGAGCCAATTATCTCCTGGGGGAGACGATAAAGCCATCCTATCAAAAGATCCATCAATTCCACACCAGAAGAACCAGCAGATCGTCTCTCGTAAACCTCGCGCATGATTTCCAAGAGATCTTCAATGACAGCCAAGTATCTGCCACGAGCTTCACCATCGGCTATATCCCTCTGAACGAGCCGCCGAACTGCTTCCGTTTGGACGGTGTGTTCATGCAATTCACGTCGCATCTCAGCCGTTAGGGTATGACTCCAGTCATTGGGCCCTGGCTGGAGAAGCCCACTGAAGACCTCAGCATGATGAGATAAAACAATTAATCGCACTCCACGCATAAGAACCAGCCATTCGGCGGGTCCGCTGTCGCTGAAGATAAGGTATTGTCCTGGTCGCGGGCCTCTGCCGAAATAGATGAAACATATCATTACCGCGGACATGTAAATTTTTTGGCAGTTGTCGGTGTTCAGCTCAGAAAGCACTCTTGTAATTGATCGCGTTCCGAAGCTGAAATGATTGTCGGCTTGTTGGATGTATTGCTCTCGGAGGTCTGGCTGTTTGTAGGCGAGATGGAGGGCAGATAAAGCGAGAATGAGGTGTAGAATGGGTGGAAACTGAATTCCCCAGTGCACGAGGTGCTTTTGCCACAGATTACTGAGATCTGCGCCAGCCGTCATGCTCTGGTATGTGTCGATGGTGTAATGGTGAAAAAGTTGTAAGTCGGCCACGGTGATGGTGCTAAACAGACCCGAGGTACTATCGCATTGGGTTCCAGTTGATTCGGTCAATTTTGATGGTTGACCGGATATCTTGAAAGTCTGTTTGAGTCCTCCTGTCGCATAGCGATGAGGTTGGTATCGCCTTGGACATGGCCGCTCAGTGGGTGCTTGTAGAAAGCTTGGGGATTGCGATCCGGGTGACTCTACAGTAGAGTTATATGCGCATTCGATCAAATGACTTGAACAGTTGGAGCAGCCTGGTCTTTTCTCGTCGCACTGGAACGAGTTAGTTTCCGGTAGCTCAATGTACCGTCGTTGAGAGAAACAGAATAAATAACGCAGTATTTTCAACATAGTGCCAATGAGCTCAGAATACAGAGAAAGCGGCTAATATGGGGGATTCCAAGTTGTGGGAAAGCACAAAGTAGTATCAAATAAATACTCAAATGCGAAAGATGTGGGCAAATATAACAGCAGGTAATAGCGGGACTCAAGAGACTTACCTTAATACGACGCCTTTTGCAATTTGCACAGCCAAGGCGCGACTTCCGATGCGTCCGCCGTGCCCTAGTGGGCTTTGCGTCAGAGAGATCAATATCCATAAACTAGCGGAAGGGGCACAGTAGAGCGGAGTCGTATTCGCTTTCAGCGGCGTTGGACAAGACCCTGAATTTAGACCGAAGGTTGAAAATAGGTGCGTAGAGCCTATTAAAGGAGCAATAAGTCCCTTTGGGGGTCTTGTTCTTACAATCTTGATAGATTGTTGGATACTAAAATTAGATGTGGGGGGTTGCGAATACGCAGTTATTTCCTAATTCGGCATCAGCTCCATGAGTGATAAAGTAACGAATACTCGCATGGGTTTTAGATACCCACAGTTGTGTACATTTAGTGGCCTAAATATGCATATGATCCATACCTTACATTGTCATACAGGCAGATATCTGTCAAAAGGTTAAGAAGATTCGGAACACTTAGTAAGTACGGGTATCCAAATATCTTGTGCTATATAATTCAGAAAGTGTGTATGTACAGAATCTCACGTCCTCTCAACTCCAGTGCATATGCAACATTACTCATCCTTCTTTTCCTTTTTCTCCTCCTCGGGCTGACCCTCCCCATCAGTGGACTCCGATTGTGTCTGAGGAAGCCAGTAACGTGCAATCAAACCACCCAAGAATTTCTGATCAGCCCACTTGACCAAACCATAGAGAATCCAACCCCAACCCCACAGAGACATGCCCATCATACTTGTGACCAACAATACGGGGCCAAGAATGAGCAACGATAGAACAGCCCAGAGCAATATCGACACCGCAGCAAAGACGAACACGCCAGCCAGGAATACCAGTAAAGGAACTCCACAGCAAATCATTTGACAAACGATCAAGGTTGATGCGGCAGGACGCTTCAATGCAGCTTCATACATCGCAGCTTGACGAGGCGGAGGAAGCAACCAGGCGACGAATCTCTGAATGCAGGATTCGAAGTAATCAAAGGCTTGAGGAAATAGCGTAGCGAACCATGCTTTGATGGTGGACCATATCGATGAAAATGAGAGGTTGTTGTCGATGCCTTGGCCTTTGGGGGGAGCATCGTCTGAAGGAAACTGACCTGGCAGGGCAGGGTCGGCCAGGTCCTTTGTCGTTCGGTTTAGCTTCTTGGGCGCTTTTGATGTACTTTTCTTGACCGCTCCGCTTGTTGATTGGACTTTGTCAACAGGAATTTGCCCAGTGGCCCCGCTAGTGAGATTATCCAGGGGCATTGTGAAGGCTGGTAGGTTCGTACAGCCAATGTGTAAAATAGAAGGAGAGATGGTAAAGTTTTAATAAAGATTAAAATCTAAGGAATTGATATTCGGGATATCCAATGTTGTATATCAACCTGGGAATCAGATAACATGACGTCAGGGGCGTTCTACCAACTGGTTTGGGTTGATATTAATTCTGCGTCACTATATTACCCACGCTACACTTGGACATTTTGCAGTTGTACAACTGCTCTGCTTAATGCGTTTAATGGAATATCATTCCAAGGCTAAACAATCTAAGCTTTAAACATCGGTACAGAAGAAATTTAGATACCTGGTTTAGATAATGATACTGCTTGAATACATAGATAGAATCATCTCATTAACTATTTCTGGGGGGAAATATGGGTAAAGGTCTAATCGAAAAGAACGCTATGCTACGAATCATTGGTCAGAGGTGCCATCGCGATCATCAAACATCATGAAATCGGCATCATCAACTTCATCTCCTACGACTTTCTTCCAAGCCTCTTTTACAAGGTCGAGGGTGTCGTCTTCGAATGCCAAGTCAAGGCTCGATGGGGGGAAATTGTAGCAGTGAGAAACTTCGTCTTCAACAATAAAACGCTGGGGCGCACCATTGCTAAGAGGTCCACGATGGGTGTATCGCAAGGACCACAGAACGGTGGCCGGGAGACCTTCTGCCCGAATTAGTCTATCGACAGCGGACTCGATAAGCGCTTGACCTTCTGGTCCAGCTAGTGCCACACTGCAATAAATGACACCTGTGACAATCAATTAGCCACATGAACGACAATATTGTTTGACGAATCAAATTTTGAGAGTGCTCGTGATCAGGTGAAAAAGTTTTCAACATAGCAAGTTCAGGCAATGTAGATAAGTTTTTTATAAAAAATCATCATGCGAGCGGTGGGGGAGAATATAATAGGCAGGATTGTATAGGGGATGGCTTACTCTGCTGTGGTGGACACTCGCCAGTGTCGCTTGAATGGACCTGGAGATAGACTGGTGGGGATTGGGGGCTGCCCAATGTGTCCCCTGGGAACATGAGAACTGCGGTTGCGGGCACAGGAGCACCTTCAACTGTAGCAGGGAAAAGAGATGGGAAAGTAGCTGACACAACACTGATCGAGCGGGCGACCTCGACCAAGGGAGTCAAATTCTCTTTGGGAGAAGTATCCAAATTCGAGTTAAAAAAATATTTTCCCTGAACAGGCCCTTCATTCAGTTTCAGCAGGAAGGGATATTCGGAATGTTCAGAGCTGTTACGCCATAAACAATCAGAAATCCGCGTATCCAGGGCATATACACCCCCTCCCACAGCGGATGCGCGGCAGGCGGCTTGCAGTATTTCAGCTCCACCGCCATACTTAGGAATCACAGCACCAAACCCAGGGCCAAGATGGCCAATGGATGACAGATGTCTTTGAACCCTAGGTAGAGCATAGCTGGCGGAAGTATCTTGCTGAGAAAGCTGTGACAGGGACAGCGATAGCAGAGGATTGTGAAGTTCCTCTGGAACGCTGAATTTGGAAGCCAAGTAATCGTTCAGGGGCATTGACATATCCTCATCTTCAATTGAAGCGTCATCCTCATTGGGCTTAGTGATATGACGCAACAATCGCATGAGGGTTCTCTTGGACTTCATGCTGATATGAGTTGCAGCGAACACATCCTCCCGGTTGCCAGGCACGCGGTAGAAAATCTTTTCCGCACCGAGCTCGCCATTTTTAGAATCCGGCTGTTCAGGTACGTAAATCCACCAGCTTCCAACAGCCATAAACTCCAGCTGTCGAAAGACTTTCGAAGTGACAAGGGCTGACATTAGTTGAGAACGGGCATATAGGAAATATGGGGAGAGGGACAAAGTGTAAGCACGGCTAGATGCAAGTTTGGGGGAAATGCCCGTCTCCTCAGATGATGGAGACACTTCAGGTTTGAAGATCGAGGCATCTTTGAACGTTGATCTATGTTCGTCTGTTCACAACATAATATTAGCCATGAACCAACCAGCCACACACAAGAGCAATTCACCTTTATTGACCTTCTCTGCCCACTCCTGGGCCTCATCAAGACTGAAGGCTGCATCTGAACCACCATAATACTGGTTTGGGTCGATGTGAAGAACCTTCTTTCCAGATCGTGAGAGGGCCCTTTGGGAGTGTGAGTGCTACTCACAACCGCCCTAAGAGAGTCACTCACAGTGCCAGAAGGGACTGAGAAATCCCAGTCCCATTAATGATCACATCCCACGTCGTGTCTGACAAAGTTTCCATGATGTGGGGGTTCAGGAACAGAGTCCTAGCTGCAGGTAAGTCTGAGTATTATAGCCAAATCTAGCAGCTCAAGCTCTCATGAGGTTGTGGAATTGGATATCTGATGCAACCAAAGCATTCCTGGTATTTCCACAAGCTTCGATGCTGGAAATCCCATAAACTTCAGGTTGGGAGAAAGAAGAAGAAGAAAAGAAAAAATTGGAGAAAAACGCGGGAAGTACGCGTGAAGGCGGTCACGAGGTCCCCACTCCAGTTAACAGCCCTGACAACAGAAATAATCGACCTTTAAGAACATTTTATGAAGGAATATTGTTTCTTGGTTAAATGAACTCAGAATGTGTCTTCAATTGCATTAAACGTGTAGAAATTCTAATATTACAGTACTGTACTCACCAGCTTGTCTCCGACCTTGGAAGGTAGCAGGGTAGCTACTTACCTCTAATGGATAATATATACCTCAGAAATTACTTTTGTGGGCTTCCTTCTCTACAGCCTTGTGAGCTTGGGCTCTCTCTTCTGCTTCTATCGTATCCTCGCATCTTTACACAGCTTCACATTTTTCAAGAAAAAACCACAATAAGCATTCATGAAAATGAAACAGAAACATCGACAATGATCATTGAACCTCCTATCCATTGACACAGTCCGTTTACAGCCCTCACCGAAGCCATGATCTAACTCCCCCCGGCCAGAAATACGACTCTCCCAAAGGCCCGGACGGGAAGCTCAACCCTAAAGAGTATGGAGGTGCAGATGCCTTCTTCGATTTCATAACGAGCATTGTTCACCATTTTGTGTTTTCGACTATATTCTCTCGCATATTCTGTCTCCCAGACTGCTCTATTTGGATACTCTTTGGGGCACTGCTTGCCCTCCATGCGCTGTATACAGTACCGCAAGCTCGGGCACTTATTTTGCTGCAGATCCGTCATTTTGGAGGAACGATAGATTCCTGTTGCAAGAACAAGTCTACAACCCGCTAGGATCACATCACAAGCGGAGAGTTTGGATGGCGTAAGGATCACTTGAGTAGCCTCTCAAAACTTAAACAAAATCAGAGAAAGAATATGGAAAATGGTTGGCTAGATAGAGCCAAGGAACGTCTCATGGGAGATAATTGCGCTCAGATGTTTGTTTGAAACCGCCCGCGCGTATGTACAACACCACTTTTTGCCATTCCTTTTGGTTTTCTACGTAGTTATTAACGCTAGATCTAATCGATGTCAAGAATAACTATGTATAAAGTTAGAGCCTCTCTGCCTCAGGCGCATAGTCATGCCTAAGGCCAAGTATTACTCAGCAGTTCCCAAAGAGGTTAGGCTGCACCGCTATATGAACTGAAATTTCGGCGGAACCCTTTTCTTTCTCCATACCACTCCCCGTGTTCTGCACAGAACGGGTTACTATACGATTGTAGCCTGGTCTTCGTTGACGCGGTCCTTCACTGGACTTCGCGTTTGGGAGTGGTAGATAAGATTTCTTGTCACTCTGTATCTGCTGCTCTTGATGGTTCATTTGATGGAAGCGGTTCGTTTTGTAGTGATACATCCATAATCTCATTATTAGAATGGTACCTTGCTGTGCCACTCTCATATTGTAGTTTGTAAAGTCCAGGAGGCTTGAAAAGAGCACCTAGAGACAACAGCGAGGCAATGCTGCCCTAGGATGACTTGGTCCGGGCGCGCCGAAGGTTGTTGTCCCTGCAACCCGTATCGCAGATGGAATATAAACTCTCCAAATTGGGCAGCACCTTTTCTTGTCTGGGAAAGGTGGCTTGATATGCATGACCCTCCACCGTAACATGATGGAATAAGCCGCACCACGCGACTCTCACTCCTGTGTACCTGCTTCAACCACCCGAGCCCGAATGATCTTCAGCTCGTCCACTGGCTTATCATCCACACCGGTCTTGACCAGCCCCATGCGCTGGATCACTCTCATGCCACTTTTCACTCGGCCAAAAATCGTGTGGTTTCCGTCCAGCCATGGTGTTGGCGCAAGAGTGATGAAAAACTGACTACCATTGGTATTAGGCCCACTGTTCGCCATACTCAGAATTCCAGCGCCGGTGTGTTTCAGCTCTCCACGAATCTCGTCCTCGAATTTTTCGCCGTAGATGGAACTACCTCCTCGACCGGTGCCAGTGGGATCGCCAGTTTGGACCATGAAGTCAGGAATGATGCGATGGAATATGACATTGTTGTAGTAGCCGCGCTCGGCGAGGGTTGCAAAATTCTTGCATGTCTAAGAGTAATACATTAGCAAGAATTCCCTAGAAGGTCTGCGAAAGGCTCATACCTTGGGCGCATGGGTATTGTAGAGCTCCACGGAGAAGGAGCCCTGCGGTTAATTAGTAAGTAGTCTTGAGAGAACAACAAAGTGCTAGTTACCATAGTCGTGTCGAAAGCCACTTCGGTAGTCATGATGAAGATGTGAGTGTAGAATCGTAAATAGCAGAGCTAAAACCCAGAGCTGAGAGTTTGTGAGAAGCGGGATCACCCAACTTTACGGAGCAGTGCAGCGACCACGCGAGTCTCAATTCCCATTGGGCTAATTTGTCCGGCAGAAAACCAGTACCGCCCTATCTATATGGCTCAATGATCTAAACTACAACTTATGTTGTACTTGAATTGTCAATGTCGCAGTTAACTAAAATGTGACGCGCCATAGGACGATACGGTGAGACACAAAAATTGAAACAAATATATTTCATACAGATGTAGGTTTTGTAGAAGCAAGTATGTATGTGTACATAATCTTGGTCTTGGAACTTACTACATCTAGTACTAACAGAAGGCCAAGATTATATAGTAGACTATTTGAGTACCATATACAGTATATGTGTTGCAGCTTGTATGTCAGATCCAAGGAAATCAAAAGCCATCAGGCTTGTGTAGATGAAGCAAAGCAACTGTCCTTGTCACAATGGGTGGCCTCCCACCACCCACTTTTCTCATTTCATTCCCTATAGATCACTTTTTTTTTGTTTATCTCCCTTGGACTAGCACTTATAGTTTTACAGTAAAATCCTACTATATATGGAGTGGGTGATAATGCCTTTACAGGATATGGAAGGTGGGTTTGCCGTTCTAAGGCGAGACCGAGCAGGCAAAATCTAGTAGATATAGTGTTGGCTATCTGGGAAAGGGCTATTCAGAGTGTCTGGAGTGCTGGGAATCTTCACAGTGAATTTGGCAACCGACAAATGACAAAGAGGGAACATTGAAAGTATAGATGCTTTTTCAATTGAGTATCAATGATTCAGTCTTAACAATCTTGCTTTTTTATTCATTAATTGTCAATTGAGCTTGTGCATTTTTATCCTTAGACCTATAGAGACTTGGAATCTTGAAATAAGAATGAGATGAATAGCTAGATGTGAAGAAATAAGGTATAAAGTGAGCAGAAAGCGGTGAGTTAAATTATGCAGTGGTCACTAATTAAGCCCCTCCGTGCAAATGGCCCCGGAAGGTCAACAAGCTACCTCAAAGAATCTCCAACACGACCAACCCTTGTGGCCATCATGGTCTAATCCATTCTTTTTGTATATTGGCCTTAATTCACTGACATTTGCCTCGTGCTTACGGTCGATAATTTCTTGTTCGCCATGACCGATGTCAGCCCTGTCGCGGAGCTTCTTGGACAAGCCCTCTACCACTTCGACCGTTTGAGGCCACTTCTTCCAACTTACGGACACATAATTGTTTCTGCACTTTTTCCAATTTGGATCGGTGCACATGCATCTTTGACAAGACCTTCCTCCGCCGCCAAAGCTCCGAAGAAAAAAGCCGGCAAGGATAAAGATGAATATGACACGGATGACGAAGAGGGACATGGCCCTTTGCAGAAGATGGAAGGGCTTGAGCCATCAGATGCCCTGATCTTTCCATTGACTGCGGGGCTCACCCTCGGTGGGTTATACTTGGTGATCAAATGGCTGGAAGATCCAGCCATCTTGAACAAGATCCTTAGCTTCTACTTCTCTCAAATGGGACTCTTCTTTGCTTTTGCATTCGTGAAGGATGTGCTGTTGATGATTCGTTCATTTGTGTTCCCTAGATATTATCGTCAAAGTGGACAATTGTGGAAAGCGAAGCAGTCCGAACGCCATTTCATATCCGAGAACCATCTAGCCAAGACACAATCCATCCGGCATTCACCTCTTCCTGGGATTTTGGGCCGGCTGTCACTCCCAGATATGGTACTGGGGCTACTTTGGACGTACCGAAATGTTTTCTACCAGCGCCTCAAAGTGCGGGCGCATATATGTGGCTTATTTGACTTCAAATGCCTTGTTGGCCTCCTTGATATCATCAGCGGAATCTTAGCATTATCTGCTGTAGGGTACTTTGCATTCGTGGCAAACCCATGGTGGTTGACCAATTTCCTCGGCTTCTGCTTCTGCTATGGCACCCTGCAATTCATGTCTCCCTCCACGTTCTGGACAGGAACCCTCATTATGGGATCCTTATTTTTCTATGATATCTACTTTGTCTTCTTTACACCGTTGATGGTAACTGTTGCAACAAAGTTGGACGTACCAATCAAACTCCTGTTTCCTCGCCCGCCCACCTCTCGTGATGCCCCTGGCGCCATGCCATTGGCCATGCTTGGACTGGGCGACATTGTCATTCCGGGAATGATGGTTGGGCTGGCCCTTCGCTTCGATCTATTCCTCTATTATCAGCGGAAGGGCGCCCAAACGCCACGTATGGAAGGGTCAGACCAGGTAACTCTCAAGCCTGAGTATCAGTCGGCAACCGGCGCTTGGGGAGAGCGGTTCTGGGCACCATCAGTCAAGCCACTCCAGCCGGAACTTCAACCTCCCTACCACGATGCCCGGCAGTTCCCAAAGACTTACTTCAAGGCTAGTTTATTCGGCTATGTTGTTGGGATGGTCACCACCCTCCTTGCCATGCAATATTCGAATCATGCCCAGCCAGCTCTTCTCTATCTAGTACCGGGCGTTTTGACATCGCTTTGGGGCACCGCGCTTATTCGAGGTGAGATTGACACAATGTGGGCCTTCTCTGATGCCGAGGAGGTGGAAATCGAAGAAGAAAAGAAAGAAGATAAAACGGAGGACAAACCTTCTCAAGAGCAGAAGAGTCTCTTTATGCGCGTCTTCTCCGGTGATTTTATGCGTGCATCAACCGACAAGAACACAACGCCGGCCAAGAAACTCGAAGAAAAGAAAATCGATGACTCAAAATCCAAAACGAAATCATCCGAAGAAGGCGGGCGTGATGCTGAGAAGAAGAAGGGCAAGAAGGATCGTGACAGTTCAGACCTGATCTCCTTCTCCGTGTCAATTCCTCGCAGGTCCAAACGTGAACCCCAGGCTAGTTTGCCGACAACGGAAGAGGACGGAGAGGTGTCTATTTCCAGGGATGTCAGCGGAGACAACGAACCGCCGTTGAAGAGAAGGCGTCGCAGCATGATGAATAAAAAATCAGCGATGTGATCAATTGAGTCTCACAAAGCGAATGTATTAGCTAAAATAGATAAATTTAAGGATTGCCAACATGTCAGCCACCGTTTCAATCTACTCAGATACATAGCTCTACATTTAAAAAGCCGAAATGGCAAGAACACTAGCAGTGGTATCATTCATTTGTATTGCATATCAGTTCCATTAGCATTGATCCAATATCCGCTTCATTTCTTCCCATCTCTGAGCAGAAACATCCACGAGGTGGCGCAGATCATCACTGTCCACGGTCCAACCACCATGCTTCTCCATCTTCACAATAACCGTCTTGCCGTTCTCTTTATCAACGACAACAGAAACCCGTTCTTGGCTCAATCCCTCCTCATATCCATCCGGATCGGCGAGGATCCACCTTTGCTGTGCACCCTTCTTCTGCTTCTGCTCCTCAGCATCGGGAATGACAACCGCCCTCCAACCAGCAGCAACATCACCCTCGAAAGAGCAGAACGAGCTAGAAACAGGTAACCCGCGCAGTGACAACTTTCGCGCATCGGACACATCGTCCGAGCAAAGGATCGTCTCGTTATCAGCATCCCACCAGGCCTTGGGAAGCTTCGTGTCCCGAAGCGCGGCCAGGACAGAGGCCCAGGCGGCGTCGAATGGGTTTCCAGCCAGGGAAATGATCATAACATCAATGTAGAGCACCCAGAATGCCTTGACTTCCCGCTCAGGGCCTCCGCTCTGTTCTGTGTCCACGTCCATTCCCTCGCCCGCATTGTGGAATTCTTCCGAGTCCAGATTCGGCGGCTGATACCAGATGCGCAAGTCGTCTGCTTGAACAAGACGGGTAGTGTGCAGGAGGGAAAGAATTTGGTGGGAAAGTGACTGAGCCAGCGCAGAAGGTGGTGCACCGGGTGTAAAGCCTGGCGCGCAGCCAGTGCTGAGGGAAAGGTTGGGAACAAGTAGGTTCAGATCTTGGATGTGGCCTTTGTCTTCCTCAACATGGGATTCAGAGTCTCCTGCCTCATTTGACTTGTCGAAATTTTGCTCTGATGACGCCTGCAACACGCTCCAGGAAGCGATATCTTTGGTGTGTAGGACCTCTGCGCGAACGCCGCAGACAGCGGCTGTGTCGCCGATTCGTACGACGGCGCTGCCGTTTGTGTGAGTTAAAGAGCCAGCATTGGCGGATGTGACACGGAATTGTGAAGTGGCACGGCCGTTCGCGCGGATCGAGGGCTGGTTGCTCGCTGGTGGAGGAGAGAGGTGGGCAAGAAGGTAGGCGTGAGGTTGGAGGCGGGCGAATTGAGATGGTGGAAGGGATAATGATGGAGGTGTCGGGTTACTGGGAGTAGTGATGGACGCCATGACTAACGAGAATGGCTCTACTTTTCCCCAAGAGTGATGTAGAAATAATTGGAGACGCAGAAAAAGCCGATGAGCATGATATGGCAGAATAATTTCCTATCGAAGGCGGTCGAAGCTGTTATTTATGCCTCAGGCACCAAGTGCTAATATGCCAAGACTTTCGCGGGGCTAAACAACATCGTCCCACGAGTATCACCCTCCTAAGTACGGAGTACTTTGGTAGCAAACAAAAACGAATTCCTGTATAACGCGATGTCTAATATTCCAAAGTTGGATATGACACAGCAGCTGTGTGCTATACATCACAGGATGAAATCCTTGCCGTTATGCAGGAACCGGAAAGCTGCTCTTACGTCGAATGGTTTTCTTCGACATGCTGAGATCTTGGATCCTTTGCTTGATCCTTTGCTTCCCTTGATTCCTTGATTCCTTTGCTTGCATCGGTAAATGTGGTCGATACATATCTCACTATGGAGGTCGTCCGAGGGATATAGTTTCCTACTGGTTGCTATTCACTTCGGCTAATAAGGCCCAAACATATAGTGTGCATAGACAGCTTCCCTGGTCTTTTCTATAGCTTTTTCATGAGGTCACATACACTAACAAAAGTCGCCGAGACAGAAATTGAGATACTCAGGCCTACAAATTAGTGATACATACATAGTTCCTGCGCGAGCACTCCCGTAATTCGGCCAATAACCAGCACCGGAGATTATGAACTTCCTGATAGTCTGATTATAATTGGATGAGTACTTACGACATGAATATGAATGAGAGAATGATACCCTAAGTGTTCTGCATATTCCCCGCCCACGCTAATGCGACTCGATCACCCCCAGTCACTCTGCTGCTAATATCGCCGGCTGTGATTGGGCTGCATAGCGCTAAACCGTCACATATCACTGGAATATCCCTATCACAACAGCGAAACGCCTGTACTTTCATAAATCGGTCTGCAATCGTTGTTTTTCATTGGCCCAGTTTCTAACCAGCCACAATATTCTGTTGGGCTTATTCTATCACAAGGCCGAGACTGCAAGGTTGTGTGGCTCCCCGCTTCCATTTTCACATACATTTAGACTGAATTTCCCTCGAAAATTGCTTTTCACTTCTTGACTTTAATGGCATCAATATTGATAGCTCCAATAAAGATATGAGCGTTCGACTATAGTACAAGAGGGAAGACTCTTGTGCGTGGCACGGAAGGTAGGTTACTCTGTGCAAGACTGTATATTGAAATTGATCTAACTCAAGTAATTACAGAAAAGAACACTAGTGTTGCCGACCAACGCACTGCAAAATGCTGAGCAGCGTTTTTTCCCTTGCCAAGCGCATCAATGTCGCGATCACAGCATCGACGACTGCAGCCGAGGCGGCTGAGATGCAGCGAGATCCATGGTCGAAGTCGGCAAAATATGGGGTAGGATTTGTCTATTTCGCCGTCGTACTACTGATAATCACGACCTTTGTCCGATGCTGGCATAAATGGGGCGACAAGATGCGGATTGCCCTCTATAAAGAAAACCGACCAGAGATATTTCGCGACGACTCAGTACCGGACGAGTATGAGCTTCCAAGCGCAGGCACTGATGCTTCCAATGCCCAGTTCTTTCCATCGCCGACGGCAACCTCTCAACCCAAGAGGCGTGAATCAATCCTTGCTAGCATAGTCCCCTTGAACAAGGCAATTGCCTTTTCGCGATGGATCTTCTACCGACCAATTCCCACCGTGAAGGTTTGGAAGATAGAGCTCGTTTTCCCGTCTTTGGCAATCACGGCAATTGTCCTGGTTGCATTTATCTTCGTCACATTATACTGCTTCGTGCCACAGCCCTTGTACTACTGGTCAATTGCGCTGGGGTCGCCGCCGCTGGCTGTTCGGGCAGGTATGCTGGCAGTAGCTATGATCCCCTGGATTGTTGCACTCAGCACCAAGGCTAACTTTATCACTATGATGACTGGCCTTGGTCCTGAGCGGCTAAATGGGTTGCACCGCTGGTCAGCCTATATCTGCCTATTCCTCAGTTTGGTTCACATGATCCCGTTTTACATCACTCCGATTTGGGAAGATGGCGCTTTGGTCAACTACAGCGCAGGCATCCCACCACACGCCTATGTGTATGGGACTGGAATTGCAGCGCTAGTTCCTCTGCTTGTCTTGTGTATCCATTCTCTTCCAATCTTTCGCAATTGGATGTATGAGCTCTTTGTCTTTGTCCATATCCCAGTCTCGTACGTCTTTGTGGCGATGCTTTTCTGGCACACGAGAAACTACCTGTCATCATGGGCCTACCTTTTCACAACCATTGCTATTTGGGTCATCTCATATACCATCCGGTTGTTCTACTTGAACTGGACACACCCTTTCCGTTCATCGTTTTTAATCGGAGAAGAGTCGGCCATAACCATTCTTCCGCAAAGTGCTATTAAGGTCACCATCCCTACAAAGATGCGTTGGAGGCCCGGTCAGTATGTCTACCTGCGACTGCCAAGAATCTCTATGATCCAGAGCCACCCTTTCACGATTGCCTCTCTTTGCAGCGATGACTTCCCATCCGCGTATGGTGAAAAGTATCGTGATATGACACTGGTTTTCCAACCATTCCAAGGCTTCACACGCGAGGTGTTTAAAAAAACGTTAGAACATGGCCCCTACAAAACATACAGCGCATTTGTAGAAGGGCCTTACGGTGGTATGCAACGTGAGATTGCTGCCTTCGACGACGTGGTTTTCTTTGCCGGAGGAAGCGGTATTACCGCCATTGCAAGCCAATTGCTGGACCTCATCAAGAAGATTCGAGATGGCAAAGCCATCACCAAGTCGGTCAAAGTCATTTGGGCGCTCAGAAGCCCCGAGACAATGGAATGGTTTCAAGAAGAACTACGAATCTGCCGTGAATATGCACCTTCGAACATCGTCAGCTGTCATTTCTTCCTCACCGGAGTGAACCAAAACAACCAAGTTGCACGGGATATAGTCCAAGAGAAGATCTACAGCATGCTCCAGGGCATTGACAAGCGGAACTCCGCTTACATCCGCGATGAAGCCGCCGGCAACCCTGATATAGAAAAGGAATTGCGCCGTGAGAATGAAGATGGTGTCGCTGCTCTTCCCAATGCATACACAGCCACCCATGCGTCCAATACCCGTCAATACTACCAACCTACCTTGAACCCTCATGCCCCCGCTGCACAAAGCGGTTATGGTAACCCGAACTTCGATTTCGGATTCGACACACCTCAACATGTACCACAAAGGCCGCCTCCAGCACCTGCACCACGGTTTGCTTATTATCAGCCTCGTGCACGGGACCACTGGCGGACTGATTACCTCCGCCCGGACCTCACTCAAATGGTCAATGAGTTTTCACAAAAATTCGGCCGCCGTGCCTGTGTTTTCGTCTGCGGTCCACCGAGTATGCGAGTTGAGGTCGCCAACGCTGTAGCGAAGCTGCAGCTACAGGTGATTATGGACTCGTCAAGAGATGAGATTTTTTTGCATGCCGAGAACTATAACGTGTAATGTAGCGTTGCTGTCTTTTGTTGATTTTATACCCATGGCGTTGCAGTTACTATATGAATATCAAACCGGTTCTTCTAACGCTCAATTTCCGCACGTAGGAGTGTATATTGCGAGAGATAATTTCTCATATTCAACTGTAAGAGGTATCATCATACAGGAAGCGGAAGTCTAGCACAGACACTATTGTAAATCAAATGCATAAACAAATAAAAAGGGTATCCAAGGTACATCAGAAAGCCACATACGCAAAGCAATTTCACTGGATCTCCGGCTTATGGTTGTCGTCTTCCGCCTTGCGCTTGCGCGAAGGCACATCCTGATTTTCAAGGAATTGCGACTCATTCAACTGCTGTATCCCATGGTCACCTTCTTCGCCATCCTCCGCTTCCACCTTCTCCCAGTCCTCGTCTTCCATTTCACCGGGAGAAGTTGTAGTCTGGGCATTTTCTTCTTTCGGTGGATGTGCTTCATCTTCATTCCAGTTCAAATCTAACCGTACGATCTTCGCGCCCGACGGCTTCAGTCGCCGATAGTATTCGGCTACATCGCGATCAACCCTGAATCCACGCGCAATATACCATTCCAGCCCCTCTTCGTTTGCCTCATGGACATGCGCTGTCACGGAGCGGATGTTATAGTGCCTGACAAGCTCGGAAACCTGGTATGAGTCCTTCTCCTTGCGGTCCGGTGGAGACACAAAGAGAAGCGAATTCAACAGTGATGCGGCCACACCACAGCCCCGGTATGGGAAGAGAAGATGTAGAGTCTGAATGTAGAGATTCGTAGGACTTCCGTTCCCTTGGATTTGGTTCTCTTTGCTCGAGTCCTCTGACTGTCGGATTCTCTCTAGCCGACACCGAATTCCCCCGATCACTTTGTCCGTCCCAACAGATGCGACAGAACCCGGGGCTGCACCAACAGGGTGGTCATGGTAAATAGCAACCCTCGAAAGAGAAGCGGTCACAGGATCGGTTATGATAGCTGTGTAGAACGAGCTTGGATAGCGGATGGGAAGGAGTAAGCCCGTGATTCGCGTCAAGGAAGGGATATGCGCTGTATTGACTTTCTCGACTGTGATATGGGGGTGTGGAGTAGCCACACCAGTTGGAATATCATGTGCATATGGGTCAAATATCTCTTCTTTCGAGTGTTTCGGGCCTGGCGTGTTTGCGACAGCTGATTGAGGCGGTTGAACTGGAGGGGGGTGGATAGGAGGCCGCGCAGGTTGGCGGTTGGTCGGGGGAGGAGACAGTGAAGACGAAGAAATTGCTGGCTTCGTCTGATTCTTTGAGAAGAACTGGTAGGCCATCTTGGAGTAATTTAATAGTTGTGAAAGAACAAACAGAGAGCGAATGCGGAGGTACGATAAGAGATAAGCCCAGTGAACAACTTGCTCCAGCCTCATCCGTCTCTTCATCTCCCAGAGTGATATTTCATTCGCATGCAAATAGACACCTCAATAGGTCAGTGCCATATTTGCTGTCGTTGCCTAATTTCTATTTTATGCGTCAATAGAATATCTTCATTGACCACATTGTCTTCCCCTATTGTTGCTCGCTATTAGTCCTACCTCGCCCCCCATTATTGAAGCTCACTGACAATAGGCCTTACACTAGGCTATACAATTCAGCCCCTCCCTATTGTCTTCTTTCATCCTTTTATTTGGCTTCTATGTTTTGGCCTGCTTCTCTTTTCTTCTCTTCTACACCCGTGCACCCATTGCGTCAACCCTGCATAGATTTCCAGTACATGGAGAACTAAACCTCGGACCTAGCGGTTCGGAGCACTCACTACCTGTGTCGCGGGCAGACACAGCCGTCGGTCAATCAGGACCGGACGAGAAATATTCGGCGCATCCATTTCCGGCCGCAATCCGAGAATGGCCGACTCCAACAGCAGTGGTGGTCGCAGGCCGACATACTCTGCCGGAACGATCGCTAAAGTGGTATGGTGACCCTGAACAAACTTCATAGGTTGTGTTAAATATAGGTTCTAATAACTTTTTGTTTAGGCTACGGACATCCTGAACGAAACATTCCAGAACATCATCCATGACCTTGTCGCCAAAGTGCACCGTGAAGAGAAGGTGGCGCGCATGCGGACTGCGGTGGTTCTCGCCCGACAGAAGGCGGAAGAAGACGCAATCATGCCAGAGGAGGCGCCCAGCAAGACCTCAACGGATACAAAGAGAGAAATTGTTCTCGATACCAAGAAACTCGCGGGTATGCGCGTGGAGACGGATGCAGCCGTTTTCAACCGCGGAAAGGTCTTCCTTAAAGGAAATCCGATGAAAACCGTGAGAGAGCATGTGTGCCCCGATTGCCGCCTCCCACGACTCATGTACCCGACCACCGGGGCTCGTTCTCGTCCCCCTCCCGATCCCGATGTTGAATATTGTACAAACGTACCCATGATCGACCTCCCTGGCCATGACGTCCACGGCAAGCTCTTTGCAGTCATGCCGAACCCCAAGAAAAAGAAGGGTGACCGAGACAGCACCATTCCCGAAATTCCAACTACCAAGTGCCCTATCTGTCCACGCTACTTTGTCATGACTCGTCTCGCCCAACACCTTGAACGCTGCGTTTGCGGTGGCCGCAACGGCGGCCGCGATGGGGGCCGCGATGGGAGCCGCAATAAGACTCCCACAGACAGCAACGGCAACAGTCCCAGTTCATCGGCACCCAAACGCCCTTATGCAGATGACGATGAAGAAAGTCCCAGTCCTACTAAGAAGAAGAAGCTGAATGGACCCAAGAAGGGCTCTTCCGCAAAGCCCGGGCCGAGTAAGCTCAAGCAATCGTTCACGGTTGAGGACAACGACGATGACATCAAGAGCGAGAACGCCGACTAAGCTTCCATTTGTTTTCTCCATACCCTTTTTTCCTATCATGGTGTCCGCGGCGTTTGAGCTTTGTTTTGATGGGCTGGGCATGTCCTATGGCGTCTCTGGGTCTGGTTCGGTCTGGTCATGGTTTGACCTTTCCTTCGAATAAATCTGCATAGATGAATGATGACGAGGGGAATGGACTTTGTAGGATGTACATTATTTGATAACATGAAATACAACTGACAGGGGCATTGCACGAAAGATGCAACTGATTTGTGCTAATATTAATATCTTCTTCGTTCCTTACTACTGAGAACCCATTGAATGATCAAAAAGTCCACTAGGTAGTTATACATCTCAACATGTATGTACACTGCAAACTTTGAACTAATCTCACCCCGAAACCACCCGAGCATCATCAACCTTTTGTGGTACACAACAGAATACTTATATCCCCATGGGCTATCTTCGGCAATAAACACAGGTTTAGATATCTTGCAGAAGAAACAGAGGCATTGCACGTTATTGCCCTTATCTCAGATAGTTGCTTTATCCTCTACAGTATTCACTCGGATGAAGATAGAAAGCGTTTATCACCTCAGGTCCAAAACAGATCTCTATAATTTAAGAGGAACTGAAGCTAACCGGTACTGCATTGTATTGTCACTTGTCCTCCAATAAGAGTAGACGCATGAGAAGGGCATCTTAAACAATAAAGTATCAGGCTTGTCCTCCACATATATATAATCCGTAGCACATTTAGCTTCAAGAATTACTGGACCAAATGTAGATCTTATTCATGCCGCATGTGTAATTTCTCATCTGTTCTATACAAATAACATACGGTTCATCAAAAAAAGAATCACAACTAGCAGGGGATCTTCCTGTGAGGAGCCCTAGGTGCTCCTAGTTTGATCCCAGAGCTCAGTAAACCAGTAATAGATGATACCCGAGTATTAGAAGGAAAAACTACATAGTATCCAGTGACAGTAGATGCATGATTCTTGTTTTAAGATGCAGGTAATCAGGGATTTATTTGGAGACTTTATGTGTGTATATTGTAACTAGGTGGTTGGCCAGTTAGCCCCGGGGCACCTGGGCACTGTCGATGCTTAATAAGTGCGGGGATGCGCGGGCATTTCACCTTGTCAATCACCAACCAAGCCTGAATATTCTCTAAAATGGCTGATCTTAGCGCATGGGCAGCTCCTCGTCTCTCCCAGCTTATCCCGCTGGATTCAGATTCTCTTTCTCAGGTTATCGACTATGCTGCCAGCCTCTCGAGGGAGGCATGTGCGGACCACCTCAAAAACCTCCTCGGCGACTCCCCGGCCGCCCTAGAATTCATCTCCTCCTTTAATGCACGCCGAGAACCACAGCGACCACCTCAGAACCCATCCACACAAAGCAGGGATGCATCAAGATCAACCGGAGGAGCCGGAGCCAAGAAGGGCAAAAAGAAGGCTCCCTTACACAGTGCTGGCCCACCACGTCGACCCGATGACTACGGCGATATAGCAGGTGGCTATAAGAAAGCAGATGAGGAAGACTATATGTCTTCTCGAAAATCAACTGCTCCCACTCTTGCACCGTCACCGCATGGGTCCTCAGCCTTGCGCATTCCCTCCCCCTCACCCGCATCAGCCCCGAAATTACCGCCATCCGCGAGTGGCTCCACGATCTCGGACATGTTACCAAATGTGCGATCAAAAGTGAGCAAGTCAACACGCCAAGGTGGAGGAGCAGGGTCGTCTTCCAAGGGAAACCCAGCTCTCACAACCAACGACATCTCCGACCTAACCGCAGCTATCGCCGCACTGGAGGTATCGACGAATCCGAGTCTAGGACAGAGGCGCAGTTGCACCTGCTACGGGTCACTGCACCCGGTATTTGATCCGGCACCGAATTGCCTCAACTGCGGGAAAATTATCTGCTCCCTCGAGGGCCTACAGCCGTGCTCATTCTGCGGCACACCGCTCCTGTCTGCCGAAGAAGTGCAAGGTATGATTCGAGAACTACGGGCGGAGCGCGGGCAAGAGAAGATGCGCGTACACAATGAGGGTGTTCATCATGAAGGGGGTCCTAGGCCTACTCCTGGGTCCGAACCTCCTAGCAAACTGGATGCCGCGAAAGCACACCGGGATAAACTGCTCCAGTTCCAAGCGCAAAATGCGCGCCGGACCAAGGTTGTCGACGAAACAGCAGATTTCGAGACTCCAAATGTTGCCTCAACCTTGTGGATGACACCTACACAACGTGCACTTGCGCTCAAGAAGCAGCAGCGCATTCAGCGCGAGATGGACGAGAAGGCTCGTCCTGAGTGGGAGAGGAAGAAGACTGTGATGAGTCTTGATATCAAGGGCGGTAAGGTCCGCCGGGTTTATCATTCCGCACCGGCAGAACCAACCCCAGAGACCAATGAGCCTGAAGCTGTTGAGGAAGGAGGTGATGTGGACAGCGCGCGAGGACAACATACTTTCAGCCGTAACCCCCTTCTCGCAGCTGGTGGTCTCATGCGACCTGTTTGGCGCGCGCCAGAAATAAAGCAGACTGAAGCAGCGGAGCCAACTGAACGAAAACAGACTTGGCGACGTGTGCAAGATGACAACGATGACAACGAGCAGTGGATTTTGGATGGAGGAATACATGGGCACACCACTTAAAACATAATCTTACATGGATTTAAGCGGAAGCTCTAAAGCGTGGGCGCTTCAAAAAGTACTATTTCAGGCGATCTTCATAATCCTGAATCAACCATCTCAGGAGGTAATTTATAGAAGTTATCACCAGCTTCACTACCGATATGCGGCAAGACAGCCTCATAGAAGTGTGCTTACTCTGTATCCCTGTCGCACATTCCTCCACCAAAAGCGCGGAATTCTCGGATGTCTCATTGACTGATCGGCTAATAACGGCGATATTGTCACACTTCCCAGGACAACCCGAGTTAGTGGAGTCGGTAAACCCAGGTGCTACTGTATGACCGAATTCGTGGATGACGGCAGCCTACCAAAAATAGAAAAGACATATCCGTCTATGTTACATTATTAAAGTAACCATGAATCGCGTTCACTGCAAGGTCTTAAGTAAATATTTCTCTCGAGTCCATAAATCCATTATAATCTAAAATTCGAACAAAAGTACCAGACATGAAGCGGGCTTCCCCGCGGATGCCATAACGCCAATAATATGTGGGTATTTAAGCGTAACCAATAACCGATGCTGCATTGTACTATCAATCATAAAAAAAACAACCGCCTATAACCGACAATAGAAAGTTAAAACAAGGTCCTTTGTAGAAATGTCTTAGGGCTCCAGTTCTACGAGGCCTAATTCGTACGGGTCCATCGTCATTGATCGCGGTTGGGGACGGGTATCGGCGGCCGAAAGAGTATAAAGGCCATCTGGAGTATGATAAGAAGTTAACAGCCAATCCATTGTTTCTTCATGATCTCACAAAATGCTTATTGAATCTGTACTGGAGTGTTTTTCTCTACAGAGGGTCCTGGGAGGCTTGGTAGGGCTATTAGCAGTAGCGGTACGCATATCCTTTTCCGATATCCATGCACTCCCATTTCCAATGTCTTAGACAGTAGGCTAATTTAACTCATTTCAGACCATCGCCTACGCCCTCTACAATCGTTTCCTTCACCCTCTCCGCCGTATCAACGGTCCCATCCTCGCATCTCTCACACCCTGGGTCCAGCTCTACCATGGCCTGAAAGGTGATCGCCATCTCTGGCTACATAAGCTACACAGTCAGTACGGGACACACGTGCGCGTTGCGCCTAATTTTGTTTCCGTCAACTCGGACCGTGGATTGCATGATATCTACGGACACGGGAAGCGTCTCCAGAAGGCCGATTTCTATAATGCTTTCCCCGCCATCAAGGGCGTGTATAACACGCACAACGCGATTGATAAAACCATGCATGGTCGCAAAAGGAGAGTCCTTAGCCAGGCTTTCTCGGATAATGCTCTTAGGGGAATGGAGGATGTAATGCTCCTCCATGTGCGTCAGCTGTGTGCCGTGCTGGCTGGGTATGATGGGGATTTCGAATCGCATGATCAGAAGGGAAATGTCAAGAACATGGGTAACTGGTTTAGTTATCTCTCGTATGATGTTATGGGCGAGCTCTGCTTCGGGAAAAGCTTTGATATGCTTATTTCTGACTCCATGAGATATAAAGTTGGATTGGTGGATCGTGCTGCGAACAGGCACTATGTGGTAAGCATTTCTATTTCGTTATCATAGAAACACTTTTATCTGATTCTCCCATAGTGTGGACTTTGGATGCCCCTGGACACATGGGGATTGGACCAGATATTCATCCGCAAGCTGACGCGCGACCGATGGAACTTCATTATGAATTCACGTGTTGAAGCAAACGAGCGCGCCAAGGAGCGTACTCAGATCGGTCACGACGCTAAGAAGGACTTCTTTTATTACCTGTTGAACGCGAAGGATCCGGAGACAGGCAATGGACTTAGCACACCTGAGCTTTGGGGAGAGTCAAATGTTCTCATGATCGCGGGCAGCGACACAACCTCGACTACACTGGCAGCCACACTGTTCTACCTAGTTCGGAGACCAGATGCACTGGCCAAGCTGAGTGCCGAGGTGCGCGGTGCCTTCAATGAAGTCGAAGAGATCGTTACTGGTAGCGAACTCAATGAACTGGTGTATCTCAAAGCATGTATCGATGAGGCGTTGCGTCTGGCCCCAGCCGTGCCCGGTGCGATTCCCCGTGAAGTGATGGAGGGAGGTGCTGTGGTCGATGGTGTCTTCTTACCTGCTGGTACAGACTGCGGCACACCGACATACTCGATCCACCGTCAAGAGCGATACTACCGGGAAGCAGGGACATTTATTCCAGAGCGCTGGATTGAGGACGCCACCTGCATGGCCTCTGGGAAGTCTTGGCAAACGACGAAGGAGAGCATTGAGACTGCGCGACACGCATTTTGTCCATTTAGCATTGGGCCCCGTGGATGCATTGGCAAGAGCATGGCCTTTATGGAGATGCGGCTGACATTGGCGCGGCTCGTGTTCCTCTTCGACATGTCATTGGCGGACCGTGAGGGCGAAGACGCCGGGGGTCATTTGGCGCTGACGGATCATTTCACTTCCGCGAAGAATGGACCGAATGTTGTATTTAGACGGAAGTAATTTAGTTTATTTTTAGGGAATTTATTCTTAAAAGCGGTCATGTCGAATTGCTGAAACATCAAAAGTGTCGCTTAATCTCTCAGCCTTATCGCCCCCCAACTTCTCGACTACTCAGGACACGGTTGCGCGTCTTGGCAACAATCCCTGACCTTTTTACTTGTTGATATTGGATTGAAACAAACCTACATGGATCTGATCGAAGGGTCTTCTCCATCATGACCTCGCCATTGATTGTGACGTTCGTGCAGGCGACCATTTTAAATGCCATTTCGAACGTCCTCGCGCAGCTGATTGACCAGCGAAACAACAAAGTAAGGGCTGTTTATGTTCTAGACGCCCAAATATAACAGAGTTAACAAAATACTAGGCCCCATTCACTCTAAACACATTGGCTCTTCTCCAATTTGTGGGCTATGGCATCTTAATCGTCCCCCCTAATTTCTACTGGCAACGCGCCCTTGAAGCGCGTTACCCGGGGTTTCCTACGCGTGCCGAATTCTCAAATGCGTTCAGTATTCGATCACTGAAATCTATCTTCTCGCCTCGTGCATGGCTGTCCCTCTGTTCAAGAGCTCCGCAGGAAGATTCACTCCCTAGCCACAAGGAGAAAGAGAAGCATGTTCGATGGGCGCCGCGAAAGCAGCCATCCGGGCTGCGTAGCTTTATTATGAAATTCTTCTTTGATCAAACAGCTGCTTCAATCGTCAATCTTGTGCTATTTGTGGTTGTCATCAATTTGCTGAAGGGGGAGAGTCTGAAAAAGTCATGGGAATTGGTTGTTTTGGTAAGTTGTGCTATTGAACAATATTGTTGATACACAGATGCTGACTTTTCTGTAGGATTTCCGGCCTCTTATGAGTGCGCGTTTGAAATATCGGCCTATTGTCTCGGTCTTAATGTACACAGTCATTCCTGTAGATCGACGAGTGGTCTTTGGAAGTGCATGTGGAGTGATCTGGGGTGTGTATTTGAGCTTATATGCTGGTGTTTAGGTTTCTGCCATTCTGCTTCTTTGTGTTACTTGAGCGTTTGTATTATCATCTTTGGAAAGCAATTGGTGTAGTAACATCTCAAACGGGTTTACTCATATCATAGAGCTCTAATAAATAGAATAAAGCGTGACAGATGTCCGAGTACTCGGGAAGTGTCTATTATAACTGCTAGCAGTGGGACTCAAATCCCAGCACAGTACCAATGAAGTACTCATTGCTTAGACCTAATCTAGTATGATCAGATTCCACGTCGTAATTGAGGCGTGCACTTGCCCCTGGATAGGGTTTGTGCATCCATCCCCAAAGAGAAATAGGGAGATCATAAACATAGAGAGTAAAGGGTAGGACTGTGAATATCAGACAAAGTACAGAATCAATAACACGTCATACTCTTAAGGTTTGAAGATTTTCCCGTTTTTAATACCAGGGCTCCTCTCAGCCCTATATTGCACAGTGGGTAATATTCTATTTATTTATATGTTAGTTCCTAATATCACTCTGAAAAACGCGAAAAAGCGCGTTTTTAAATGAGTCCTAAAATTTATAGAGGGAAGGCAGTAGGTTGAGCCGATACTATTAGATTAAGGCTATGCTTTCCAGAAATTCCAGCCAGGAGCGCAAGATCAAGGATGATGAAACTACACTAGTCCCACGGTATGGCTAGGATAGAATATTACGATGCTAACTCATTCTAGACAGACAAAATCAAAAAACTACAAGAAGCGTGACATCTCCCGGCAATGCAATAGTGAGTAACCATATAGTAAAAACCTCTTTCCCGACTAGGACTCGTAGCAATTCTTCGATAAAGAAACAGAAGCCAATGTTAGACAAAGAGACAAAGAAATGGAAAACAAACATATATGTGATAGCATATGATTATCACAAAGCCACTATATACAATCTTGTTCATGCATCATTACTTAGGTATAGAAATTGGAAGGTAGTTAATTGCAAGTGATCTTCCTATAACTAAAATACATACATCGAGATTAGGTATCGTTTGTATGTATAAGCCGTACAAAGGATACGGGCTGGTGATTGTACAGCTATTTGTATTATGCCAGAGCAATTTCCACTAATAAAAACCTAGAGATAGCGGGCGGTATAGCAAGCTAGGAAGGCGGTAGATGCTAAATTTCTGCTGTCACTCGTAATTTTTGGGGATCACGTGCGGGCGATTATCGGCTATACTGCCCGGTAATTGCGGGGCGGAGAGGCCCGAGCCGTACCGCCTCCGGGCTATAAAAGAAGTCGATGGCCCCGATTCCTTCTTCCCTTCTTTTTTCCCCAACTTCTCTTTGCCTCTTGGCTTAGATCAAGTGTAGTATCTGTTCTTATCAGTTTAATCGCTGACATGTCTACCCCCCAGTAGACTTCAATGATTACTCTAATATTTGAAACTCGGGACTGGCCTCTGTGCTTGCGCATGCCAGTCCCACAGTGTCGCTGGGCTTACACTACCCCCGGCTGACGCGACACTTTTTCATCAATTCACCCGGCTTGACCGAGTGCTTGGAGAAGAAGTTTTGAATGTTATGAGCGTGTCACACCCCGTAGTCTCTAGAGCTTTAGTGTTCATCGTCTCATCTCCTATTCACTATGTACCTAGATGTCCTGTAGAATTATCCTGAGAGGTCATGAGTCTGTGAAGCTATAATGACATTCACCCTCCTCGCCTGCTCATTGAGCAACTGTCCATTCAACGCGCTGTCATGAATGACGATGCCATCATCAACATCCAAGAGTCTGTCTCGTCGACGCGCCCACCACTCATCGTGTCACACACACACACGAAGAGTTCTGACAGCCAGGACTCTCACAATTAGGTGTCTCTCGTGAACAAAACAACCCATAAACAGCCCATTGCTAACGCAACTAGTCCCCCTCAGTTCGACGCAGCTTTTCAACAACACGCTACCCAAACGGTCGATTCAATCCCCAAGTACATTTGCCGTCCCTTACGCATTAACCCAACCTTCTATGAGACAAGAGTTCTTGCACTACCTCCAGCTTTGCTAACGCTGTTGTAGCTCACACCTATCCTTGCTGGCGAAACAAACTTCCCCTCGTGGCCCACCGCATTCGACTGCGCTCTCGACACCCGGAACCCTCAACGGAACGTAAGCTCAACAGCTCCCAAGGACCCTCCAATAACTGAGTGGACCCACAAGTCTCGTCACCTCTCATACCTTCATGCTACTCCATGATACAATCCTGAGCGCCGAAGAAACCTGCTACCTACAACCCAGGTCTCTCAAGCAGAGAACTAAAAAGGGATTCATTCAAAACACAGAATCCATCAGACAAAGCAATGATATTGATTGGTCTTATATCAGACATTAATATACGCATGAATTATCATAAACAATAGAAAGGCGTGGGTACATGGCCCAACATAATAAGCTCTTAACCAACCCATAAAGAAAAAGAAACATAGAAAAAAGAACAGCTGAGACCAAGAATGTGCATGAAAGATTCCAATCCGAGCATGAGCCTCAAACAGGGGCTATCTCGACCTTCTTACCCTTCACAGACAACCACTCAACGAAGATAGGTCCAATGAGCGACAATGCGCCCATAGCAACAGCGACGTAGAACGTCTGCATAATAGCAGCGTTATAGGCAACCAGGACACGGTGCAGGGCCTCGCCACTAACGATAGTGCGGAGCATAGTAGCTCCAGCAGCCATGAGCTTCGCAGCATCCTCGTCGGGCGCATAGTGAGCCAAGTTGTGCAAAAGCTGATTCTGGAAGACGTTCTGCGCGACGGAGACGAAGATAGCGCCACCAAGAGTCTGGCCAAACAAGACGATCGCAGTGCCACTGGGTACATCTGCGGGCTTGAGGGCAGTCTGGGCGACGATCATAGGCTGCTGCATGCCCAGACCTAGACCAATACCGAAGAGTGCCTGGTAGCCGATCCACTTGGAGTGGTTTGAGTCTATCTCTAGGGTTGTTAGGAGTCCTGCGCCGATGGTCAAGATAACGGCCGAGGCGATCATGAACGGGGTGTAGTATCCACAAGCTGTGACGAGGCCTCCGGCCATGATGGAGATAACCACAACGGCGATGATCATGGGCAGGTTCATGATGCCGGATTTCAAAGCGGTTGCACCCTTGATTGATTGGAACCAGATTGGGAGCTGTGAATGTTAGGGCCTTGGGCTGGGTAGGTTGGGAGAGGGAATAAATAAGAGGGCACTCACGTAAAATGTGAAGATGAAGAAAGAAGCACCAAGAGCAAGGGCATACCATGCTGAGCCCCAAACGTTACGGTTCTTGATCAGACGCGGCGGGACAGTTGCGCGGTCTCCGGACCAGATCTGCACGCCAATGAAGATGAGACCGAGAACGCCAAAGACCACGAACAGACCGATAATGTGCCCGCTGCGCCACGCATACTTGGTGCCGCCCCATTGCAGTGCAAGCAACAAGCTGATGATAGCGGGCAGGAAAAAGAACGAACCAATCAGGTCCAGCTCCTTGAGCTGTTCCTTCAAGGTGTTTTTCTTCAGGATGGCCTTGGGCGTTTGGAAGAAAAACAACACGGAGAGGAAAGTCACTCCTCCCAAAGGCAGGTTAATATAGAAACACCAACGCCAAGTGAGGTGGTCAGTGAATGCGCCTCCCATACTGTTGGAAGTTAGCATGGCTCGGTAGTGAAGCAACAGGAAAAACATACAGAGGGCCGGCTACATTGGCAATACCAAACATTGCACCAATGCAACCCGTGTACATAGGTCGCTTGACCAGGGGTACACTCTTGCTGATGATGAGGATAGAGCCCGAGAAAAGACCAGCCGCTCCGAGTCCAGCGATGGCTCGTCCGCAGATGAGTCCGACCGAGGTGGGAGTGACCGCGCAGACGAGAGAACCGACCTCGAAGATGCAGAGTGCGATGAGATATATCCACTTGATCGAGTAGAATGTGTAGAGTTTGCCGAAAAGTAGGGAAACGGCGCATGTTGTCAGGAGATATGAACTTCCGTACCAGCCGACGTCTTCGAGTGAATTAAATTGATCAGTGATTTTGGGAATTGCCGTTGCAATAATGGTGTTGTCCTGGAGGGCTAGTGTTAGCTGGATATAATCAAATTAAGCAGACTAGCAGTGCATACCAATGCCACGCAGAAGACGCATAGACAGAGAGCAATGCTGATCAGAGTCAACCTCCATGCGTTTGGATACTCTTCCTCTTCCACCGGTGTCTCGGCGTCGCTGTCCTCTTTTTTCTCTTCTTCTGTTGGCTTGTCGAATGTCCCCTTGGGGGCCAGCTCCTGGGTGGAGTCTCCATTCATTTCCGCATTGTGAACAGGTGTCTGAGTACTCGCAAGCTCTTTGTCGGTATCATCATTGGCGCTCGAATTTCGTAAAGGCTCATCGACTAGTGTGCTCTCTTTTTCACTGGAGGGCTTTGAAGTTTGATCGGACTGTGAATGGGTGTCATGCTTAGGTGCCACGTTTTTGTGTTCGGGTTTGTGTTCGGTATTGTCTCCAGGTACATCTACCTTGGGGGATTTGGCCTTGAAGGCATCGAGGAAGCCCATAATTAAAACAAAAAGCCAGTACTAAAAGCCAAAAAAAAGCTTCCAATGTGATTTAACGAAAGTTGAGAAGAATAAACAGGAAAACAAAGGAATTTAAAAGGAAGAGACAAAATTAGCCAAGATTGACATAAAAAAAACAACAACAGTTCGTACAGGTCTCATCAACCCTGCGGAAGGAGAAAAGGGCCAATCCAGGTGGCACAAAACTCTCTCGTATTTCAAGTGGCCATGTGGTACGTGAAACTGAAATTTTCCGCCGAGGTGCATATTGCAGGCCTTTTTGTCCCATATTTTCGCAGTTAGGCAACGATGTCTAGTTCTCGAGATAGTCTATTACTTCCATAGTAACGATTGTCGATGCAGTTATGCAATAATTAGTCGCAGTTCACACATCATAAGTCTTCCGGATAGCGGATCTGTTCTCATCCGACAGAATCTGAATCATAATATGCGCTTTAATGCGGGCCAAATGTCGGGTTCGGTTTGCCCCCAGCGGGGCTGCAGTCAGGAGAATGCAAGGATCAGGGTGATCTATTATTTAATTGTTGCATGAACTTATGTGCGAGTCTTCGGTTGGAGTTGTTCACCAATCAGCGATCAGGAGATGCGAGTCGTGCACCCCCTTGCTGGAGCTTCCAAGAGAAATATCCTGCAACAAATTATAAGTACGGAGTACGGACTTTGGGAGTACACCGCTGTTGACTAAACAAGGGGAAAAGATAAACAAGTCCGAATAATTTGGAAAAGAAAGGGTTCTAGACGAAACTGGTTTGATGGGGGTTTCCAAGGTTGTTATGGCTTTGATGATCGACGGCTGACAAGGATGACAAGACTCTAACGAAATGTGGATTAGTGCAGTATGGAACCACGGATGCAACACGGATATCGGGGTTAAGCTTGTTCCTATAATGACATGCCCCCAGGTGCTCACTTGGAAGTTTCATCCTCCTATAACAATATTCCTTCATATGATCTTACTCGTCTCCATGAGGAAAATGATTAAAGAGGTCACACGATACCTTTCCCATGTAGGGGTATAGAACCATCATAGCAGTTCTGTTTCAAAAAGGTCCCATTCTCCCAAGTACAACATCGGCATAGTCTCAGCTGATATATGTTGTATACTGGTGCTGCTCAAAGATATATTCCCATCATAGTGGTTCCGTGGGAAGGGGGGAAATGGATATATAGCCGTCTTAAAATGTCATCTGAATGAACTTCGTGTTCGGAAATAGAGTAAGCTTATTATTACCAACTTATTTTGGACATAGTCATATTGCATATTGATTCAGGAACTCAGCTCGTGGTGTTACCGGTGCGTATACACGGCAGACTGCCTACTAATCCGGCGTAGTACAGCATACTGCATACACTGATAGAATTATAGACCATGATTGGCTATATCCTACCCAATCACCTGGTATCTATGTAGGAAGATGAGCAGGTACACTGTACAATGGATATATTGGGAACGGAGATAGAACTGGGCCAGAGCTTCGATTGCCATCATCATCAACGGGGATAACGAAAACCCGGGGTAAGCCCGGGGTTAAAGGATGCGCAAAACGGGCTGACAAACCCCCAAGGTGCTAACCCCGGAACTCCGGGCTCTAGATATAACGAGGTATGTTGTAAGAAGATCAGATATAAAATGGTACCTCGACCGACCAGAATACTTCAATCCATCACCGTCAATCTACAACACATTACAACTACTACCTCAAACCAACTACTACTTCACAATGGAAGAACTCTTCAAAGCCGCCCCAGAGCCCGCCACCCCTCTGGGCCGTTACCGAATCCTCTCCTCAACAGCAAGCATCCGCGTCTCACCCCTCCAACTGGGCGCAATGTCCATTGGCGACGCCTGGAGCGGACTCATGGGCAGCATGAGCAAAGAGCAATCCTTCGCACTGCTAGATGCCTTCGTCGCCGCCGGCGGCAACTTCATCGACACAGCTAACAACTACCAAAATGAGCAATCCGAGACCTGGATCGGCGAATGGATGGCATCACGCAACAACCGCGACCAGCTGGTCATAGCCACAAAGTACACAACCGATTATCGCAGCCACGCACTCGGAAAGGGCAATGCCCCCAACGCCTGTGGAAACCACCGACGTAGCATGATGCTCAGCGTGCGCGATTCGCTCCGAAAACTCCAAACCGACTACATCGACATCCTCTACCTCCACTGGTGGGACCACGCCACCTCCATTGAGGAGGTAATGGACTCCCTCCACATCCTCGTCGAACAGGGCAAGGTCATGTACCTCGGTGTCTCGGATACGCCTGCGTGGGTTGTTTCCGCGGCGAACACCTATGCGCGCGCGCACGGCAAGACGCCGTTCTCTATTTATCAGGGACGGTGGAATGTGATGATTCGGGACTTCGAGCGTGAGATTCTGCCCATGGCGCGGCAGTTCGGGATGGCGCTTGCACCGTGGGATGTGCTTGGTGGTGGACATTTCCAGAGTGCTAAGCAGATTGAGGAGCGGAAGAAGACGGGAGAAGGTCTGCGGAAGGTGTTTGGGAGTGAGCAGTCGGAACAGGAGAGGCTGATCTCCGAGGCGTTGGCGACTGTTGCTGCTGAGCATGGGATTGAGTCGGTTACTGCTATTGCATTGGCTTATGTGATGTGCAAGGTGCCGAATGTGTTCCCGATTGTTGGAGGTCGCAAGATTGAGCATCTGCATGATAATATCCAGGCTTTGTCGATTCGGCTTACGGATAAGCAGATTGAATTTTTGGAGGCGGCGACTACTTTTAATATTGGGTTCCCCAATAACCTCATTGGGAGCGATCCGAGTACCAATGGTGGCCAGATGAGCTTGCTAATGGGCACGTCCGGTCGTATCGATTTTGTACAGGCACCTCGGGCTGTTGGATATGAGCCTGGTAAATAGAGGGCTTTGATGTCCATCAGAAGTCTATACTGTCAGTATATAGTAGGACTGGTATAAATATTGTTCTTTTTATCCGCCATGGGGTACATCTACTTGGAGAGATTAGAGATTCATTAAAAAGCAATGGAATAGTGAAATAAGAGATAAACAAGAAATGAAGATGAGAATGGGCGTAGAAGCCAGTTTAATGCAATGTACTGTTGTCGCATGCCGTTCCACGCCGGGAAGGCCTCGAAGTAAAATGTCTCTGCAACTCCCGAAAAAAAAAATCGAGCCCCCCAATATAATGTGACATAGTGATGGGAAGTATATGGAATGGGACGTGAAAATTGCGGATGCCCGCACCGGCAGGTTGGAAACTCCTGCGGGTTGGCAAGTTGACCATCAAGATCTGAATCTTCATTTCAGCCGACAGTGTTGCCATGGGGTTGGATGAGTGAAGGGTGAGGGAGTTTTGGGTTGGGTATTTGTTTTCGGGGGTAATCGATTGTGGTAGGTCTGATGTTTGGAGTAGTACCAGGAAGTCGACCAAGCCACCTTCCAACCTCGCGGGGGAGGATGGCCGCTGTAAAGGTCACGAAAAATGAAGAGCCCCAGCAGGAACAATAAACAGTGCCATCATTCTTCAAGGAATATATGAAGGCAGCCATAGGCTAGTTCAAGTCATTTACTCCCTGGGAATTTCAAGGCCGTCGACCTTGTTAGCGACGAGCGCAATCAGAGCTGCGCCAACACCGCTGCCATCCTTGGAGATACCAATGCGGACCTTCTTGTCGCCTTCGACTCCAACTTCGGGAACTTGGCGCAAAGCTTCACGCAGGTGTCCTTCGAAGTTGGGGTAGAATTCAACAAGACTGCCATCAACACCGATGTCGACCATATCATTAGTCGCCAGCTTGTTGGTGTGCACGAGAATGGCTGCCAGTGGAACAGCGCTCAGGCGAGCGGCACGTCTTCCAATGGCGTGAACAATGATTTTCACGGCCTTGCACTCTTCAAGACTGGGGTTTTCAATCTCGAGGTGGTCCTTCAATCCGGCCTTCACATCCACCAAGTCGTCGCTGTTATCAGCCTCGACTGTACTCAACAAGCTTGTATCAAGACCCCATTGACGGAAGAGCATAGATTTTTCAGGGATGACAACCTTCGAGTCCTTGTTGGGCTTAAACAATCCCAATTCGGTGTCGTGGTGTAGAGACAGGAGCGCACGGCGCAGAATTTCGCCCAAGAACATGCCAGAAACACGCTTTTCGAACATTTGCACACCAGGGTTGTTGCTGTCGGCATCGAGCTCATCATCAAACACAGTGGTAGGGAGCACGCTCATGTGGTTATCGAAGCTACCCCACTCAGCATTGATAATCATCTCGCCTGTGGTGTCATCAAAGTGGGCGTCCTTCATGTCCTGAAGCTTGGTGATATTCTTGGTCTTTTCCACATAGGCACCATTGGTACCGGTACCGAAAATGGCACCAATGAAAGTGCCAGTCTCGCCTGGCGAGGTGTATGAACGGGCCATGAGAGTACCGACGGTGTCGTTGACCAGCGCAGCCACACGCACTGGCAGGTTCAAGTCATCAATGGCTGACTGAAGCAACGCGCAAACATCGTGGCCAACCGCATCGGGAATGTTAAAGCCCTTAGTCCAGCGGATCAGGGTTCCGCGGTTGATACCGCACTGACGCACGGGGAAACTGAAGGTAAAGCCCAGATCAAACATGTCCTCTTCATTGTTACCATTCTGTCGGCGCAGCTGGTGGGCCTCAAAGTGCTCGTTGTGGTGGATGCGAAGGAATGCCTCGATTTGGCGGGCTAGGAATAGGAAGAGATCCTTGGATGTGCCAGAGGCCATCAATTCACGGGGAATTAGGATCTTGGATTGGGTGAGGGAGAAAGTCGTATCGCCGTGCAAGAGGACCGAGCACACACGGAAGTTAGTGCCACCGAGGTCGACTGCCAAGTAAAGGCCCTATAACAAGGAGAATCAGCGGGCAATTCCCATTGTAAATAGTTCGCCTTCATACCTTTTCTGTGCCATTTGGCACCGCAGTCACGAAAGTAGGAATTTGGCTCAAGGTGGCGCCTTCTTTGGTCAAGCCCTCTTCGGACTGCCTGATATACTCGGCAACCCCGCGCTGCACTTGTTCGGCGGGGTAATCAAAATCTCGCGCAATGCGCGTGGCTTGGTCCAATAGTGAAGAAGACATGGTGGGACAAGAAATGAGAATGGCCGGGTAGAGAATTTAAGATACCGGCTGGGAGAATGGGGGAGGAATAAATAAGGAAGAAAAAAAGCGGGAGAGTGAAGAAATAAGGAACGCAAGGAACATCAAGGTGGGATGACGGAGCGGGCTCCATGAGGTCAATCTGGTACCTTGGTAATACTTTACCGGCCGTAATAATCGTCACTGTTAACGAAGTATTTATAATGTACTCCTATGATAATGGGGAATTGCCGGGTTCACCGGAGAGAGTTACTTTATTTTATTTTATTTTGTACACTTTTATTCTAATTATATTTGAAGTAGATTGAAGTAGAGATAGAGAATCAGTAAACAGTGTTTTTCAAGTATCTCTACACTGTGGTCCCATCTAAGACCGAAAACAGCTTCTGCCTGATTCGTAACCTTCTTTTTTTTTTTTCCATGACGCCATGAACAGGAGATTGAAATTTTGGCAGACTTAGACATTGTGGGGAGACTGTTATCATTGTTACTGGTCAATTCTTTCTAGTTGCATATTTCCCCCCGGCTTCACCGGTGAGCGACACAGGATAAGACTGGGGCAGGGGACGGGAATATAGAAAATGCCACGTCGGGGCGCACGGGGAAAGGTATTTCGCGCATTTCCCCAAACAAGTATACCTGCATATGCTCATTTACGCTTTGTGCACGGGGCAATTTTAACATTTCATTTTATGTCGCGCTTACAATGTACAACATAGGTACCTATACAAGATCGGGATAGATCGGCCCCATCCCGACATAATCGGCCCTAGGATGAACCCGACACGGAATCCCGAGTGTGGATGTCTGGCACCCCATGGAGATGATGAGACATGTGGCTTAGCCCTTATTAATACTTATTCCAAGGTTTCCATTGAAACTCCCTCGTCATATGTTCGCCCATATACATGTAGGCCCCGGAGATTCAATTCGCTTATAATTACTCCGGTAGAAAATATCACGACCATTGAAAGACACGACCCTTTTGCCTGAAACAAAATTTAGTATTAAGGTCCGTAGTATGGTCCGTAGTATGGATTCATCAAATATAATTAGGGTTATCAAGCTTTTAGAACTTTCCCCCATACTTTAACCTGCTTCAAGGTAATAATGACTTTTTATACTATGTAGAGCTAGCATAGTCAATATCCTTTATAAAACAGCATTTTTGTACGCTGCCTTTTCTTTCCCGTAGGCGATACCGCGATAATACTCGATGCTATGGCATGTACTTGCCTTTTCTTACCAAAAAGGGCTATAATCCATGGGGATATCATCCAAATGTTTATATAACGATAGAGTCCGAGTCCCGTGCTACCATTGATTAAATATCACATGGCGTTGAGGTGCGATGGCTGTCATAATCGTTTAGTTTTAGCAACGTCATTCATGTATTAAGGACTAGGTTAACTAAGACTAGAGCACTTTTCAAGTTCTCCCAAGGATTGCTGCTTGGTTCCGTCATATTTCTGTTTTTCAATAGGCCATGTTGTTTGGAAACCTGTATTTAGCATTTGAAGTTGATGGTGCTGAATCCATTAATATTGGCTATTTAGTGTATTACTGCTCGAATACCATAATGTCCATTGTAGTTCCAAAGTTCGTTAGAATGCATGACGACACAGGCAACTGGCGCCCCCGGACCGAGGATGACTAACTAGGGTCACATGACCTCCAACATCCTCCGAACTGAACGGGTTGTTAGCGGGCATTCCGAACCATCACTATCTTTCTATCTTCACAGGCCTCGTCCTTTTTGCCGAAAAATGGGTGCTGGAAACTCTAAGCCCGAGGCTTCGGCTGGCTCACAACATGTGTTCTCAAGGTACTGCTCTCCGACCTCAATTTCAGCTTCCGCGGCATTTGGCACTCGATGACGGAGAGAACGGGAACCACCTCCAATTGGCGCCAATTGGGAAGGGCAAATGATTCCTGCAGATCCCTAGGAGCTCTCAAGATACAGTCCCCATTTGCGACCCCGCGGAGCTAATCCAAAACATCCTACAACAAACGCTAACATAACCATGCACAGCAACTCACCCGTCCAATTCTCCTCCAACCTAGTCGATGCACTCCAATCGACCTCAGAGGTGAGCACAACACTCCTATAAACAAACCCACAGCTTGACACCTAAGCTCACAATCCAACCAAACAGACCGACTCCACCCGCGCCAAAGCCCTGGAATTGGAGATCCAAAACCGCGTCGCGCAGGAACTGAAGCGCCTCCGCGAACGCGAGCAGCAAACCCTCGCCGAGATTGAGAAGCGCATCTCCGAGTCCAAAGATACCTCCCTGCCCGTCACAGCAGCGACCGCGCCCCTCGCCCCCTCCACCTCGGGCTACCCAGCCGGCTCACTGAACCTGGACGCCCCGCGGATCCCCTTCGCCGGCCGCCACCACGACCCCGTGCCTGCCGCCCCCGCGCCGCAGGAGCCCGTTGCCGCCGCACAGCCCGTCCCCAAGCGCGATATCTCGCGCGACTCTGTAGCTGCCGAGATTGAGCAGCTGCGCAGCAAGCTTGATGGACGGAGGAAGCTTGTGGAGCTCGATGATGGCGTTGCTAAGGCCCGCGCGGATGTTACTAGCTGTTTGCAGTTGAATGACCGTCGGCCGCTGAACTGCTGGGAGGAGGTTGATGCTTTCAAGCGTGAGGTTGCGCGTATGGAGGCTGCTTTCGTGGATCGTATTGTGGGTTAGATTGGGAATATAGCGGCTTCATGTGAAGTGTCTACGTTTTATGGGACGTGATTTTGGGCTGGGAGCTGCTGTACTGTATGTATAGAATGTGCATTTTCTTTGTTCCATTTGTTTTCATCTAAAATAGGATAGAGTTAATCCATGGATGAAAGTAGATCTATGTCGTTTAGCCCTTGGGAGGGCTATTATTTTGCTAGTAGAAAGATATACTAAGTATCAAGTGACTGGAGCAGATGGGGCTCAAGACTACAATTGGACATCTCCACTGCTGAGCACGGTTCATTGAATTTCATATCATACAAACTCCCACATCCCTAAGCGGCCACTCTTCTCTCCCGATGACCGAATAATACACATTCTTCTCTCAGAAGGCTTGACATCGGGAGCTAATACTTTAGAAAGTTGGATAGACCCAATGCCAGTCCCTTTGCCTTCGGAAAGATTATAGTTTCCTGTAGTGACAAAACCAATCAGGTCATCTTCGGTGGGCACGTCCAATGGCTCAGAGTCAAATTCTTCGTCAACAGACGAGATGAGAGCCTTCGCAAGGAGACGCCTAGCCTCTTCAGATTCGGGCGCAGGGTTTCCTCCCTTTGAGAGTTTCGGCTGACTAGGCTTGTTGGCCCTTGCCGAGCCAAGATCAAGCCATTTCTGGCGTAGAGTCGGGTCTGTAGGAAGTCGGTAGATTCTTGCGCGGGGTGTGGGTGTGCCTCGTGTGGTGAGGGAAAGATAGACCGTGGCAAGGGTGGAGACATCAACGGATTTTTTGTCGAGCTTACTTAGATTTTGGTAAGTGTCGACCGGAGGAAGACGAACATTGTGAATATTGAGTGGTGGTATGATGGGAGTAGAGGGCTCGTTTTTCTCAGCCTCCTTGGATTCAGTTGGCTTTTTAACCGAGCTGCCATCGGCAGTTTCCGTCGAAGCATCGTCCTGTTTCGGCCCTTGAAGAAGCCTTTCCCAGTCACAGGCCCACCCGTGGCCTATCTCACCCCTTGGACGACCATCTCCCAACGAAATGTTATCGAACTCGGGGCGACGCCCCTTAGGACGGCGCTCCCAATCACGTCGAGCTTTCTCGGTCTCGCGCTGGCCCCATTCCCAGCCAGCTCGTGTTCCTGGGAAATCTCCAGGGAACCAAGGCTGGCCCGCTTCGAAAGCAAGTTGTTGCTGCTGCTTCAAACCGCCAAGCAATGGGTTTCCTCCGCTGGATAGTGGGTAGAACATGATTGAATACCAGACCGGGACAACACATTTCCAGGGTAGTAATACAGTCCAGGACCCCGGGGCATTGCTGCGGTTGGCCCGGGCCTGTGGCTTGTTTGCGAGTATCATGATCGGGATTTGAGGGTCTGATGGTTGGGATGGTGGATATTCTCCAGGGCCAGAAAGGGTGCGGCGCCGGTTGATAGCCTTCTGGCTTGGGAGCTGACGGGCCGCTGTTAACCGGGCGGATCGGTCGAACAGCTTAGAGGGCCCTTGTGTTTTGTCCAGATGCCATGTAGAAAGTAAGATAGCAAGGTCATTCATGTGGGATTCGTTGTTGGGGACGTGAAGTGTGCGTGGCGGGAAGTGCAGGCGAGGATCAGAAATAGCAAAAGAGAGCAGGGCATTATGCGGTAGTGAGGATGGGTTTGATACCCCAAGAAGAGATGGCCAGACAGCTTCCGGGCTCTGTGGTGATGGAGCGGTACCGTCTGGCCCAAGAATCGGTTTCAATGTTGCCAACAAGGCCTCGGTAGACCCTGGCCCTGTGATTTCAATGCTACCAATTTCGAACCTCAGGTCCTCAACCATGACAGGTGGATTTTGCGACTTGGATACCTTAAGAACATCCGTCCACAGCTGGAGGAACGCGGAAGGATGGACTCTAATCCAGAGTTTTCGGTGATCTTTCTTGGATGACTTGGGCTGTGGTTCCCCGGCATCAACCATCTCAACATCTTCTTGCTTCGCACACCATATTAATGTCACTGGTGCAGTTGGACGTTTCGGATGGTCTTTTTCAAAAGTCCAGGCCTGTAGAGACCGAGTCCCAGCTCTCCATTTCTTCCCCTTGGTGCCCCATGCATTGTCCCCGTCGATACCCACTGCCGTTAGGACAGCCTGGATAGCTGGCTCGGTTCCTTCTAACTGGATGGTAGACATATAGCTCATATCCCACGCCACAGCACCCCGGGCGCCTCGAGCCCGGTGCGTAGGTCGATAGCATTTCTGGGTGGGGGCCAAAGGAACAGCAAAGCGCCAAATCGGATCCTTGGTCGTGGCCATATGAGCTCGCTTTGCATGATACAAATGAGTAGGTAGCCATGTCTTGCATTGCTGGCGCTTGCGATACTTGGGCTCAGCCGGAATAGGCCTCGATAGCTTATTCTTCTTGATCTTAGGAACTCGTGGTGCAATATCGAAGGCATGACTTCCCTCCTTTTCCAAGGAAGTTTGGTTCTCTTGGTCCCGCTTCAATTTCGCGGCCGCCCGTCGGGCCTTGGTTTTTGAGTTAAGAGCCTGTAGCCGGCGAGCGGTATCGAGTCGAATGCGCATTATCTGGGATGGCTTGCGTCTGCGCGCCGTAACAGTAGGTGTATTATCCTCGGCCATCTAACATGGTTGAAATAGTGGGTTAGTTAATGGCTGGCAATTCGTAGATCATTGTCAATGAATACCTCGCGCTTGGCTCGAGCCCTCAACCTCCGTGGTACCCGCTTCACATTGTGACTCGCCGTCCGCCGCCGGAGGGTGCGGGGAACTTTTTGGAAGGCGCGTGTGGTGAGAGCACTTCTCGACCGCTTCATTCCCTCCTCCAGCGCCTGAATCTCAAATGCCCGAGCTGCAGAGTAGGCGGCGACATCGAGCTCGCCCGTTGCGGAGAGGGCAGCGTCGGCCGACTGCACAGCCAAGGTGCGCGCATCGAAAGTTTTGGCGCGTTTGCGAGATGCTCCGGCTGGGCCATGAGGTCCTGGAGCAAAAGGTTTCCGCTTGGCGGAAGGGTTGGAAGCCATGGCTGCTGATTGAATTTGTGTCGATGTTTTTGCGAGTGAAAAAGTTCCCGGGCTTGGCGCGTCATGATCGGCGGGCCCAGGATGATCTTACTGCTCTTTTACACTCACAATATGAGAACCTGAATCGATGCCGAAAATGACTGCTTTTGAAGCTAAAAACGGCTGCCTTTTCTTTAATTTTCATGTCCCTTGACTACAGCTCTGTAACACCTTCTGCACTAACTATTTACGTTATCTTTTCCACAACGGTTTCGTCAAAAACTTGACCATGTATAATGTATGGCGGGAAAAGGTCAGTTAATTCCTTTTTTTCAGCTATCAAAGCGATATATTTGTGTTTATATGCATTCAATAAGATGGGGGTCCTATGCTGGAAAGCGCAAATTCCAAGTCAACAAAGTGCACGAGTAATATGAAACATACTTCAAGTCGTTGCATATTCGTGTCAGGGCTTTGCTTTATTTAAACAAGATGGACACATTCATTTTGCCTTCAGCTCCAGGAAACACAATGTATATGTTATTTTCATATGAACATGACAATACGGGGTACAATGAACATCAGAAAATAATGCAGTTGTGCAATGCAATCTCAGAAAAACTACGCGAAAGCTCTGAGAGAGACCACTTCTCTCTATCACTGGAGGGATACTAAGCTTGCTGCATCAGCATACGATTTACAATCTTGAATGGTTGTTATTTGACAGTCTAGCAAATTTCCAAATTTGCTCCAGTTACCACCACAAACTCCCATGATCACTAGGAATGAGCAATAACAGGGACAAGATGGGTGTTGAAATAGCACATAGCTATGCGGCTAGGCACTCTAGATATGATGGCTTTTAAGGTTTGAAATGAGGGTGAGTATGCGCAGACTGTTTACCAGCAGACGATGATGCTTCTAATTGTGCTTGGAATGCATTGCTGGGTATATCATGCCGGATCACCCCTCACTTCACGCCGAAATTAAGAGGAGAGGCTCAGAGGCGCGAGTGGCTCATTCCCAGTCAGTCCCAGATTTTCCAAAAGGGCAGCCCGATCCTCCAGAAATGCTTTGTATGGCGCTTTCGGAATAGCCCTATCTTCATCCTCCCATATTTGATATCCAACCTCCTCCCAGACTTGAACTTGACGGGTAAAATTTGGGCTCGGTTTGACTCTCAGTTTAGGCTGTTTGGATTTGACAAAATTTAATGCGTCCAATTGCTGAATACGGAGTTTGCGCATAAGATAGGCGATAATGATCGTTGGCGAGCGTGAAACGCCAAGATCACAGTGGATTAGTATCGCCTCCGAAGGTGCACCGCATAGCTTATCAGTAGTATTGTGGTCGATAGGCAAGGAGGACAATGAGGAAAAATCAGGAGATGCCATTTGGTCGATAAAGTCGCAAATGTCGCTCATATGACCAAGAAGATTTTGCGTTGACGAGTCTGCACTGTGAACCCATTTGTGACAATGTTTTGGAATGCCTACATCTCCTGGAGTTTTGTTTTACGTTGCCCACCGACCAGTAGTAAGAGAGACAATTGCCTTGATATGATTTTGTTGAAGCATGTCCCGATTGAATGATGCCCTAACATTCCCAAGAAAGAGACCAGGGACGATCTGCCTCATCCGGACCTTAGATGCTATCTCCCACTTGCTGTTACCTCAGTGGTGTTCATTAATTTTTCACTCGTTATAGTTTGCTGCTTTTCTTCTTCAAAGGAAGACAGATGGTGATACATAGTACCTATAACATGGATGGATTGAGAGATTCTGGGGTTAGAGTGGAGATGACTAGTGATTGTTTGGGTTAGCGTGGATCCACCTGGGTGGACCCTTTGATTAGTCAGAAGGCTATTTTCCCCCTATTCAGTTGCTCCAATCTGCTTCTTTCAACTACCTAGGTATGCACCTTGGCTTTTATATCTAAATTCCCAAATAATCAATCAAGCTAATATTTATTGGATTCTCCTCTTCCTTTACGTAGGATAAGGGGGAAGATAGTACTAAGCTAACTATCGATTGCACTTTGATCAACTGCTAAACCCCCAACTTCTTGTGAAACCCTTGTGTCAACTAACTCCCCAATCAAAGCGGGCTACTGGATTTCATATCAGGGATAGAGAGGTACCTAAGTGCATCAGCTTACGTTATGGGGTGTGAGGCTATTGTTTTTCCATACCGGAGAATTTAACCGCCTCCGCCGCAGAGGCTTGTTCTCCACAAATTTGCATTGTAGTTAATCCAGTAGGGTCGATTCCATTCTTATTCACTGGAAATTGATCTTTCCACTGACAATTTTCTTGGATTCATAAATAGCTGTTATGCTGATGAGTTCTACTGTGATGCTATGTTCGTGGCTAGAGAGATAGGTGTTCGTAGAAGTGGGACAGATTCTTGTCTGGCAAGTTGCACAGCATTGAGATAGGCCAACAATCTACCTAGTACGGATTCCAACAAAACATATTCTTCCCCGGCCCTCCAGCTCATTGTCAATTGCCATCACCTCGAACGCCTCCACACACTCACCCAATCCATGCCTCTCCCCATCGCATGCGACTGCTCAGCCTTCCAATGACCGACTCTTTGAAACCCATAAGCAGGTTCAAGCTGCCCCTCCTCAGTATTTATTGGCGATCCTTCGACGTCATACGGAATTTCCTGTCCTGGGTGACTCAAGTGCGCCAAATAGACGGATGAGGGCGAGGCATAAGGGGGCCCACCGAGGGACAGCTTTTTCTGCGTCGGGAATTCAACACAGACGATTACACTTTCCTGGTGCATAGAAAGGAGATCCCAATACCGGAGAGCCCAGGAGGGACGAAGGTCAGGGCTGAGCGCACAGAAGAACTGCCCCTGCGATGTCAGTCACATATCATATATACGAGAGGTCACAATGAAGTTATTTTCCCCACCCAGGTTATAGAGCCTGCCGACGCCAACTTCCACGCGAAAAAGTCTCATGTACTAACATCACGACTTGAAGGTGGACAGATAAATCGGGCGAGGGAAGCCACTTACGGTGTAGTCGTAAATGAACTCGAATCCGTCAACCCCGTCCATACATGCAATCCAATCGTTATTAAAAAAGTCGCCTACCATGAACTGCACCTTCCCGGGTCCAGCTTCCTGGTCCCGAATAGGATAATCAGCCAGATGCTCCTCGGCCCAAGTTTTAGCCTCCTCAACTGCCTTAGCTGACACCTCAAGGCCATACGCATCGTAACCTAGGCTAGACAAGAGGAGTACGTCATACCCGCGTCCACAGCCTGGCACCAACGCTCGCTTCCGCCGGCGCTCCCCCTTTTCGTCATCTTGAATAAAGACAGAGGAACCAATGAGATCCTGGCGGTTCTGCATGACATGCACAAGGGCCGGATTGGGAAGGCCCTGATCCCAAGGAAGGAAGTCGCCCGCATCCCATAGAGCTGCCCATCGATCATTTGCTGGAGGGCCATCGCCACTGAAATGCCTCAGAAGGCGCGAAATCTCCTCCTGGTTGAGAGGCTTTCCCGATTCGGCCATATTGATGGATATATGTGTTTGTAAAAGGAGTTGGACAGGGTTTTCTGAAGCTGATGTCTTGTTCAGGATTCGTCGCTTTAGACTCTTCTTCTGTTAGATGACGGGCTAACTAGGTCAATTTATATCTAAAAAGCTTTCTTGATGATTGTAGGTGACTTTATCTCAACGCATGTCGAATCCTCAACGAACGCCATCTAGGCGAATGGACTCTCTTCCCGTCTGGTCCCCGATGATAGCGTTCTACGAAAATCGTCATATGTTCCCGAGCAAGATTCCAATCTTGTCGATGTGCATCAATCTTTGGCCTGTATCACACCCGAGCAGGATTTCAATCTCGTCAATTCCCATCAAACGTGGTCATATACCAAAACTATCCTCACGTGCAGACCAGTCATAATATCCACTCGGTGTCTATGACGATGGAGAAACATCATTGGAATTTTCTTGAGGCTGTAATGGTGCCCAGGTCTCTGCAACGGAACAAATCCAGAGTATCCATGACAGACTACACGCGTTGTTCCCTCTAGCTCGAGAACACTGGAAAGGAAAGGATTGTCCTCATCTGCCCAAGTACGCGAAAGTGTCCCCCGGGACCATCTCAGGGCCATCTCATCATCGGAAATGGTATATATAGTCTGTAGAAGGTAAGTAAAGGAACGTGTAATTTGGAAGATCAAGCTAATATACTCAACCCGGTTGGATTGTCGTTAGACTGATTGAGCAAGATCTGTTATAGACGCTACCGCTATACATCCATCTAATCATTAGACATTTCATCTCGGATAAAGTCATGGATAGAGAGACTAGACATGATGTCTACAGCGCTGAAACAATGCGGGAGACTGAATACCCTATGCTCAAAGGTGAATAATAGTGGTGTATTTAGCTAATGCGAGAACACTCTATAACCAATTTATCTAGGGGAGACATATCTCGACCATACCGGTACGACTCTCTACGCACAATCCGCTCTCAAAAGCTTCATCGACGAAATGTCCGTCAGCCTCCTTGGAAATCCACACTCAGATTCGCGGTCGTCGCAACTCTCAACAAAGAAGGTCGAAGAGGTTCGAAAACGGACATTGGAGTTTTTCAACGCCGACCCGGAGCATTTTGATTTAGTTTTTGTTATGAATGCTACTGCGGCGATTAAACTCGTTCTCGACGCATTAAAGGATGTACCCGTGTCCCAGGGCCCAGAGAAGACCCCCCGGGGGTCGGGGCTCTGGCTCGGATACCATGTTGAGTCCCATACAAGCATTGTGGGTATGCGCGAACTGGCGAATGCAGGACAGCATTGCTTCGTCTCAGATGATGAAGTCGAGTCCTGGCTCAGATCTGAGCCTCCCAAGGACAAGTCTGGTGGATGTCCAGGGCAAAAGTCGGAAACCTTCCAAGTGGGTTTATTCGCGTACCCAGGGCAGTCAAATATGACTGGACGCCGACTGCCTCTTCACTGGCCGGAGGTCCTACGCCAATCAGAATATGGCTCCTGCCAGCGGGTGTTCAGTCTTTTGGATGCCGCAGCTTTGGCACCGACCATGTCACTAGACTGCTTCAGAGATCCGGAGAAAGCCCCCGACTTCACAGCCGTCAGCTTCTACAAGATCTTCGGCTTTCCCGATCTAGGAGGGTTGATCGTGCGCAAGAAATCCGCACATGTGCTGCTGCAGCGTTCCTATTTCGGTGGCGGCACCGTTGAGATGGTCACCTGCTCCGACCAGCCGTGGCATTCTCGGAAGGTAACCTGCATCCATGAGGCGCTCGAGGATGGCACGGTGCCATTTCATAATATCATTGCTCTCGGGTGTGCTCTTACTACACATGAGCAGCTGTATATATCCCAGGAGCATGTGTCTTGCCATACAACCCGCCTCACTGCACGCCTCTACGAGCTCCTCTCTTCTATGCGCCACCCGAACGGCGTGAAAGTATGCGAGATTTATAAAGATCATTCTGCCACATATGGCGACAGTAAAACTCAAGGTGGTATCATCGCATTCAACATCCGCTCTGATGAAGGCCGGTGGCTAAGCCTCTCTCATATCGAGAAGGCAGCTAATGAGCATCGAATCCATCTTCGAACGGGCACCGTCTGCAACCCGGGGGGTCTAGCAAAGATACTAAACCTGGAGCAGTGGGAGTTGTTTCAGAACTACACGGCCGGTGTTCGATGCGGATGTCGCAGCGTGCTCATTGGATATAAGCCTTCGGGTATAATTAGAGTCAGCTTGGGCGCCATGAGTACTATAAGCGACGTCAAGATATTCGTGAGGTTTATCCGCGACCTCTTTGCAGCTGGACCTCTTCCTCTGCTTACACCCGCGCCTCTTCCCTCGCCGCAGAGCCTTCGAGTGCATACTCTGATGGTTTACCCAATCGAGGGCTGCGCCGCATATACCGTGCCAGAGAACAAACCCTGGCAGGTCAATTCGACCGGTCTGCAGTGGGACCGCCAATGGTGTCTAGTCAACTTGCGAACCGGATCAATCGTCGATAAGAAGGAGGCTCCGCGCATATTGCTTATTGAGCCTGAGATTGACTTCGAAAATGGGATTCTGCGGATCAGTGTCCACCACTCACTGCAGCAAAGCCACCCTAAACTGCAAGGCACTATGGAAGTTCCACTGTTCCATCCCAGTGAAAGGAAGGCCCGCAAAAAGGTGGACAGCTGTAAATATTGGAGCACTGTCATTCGGGAGGTCAGGCATCCATCCTACAACAACGACCCTCAGCATGTTCACATCTACCAATCGTCCGATCTCGCTACCTTTTTGACAAACGCCCTTGCCTTTCCCTGTACGCTTGCAAGACCTCTTCATCCGGAATGTCTAACGGAATGCCCTTCGGAGCGACCCTCTATCAAACATTTGCCGGAGGTGACAGTCTGTTCCAGCCAGGATCTCACGATTGATCAATACCCGATGCCATTCCCACATAAAGAGGAGAGTGGCCAATCCCGACCAAAGGCTATAGCTTTGATGGAGATCCTGCGGGTCAATGCGCTTATGTATTCCAATCTAGCGTCTGGAAAGCCGCAATGGTACCTACTGCGTATTGGACGGAGGGATCTAGATGGAAATAACAAGACGCGTGTCATCCATTACGGGAGTATGAAGGCAATTGAAGTAACCGCGGAGCGACAAGGGCCCGAGATATTTGAGGCGACGAGCCCCGTGGTCAAGATCTTGTGGAGTGAAAATAGTGGTAGTGATGATGATGCGAGTGTTATGGACCCACTGGATAGAATGCTGCCAGTTCAAACTGGTCAGATTATTCAGGTCTAGGTAGCTAGCGCGGCAAAGTGAGAATAGCGGAAGTTCATCCTGCTGATTATGTATATAACCGATATACCAACATGCGACCCTTGGAATGGGACCATTTATCGACTTTGATAACCGTGCATTAAGATATTGCAACTGGCCAATGGACTGATAAACTACTCCGTACATGTCTCTCTGCCCTTGGGGGCTTTCGACTGATCGGCTAATATTTCGCGCTAAAGCATATAGTTTCCAATAGCGTAAAGCCCCATTACATCAAAACAAAGAATCCCTGTTGCTTCTATGGAGCATTGGATTTATTCGACGAGATCTGTCCATTTAGGATACAGGGTCGAAATATCAGATCACAATAAGATAGATCTAGATCGCGATCGACAATCAAAAATACGGCTGATCTCCCTACACGTGCAGTCCAGAAATATCTGATACTCTTCGGAGCTCCGGTTTGTTGTAGCCCGAGGTCACCCCTTACAAAAGAATGGATCTGGATTCTTTCCAAGGTATAGGTCATTCTGTGGGAGGATGGATGTATCTCATCATGAATATGTATACTGTGTTCTCTGACCTATAAATGTGTAACTTCCCAAATGCCCATTATTACTTATTTTACCTAAATTTATTATTTCGAACATGACAAAAATACCCAAGCTTATTACTGTCATTGGAGCGACGGGCATCCAGGGAGGCTCAGTCATTGCTGCTGCCCTAAAGTCCGGTGACTGGAAGACCCGTGGAGTTACTCGCAATGTCAACAGTGAAGCATCTAAGGCACTGGCTTCGAAAGGGGTCGAGATGGTGATTGCTGATTGGAATGATGAATGCAGCTTAGTGAAGGCATTTGAGGTAAGCCTAATGAAACGCTTATAATACAATTAGCTAATTGGGGAAAGGGTTCATATGCGATTTATGCCTTGACTGATTACTGGGCTGGTTTTATGACACAGAGTGTTGAAGAACTGATTGAAATTGAAGCTAGACAAGGCATCAACCTTGCTAAGGCAGCGTCTCAAACTTCCTCTCTCAAGCACTTCGTATGGAGTACTGTTCCCGACAATGTGAAGATATCAAATGGAAAACATTCGATACCTCACTTTGAGGGAAAACTCAAGGTCGATGAATTCATCAAACAAGACAAAGACCTACTCAGCAAAACCACTTTCCTCTGGGTTGGATATTATGGGACAAACATCGTTTTGCCTATGATTGTGCCAAATCTTCTCGTGGGTCTTCAGCGTCCAACCTCAACCTAGAAATCATTGTACTAATATATACAGAAAACGTGCGGAAAATATGTTCAATTTTTCCCAGTTTCAGACGACACACCTATCACAACAGTGGGAGACCCCAGGGTCAACACTGGAATCTACGCACTAGCCATCTTCAACCAACCCGAGCTTACAGTTGGCAGAGTTGTTCTAGCGCAGTCTGAGACCCAAACAACCCGTGAAATCATCGATCTGTGGTCACAGGTTACAGGAAAGCCTGCTGACTATATTCAAATTCCACTAGATCAGTATGATAGTCTATGGCCGAAGTGGGGACGAGAGGTTGGTCTTATGTTGCAATTCTGGGAGACAGCTCGTGAGAAGAGCTGGACGGCCGATGAACCCGTTCTGACAAAAGAAGATTTGAAAATATCTGGTTTGATGGGAATGAAGGAGGTTTTCAGTTCGCTTGACTGGTCTTGAATTTGATACATTATTTTTTTACATTAAATTATTTCATTTTAAGTTCGGAGATTACTGGAGCTAATATCCTAGTTAAATATGCCAACCGTCCAATAATACTAGCAACTTCTCTTAGTTGCCCTGTTTCAGGATAATAAGCTACAACAATAAATGCGGTCAGACAAAATGCCAACAACATGGTTCGATGCATATTCGACCTAATTAGGCCACGCTAAGACACATAAACTTCCAAGGTTGTTGTTTCATAAATTACAAATCTCTTCAATATCCTTGTAAATTAGAGGTGAAACATATCTCAGCGTGAACGAGCAAAACATTCATAGATCACAAAAGTCAATGTTTATCTGGCTTTGCCTTTGTATAGGGTATCTCTATAATATATATGTCCCTATTCATATGGCGATATTTCTCTATACGAGGTGCCAAGAGGTTTCCCGTGTGCACGAGCCTGTGCTGAGCCTCAACCAGAGGCTATCGATCCGAGAACCCGGAATCTCCTTAAGATGTCATGTCGGAGGAAACTATTTTTGAATGCTTGCGCCACAGTATATAACATGTAGTGCTCCCGACTTAATAGAAAAGTCTATAGTTAAGTGTTCTGATGGGAAATAATGCTGCCAAGTGTGGAGTATATAGACAGATCATACTGTGCGTAGCTCCAATCATAAACTAGAACCCTTGCCAAGGAACGAGGCAGACTCGGGGTTAAAGGTGGAGAATAAGGAGATTGTCGAGGTGTTGACTTTTCATATAAGCAAGAGTTTCGCAGTCCAAACATTGGATTTATTTCCCAGATTTATTCGACATGTTTCTCTGCGCGGTAGGGCTTCTTGCCCTTTCGTTGCTTCAATTAGTACATGGTATCAATTTCTGGGGCCCAGCACCGACACCAACACCCACCTTACCAGATGCACCGCGCCCAGATGCCCCCGAGCCAACGTCGGGCGCGGATATCCGACAATGGGGGATTATGCGACGGGACGATGACTTGGTTACCTCGTCATATCAGGCTGATAATGTGTGTGGATGGGTTGATGCTAATCTTGGAACTGCTTGTGAGTTCCTGCTCTCTGAGTCGATTTGAAACACTCCCCGACCAAACGTTAACGATATTTGATTAGCTCGTGTCACATGCTCGCCGGGTTTGACCTGCGCACACCATGCATCTAACTCCAACTGGCCGGGCATGATAGGGTGTTGCCAAAAATTGAATTGCGGCTTCGACAAAACCTGCTACGGAGATGCTGAGGCTTCTAAATTGGGTAAAACCTCCGACTACTTTACCAAACTTTGCACAATACTTGGTGCTGCAGAATGTATCACCTATAATTACGGAGACCTCAACGCCAGGCACTATGCATGTGGACGAACCAGCACCATTAAGGACATGTACACATTTGCGATTGGTGCTGCGTCCAGTGGAGCTGCCACCGTTCAATACGATCATAGCCTAAGCACGGTCGGCGATGCCGTAGTGAGCAGCTATGTTTCTCGGTTTTCATCACCTCCACACTCCCAGTCAGGAGACCCCACCACGACTAGCAATAGCGCGAGTAGCAGTAGCGAGCCATCTATCGCCCCACCTACACCCGAACCAAGCTCTCCACCCTTGGAGACCGCGACACCGAACTCATCCACCCCAGCTGGTGCAATTGCTGGTGGTGTTGTTGGCGGCGTGGCAGGTGGCGCAGCAATCGCACTTGCGGGTGTCTTTATCTACAGGAGAAGGAAGAGGAGGAACCAGCGGAACCAACCCGAGGTTGGTAATGGTTCTGAATACGGAAGTGGAGGCCCCCAAAGCATGTCGGGCAGCCAGCCGAGTTATTTGACCGTGGGAATGCAGTCGCCGTCAGAAATGGAATCTCGCCCATCGTCGTATCAGATCCCCCCACCCCAGCACACCGCGTCCACAAACATGGCACACGAGATGCAAGGTGATACCCATCATGTGGTAGAAGCCGACTCTAACTACGCTTCTCACTCGAAGGATAATGCAGCCGAGCTGCCGGCCGAGTCCAGGGATATCGCGAGGCCGTGAGGGAACACCATGAACAGTCGCCTCATTTAGAGAGGCATTCCACCTTTAATATTCTTACGAATTCTTGATTTTTCCGGTCTCTCGTGTGCCCTACTTGTAGACCCGGTGTCCTGGGCTTTGGAGATTTGATATCTTCACCCCTACCCCCCGCGGGGGGCTGAACGAATGCATTCGCGCACTTTTGCTTGTTGACGGATGGAATATCTCCCGCCTTCTAATTCTGATTGGCGTTGCCATATTTATGGCCATGATAGCACGGCAAGCGAAACTGCGGTTGTATATATAATATTTATATTAATTTATAACGAAACATCGATCCTGGTTTGACAGCGGGAAGCCAGGTATGCCTTTGAAATGATAGCGGCTGTGATCGTTACTTTAACTCTGCTTTTAGCGTTATTCTCTAAAGGCTCATGATTTACCCATGATCTAGATCAAGTTATCTTGAACGGGTGCGCATGAAGAAATTGCCGGGCTTTAATGCTATGAGAATTTTGCTCTAATTGTTTCAAGGGTACAATAAGCACACCGTACGAACAAGACAGTTAGAGTATGCTGCTCACGATTTCCTGTTACGAGCAAGGCTTGGAGCTTTGAAAGTGTGAATGACGGAGTATTAGGGTGCTAAACCCAAAAAGGTAAAACTAACCATGAAAGGCAACTCACAGCCCTGGAGGTCTGCCGCTTACTATTGAGATCTACTTTCAATATTTCCAATCACACTTTTTATACATTCTTATAACTCATACACCCTCCACAACGAACAAATACTTCACATAAACCGCAATTGGAATATGTCCTCACATTACCACAGCGACATGGTCTGTCATATACTTCTGGATATCGCCCAAGAAACAGGCGGCCAAAAGGGAGACGGCACCGAATGCAATGCTGACATAGTAAACCCATTTATATGCCTCAGCAAACGCAATCTGGCCAGCCCCCACAACCATCTTATATGCAGCCTCATTGCCAGCAATACCAGGAATCGTGTGCAGCTCGTGCAGCAACGAGGCACCTGTCATCTCAATTGCTCCGCGAATCAGGGTGGGGTCGGTGATGTTGAGTTTTGTCATCATCACACCACCAACGTAGTGCGTTGCGGCGGGGACAAACTTAGAGTGGAAGACATTGTAGTAAATGGTATAGCCGATACCACCGCCTACCACGCGAATGGAGAGGGTGAGTGCAGAGATAGTGGCAATTAGATCCTAGGAAAAGCATATGTCAGTTGTCAACCTTTTTCCTTAAAGCAAAAGAAACATACATCCGGGCAAATGATTGTGGTAATAATAGAGGCTGGCACCACAATACCGCCAATTCCAAGGCCGGCAACGATAAGAATTCCCCAAAGCTGATACATGTTGTCGGTGCGGCCGATAGCCATAGCTCCGCAACCTGTTTTAGGGAAACAGATTAGCTTTGTTAGGGACTTTTAGACCTATCAAGAAAACTCACCTGCAGTCATCAGAACACTACTGGCGATCAAGAGCTCCTTGTTATGCCCACGAAGAACACTCAGCAGCGCAAGCACAATACATGCTCCCGCCATAATTCCAAATCCAATAGGGAGACTGCGAACACCCACATCCACTGGATCATGGCCGTAGACATTGAATGATTCGGTGGGCCAGAACATAAGCACGGAGAAGAAGTTTGCACCGGAGATGAAAGTAATCACGAGAGTAAGACCCAGAATTCGAGGCTCTTGCTTGAGGCGAGATGGGAAAATGGGGAATTTGGCTCCGTAGATTTCCCAGAAAGCAAAGGCCACAAGAAGAAGGAAGCCAATGATTAGTGGTGCCAGGACATGGGCAGATGTCCATGGATACTAAATGAATATGTCAGTAAGAGCCGTAGCATTGCACAGAATATCTCCAAGCATACCATATATCCACCCCATTGCAAGCCAGCCAAGAATACAATCAGACCAGTGATGCTGAGGAAGCCTCCAACAAAGTCGATCCGTCCAATGATCTCCTTTCGGCTCAAACCAGTTGAGTTGACTCGTGGCGGAGGGAAGTAGAACAAAACTGTGATCAACAGACCAAAGGCGCTCCATGCAGCGCAGAATGCACCGACGTAGCGCCAATGGCTGTGGTATGCGATAAGCTGGGCCCATAGCACGGATGGGCAGAAGGGTAGGATCGTGAAGATAAGGACCGCCACGTAGACTCCTCTCTTTCTAGTCGGGGCCATCTCGGAGGTTGCAGCCAGTGCTGTCAGTTCATTGACACCGGCACCGGCACCAGCGATAGCCATACCCGCTGTGACCATGTCAGCGAATGTCTCCTTCGATGTCTGGAGAAATACAAACCGATGAAGTTGTTCATTGAGTGAACTGTGCTGCAGATGATCATTCCAATTACTATCAGGGATGCGCCAATAATAGCAACAGGGCGACGTCCGATTAGATCTGATAGAGATCCAACAAAAGGGCATACACCGGCAAGGCCGAGCAGGTTTGCAAGAACCTGAGCAGAAGCTGGTTAGTCGATAACCCTATACTTCAATGTGTATACACTCACAAACCAGACCCATCGGTCTGCTCCACCAATGTCGCCATAGATGTAGGGAGGAATGCCGCCTGTTGAAAAGATATCAGAACTATATCATATGTGTTATGTTGTTTTTGACATACCAAACAAGTAGACTGGGATCTGACTTCCAGTCCACAAGAAAGCCATGGCAGTAAAGCTCATGAAGCGACGGAAGGTCATCTTTTAATGGTCAGTGTTGTTCGCAACCTCAAGTTGAACAGCCAAATCCTACCGGGATATCCTTCTCAGACTCATTCATAGCTTCCTCTGATCCCAGTCCATTCATTCCCTGGTGACTATGCTGTGAAGTGTCACTATTTTCGTGATGTTGCACCACGGCCTTCTCGTCGATCGGCCGACTCGACTCAAGGGTTGAATCCGCCATGATGGGTTTGAGCCAAGGGCAGCACAATTTTAAACAAAAGAAGTACAAGGGAGGGGTAGGATAAGCAAAGAGTAGAAATCCGAGGAAATTGGCGCCCTATTGGACTCAAGCAAGGGATGATTCGACTTTGACTAGAATGCTGATATTGAAAATGAAATCTAGAGCAAGGAAGGACAGTATATAAGAGTGAGAATATACAAGCTCATGTCTGTTAGATGGAGTAACCGGCCAGTTAATGCTTAAGATCCAGAAAATACCGAGGCAGCTTGGAGATGCGCTAGAGAAATGCGGGGGAGAAAACGTGGAGGATTCGGGGGTCAATGCCAGAATTGGTATCAGCCCCGACATAGGAGATCCTTTGAATTTAATAAGCTTATTAAACGTACGGTATAAGGCTGATCGTATCTGTTAAAAGTCATCAGATACCGCATTTCTATACAATAGTTCATATATGAATATATGTCTATCTTGCCTTTGCTTCCTACTTTCGCGTTAACTCCAACAGGGGTCGCCGATGCCGAGTGTACTACAGTGACGGAGTCACACGATCGAAGAAAAGCCATCCCGTATTCGATAGATACCAAGCCATCTGAGTAAAGGGTTATTTCCACATTTCAGAAATATTCCCCAACCATGCTCAGTTTGAGTGTCTTGGGAACAACGAAAAGTCCCGTTGCTTCAACACATAGTTGGCCTGCCATGTCACGGACCTCACACTTGGCGTATGCTTTGGTATCCGTGCTCCTTTCCTGATCGAGCGTTGTATGCAGGGTATAGAAATTGTCCGAGGAGACAGGCGCCCGGTAGTTGAGCTCAAGGTTCGCAGTGACCCCTGTTCGCTCTGGGAAATGCCGAATAGCTATGCGCCCCATATTCTCATCGACCACAGTGCCAAGCGCGCCTCCGTGGACCATGGTTGGCCAGCCTTCGAGGCCTGGTCCCAAAAAGACCACGCTAATGATCTTCTTGTCTTTATCGTTCCAAAAAACCTTCTATAAAATACAAAAATGGTTAGACTCAACGGGTTCCCGAGGTTCGGTAGTCAAAAGCTTCGGCATTTATAAATGGATATGCCTCGGACGCCAAGGAGAGAACGAAAGACCAACCTGAAATCCCAAGCCCCTACTGCCAGCCAAGGGCCCAGATGTCAGACGATGGGTTTTGTGCTTATCCGCAAAATTTTCGTAGACGTCCTTTTCAACGTAATCGGGATCGCGGCGCAGCTCCTGTACAATGGGGAGTCCAATGTCAAACACTCGTTGGATCTCCTTGAGCTCCATCTCATCCTCTAATGTCCCAGGAGCCGGTGGCGCTGCAATTTTGTTGTCTAGCCATTTCCCGGCGCCGACGCCAAGTGTTCCAAAGATTCCGGCATAGATCAGGCGGCGCGTCCAACGCGATGTTGCTCGTGAGGCATTTGGTTGTGCCGCGGTGCTGACGTTTCGGACCGCTGGTCGCCAAACACTCTGTGTCTGTTTAGAACATTGGCGAAGTGCCGGCTGGAGTATGCTGCGATAATGGATCATGATGGTCACATTGCCATTAGTCTAGAATTAAGATGTTGAATTAATTAGAGCTTGGAACAGTTTGGACCGAGGCTCAGATCACGTGTGTATTTCCATTAGTCATCAACATATGCCTCCAGGGCTCCAGCCAGGGCTCCAGGGCGAGCTCCAGCCCCTGAGCTACCTAGCACCCACGACCCAACATAATTGATAGGGCTCAACAACAGTCTGGACAGGTCAGAGATAGAAGAGAAGCTACCCCCGATGTCTCGTTTGAGGTATGCAAACAACACCTTGTTCCTCAGGCCAAGCTCTTAAGAGCTTGAAAAAAAAACGCCCTAACTTAAGCGTGCCTGATCTACTCCGTACTGCTATTTACTAATATACGGGGTACTAACTAACTAGTGGGTATTGCTATCACGTCCACTAAGATCTGGACTAGGGTAGCATTCCAGAAGCCGCTCGGCAAGTGGAGCAAATAGAACGACCAGTGCGACGATTTCTAGGTGTGCACAGACTATTATCCGTCACATATGTCGTCACTTGAACAAGGCTAAAGATCCGGGACTACAGAATGTAGATCATTGCAAAACATAAGACAGCAAGAAAATCAATTGATAACAGTTAAGGCGTTGGAGACGAGCATCATTCATGTTCATCGTTTCTATTCATCTAGAGGCAACATTTGCAGATATCTTTCTCATATGAACGGATATTAAGGCAAACCCATTTACTCGCATTTGGGCAGCTCAATCGCACGGTAGAGACAGATGAGGGCCGAGTGTGACTCGCCTAGATATAATTAGCAACGGCTCTTGGATTATAGAATGTTACTTCACTTACCACCACCCGAAAGGGTCTCGATCTTCTGTGCTTCCACCTCAGTCACTGTATCGTCGTTGAACCACCACCATTTGTTGTCCGCCTCGCGGCGCTTGTTGCCTGTCTGGGGCTCATCCCGCTCCTGTTTCTTGACATATGCCGTGTAGTGACCGCTGTCAGCGCTAGCACCCTGGTGGGTAATCACGGCGCGAAGCTCATACAGACCGGACTGGTTGGTTCCGCTGTCTCCGACACCCCGTTGGTTGATAAGTTCTTGGAGCTCTTTCTTAGCAACGCGGATGGATTCCGCCCTTTCCGCTTCGTACTCGGCATCGGTTTTGAAAGTTTCCTCCATCTGGCTATCGCCGTCCTTGTCGTTGGCTTTAGCCTTGTTCTCCTCGGTGGCCTGCTTCTTCTGCATTGGCTCCACGTTTTCGCCTAGGTCGGTCTCTTTCTTCTGACGCTCTGCGCGCTCTTCTGCAACTCTTTGACGTTTCTGAGAACGTTCAACTTCCAGCTCCTCCTTGCGGATCTCGCGAACCTTGTCACGAATAGGTATGAGCTGCTTTCGGAGGTCCTCGGTACAGAACTCCACGACATCCAACTCGGCAGGGAATGTTACTTTGCGCATGATCTTGGCCTTCTTCTGTGTCTCCCGCTTCCAGTAGAATCGGACAAAATGTACCGTGAGGTACTTGGGCAGTCGCGCGATACGGGAACGCTTTTTGTACACAGAATTGCGCTCCAAAAGAGGAGAGGTTTTCTCGATGTCCTCTTCGAGGCCGGCCAGAATTCCATCTTGCAGGTGGTTCGTTTCTTTTCCGATATGACAATCAAGTTTGTAGAAAACATCAGAACTTTGACTCGGTTGCTCGCCGAGTTCCTTAGCGGCCGGATCTTGACACTCGGTGATAGATTCGAATTGGCCCGCAAGATATTTATCCACAAATGAGGTGGTAGTGGCAGATTCTCCCTCGCCCTCGGTGATGGTCAACTTGGTCCGCAACTGGTTCAAGATCTGGGAGAAAGCCTCCTCGGCATCCTGCTGAGAGTATCCTTGTCCATTTCGGTCGCGTTGGGCGAATTGAGGGAACACAGATCGGAGAGCATTGAGGAACATCAGTGGAGGAATGCCCTCCTGCGTCTCGGACATTTGCTTGAACAGATCTCGTAGAGAAGCGGCCAAATCCCGGGAACCTCCAAGGCCACCAATACCAAAGCTGCTGAGGTCTGCCAGACTCGACTGTCCAGCTGCACCACTTGGACGGTACCGCATGAGCTCCTCCTGGAGCTCCGGAACGCTCCGCAGGGTTTGTAGGGAAGAGTTGAGATAGCATGTGTTCCCCAGGTTCTGCAAACCGGCAGGGGTGGCACCCTCCTGTCGTGCCACCTCGGCCTCGGTCATGTCTTCCAAGAATTTGACGGTCTCCTTTGGCCGACCAAGATCAACTGAGCCTTGACCTCCGGACGGTGTGCCCATCATCATGAACGTCTGCCCAGGTTTGGCATTAAGGGACGAAAGAGGTGTATCATCTTTAAGCTGGCCACCTTTGACCAAAACCTTTTGGCGGTCGGGTTCCACACCAGTCAAAGAGAAGAGTTGGTACTTCAGCGTTTCGCCGTTTGACGTAGGATCGAGCTCGACTTCGTGGCGCTTACCGGCGTGTTTGACAATAACTGTGTACTTGTTAGTAATGGTCCGGGTACTGCCCATACATCCATACGTACTCGGTATAGCCGACATTTTCAATGTGTTCGAAGGATGAATTAGTAAGAGAAGGATAAAGAGCTTGAAAGAGCTTGCGATTGCTGGGGCAAATGGTAAACAGCCTGGACGAGGGCGTGGGGTTCTCTCACCGCCCAGCTACTATCATCACCGCCCACCCCGACGTCAACTCCTCTTCTGCCTAGGACAACCTGTTATCCAGCCCTTTATCGTTTACTGCTTTAGGTCAAAGGGTCCTCACCACAGGATAATTTCAATTCATCCTCGACCAATCCTCGGCCGTATCATCATCCGTGACGATTGCCTCGTGGCCTGAACAAACACCCCCTCACCATGGTGGGTACAGCTCCAATCAGCCAGCTCGTTCTATACTAATTGATTATCAGAGTCAATCTCTTCGGCCCTACCTCCAGGCGTGAGTTTTTACCTTATGACAAGTATTTAATGGCGAGCTTCCTAACACTTTACTAGTGTTCGGTCCTCCCTGACTGCGGCTCTTACGATCTCCAATTTCGCTTCTCAGACATCCGAACGGCAGTAAGTCGCCCACGCTACAAATGTTGAACATGAAATATCCTAATACTCCGTTCCACTAGCAACTGCCCAGAGGTTGAGGCAAATTCTTCGCCCGAGATCCTTCTGAACCCGTACGTCTGACCATCATTTTCCCCAAGGTCGCATCGGACAAATGTATTGATGCTTTCCCAGGCTGCACATCAGCAGGAATGAAAATGAGAAAGTGAAGATTGAGCCAAGCTACAATTCCGTACGCATAAGTATCAGAATCAAGCAGGCAGATGAGATCGAGCATATTCTTGTCCACAAATTCACTCGGTTCCTCACTCAGCGAGCGGAATCGTTCTTCATTTTGCGCCGGAAGCCAGTGGAGGGATACGACATCAGTTTCCTCATTACGAACTTCCACACGGAAAAAATGCTTACCCACAAGCTTATTGATTTCGTGATCGAGTTCATGGAAGAGGTGGACAAGGAGATTTCGGAAATGAAGCTTTTCGTATGTGTGCGGATGCATCGTCTACGTCGCAACTTACTAACAGCTCACTAGTTGAATGCTCGTGCTCGATTTGTTGCCGAGTCTTTCCTTACACCGGTATGTTTTTATTGAGCTGTCTAACATTGACTCAATTGCTGACCATCATTCAGTTCGATTAAATTGCCTAGTTTTTCTTGTTGATTCCGAATAATGAATGGCCCTGTGTTTCCCACCTTCTACTCCTGTACAGATAGCATAGGCTTGCATTGTTTAAGAGAAAACCTTATACCGATGTCCATCAGTATCGATGTTTTTTGTCCAGCTTCAATTCCTTCCACGCAATGCCTCACCGGGTATGCTGGTATGGCCTGGCTCTTCACCAAGACAAAATTACCTCGATGGCGCTATGTAGAACTCAACGAAGAAAGAATAAGTACAAGCTTCACCAGAGATCAAGGGTGCCTCGAGAACACTAACACAGTATATATCTCCAAGAGTTCACAGCTCAGCATGATCTAGCAGGCCAAGAAGCTACCATTTGCATTTACACTAATAAAATATAGAACTCTACGATATTGTTACCATGTAGGAAGGAGTTGGGGAGATTGCCTCGTACGATGTGGAATGCCCAAGTCGAATTGGGAGAAGTGCGTGGATAATACGGGTTTGGTGCGTAGGGAAGGAGAGGGTGGTATAGCACCTTCCTTCCACGGCGGACTTGTACCAGGGGTGCGTTAATTCCACGAATATAAATACCTGTATCGTATCCCCACGCACTTTCCCTCGTAAATAGTCTTCATTCCACGCACTTTGATCCAGTTTGCACGCACTATCTATTTCACCTAGTATCAACCCTAACATGCGTGAACAATCCGAGCAGGATGAGTGGGCGGCTCATATGAGCTCGCTTGCATCTGAAGTTATTATTCTGACTATGGACAACAAGGCAGATACAGAGTCACAGGGAATAACTGCCACTGTTCCTGAGAACCATTCACCACCTGGAAGTGCTCATGGTTCTCTCAAGAGATCGTGCTCTGGTACTCTAGGCTCCCAGCCTGGTCAAGTGTCTGCTCCATTCGTTACTTCCCTTTCAATCCCAGCTACTCCTTCCCCTCCTTTAGCCCCATCCTCTCCTACCTCTTCCCATCACTGCAGTTCCTCTTCTTCTTCTACCATCCGTCCCGAAAAACCTAAGCCTCTTGACTTGACACCTGAGATCAGTCCTGGTCCTTTCAACTTCGTGACTCAAGTCTACTCTCCTCCCACCTATCGACCCCATCACTCCCAGTACTATTTTGAGGCCGCACCTCAAGTCTACCACAACGCTGCGGACTTTGCTCCTCAGTACCAACCAAGTAAGTATCTTCTTGCTCTCCTTCATCATGACCTATCAACCACCTGTGGAGTCACAGTTAAGACCATTTGGATCCTACTAATAACACCCTCATCACAGAGAACACCTTTGAATCCAAATCCTCTTACTTCAGACCCAAAAACATGGGTTGGCCATTCGAGCAGGGCGAGGTCTCCAGTTATGGGGACTTTGCTCGTCTTGAAAGCTCCAAAATTGAGGAGCTCCTGCAGCCAACCTCGATTCCATTTGGTAGCGTCACCGACATGCACACATCCACTCGCGATGGTGTCTTGATGATTTCCAACGTGAGTTTGCTTTTCGTCATATTCTTTCTGTTATTCCGTTACTAACAATCATGATACCCACTGTGCAGATTCCGTACACTGTGACTCGTCAGGAGGTGGCCTCGTTCCTTGGACGCAGTGCCAATCTGCTCCCATCCTCTCAAGGATGTCCCATTCATATCATGATGGAACGGTCCACCGGCAAGACGATGGATTGCTTCGTTGAATTCCCTACTCAGAAAGATGCCGAGGACGCTTTTGAGCGCATCAATCGTACCTACGATGTTGGCAGCACCCCACGTATGGGCAACCGCCATGTTGACATCGAGGTCAGCACCCCAGCCAAGCTTCTGAAGGCGACTTTCCCCCGGGCAAAGTGCATTTCTTGGGAGAGTGGAAAGCCTGTTCAACTTCCAAACAAAGATAGTTGGTCCACTGGGTTTGATGGCTTCCTCACCGATGAGGAACTCTTCTGCCTCACTCGTCATGCTGAACAACCTCACCGTGTACGTCCAGCTTCTCTTTTATATCCTTTATTTTTGTGTCACTTACCTTCTAACACATTGCAGAGTGTATTTGCCAGTAAGGTTCCTCAGCGGTGCTACGAATCGTTCGTCACCACTATCTGGAAGGTAAGTCAATCATCATTCCTACATCTTCATTTGTCTTTCCATTTTATACTAATACCCTTTGTCCTATGATATAGTTTCCGTGGCACGCCACTCATCTTTACACGGTGCACCACCGAAACGCCCTTTTCAAGACCCTTGGTACTTTGATCAAGACTCTGGTGGAACGTATGCAGAAGGCAAACACAGTTGGTCTGGATATCCGCCTTCTCAATGAGTTGGTGTATGCAGGGATCTGGTGCCCTGGCTTCAACCCTCGCATGAAATACTGCTTTGCCTGGTGGTCGCAGGATGCGAAAGGAATTGAGACATTGGACCATGACTGGTGTCTTTACTTCCCATTCGACACTCTGACTTACGTTCCTGGACATGATGGTGCAGCTATTCAGGTATGGAATTTGGCTTCGTCAATGTTTTATCTTGGAAGATCACTAACCCAATCTTCAATCGCTATAGTTCTATGCCTATCTGATGTCCAAGGGTGCTGTGCTGCGCACCGAGAATGAGGGTTTGACTAACAAGCATACCAACCCTGAGCTCGAGCGAATCTTCGGACAGTTCTGGTTTGAGTGGAACGACGATGCTGCCCGTATCACCATCTTCAAGGATGCAGTGACCTACGAAGCAACTGTTCTTCGAAAGTTCATCATCACTGGGTTCCAGCACCTCCACAAGAGAAATTCCAGCGGCTCAACCATCGGTACTGCCCCTGATTCGCCGGCCCACAGTCAAACCTCAGCCGATAGCCAGCGTACTGTTTCCGCCTCTCGCACTGGCTCTGTGAACCCTAGCCATGCTTCTCGGGGAAGCTCCGTCGTTTCAGCCAGCAACATGATGACTAGCCGCATCCCAGAGCGTGGTAACACCCGTGGTAGCTCTCAGCGTCTTGATGCTGACCAATATCTGTCCGGCACCTCCTACCGTCAGGCCGCCCCATCGGTCCCTCCTTACCGTCCGCCACACCAGCGCGATGTCTCCGAGACCACCCGCAAGCAGTCTGCTAACTGGCGTATGCCCCGAACTGAGGAGGCACCTGCGGCAGGCTCTTCTAAGAGCCAGGATCGGACTCGCCCTGTGTACCGTGCCCCTCACGCGACCGCACAGAACGTTCGGTCGTCGTCTGACCCATTTGCCCCCGTCCCTTCGACTGCTGCCACCAGCCACCGTTCGCGCTCCGACGCCGCCCGCCTGTCGAACATCGACCGCCAGGCGTTTGATGAGTTGCGCGCTGCTGGTCGCGGCAAGGCCGCAAAGAAGTAGTCATGCGTGGATATGATGGACCAGTACTCCCCTTTTGGGGAGTACTGGTCCATCCACACGGTATCGTTAACGTTCCGTGTTTCCCTGTGCTCCTTCGTTCTTTTGTTTTTTTCGTTTTTTTACTTTTCGTTTCTTCCCCGGGTGGATGTATGGAGACATCCACAAGTTTAACCAGAAAACCCTTGTCTCCCCTGGCGCATGCGCCATTTGCTTGTTCCCCCAGCGGGATCGACCATTCCGGCTGCTACCTCCGGGAGTAGCTTGGCCGGTTTGGAAGATCCCGCTGGGGATGATTGAAACTCAGCTGAGTTTCATTTCCCTGGCTGATAGCCTTCTCACTCTGGAGTGACACTTTTCTGTGTCACTTCGGGGTGAGCTGGCTATCAGCCAGGTTGAATTTGCTTTAGTTTTTCGTTTGTTTTCAAGTTTCTTACACTTGATTCTTTTTCCTTCTAGTAGACTTTCTTCAAGCGGGTGTTGGTTTTGGTTGTTTGTAGCCTATGTAGCTTTGCGGCAACATGCATATAGTAGGCCCGGGGACACTAATGTAAAACTAATTAGGGTACTCTTTTAGGATCATCTGTTTCTATCCGGGTAACTGCCGATGTCAACACGTAGGCCCATTCCTTTGATTGTGCTGACTTTCTGCTCACATTCTCGCTTTCAACAGATCAGTATTGCGCATATTCTATCTCCGTTTCTTCATCTTGATATAGGAAATATGGGTTTATCAGACAAGAATCTGACTACTCATCACCGTCAGTCCTGAAGACACATCTACCAGCACTTGCCAGCAAATTTCAAAACATTCATTTGTGGCCAGGTTGTAGGAGGGCAGGTATGAACTGCTACCAGGAGGGCTCTCACTACGACGACAGGAAACCATCGACCCTTAGAGACACGAGCGCGGATTACAATACAGTTGGAGAGACAGGTCACGGCGGAAACAAATGGGATGAGGTGTGATGGAGTATAACTGGCACCCAGTGAAGGGCCTATATCACTACTAGCTGAGTTGTTGGGAGATTATATCGGGTGATTAGTGATGTCGAGACACGGCTAACACTCCCAATTGCAAGATATAACAGCCTCCTTGAAAGGGTCGACGAGATATACGGATATACTCACGATTCGAGCATGCCAGATGAGTGCATGGTCTCTATCTGTTTCGGGCGGCTTGCCATCGCTGTATACCATTCGAAAGTGTCCACCCTACAAGTTACATAAAGTCATACTTTGATTTTGGAGAAAGACACGATAGAAACTCCGACATGAGAGAATATGGGATAGCATACAATTGTGTTGGGGGGGCTCTCGGAGAAGTCGATGGCATCTTGCGACCCCTCCAAAGGCAGCAATATGTTGAGCAAAGCTACTAGTGGGCCGCCCACGACCACCGATATCGCATATGTCTCATTGGGTCCGTCACCGATCGAGATAGGAAATATATACGGAGTACTGGTTTATACGAGACTGTCTTCAATGGCGTTCTTTGTATTTTTCAATGTTCTATGTTGACATGATACATCTGAGGGGGGAAAACGAAAAAAACGTAAGGGCGCTGGTACTAAAAGCGGAGCCGTTAATTACAGCCGGTTTTTAAGGCATGCGGGCCCTGCTTGTTTTATTTTACCATTTTGCCATTTTTGTCTTCTATATTCTACATATTTTCTGATTTGCTTGGGCAAATACGGGAATTTTCGAAAGATCCTCCATATATAGAAGAAGTGGGGAAATATTCTGCCAAGTTCGATCATTTCCATTCAATTCATCTATCTAGTATGCCTCGACGGTCCTCTCGGCCTGATTCTGCGTCGCCTGAAGCGCCTGTGGCGCCAAAGCGACGCGCTTCAGCCAGACTGTCCGCCGCCGAATCGGAGGTCAAACGGGTCAAGTCAAACGCCGACCTATCCCTCCGCCAGGCAAAGTCCACGACAAGCAAGAGCAAGTACTTTGAGCCGGAAGACTCTGATGAGCCCGACTCAGAGTCCGATGCCTCTGTGGGGGAATCCTCTGGCTCTGTGTACGAAGCAAAGGAGGAATCCCCCGACGAAGTGGAGCCGGAAGAACTCTCCGACACCGACGAGGACGTGAAGAAATCTAGCGCGAAGGGGAAGCAACGACAGAGCATCACCGGCGGAAGCGACCATATGAAGGGCAAGGAGCTCTGGCGCGAGGGCGTCAAAGTTGGCCTGGAGCCTGGGCAAGAAGTTATCATCGCAAAGCCCAAGGCCCGAGACGCGGGGAATACCCCATACCAGGATGAGACGCTGCACCCTAACACCAAGCTTTTTTTAATCGACCTAGCTAGCAACAATGACCGCCAATGGCTGAAAGGTGAGAAACGCATATACACCGGTCATCGAGTGGCTGGCTGACTTGTGCAGCGCATGATCCGGATTACCGAGCGGCAAAGAAGGACTTCGAGACATTCGTTGAGTCCCTCACGCCAAAGATTGCAGAAGTAGATGCTACCGTCCCCGAACTTCCTATCAAGGACCTGGTAGGCATGCGAATACCCCTGTCTTCTATTTGTGCCCGACGCTCACAATTTTGCCCCAGGTATTCCGCATCCACAGGGATGTTCGTTTCAGCAAGAACCCACTTCCATACAAGGTAGGCTATATTCCCATCCGGATCCCCGCCGCTGTGCCTGTCGCATGCTTGCGTGTGTGACGGTGTACGTGTGGTACTGTGGCCTCGTTAGCGGTGCGTATGCTGACTCAAAATGTATAGACGCATTTCTCTGCTGCCTGGTAAGTGTCAATATTCTATGAATTGTCAAGGGGATCAGCCACTGAACATGGTACAGGTCTCGGACTGGTAAGAAGGGCCCATACGCAGCATACTATGTCCACTTCCAGCCAGGCTCTTGTTTTGTTGGTAGGTTATTCCCCAGCCGGCTTCGGCCGTTGCCATCGCCATCGCCATCTGCCTTGCCTTTGTGATGTTTATCCATTGTGGCTAATACCACGCTGTGTCTAGGCTGCGGGCTGTGGAACCCTGAGTCGGAGCCACTTGCACTGCTGCGAGAGGACATCGACGTGAACTCGGATGGATTAAAGGGGGTACTCCGGGCGCCGGAGATGCGTCGCGAGTTTCTGAAAGGGGCGTCCGACGATGACGATGCGGTTGTCGACGCCTTTATACATCACAACAGGGAGTCTGCTCTCAAGACGAAGCCAAAGGTATGAAACTTTCTGTTGTCTATTCCCCCTGATCCCAATGTGAAGTCTGTTGTCCATTGAGACAGACTTTACTCCCTCCCATTACCATCTTGTGCTTTGGTGGCATTGTCAGCGGTTTGTTTATTGTTTATGGGCTGGGACGCGGTCTTGGGAGACAGGGGTCGCGAGGTTCGCCATCAAGGTTCGCCACCGAGGTTTCATCAAATTGCATCTACCATCCGACCGAGGTTGGTCTTGAAAACGGAATTCACTCCAGTCTTCATGGACATCTTCAAGGCTGGCAATGGCTCAATCAGATTATGGAAACGGGATCTTTCTGACCAAGAGAAACCTTGGTCGGGCTGGATGCAACCATGATTTAGAGATGAAAGAACCCTGAGGCACGGATTGAGATAATCCAAGAGATCCAATTCCCCCCCAAAGTGCTTCATTGTGTTCAAAAGAGATGTGGAAGACAACGGGCTCGGGGGTAACGGGAAAGGCCAACCCGTGTTTTTGGACCAATTTTTGCTCCCGAACCAGTACCATGGAACGCAAGAAAGCAATTTGGCAGACTCTCAATGGGGGAATCGCACTTGCTGGAATTGGATTTTGTTCTCACGCCGTCGAGTTTGGTTCCATGGTTCACATTTGCGCCAGGCTCCACGTCTGATCCATGGTTTTTCTTACGGCTGACACACCTTCTAGGGTTACGAAGCAGATAATAAGAACATCAAATTGCTTCGACTACGCAGTTTCACTATTGGAAAACCTATTCCAGATGATGAACTCACTGGAGATGATGCTCAAGAGAGGATTGCAACTTTAGTTGGGGTCATGGAGCCTTTCGTAAGTTTCCAATCTATCGAATCCCGATTTCCAATTCCCGCCGGTTTTGCCCCCCCTCTCTTGACTAGTCTGTTTTCCCTTCTGAGCTAGCCACTTTGGCGGTGTTAGCCGTCCCTTTTACTCCGTACCCACCGCCAAATCAGCACCGGTTTGTTTTTTTCTTCCGCTTTGACAGGACCGGAAGCGTGTGGGACAATAACCTTTATATTGTACATAGTATATTTCGTCTTACTGACTGCTGACCGCTTCTTTCTGGAACAGGTGACATATCTCAACAGTGTAGTGATGCCCGATCATTGACATGATTGGGGAAAGCTACCCGCGCCTATTTGGCAGACGGGAGGGGGGAAGAGATCAATCTGTTCTGTTTTAACTGACCTTTTCCTTATGAACATGTGTGGGAGATGGTATGAAATTGTTTGTATGTTGTATTTGTTATCTGTCTAATATCTCCATTTTATTTTTATCATTCAACTACCTTAGCTCGGGTCTTTTGTCTCTTCCTCTCGACTTGAAACCCGACATCCCCCACCTTGACGCCTCCTGCACATGGCTTCTTTCGTCAGTCCCCGCCGCGTTTCCTGGATTTCTACTGCAGGCCTAGTACTGGCGCGGGGCCGAATAATGTACCTAACATTTGCTCTGCAGTCATATCACCTCTAGCACTGCCGCAATGCTGCGCACACTGCATACTATGCGGACAACACTCCAATTTGAGACATTACTACTGCATTTCCCCTCAACATGACACATATACAGTTCTAGACACTTCGATGCAATCTTGCTATCCCGTGTCCCCGATGGCTGCAGACCCCCCTCGTGCAATATGCAATTTAACCTTTTTCCAATCTCCTTCCCAAACAAACCAGTTATGCAATCAAAAGAAACACAAAATTTTTATCTAAGTACTCAGTTGACGCGCATGGTAATCGCCACCGCAAGCGCCCGCGTTCGGCCCGTTGTCGGGCATGTCCGCTAGGCTAATCTTGGGGCCTGCAGGCAATGTGGATTGAGGCCGGGTAGTTCTACTCCGCTGTGCCAGATTTTGGGCTTTAAGATGAGCACCTTCCTTCCCTGGAATGGACTCCATTTATTTGACTGGGTGGTATTGTTTTGTTTCTTCATAGTGCATCCTGAATGTGTTTGGTACGTGCATTGCGGAGCTTGGGTTCTTAGTTGATGCCGTTTATTTTGGGACTCCGCGGGTGTCAGTCGATGTCTTAGTACTCATGTATCCACTCAGCCGTCTGCTCTCTGCGATACGGGTAGTTGGGCAGCTATATCCTGGGCTGTCTTCGGTGTAGCATATTGTTATGGATCTTCACGTATCGAAACCACGGTTGTTATTTCCACTAGTATCGGGAAATGGGCCACGGAGACCGAAGGGTGTGGTGTTGCTTGCAAATTACCAAGCTATACTCATGTGATAATCGAGAAGCCCATATGAAGACGTACGAATTTAGATATCCGAATTAGGACGCTTGGAGAGTCAGTTGATATATATATCGTCAATTCAGGACACAAAGCTCAAAGGTGGCGATCTTGGGTTAAGCCACAATACACATAGAGAAACACAGAGAGAATACATATAATATACCAAAGTAATGCGAGATATATATACTGTTTGAGTTTCCTTACGTTCTTGCGAGATCTTTAGGGCTATGAGTTTGCGGATCCCCGAGGTCCATCTCGGTGAACACCAACGCTAACTAAGATATACTTCCCGGACGAAAAGTTTGAATTCTCAAACCATATCGGATCTACATTCTATCAGGAGTTGAATGGTATGTTGTACATAGATACATTTGACGTTGAACGTTGACCAGGTGTTACAATTTGTCTTGTTTGTTCAGCATCGACAGGCATGATGTTTGTTGTTAGAGCAGCCAATCAACTCAAACACAGGGATCATGGTAGACGCCAGGGCGTGCGGGGATCGACCTTTCAAACTTTGACAGAGTCGGTCAATTTTATGAGGCGCCCACAGTCGAGTTAGGTTGGTGATACCGATACCCGGTGCATTTGTATGCAGATCACGCACACAATCCAATCTAACCAAAAAGCATCTAGGCAGTTTCAAATGTGAAAAGTCAAAAGCAAGCCCAAATAAGCAAAAGGTACTTGAAAAAGCAAAAGAAACCGGTTCAGCCGCACATTAATTACGGAGTAAATATGTCAAAGGCCCTAGCTCCACGCAAGATCCCGAGAAACCCCTTGGCAAGCATCCAGAAAAAGCAAGGTGAGATTGACTCGCTTGTTTCCCGAATGGCGCCCGAATAGAGTAAAGGAGGTCTATCATGCAGGCATGGCGTTTCCAATCCTGGTCTCACTTGTGTGACTGATGAAGTTTGTAGATATGGTGGGAAAACTACCAACCAGACCACTACGCGAATCACATAGGGGGCCAAAAATAAGAAACTCCAGCCAAAGAGAGCAAAGAAAATCCAAAGGCTCGGCTAATAATGTCATGCCGATCTCGCATATACTTTTCCCAGGATCAGGTAGTCATCAGGCATCTCTCATCACACGACCTGCACGTTCGAGTTCGTTGTACACCGACTTTGAAAGCACTGCCTCGTTCCGGCTCAGTGCAGAAAAATAAACCCCTCGCCACGTCAGATCCCAAGCACAGACCTTAACCCTGTTATTTCGTTCCCATTGCCATATTGGTCCATATGGTGTTCCCGTGACTGTAACGACATGCGGGCTGCGCCTATTAGTGCCCGACCCGTCTCCATCCTTGCTGATAGACGCGCTCCCGTGTGGGTAAAGGAGGGGAGTTGTATGGCTAAGAAAAAAATTCGAACAGAAACTAAGAAACTAAAAAAAAACCAAAAAAGGTAAAAAGATAAAAAAAAAATTACACTCAATGAAAAGTTGAAACGAGAGAAAGTACTCCGTACAAAATATTATATGTAAATAATAAAAACTTTATAGAACGTCGCAGCCTGCAAAAAGGCCCGGTCGGGGAATGGGTCCCCTAGCGTTGGGCTTTCAGTTTCGACATCGAGCGCTCAGTCCCTGTCGAAAGGACTAGTTTTGAGGACAACTAGCGCGTCATTACAAACGGCATCGAGTGGCCAGCGTTTTTGGATCGAGTGGACCATAGAGTGTCTCCGGAGAGTACGCTAAAAGTAGAGGACAAAGCTGAACAGGCCACGCCAGGGAGTGGGGAACGGAAAGACGCGGACGGCAATGCAGTCGATTGGGTTCGAAAAACGTGGCCTGAATTGTTTCATATTGGTACTCCATTTTACTCCGTATTACGGATAGTGTATACTATGTAATATTTTATGAAAACGGAAATATGAACCGAACACGTACTTGTACTTATTTTAGTAGGTTTCTTTATACTTATATCATACAATTAAAGTATCTAATATAACTAAAATAAATTCTAGGATGGACTAGAACATATGCGTCCTCGAGATAAATACTGTACTGTAACAACCGAGGTATTTTTTGCCAGATGGCACACATGCATAGATCGGCGGGAAGGCCGGAGCGGCCCGTGGGACAAGTACCCCGAAACTTGATTGATTAATCCTGGCAATAGTACTCGTATTATAATTTACTCGATATATTATTCAATCCATGGTTACGAGTGTGGGCTATTATTTTTTTTTATCTCCTCATGACTATCCGCTATTATTCATAAATCTCAAACCCACATTCTCGGTATATTATAGATGAATCGGGCTGAAAAATCTCACAGGGATTGGCGGTGACGGGCGTACGCTAAATGGCCCCCTCCCGTACAACGTGGTTGTGGCTCTTGGACAAGGAACCCGCCCTGTCAGCGCAGCGCTAATGCAGGTTACCTTGGCTCATTATGGGCTTTCCGGATCCAGTGCTACAGCCCTGGGAACTTAGGGCACTCCACCTCGGTTTCTTTCTCTTCCTTTTTCCCTCCAAAGCCTGGTTCGTTTCAGTCATAGAAAGAGATGGATCCGCAATTGCCACACTTTTTTTTCCCTCATCCTTCGTGCCAGACTTCCATATCCAAACTATCGTGTTCCTCCCCTCGTGTTGAAGAGTGGCGAGTGGTCCAGGTGTACCCCACTCCCTCAGCTGAAGTCTGATCGCCACACTTTCACCGCTTGAATTTTTCTTTCATAGTACCGACATGCAGTAGTTCCATGTACTTTGATGAACTAGGTAGTCCTGGTGAAGGCAAGGAAACTCACAATACTGTATATAATAATATCAATTAAATTTAAATATTAAATTAGAAAAAAATATAATGAAACCAACCCCGATATGCATGGGAATGTGTCGCCCCGACCCGAGCCCATCGCCATGGAAAATGATCCTGGTTCCGCGGGGCCGGTTGCGGTTGTGCGACTACGGTCCGAGGCGGTCGTTCGTCCATGGACGGTTACGCAGCAAGGGTAACTCGGAGGAATTGCTTGCATGGATTGATCCATGTAAATGAGAGGTCACCTGCCACATTATTGATGATGTCAATTTTAACAGTCGAATCGACTTCATTTATTCTAGGGATATTGTTCCAGGTTAAAGTGGCAAAACGTGCAGTCACTCTCGGGCACTACTGCTAGTTGGGAAAAAAAAAATAATAATAATAAAATAAAATCAGAAAATAAAAGCGGTTGCCGTTCTCGGCATCATAGCAACCGAAGTCTGGTACGCTAGATTGTAATCCATGGTTCAGGGCCTTCTCTCCAACCTTGGAATGTTTCACCTGACGAATTGAGGGCGTAATGTAAGGTCATCCTCGACGTATCCATGCAATTCAGCATTGGCAAACCTGTTACATCGTATAGATACATACAGTAATCCCCCCTCCATGTCTATGGGTCACTGGCGCCGCTTTAGCCCGCGCTGCCCGGGCTCCACCCCGTTCTCTAAAAATTCCCTATGCTTTTCCAATCAAATAATTCCTTCCCTTTTTATTTCCTTTTATTTCCTTTATCCCATTCCGATCTGAGCTTCTTTTCTTCTCTCTGCTTATCTCGTGGGGTTTTTTTCAACTTCCTTATACCTGCTCACGTCATAATCGTTTTTCTTTTTTCTTTTTTTTCTTTTTTTTCTTTTTTTTCTTTTTTTCTCCTGCCCTATTTTCTATTTCCTTTTTCTGTTTGGGATCTTCCTGCATCTTTCTTCCCCTTCCCCTGCGTGACCGCGCTATGCTCACTTTGTCCGTGTGATTCGAATCCCCCTTTCAATAACTCGAACGTCACATCCCTGCATCCTTGACTCATCTCGTCTTACTTCTTCCCACAACACAAATGTCGGGCCTTCCCAACGATCACGACCCTAACCGTCAGGGTGATCCAAATCGTCAGGATCCTCGAGATAGAGATCCTAGAGATACAAGAGATCCTAGAGCCCAGTGGAACAATCCGGATGAGCAGGCTTCCTACCCAGTATGCCCTGTCTCGGAAACAGTTCACAACGCTGTGATTTTTTTGCAGCTCCGGTTGCTGATAGCTTCATAGTATCCGCCGACTTCCTACCCTCCGCCACCTGACCAGGACCGTGCCTACCAATATCCTCCTCCCGCACAATACGCGCCATCTCAGTATCCCCCTCCTCCGCAGTACGCCCCTTCACAATATCCCCCGGCGCAGTATCCGGATCCAAGATATCCGCATCCACAAGCCATGAACGCCATTCACGGAGCGCAAGATCCCTACCGCCTCCCTCCTCCGCCGGGTCCTTATCGCGCCGATACATATGGACCCCAAGCAGGACAAGGGCCTTATCAAGCAGCAGCTCCGCGTCAGCGAACGGCCATTGCATGCCGTTACTGTCGGCGCCGGAAGGTACGAGGATGTTTCTCCATCTGCGAATTACGCGCTAATTTTTACCCGATAGATTCGTTGCTCTGGGTTCGAGACCTCGGCAGATGGACGGTGCAGCAACTGTGTTCGATTCAATCAAGATTGCATGTTCACTCCAGTCTCATCTCAAACTCAAGCCTTTGTGCCCGCACATACTGCCTACCCTCATCTACGACCTGGACAGAATGGACCTGGACCAGGCAGCCGCGGTGGACCACCTGTCCTGTATGGCGCTCACGGACAGCCTCTGCCCCCTCAACAGCAGCCGCAGGGTCCAGAGACCACCTTGCCGCCGCCTCAAGGGATGTACTATCAAAACGGACGACCCCCCATGGATGGTGCCCCGCTTCCCCTTGCATCAACCATGCCCGATCCGGTAAGGCTGTCATTCCCCCTCTGGTAAGAGACCTAAACTGATGTTTTGATCAGAGACATCGTCGAGGCTCAAACTCTGGATTCGAGTACCCCGATCCAACCAATCTGGCTCCCGTGACACCTGCCGGATCTGCCCCAGGATACCAAACTCACACCACGCCGAGCCCTTACGCATATCCCCCTCCGCCTGCTCACGATCGACGCACTTCGCCGCCATCCGCTTATAACTATGATGCACGCCCCTCCTCCTCACCTCACGGCTCGCCCTTCCCACCTATGCAGCCCCACCAGGCGCCCATGACTCCACACCAGGGCAGCGTACCCCCGGTCTCTGCTCAGCAGGGCAGCGCACCAATCAAGCAAAGTGGTACTCCTCAGCCAGGGGGTGTGACACCTCCGCCAACCTCTACCCCTGGTGGCTCCCAACGAGGTGGATTGAACGTGCGCGATATGTTGAACCCCGGCGATTCCCAAGGCCGTTCTAGTACCGATAGCGATATGCTCAACGCGCTGAATCGCCGTGGTCCGCAATAGTAATTTCTACGTTTCTATTGGATATCCTAGTGGAGACTAGGGAATGAAAAAATGCGATGCAGTGAAATGGACCGTGTGCTGGCCACACGGTCCGAGAGCCATGTGTCGAGTACTGGAATTTGAAAAGCAAGATTTGAGGTCTCGTCGGGCCGTTGTGGGACCTCACCAAAGTTCCTGCAAGGGGATCGGAATCACATTCCTGACAATGACGAGTACCTGGAACGCAAGAACGTCACACTCACGCGAACCTACGAGCTTCACGATTTGAACTGAATTTTCCAGACTTATGGGCTCTGGTTGTTATCGGCATATGATTTTTTTTTTTACTATTTCTCCCTTGTTTTTCGTTCTCGGCTTCGATATCTAACTAATTGTGAATCCAATTGGATTTGCTCGGTGTGATTTGATATTTCCAGGATGCAGTACGCTTTTGGCTTAACTCGCATGTGCATTCTGGTCTATCTCAAGTCACACTCCGGCTGTCTTTTCCGTGGAATCTTCACCTCGGACATTGTCCGCATTATTTGAATTTTCGGGTGGCTATCTGTTTTGTCTCGCGTTTTTTGCACTCATTTTACATTACTGGGAAGGCATTCGTCTCTTTATTTTACATCTTTGATGTATGTGTGGCCATTCTGTTTTTTCGTCTCGAAAGACCTGGGTCGGCTGTGTCATCTTTTCCCTTAAACTGTTTCGTTCTATTTTTTTTTTCTTTTTGCTATTTATCAAATATCTGCTTATACTTATATCCGGAGGTTGTTTGATCACTCTTTTGCCTTTGAACGGGATCTTGTATCTCAAGTGCTGATGAAATTATATTGCGAAATTATAGTTGAATCCTGAAACCCTAGTCTCGGCTTTTCCCTTACTTCATTAGCCTTTAAGGGTTGGATGCCTTGTTGGTCTTAGACATCGGGAATATTGGTGGCTTGTCCCCTGCAAAGGGGCAATCTTGGCTGCATATTGGACCTCGGCTATTGCATTCTTTTGCTTCATGCACCTGCGACATCCAGGTTGCCTAGACTGCGTATGTATGTACACTCGGCAGGGGTTTACCTATACATATAGGTATGTGAAGACCACGCGACTTGCCCTAATTTGGAAGGATTTGGATGTATACGGAAAAGTATAGAAAGTACACTACTTTAATGGCAATATCTAAGTGCATGGATATCTTCAGGGCTTCATTAGAACATGAGGTAGAAATATCTAGGGCGCCCAAATTAAGCATTATGCCAAGTTATTGACGTGCCAAAACCAGAAAGAAAAAATCAAACTAGAGTCTGCTGGAATTGACCAATGGGACAGGAACTTGGAAAAAAAAAGCTTGGAAAAGAAATAGATAATTAACAAGTAGAGAAAGTAGCTGACAGACAAGAAATCGAGGGGGAAAAAAGAGAAATGAAACTATTGATGTAGCCTGCAATAGTAGGCCTGTGTGTTTCCTGGGTGCATGAGACGAAAGCGAGTGTGGATGTGAATGGTCAGACAATATGAGACGCAATGTGCTTTTGCAGGGCTGGAACGCAGCATGATTGTGGGGTTTTGGAAATGTTGAGAAGTGGAAGACAATAGTTGGCAGACAGTATTTGAAGAAGATGCTTGATAGTGAGATCGAGGGGATATCAAGGAAATGGGTCGTGAAATAACTTATTTGCGGTTAGGGATGGAGTCTAGAACGCGCGACATCTTCTTTGCACGAGATGCGTCCTCAACAACCATGCCACGGCGCATGAGGGTGTTGTGCACAGTCTCGACAACCTTGTTGAAAGATGAAGCGGCGCCACGCTCCTGTTTGAAGCGGACCAAGCTGAGATTGGCTTGGTGGCCATGCTCAAGAACGGTGTAAAACTCAGCAGTAAACTCAACCTCTCGGAGATGAAGGACTGTGGGATGATTAGTATAAGTGCTAGATCATATGAAACGAAGTGACTTACAATTTGCTTCGCTAACACGGCCGTGAACAATACTGTTGGCCTTGTCCAGGTACACATCCTCCATGCCGAAGTCGCGCCACTCGCGAAGTAGCTTGTAGAGTTCCTTGCGTCCCTTGGCCTTTGATGTGTTCAATGCAATGACTTGTGTAGCAGGCCTGATCTGGAAAACTCGGGCAAACCAGTTGTGATTGGCAATTGAGCGGCGCTTGTGGGGGATTGGGTTAGGCAAATCATCAGCTTCAGTGGAACTGTCGGTGTCTGCAAGTCCCTTGCACATCAGGGAAGAGTAGCGATTATCCTTGGTTGGTGTGGTTTGGATATCTTTTTCCTTGTCTATAGATTGGTTAGAATTTTGGACAGAAGTTGCCGATGGTGCACTTACTAGCAGGGGGTTCTTGCATATTCTGGCTGGACTTTTTGGTCAGGAGTTTTTTGAAAAAGCCACCACCAAAGCGATCTATGGATGGCCTTCGTTTTGCGACTCGCTCTGTATTCTCATTTTTAGGAGGAGAAGAGGGCTCGAGGGTAATTGGAGTATGCACAGTGGTTCCTCCACTGGGAATAATGAGGTGCCTATCCTTGGGTGGGAGAGCAGGAGGAGAATCTGAGCCCTGAGGACGATGCTTGAACCATGACCATTTCTTTCCTTCGGGGGCCCGGGCTGTTGTTTTCTTCGGGGACAGAGGAACTTCTTCAATGGGAGCCAGGCCACAAGGTTGACGAGCATGTCGAGACCCAATGGAGAAGTTGTGGTCGCCGCTCGGAGAGTCACTAGTAGTAAATTCTTGAACATCCGATAAAGCAGATTTACCATGGTTCTTCCGAATGGTCAGGGGCTTGACTTCCTCCATGCAGGTCATTGAGCTGTGTGGTACCATCCGAATAGTCCTTTTAGCATCGTCTCCATGAGATGTTGCAAGCGAAGTCCGTGGCTTTTGCTTACGTCGGGGACTCTTCTCACTAGGGGCGCAGGCGGTGCTTGCGGGTTCGTTGGGCGATGTGACGAAAGGATCTTGTAAAGATCCTACATCCAACTCTTTCCGTCTACCATTCTGAGCCTGGTCTTGTTCAATCAAGCGATCGAGATGAGTGATAACACCAGAAAGATAGGCAGGAATATTATCATTTCGGCCCCGGCTGTGCTCAATGAACTTCTGGCGTGTCTCGGTAAGCACCTTAATATTGTAAGATTGGGATGAATCCTGAAAAGTATTAGACACTGGGGTCGTCGAAGTAGCCTGAACTTGCTCAGGGCTGGCCATTGAAACTGGAGTGGCCGGTGTTTCGTATCCAGAACCACCGCTCGTAGTACGAATGGTTGTAACGGAGCTTCCATTGAATGCCTCCTCGCAGATCTGGCTGAGCTCATGGGAGACTTTTCGAGTGTCCTCCTTCCATGTGTAGTCTGACTCGCGAACCTTTCGGGCTTGTCCCATGCTCTTCACCTTTGGACCATTTCCTCGGACCATAGTTGGCTGCGCTGGTAGAGCTGGGCTACTTGGCATGTCCGGGAGATCGAGACCATCTGCCATAAGTTGCAAGCTGCAGGTGCTCGGTGACCTCTTAAGCTCGTTCTTCTGATTTGGTGGAGCAATCTTTCTCTTCTTCGATTTGGCAGTTGTAGAGCCATGAGAGCGGTTGCGCGTGTGATGGAAGGAAACGTTACGACGATAGCTCATGGAATGTGTCGAAATTCCGCGAGCCCGGGAGCTGGAATGAGGTACCTTGGAAGAGACGAAAGACTTCATTGAGCTGGGCCCGTGCTTGCGCTTCTGAAGCACAGTGAATGGTGAGCCATCTGGCCCATCCAATTCTTCTGGCTCTTGCTCCTCCGCAATGGAAGGGGGAGGCTTCACCCTTGGCGAGGATAACATAGCTTCAGATTGCCTTGATGACTCTCGGTGGACAGTAATATGGGCATAATGGGCTTCAGAGACTGTACCGCCGTTCTTGGGTGACCGGTATGGATCATATGTCTCCATTGTACCCGAGGACATCGGTTCCTTGAAGGAGTTGGCACGACGAGGGACCTCTTTAACAGATGGGCACTGTGCGCGACGCTTGGAGCTACCCTGGCCTGTCTGACTACGGCCTCGGCGAACTCTACCACTGGTGCGGGAGATATGGTGATAGTCACTAGCCGAGTACTCTAGAGGCTGTCCTTGATAGTTCTCTAGCTGCTCATCGCGAAATTTTGCCAAGGCATTGTAGAACATTCGCTCGTGGGTCGGTCTAAGATGGTTTTGTTAGTATCATGTAACTTGTTTCAACAACTAGCATGTGGTACTTACTCAATGCATAGAAGCCTTTGAATCAAATCCTCGGCCTTAACATCATGCCACAAAGTCTGTAAATTCCGGAGAATGTCGAGGTCGATGTCCTGCCGACAGGACAAGGCTTGGCCACAGTCATTCACTGACAGGGCAGGCGGAGGGCCGACGTAGTGATCGACCATGGCATTGTGCAGTTTTTCATACTTGGTTAACAACGGATGCAACCAAATGTTTTTCATAGATATCCGATCCTCCGGGCGCTTTTGGAGGATACGCTGAATCAGGTCGGCTGCTTCATCGCTCAACTCGGGAGGAATGATGTAGTCTCCTTTTTTCACAAGCCGCAGGGTGTTGCCCAAATCACCTCCATCAAATGGCAAGTAACCAGTCAAAAGGGCATACAGGATAATACCACAGCTCCACATATCAGCTCTGTCTCCACGATACTTTCTGCCATAAATGATTTCCGGTGCTGCATAATGAGGACTGCCACATGAAGTGTTCAACCAGTGGCCTGCAGGTTGGAGTGCGGCCATACCAAAGTCAGCCAGCTTGACATTATGGTTTGAATCAAGCAAGATGTTTTCGGGCTTCAGATCGCGGTGACAGATATTGAAACGATGACAGTACCCAAGGGCCGCAATGATTTGTCGGAACAGTCGTACGGCCTCTTCTTCAGGCAGCGGTCCATTGTTAGATACATAATCAAATAACTCTCCACCCTCGACGTGTTCGAGGACAAGATACCTATTTATTGTGTTAGTGTATTTTCAATTTCAGAGATGGGGAGGACAAACAATTCTCCACGGTTTTCCCAAACATCATAGAGACTGATCACATTCGGATGTTCAATCAACTTCATGATGACCACTTCACGTTCAATCCCACAAGGCATTTGTCGGGTGGCTGGGTTGGTAGGGAAGTTTCCCATATTGCGGTCCATTGCCGCGATACTCTCACTCTGAACCATAGCAGCCGACTTTTTCGAAACGATCTTGATAGCGGCCGTGTGTCCGGTGACAGCATGCTTGGCCAGTCTAACCCGTCCAGTGGCCCCTTTTCCCAGTGTCCGTCCCAGCTGCCATGGTCCCACGTGTGTCTTTCTCTTCCCTTTGGTTGACAGGATGGATGCCGCAGACATGATGGAGTTTCGGGCTGAGTTGGGTTGGAAATCGGTGGCCACGGAGAGACGTTCATTTTCCTTATTCCGTTGTGGAGTTGGAGTCATACAAATAGACATCCGGTCAGAACTCTTCAAATGTTCAGATTCTTCGAATCTCAGGTGTGGTGTCTCGACATTTGGCGACTTGGGGTGGTTCAATCGGCCCGACACATCTCCCAAGGGCTGACGCCTTCGATAAGACTCATTGACGTCCGACATTCTCTGATCCATACTATAGGTGGTGTAAGGCATGTTAATGATATCCAAGGTTTTCCAGGTCGGCTTGAAGTTAGGTAATAACCTTGTCGTCAATCTAGAGTCTCATTAGCTGCCCGTTCAATGTCAACCAAGATATCAATATCCAACGCACTAGAAATTAGGCAAAACGCAAAAAAGGACAACTCCTTCCGACTGCCAATGGGCAGAAGTTAGGTGTAAAGATCGGCACCAGACTTTTCTGGGAAAGAAAGACGACAAAGACCAAAGAGTAACAAGGACTGGTCAATACCACATCATCGGCGGAGATGCGGGAGAAGGGAAAAGGATAAAAGATCACAAGCGACAAACCCAAACGAGTGTAATTGAGATGAAAATACAAGAGGGGGGGAAGATCGAAAGTGTCAATGTGAAGGATAACAGGTTGACATGCTTCGGCTGGACTGGAATGAGAGAGATTCCTTCCTTCCCATCGGAATGTCAAACACCATCTGCTGTTTATTGTTTACTATCTTCTGTTGACTGTTTACTGCTACACACTGTTTACTATTTGATTCCATCTATACATGTCATGGGCCTTAACCTATCACCGCCGAGGAAACCGTTCGATCGTCACTATTCACACTTCACACCTCCCACTAGCGCCTATATTAATGGACTCGCTTTTCCTTTCTCTCTTTTTTCTTTTAATTATCCCAAGTCCAAATTTAAATTAATACGTATCTTGAACACTTTAAACTCGTATGATGTTCTCTCATTGTTAACATCAATTGCGATCGACGGAGAGACGACATTCCCCTAAAGAAGGGGGATAACAACAAATCAACCAACTCTACAAAATTAATTTGTACTATCTCGAGCATTCCATATCCCTAAGCTCTTTATGTTTTAAAATCCGGTTTTCGCCAAATTAAGTGTCCAGATACTGCACAGCATAAGTATACATACACCTTATATGAACTTTATATAGATTTCCATAGTAGGAGCAATAACATTCTCGGGCCCAGTTCGATCATTTAAATCCATCTGTATCAATAATATCACCATAATATCACCAATGCTGCTCACTGATAGGCACATCATTCACATTAACTCCATCTGTAAACCATCGTCCCTCGCCATTCCCATCCGGTCCGATCAGGACATCATTTCCACTCATCATACGTTTTCGCATCTTCCCACTCTTATCAAAAGTCCAGTCTTCTAATCCGTAGCACCTCTTCCAGCGCATTCCATCTTCCGCATCTTGAAACTCATACCAAAATTGCACAGCAATGCGATCATCTCCAAATGTGAAAAGCTCCTTTCGAAGTCGGTAATTACGCTCGCGTTGCCATTTCGCTTCTAAGAACGCGATGATAGACTCTGTGCCAGTAAAGAACGAATCTCGAACACGCCAGATACTAGTTGGGGTGTATGCCTGAGCGACTCGGGCGGGGTCCCTAATCGCAAATGGTCAGACCAATAAACTCACTACGTCATTCTTTTTTTGGAAATCAAAGAACGCAAGACCCTTCCCATTAGAGGTATGCTCGCATATGCCCAGCGCGATCCGAGGCAAACAAATACAAGCAAGAATGCAAGGGATGAAATCTTTGCCCTTCCTTCGACCACATGGTCTATCAATCGAGATAAGAAACGTACTTCGTATTCCACAGATCCTGCGCTACTTTGACTTTTTTCTGCGCGGTTTCCTCGGTAAATGGTGGCATGAGACCTGCCATGGTGAGAATTTTGGATGTGAGATCAAGTTTATCTTCGGACTTCGAGGTTGCGGTCAAAAAGCTTAGCTCCCGGGGGGCCGCCCTTCCAGCTTTAGTCATGCCCACGTAAGGCTGTGCACAGTTGGATGCGTTATCGCTTACTATGAGAACATTGTGCATAAAGATAATACCATGTGTAATTTATACAATTGTTGAGCAAAAATTAAACAGTGATTTGACGAGAAATCTCTAGCCATACTCTTGGAACCGTCCGGCAGATATCGTACTGGCTCTTGCAAACATATACTTCGACCATATATCATACGTGTGTTCAATAATATATGATTTCTTCTCAGTATTCATGCTTAGAAAAAAGGGTGTTTGTTTTACTATCATTTTATAATTGATGTTTTGGTTAATTGTTGCAATAAATGTGAGAAATATATATCCGCTTTCTGACATGAAGCTACCGACACTATGTGCAAAACGTATAAGCTAAGATTCTATTTGACCCGGAAGAATTAGCTAGCTATTTGAAAAAACAAGAGCAATCTTTTTAGACAACTGTATCTTCATCAAATGCTTTATTTACGGTCGTCATGTATTGGAGCTAGCAGCACCAGTAAGTACATAAGCCTTTATATTTTTGTAACTTTATGTTTGTATTGTTTGCAGCAGAGTGGTATTCTGGGCTGGGCATTTTCACCCCTTTCACTTCCAAGCTGTTCAGTTGCTATACCGAAATGCTATCATTTAGTCACATTTCCCTCCAATAATACTTTCCGTATTGTGAATACTGTGGAGTCCCCTACAGAATAACTTTGAATCCACTCTAAAGACGTGATCGTCGACTAAACCACCTGATATTCTAAACCTAACAACTGTGGGTTACTTTGAATTATCTCTACCAGTTACGTTCCAACTAATTAATATAGGGCGATTTAGTCATGGTTATGGACGAGAGAGATACGTCCCATATTGAGATCATCGAAATTCATGACTATTACCCTCCAGGGGTTTCGAAGATCCTTGGGCGCGGTGGCCAATGTTTCATTGGTCTTATTGATGATTCCACGGTTTTGAAATATCCATGTATTCCTAGCGATAGCGAATTCGAACTTGTTCGTACTGAGGCGAAAATTCTCAAAGTCCTCGGAAAACACCCCCGAATCATCGCTTCAAGGGGTCTAACTGAACACGGTCTCGTTCTACAACGCGCATCAAATGGATCTCTAAGGGATTACATCTCATCACAATCTTTCATTCCTTTTGATACACGGTTACGTTGGTGCAAACAAGCTGCAGAGGCAGTCAGTTTCATTCATGGGAAACATGTCATTCACTGTGACATCAATTTGAACAATCTCTTAGTTGGTCAAAATCTTGATCTACAGCTTGCTGACTTTCAGGGTATACTCAAGTCACCCGAAGGCGAAACTCTACTAGATGGACTTTCTCGGGAGTGCACAAAATCATATATGCCACGTGATGGGGACGTCGCATGTGTGAAGACTGACATATTTGCCCTCGGCTCCGCTATCTTCTTTATTATGAATGGATATGAAGTTTTCCCAGAACTTAATAGCTATGAACACGATGAGGAAATTGAATCTCGTTTCGAACGTGGATTGTTCCCTACAGAGAGTCACGCTTGTTCCACTGTTATAGGAAAGTGTTGGAATCAACAGTACTGTTCCGCTGATGAAATTGTTCATGATCTTTCTCTGGAGGGACCTATTTGAGGAGATGCTGAAGTGGAAATATGATGAAGTTCTTGAGGTAATGCTACTCTGATAGACAGATAAAATGGAGAAGATCTAGTATTCGTTCTGCGGTGATGTAAGAGGAAGAATCGAAGTGGGGAATACAATAACCTCATTGGATAGCATATCACGACATCTCCCGCAGGTTATATTCTCACGATTCAGATATCAAATATCAAAACCTTTCTTTGGTTGTGTTCATTCCTGATCTCCCCTAGCTAGTGTGCCCCATATTTAACCAACCAATAATATCCTTGTGCCTGACCGTGGACCTTGGTACAGTGACTCCACAAAAGTTTGTTTGTAGACATCAGCCTCACTCGTCTGAAGGTCACAAAGCTGTAAGCCATATACTTCTCTTCAATATACAAATTCCATCGCGTTGCGCCAATAGTGTAGGGACCAAAGAAAACTCTTCAAATATACATTCAATTTTCATTATTATACTCGACCCTCAAAATTGTCCAAGTCTTTCAGCAACGGGGAAACGATAGTGTCGAAGACACGCTCCTCGAACTTTTTTTCAAGACATAGAGCAGACCAAGACAAGCAGCTATTAACCACATCGGCATAATTCGTCCCACTCTCCATGTACACCATTTTGACAAGCCACGATGCAGTCTTGAATATACTGACTAGTTTATCCTGATTCCCATCCTCCATATCCAACAAGGTGGGGAGAGACTTTCCAAGAGACAGCTCCACCAACGCAAGCCCCAGTGGTAATAGGCAATTATCCCCAAAGTTGGAGTACTTAGTATCATTGCGAGGTCCTGGCGTTGTGCTCGTGGAAATAGGCCATGATAGGTATAGATTATCCAATAGTACATTTCCACCATCGTCGCTTGTAGCGGCCAGATATACATCGGAGATATCCCACCAGGTTTTCAACCAATTACCGCCGAATTGGATCAAACCACATGCTAGAGAAGTAGCAATATGAAGGCGGTCCCGTCGACTGATATGGGATAGTACCTCGCGGAGAGGCTTTTGGGGGATGCCTTTTGGAAGTATCTTCACGGCATGCATAGTATATTTAACGGAGGCATCTAGGTCATTCGAAATGGACCCTATGCTCTCCAGCCGCCCAGCGCATGATTGGGCGACGCAGAGAGACGAACAAAAGTCTTGGATTGGGGGAGCAGATAGAGCCTTTCGGCGTTTTTCCGAGGACTGTTCTTCCATGGGAGGGATATCAAACGGAACCTTAGACTTCTGACGATACTTGGGATCGTCATTTCGGGAGCGACTAGCAACTGTTACCATCTCTTCAACCTGCCAAGGCTCAAACACCACTTCTGTCCAAGTCCATAGACACGTTAGATCCGCCTCCTTCGTGTTAGAAAAGATCATTCGAAATTGGGATTCGAAGTCGTTATCCCGGTATTCTTCGGTGCTTCGTAAGGAGTTTGTTTGCAGCTGGAGGTGGACGCAATGGTTTTTCTTGCACTGACAGCGCCAGTAGGTCTCTCCAATAATTGCCTTAAACAGACCCTCAGCATGCTTGCGCGCCTTTTGATACCGTTTCAGAAGATAGTTCCAGCCCTGTCGCCTCTTCTTGGTATCTTCTGCGTGGAATGACTGGTCGACCAGAGTCTTGAGGATTGTATTGGTTCCATCAATTTTCGCGAGGAGATCATCATAGACTGCTTTGCTGAGGATCTTTCGAAATTTCCATATACTCCAGGCATCTGTGGCGGGTGTCTATTAAGAGAATAAACCGGTTAATGACTGACTAGATAGTTATTAGGAACACCCAACTGACCTTTATATCAGTTGAGCCAATATCTAGCTTGTGCGATAGTTGTTCTAGCAACTCAGAGAGCCCGGCCATATTTCCCATGAACACCTCGTAATTTCGGTCCAGCTTCGAACGTAAACGCTTTTGCAAGTCTGGGTCCCTCCATCCATCGCCCTGTGGATCGCATATGAGCTCAGAAACTTGATCCTCATCATCCACGACCCCTTCCAATGCTTGTTCTAGCGTGTTCAGTAGAATAGCATGCTGTGTACTAAGGCTTACTGAATAGCCTTTAAACTCCCGTCGGTAGCGCTTCAGAGCCTTGATCTTCTCTATACCGCGGACGTAGCCATCGATCTGGTTCACGAAGAGCGGTAGCAGCGCGAGAGCGAGCCCTGCAGCCTCGATACCAGTGACCATGTCGGGTTCTGACCTTCTAAGTCCAGTATATTGCGAAAGAGAAATGGGGGTTTAGCTGATGTTGCTTACCCCACCGACTCTACCCCGCACTAGAGCCTCAATCGATGCCCAAGTTCTACATCTTAGCAAACATCCCTCACCTCGATAATGTCAGAGATTTGGTAGCTTCAAGATATAACACATAATGGTGGCAATATCAGAGCTGCTGCAGAGCTGTCTTACCCAGTTCCTCTCATTAATCAACTCAGGCGCGCTGTCCGATCATGTTGAGGAGGTTCCACTGCAAGATTGGACGGACGAACTGGGCCGACTTCGCGTGTGGGCAGCAAATATCGGTGCTCATCAGACCCGTCAATCCTCGCTAGATTACCGTCTTAGGGATGCTTCACATATCAGGAGTCAGATAGTGAGGCTCTTGGAGCAAGTCCAGGAACTACTCACTGATCTCAAGGAAGTGTTCGAGGAGCAAAGCGATGACGAAGCCGAAGACGATATGTTTGAAGGGTTTGAAGACTCGGAAAGCGAGGATTCCACAGAGATCCAAGAAATTCACCGAGGCCTCGCTGAGACGATCAATCAACTCTACCAGATGTCCATGATCATCCGCAAGCCAGCACAGCATGATCGGTTGGTAGGGACAAAAAAACTGGATTCCGAGCCCTTCCAATTCTGGACTAAGCAACATATCTGCAATAAATATCCAAATGCAGATGCGCTAGCTATCGACCGTATCAGTTCCGCAATGGCGCGACAAAGGGCGATCTTAAAATACCGTGAACGACATCATGCGAAATTAGGTCAGGGCATCGATCCCGAGAGTGATGGTAAATCAGCGATGCTATCAGAAACGGTTGTGACAGACGTGTTTAAGGAGATATCTGGTCACATTAACGACATGGCCTCTGAAGCTGGTGTATCTGAAACTTCTTACGGAGGCACTCTGTTCGACGGCACTGGTGCGGATGCCCCTAAAATACCACCTATACCGAAAAATGGCATGGATAAAAAGCCTTTTGAATGTCCATATTGCTTTTACATTATTACGGTTCGAGACAGGAGAGCATGGGCACGCCATATTTTCCGCGATCTGATGCCTTACGTCTGCATCTTCCCGGGATGTCCCACGCCCAACAAGCTCTACGGGAGCCGTCGACAATGGGATCATCATATTCAGCAATCACACGCTACGGCATCAATCACGGATGGTACATATCATTGCTCTATCTGCAAACAGGGCTCTCTGCCCGCTGTCACGTTTTGGCGACACGTGGGTCAGCACTTGGAAGAGCTTGCGCTATTTATGCTGCCACGAACAGACTCAGACGAAAATGAAAATGAAGTCACGGATGAGAATTTGAGCAACGTATCTTTAGACGACCTATCCATGGAACAGAATGTCGGGCAGCGCAGTGGCATGGACAATGTAGCGACACCAGCCTCCGACTCCGGTCTCAATGATAACAATCCACTGAGAGACCCACGGAATAAAAGTAAACATTACACATCCTCAGTCGGAGCGAGCTCGATCAACAGTGAGGACTCCATGGGAGTTATAAAGGGCAAAATACGAGTCTTGGTCGAACAGCTGAAACGGAGTGTGCAGGAGTCCAGTGCGGAAGACAAGCCTCGGATCCTCTCCAAGGTGCAAGAGTTGAAGGAAGATTTTGCACGTAAGATGGAGCTGCTCAATGGCAAGCATCACGAGGATCAATCTGCGGAGGTGGAGGAAAGTTGGAAGGAGCTTACTAGGATGAAAGAGGAGGCAGAGAAGAGGGAATATGTTATGCGAGAGGAGAGGTTTAAAGAGCTTATCAGGCAGGAAGAAGAAGGGGAGGAGGAGGAGGAGGAGGAGCGCAAAAGTCCCATTCAGGATATTCGAGATGAGAAGGCGCAAATGGCGACAGAGGCTACAGACGCGTGGTGGAAAGAGACTGCCTCGCGGGAGAAAGATGAGGAGGAGCTCGAAAAGCTCATTCAGGAGATTCGAGATAAGGACATGCAAACGGCGATGGAGGCCGAGGAGAAGAAGAAGAAGGATCTCGCTCTGAAGGCTGCTGATCCTGAGGGGTGGAAGCTTGAGCAGGAGCAGATAAAGCGGAGACAGACCGAGGAGGCGACACGAAAGGCGAAGGAGTACAGATATAAACTTCACCGCATAGGCTATAGTGAGGCGGAGATTGATGCTATCGTCAATAAGAAAAATGAGGAGCGGATGAAAGAAGAAGAGGCGGAGAAGAACGTTCAGAGGGCTGCTGCTCATGATCAGTTTATGGCGGCCGAGAAGAGGGAGAAGGATCTCGCTCTAGAGGCTGCTGCCCTCGAGGAGTGGGAGCTTGAACAGGAGCGGAAGCAAAAACAGGAGTGGGAGAAACAAATACAAATAGACAAGGAGAGGATGAAAAAAGCAAAAGAGAAGGAAAAGACCAAGACCACATGGATTAGGGTATGGAGTTCAATGTTGCCATATACCTATACTATGTTTTACTGACACTCTATCAGGTCCACCGCAGGTTTTTGTTACCAGATACCTTGTCCGCCTACAATCTGCCCTGGGAATGGGACAAGGTAAGCCTTATCCTAACCATTCCTCGCGTCCTATTCTAACCCTACTTCCCTCTATCAGAATGACGACAACTACATAATTATCAAGCAATGGATCGACGAGGACTTCCAAGATCATCTCTTCGCCCACACTCGTCGCAGACGAGAGTTAGGCCAGGTCTCCAGCTCAATCACTGAACGCAAGGTTAATGACCACTCTGGGGACGAAAGGTATCAATCTAGTAGGCGGCGGAAGGAAAACCTTGAACGTGGAAGGCATCGCGAAAGATCATGAATGATGGTTTATATAGTCGAAGTTGAGGTACTAGAAATGCACGTCCACTCACCTCGGCCCATGTTTTTCGGTGCCTCAGACAAGATGTGGCCTTTCTTCGACTACTCAATGGTCTTACAGTGCCTATGTAGATTTTCACTGTACTGCTTCTTCCTATTTAGGGAATTTGCCTTCCATAGTTTTCCACAAAGTTACTACCTTATTCTGTAAATACTCATGTAATATCTCCGTAATTGAACCCGTGTAATACTTTCCAGCACTATCAGCACTCTTTTTGAAGGTATCTTTACTCACATGACCTGCCATACCTAGATGTCGTCTACACATCCTCTACCCGCCCCTTCTAGTGGATGCTCTTCACCCAATGACTAATTTTCCCGCATCGAGGCCTTCATTGAGTGGTTGATGGCCGTGATAGCCTCTCAACAGGAAAAGTTCCTTTGGAGCCTTTTGGCCATCTACGCGGCCTTCGTGATATCGAGACGTATTAACTACCTTGTGAAGAGGTGGTTGGCCTTGTATGTCCCATATTTACATTGAACCCTGCACATGAAGCAGGATACCAATAGAAAATGACAGCCGTTTTATCCCCAACCCACCCGCCGCAGAGTTTCGCTACTTCAAACTAGCTCTAGCGTCCTTTGTAGCACGTAGCGAGCATGAAACGCTGAGGATCTACCTAGAAAAGGCTTATATTGGAACAAGGAAATCAACAATGCATTGTCACACACAAATTTCTTTATCTCAGACAAAGCAAAGTCTAAGAATGAAACCCAAACACAATGTCATTCATTTCATTGAGCTTCACGACACTTTTGAGATCCTACAAATATACAGATTTTCTTCCCAACTCCATATTCTCCAGCCAAGATTAGTATCACGACACGCCTAAGCTGTACCATTCTCAACTAATCCATCACCATGTGTAAAATGCGTTATAAATGGTACCGCGGCCACTGCGGTATTAGTGGTTGTGGACATACAGAGGCAGTATGGATCGAGCGCTGTAAAGAAGCGAATGCCCGTGAGAGACGAGTACCTTGTCCTAATCCACGTCCCGTCCTCCGTATTACCGAGGCTTTCGCAATGGGTCTTTGTCGTCCCTGTCTTGGCTGGGCTGTTTTGATTCCGGAAGCTCCTGAATTGGTCAATCCTGAGCGGGTTGATAGGCCTCGTCGACGATAATCATTGAATTTATTATCTGATTTCTAGTGTCTAGAATTACGAATGAAATGCAACTACCTTACTTGTGAAGCATAGAGTAGATGTAGATTGAATTTTGAAAGGTTGGGTGTTTAGAGAGAGTCCGATTCTCCATCGTAGGCCTCGGTCGGTATCAATGAGTCGGAAATCAGTTTGAGGACCAGGAATTATTGGGTGGTAGTGAACATATAGATTTGTCTTTGGTCTTGGATGAACTCCCTTTACAGCTTAGACAAGGGTTGAGGTAAATTCTCCGACTGTTGACCACTCGTTACCTCCAGGACATCTACAACCAGAGGTCCCACCATGGACAACTTGGAACTTTGTACCAAATTCCCCGATAGCAGTATAACCGAAGAAGATGATTGTGGGATGTATTCGACGAGGGAATTGGACTTGATGTTGGTATAAGAAGAGAGCGGTATGGCCAAGGAATTGGGGGCATGCAACTGGCCAATTTCGGATGAAGTATTCCCAGCCCCGGCTTCGATAATGACAAGCGACGAGGGATAAAATCCCTTCCTTGTGCGGATACCAGCATTCTTTTTCCCGGCCAATGTGCTCACGTAGGATATTTGGTCGACTTGTTGTCCTAGGAAGAATTGCACGCCTGCATCTTGTGCAGCGCGGTAAACCTATATAGCCATCAGCAATTCTATTTCCCCTTTGTGACGTGGAGTGAGACACTACGTTTGTCAAGTCTCCGAAAGGGATATAATCATCTTTTGCGAACACCGAGACTTTTTTGTAGCCTCGTAGAGAAAGATGTAGTGCTACCGAGAGGCTACTAGCACTAGCGCCGACAATAATAATAGGGTCTGATTTGGAAATGCCCATGATTAAAGAAAGTAAACATGTATTTGTGGGGTTATTGAGCTGATATAGTATTCTCCCCGCATCCCAAAAGCGTCATATTATGCGGAATTGGAGTAAAGGGGACTAAGATAGGGAAAATAGTGAGGGGAGTGAGGGGAAAAGCCTTGGAACGGCCGATCGGGAGGACTTCCGATGCTTCTCTTATATAATTCTATAGTCGCTGTATTTTCCTATAATTCTAATTTCCTCTATAATTTTTTTATGTATATTCAATGGAATATGGATTGTAGGTCTTGAAGCCTCGAGATGTTTAACAGAATAGGTGCTATTGACTTGACTTACCCGAATGTATCTAGCTGCGGAGTACTAGAAGAGGAGAAATGCAAGCATAGCTTTTGGAGAAAATCCACAATATCCTCCTATAGAAAGCTCATACAGATTGGCAATAATAGCTAATCTCATCCCTATGCTTATTTACTAACTTACAGAACGAGTGCTTACAAAATTCTTACTACATTCGCTATAAATGTCCTACTTTTTATAGATTCTATAATCGACACCATATATATTACAAGGTATATTGTTGCTTAAGTTAGAGACTGTGACTGTCGTAGACTGGCCAAAAAGCCTTTTGATGCAGAGGTTGTCTGGGTGACCTTCCAGATGAATAGGGTGTTCATTGTTGAGAACTACCTACTATGTAGGTAGGCTCCAATTGTTGAAATTGTCACAATGAAATTCAATGTTTGTCTTAAAATACAAAATCTCACTGAAGTTATGTGACATGGAACAATAGGGAAGGTGCAGGGGTCCATTTTAGGAAGGTACGCAGAATATTAATGAACTCCCACTTCCTTCCCTTCTCTTCTCTTCTTCCTCTCCCCAACCCAACCCTCTCGACCGTAATACCTCAAAGCCCCAGGGCCTCTTGTGGTCGGCAGAGGGTGGTACCTCGAAAGACATCAACACCAAGTTGTTGAGGCCTTCGAAGGTCCAAACACAAATCAAATTAACAGTTCCCGTGTATGTTCAACAAAGTCGGTGGCTGAGATAGAAGCTCAATAGCTATTCTGGGACAGAACCCAGAGAATACATTTAAAATCGAAGGTTGTTCACCAAGCATACAAATGTCTCTATGTGCCTAATTAGGCTTAGTCACAGCTTAAAATCTATATTTGGTCTTCTCCACACTCGGAAACCCTTCCGACATCAAAATAAAAGTGCTTTCCTTTCTAATCTATCTGTTCACCTGTTTATTTGTTAACTTGTTTATATTTGAATCATGATCCAAACCGGAACTCTTTGCATCCTAGGCTGTGGTAAGTACACAAGCTCGTTGGAAAAATACATACTAATACTCCTTTGTAGGAAACCTAGGCATCGCCATCCTAAACGGCCTGGTCAATGCACCCCCAGAAAAGTCTAAAAAATTACCGTTCACCCGATACATCGCATGCGTGCGCAGTGAAAACTCAGCAAAAAGACTATCCGAGCGATTTACCAACTCCCTAGACAAAATCAACATTTCACGCGGCAACAACGTCCAAGCCGTCCAAAATGCCGACGTCATTATTCTAGGCGCAGACCCTGCTGACATCGAGACCGTCTTGACACACCCCGGACTTCGCGAAGCCGTAGCCGACAAGCTCATCATCAGCATTGCCGCCGGCTGGACAAGAGAAAAGCTCGAAACCACACTATACGGCAGCGCAACCACCACCGATAACACAGCTGGCCGAGCTTGGGTGGTGCGCACATTGCCGAACATCGCAGCCCAGGTATCGCAGTCACTTACGGCTATTGAAACATCGGAGCCTGCATTGCCGGAACGGTATCTCCAAATAACGACGTCGATCTTCGAACAGATTGGTAAGGCCGTACACGTTGATCCGAGGTTGATGAATGCTACTACTGCTGTGGGGGGTTCCACGCCCGCTTTCTTCGCTGTGATTTGTGATGCTATGATTGATGCTGCGGTGGCGGTTGGTCTTCCGCGGGACCTGGCTCATACCATGATCTTTCAGTCAATGCAAGGGACGGCAACGATGCTTCAGAGTGGTATTCACCCCGCTCTGTTGAAAGATCAAGGGACGTCTCCTGAGGGCTGCACGATTGGTGGGTTGATGGTGATGGAAGAGGCTGGTGTGCGTGGACATGTTGGACGGGCGCTACGGGAAGCTGTTACTTTGGCTCGGCTGATGGAGACAACGCCCCATGTTAATGATACAAGGCATTGACATGCTAATTCGATATTTCATCGCACATATACACATTGGAGCCTTGGAATCCGGTGACTACTTCTGATCTCTGACATGACGAAAGCCATCTATAATAAAAATGGAATTGACAATTTCACCCTTCTTCTCTATTTACTATAGCACCGTGTAATCCAAACTCTGTATTATAGCTCTCCGCGAGCTCTCATGGGCAACCTAGATCTCTAATTCTGTCTCCGAACCCATAGCACTGGTAGCCTCATCCAAGAGAATTGCTGGTGAATTCTTCAAGACTCGAGCAATGGCAATCCGATATGGTTCTCCACTAGATAGCTTGACACTATTTCTCCAACCGTAATGTTGTACCCATTTACGGAAGCCAAAACGTTCTCGAGGATAGCCGCAGCTCGATATGCATCTTGGATCTCCTCATCTATAGCCGATGGTCGAGCGTAAGGAAGGTTTTCAGGGATGGACGCGTTGAACATGATAGAGTCTTGTGGAACGACGCCAATCTTTCGCGTAGCGAGCGGAGAGTTAGATGTCGAATGTCTTGGCCATCTATTTCGGAAATAGCTGAGGGAAGAACGACCAGCGAAGGGAAGAAGAGACGAGATCATTCAGTATCCATCTCGTCGTACGTCTCAGGGTCATGGTTGAAAGTTAGGTCAGACTCTCCTGATCCTTGTTGTGTCCGTCGAGATGTACGTTTGGAGGAAGCAGGTGACATTAAGGCCGCTTTCGTCATTAGGTAGACTAGCAGACCAAGGACTTGTTCGAAGCCGTTTCCAACAACGCCGACTAGCTTGAACGACCACTAGTAAACATTAGAATCAGGGTCAATAACACGATTTAGATCCACTTACTTGAGACTCATTATCTAGCTTCATGAACGTAAAGTTCATGGCATCGGTAGAGATGCCGTAGACAGTGGCATCTGCTTTCCCAAAATCTTTACGCTGCTTATGGACGCACCCTTTCGACAGGTCAGCCTGAGATTTCGTTATGATAACGATATCGTGAGGTACGTACCCATATATGCCAGCGCCTGCGGAACACGTTCAGTACCACTGTTCGGTCTCTTGGCCTCCATAATAACAACGTTCAAGTCTAGGTCTTCCTCCTCTCCATACCAAATACCATAGTCGGGACGCCCTGATAGCATTCGTGTCTTCCCCTTCCATTTCACAGGGCTATACGCCCATGTACGTTCCATCTGAATGTTCAAGGGTCTCGCGGATTTGCTTAAAGACGACGATACTAGATCGTGAGCGCAGACAAGGAGGAGGTTAAGCTTGCAGGCGGATGCTTGCTTCGTTTCCGCAGCTGGCGCCATGAGCGCGGTCGGACTTTTCTAACCAGAGTTCTAGCTAAGGTTAGCTGATTTCTTTGTATAATCCATAGGGCTAACATACTAAGATCTTGCGGGACGGGAATAGGCGTAACCGAGTCGAAATCATCATCCACAACCAAAGTGAGACCAAGGATATTCTGAACGTCTGTCAGACTTAACGAGGTCACTTCGAGGGGCTCGGGCTTCTCAGGAGCCTCTAGGATCCTTTCCAGGTCTTTGGCCGGGATCTGATGATCAAGAAATTGACGAATCATGCGCCGGGTAGCGGCAAGACTAGACATTGTGTAGATATGGGGAATGGAAAACGGAAGGCTGTGTTTATAAAGCAGGAAAGAGAAGGCTGCAAATGGTTAAGAAGGAGAAATGAAAGCGGAATAAATAACTGTAGAGGGGCGAGCGGCGAGTTCAGTTTGTTTATTGAGAACAATTGTGAACGTCAAGTGAGAACAAGGTTAAGGTGTTTATTGAGAACAAGTAAGGTTTATTGAGAACAAGTGAAGGTGCTTTTTGAGAACAATTTAAAGGGTAAAGTCAGAACAATGTACATCGAGTAGACCGCGTCCTTTTCTGGTCATAAGGTTTCCAGTGAAGGTACCTGAACGCTATTGTCACAGTCGGCTAACCTAATTGGGAAGAATCTGCTCGAGGTCACATATATCAAATGGTGTGCTACTTCAAGTCTGCTACTATAATCTTAGCCGCTACGACTCTACTCTTAGGCTAGACATTTAGCAACTGTAATCCACTTATTTTATTTCACTTTATAGGCTTTACTTAGCAATGAAGGGCAAACAATCTACCACGCACGAGTAGGAGAGGGAAGACAGCGAAGGTAGGGGATACGGAAGGGACACGCCACGCGGGGGAGCTTTCGGACGACCAGAGATCTAGCCTGTCATCTCCACATCTTCTCGCACGGAAAACTTGGTTGCTGCAGACTCGCCCGAGCTTTGCTGCTCTCGGGATGGTTCCGAAAGTATACCTATCTGATGCTATGCCGTAAATGGTACATCATGAAACTAGTATATAAGTATTTTATTAACTGTATAAATTGACACATAATTTGCATAATGCCATATATACCATCAACAAAAATCAGACTTGCCTGGGCCATCCTACTGTCTACAATCTCGAACAGATGCATCATTTGGTGCCACTGTAGCCGGCACACAGGCAAACGTCCCTGGTATTGAGGACATGACGGGACCGACGATCGCAACGGTCCCTTTGCGAGTGGCGATTGATCGTAAAAAGTCCGTGAGAGAGCTGCTTCAGCAAGTGCAATTATAAGGCCCAGAGATGATGCCTTTCGATTCTTATATATCTATTTTAGGTGACTTTATACAATAGTAGGTATCGTAGGCATACCTAGGATAGGTATGCCCATAGGCCGTGGGCGTTATAGACGGGCACTCGAAAATCCAAATAGCCCACCGCCCACCGTGGACGGGCGATAGGCACCTCCTAGGTGCCCATGGACGGGCGATGTCGCAGTCTAGTGACTAGCGGACTAGTATATACCTTTATCAGCTAAGACGTTAAGAGCCCCGCCTACGGCAGACGGATAAGGCCATTTTTAACAATGGGGTTTCTGCTGTGCAGAAAATTAGTAATCGGCACTAATAGAACAATACATCCATCCATGGATACTTACTTAGTTAATTTCAATGGCCCTAGGGCCATTATTATTATCAAGGCTAATAAGATTTAATGCTATCCTAATAGCCAACTGAACCTGTGGAGGTATGTCCAAGACTCATAGTTAGCAAACGATAATCAGAATCAATGATAATATATGATGATATATGATGATAATGATCTCTAACTGCTGCCATATAGCCTATCTAAATAGCCCCAATAGACATGAGCACTGAACCGCCGATCATTAATGGTGTGTAGTACCCAGGCACCGATCACATGACCTTATCATCCCACCTTCTGCCTTAGATATCAGGCATTTTATAACATCATCCCCTCGGTCCCTCATTTTTTGTCCAATGACAACAATAAACTTGTTTTCTAAGAACCTCAAAGAATAGCCAGGAACAGCAGGAATACTAAATCCGAACTTATTCCAATAGCCGGTACAAGGCTAGAAAACCCGGGATGACTCATCTTTCATCCGATTCGTTTAATATATAAATCAGATAACAAAGTCTCGGCGGTCTTTCTTGATAATCCATTTGTTTCGGTATCTTTCTTTCCGATCAACTCACTTCAAAGTTCTTCTGCGTAATTTGGTCTCCACCCGTCTTTGTCCCGGTGGGCCGATATGTGTAAGCCGTAACGTTAAATACTTCTTTCCCCCCTCCTTCCTTTTTTCTTCTCCGTATCCACAATCTAAACAATCTCTTTCTTTCTCTCTTACATCGTTCAATACTATCAAAATGGCTAAGGGTTTCAACGCTGGTGACGCCTTCCCCGAGGACGTCGTGTTCTCGTAAGTTATCGACCTAAAACTCAATTGCGTCCTTCCAGCTAACAAAAAACAGTTACATCCCCTGGTCTGAGGAGGCCGGCGAGATCACCTCTTGCGGTATCCCCATCAACTACTACGCCTCCAAGGAGTGGGCCAACAAGAAGGTCGTCCTCTTCGCTCTTCCCGGTACGTGACCGCTCTTTCGAAAATTGAAAATTTTCGGCCCTCCGTCTGCAAGGTTCTCACGCTGACCGCCACTCTGCTTTACAGGTGCTTTCACTCCCGTCTGCTCCGCCAACCACGTCCCCGAGTACATCCAGAAGCTCCCCGAGCTCCGCGCCAAGGGTGTCGACCAGGTCGCCGTCCTTGCCTACAACGATGCCTACGTCATGAGCGCCTGGGGCAAGGCCAACGGTGTCACCGGAGATGATATCGTATGTGACCTATCACCCCTTTCAATCCCACATGAACTCAATTGGCTGACTGTCTTTTTTCTTTTAGCTCTTCCTTTCCGACCCCGACGCCAAGTTCTCCAAGAGCATCGGCTGGGCTGATGAGGAGGGCCGCACCTACCGTTACGTGATCATCATCGACCACGGTAAGGTCACCTACGCCGCTAAGGAGGTCGCCAAGAACAGCCTCGACCTCTCCCGCGCCGAGTCCGTCCTCAAGCAGCTGTAAATTCGCTCCGGTGAAAAATAGATTTGGGTAAATGGGCTGGCGCATTGTTTCATGGGTGACGGGGAATCAAGTGGTATTTCTTTGCAAATATCCACTGTTTCTCTCTGCTTTCAGCGGTTTTCCGAAGTTTTAGATCGCCCTGTTGCTTGCTCTGTTTCCTGAGTGAAATACTTTTAATGAAGCCACGAGTTCATTCTTTATATTCTTCTCTGTAAATGGTAAAATGTTAGGGTTGTGCAACGGAGGTACCTTGGAAGTATACCTTGTCGTTGTGATTGGTGCCCTGCACGTTAATATTGGACTAGTGCTGAAGGCCAGTGCCACTGCTGTCCGTGCTCAACGCCTCGATCTAGATCGTCGACTTTGCCAAGCAAACTTCACAACTTCCAAATTATGGCAAAACCCCAAGTCTATTCAGCATAACTCTCTTGACAGGCTATTAGTCGTAGAGGTGTCAACCCGGGCCAGTGTGACTTTTTCATTGAAGGTGTCACTTAAGATAGAATATGGGTGAGGAGGTTAGAGTCGAAACTAGATATCGCAAAGATCGTCCATTAGCTCCAAGATATATCGCTTGACGGGCTGCAGCAAAGCTTACCTTGCATGACCAGGCGGCGCACGTCTCGGTCATGCAAAGTATCTCCCGCGATAGTCCTACTGACCACACATAGCAACACCCTTTAATGAAGCTTTTGAACAACAGTCTCCTCCGCAGCGACGGGTTCTACGCATAGCGTCGTTGAATTCCATGAATCAGATTGACCAATTAAATTGTTAGAAGTTAAACTCCCTTCCCGGAAAGCAATAAATAAAAGCAATGGATATACGCAAAAATCATAGACACCAACGCCAACCTCAAAAATCAAGAATGCCTCAAATTCGACGCCGCAGCGACAGATTTATTCTTCTTCCGTTCTTTCGTCTGCAAGCCACGACTCAGTCCACCGCCTAGGCCACGCGCCAGAGATGCAAACGGCGACGAATCATGCCATGCATCCAAATCGTGTTCAGATTGGCCAACGCCCTTGGGTTGCGATGCCTGTACCTCTTTTCGGGCGGTAACCAAGCCCACGGGCTCGGATTGTCGGCGATGAGAATGTTTCGCCTTTACAATGCTGTGCTGAGTGATGGGTGCGTAATCCTTGGGACCGGGGGATACTGGTTCCAACACGGGCATGGGGACATCAACGGCAATGTGCTCGGAGCATTGACAGCCGCATCCTGTTGGACAGGTTGGGAGGAAGGTATTTTGGTCTAGGTCGAATGGGCTGTCGAACTTGTCGGCCGGTCGAAGGAACCAATGCCGGTGGCAGTCGAAACAGCTCACGTGTCCGCAGCTCAGACAGGGGATTAGCATACCGTCGACTACCTCGCCGCAGATGACGCAGGGTAGTTTGGTTGGCAGTGGCTGTCGGGGCTTGCAGTTAGAGCATCGGCGGCCTGATGGTTTGCCCTGATGTCGTTTGGAGGGGGTATTTGGGGCTATAGGTTGTTTATTGAAGATGGAGAGCTGCAACGCGTGGCCGCAGCTGGCGCAATGGCGCTGCAAGTCAAGAGCTTGGGTGGTTGGCTCTGGCTGTGGGTCTTTCAAATCGGTCTCTCTAGAGATGGTGCTGTTCCAGTAATGGCTCGAGGTCAAGTCATCCACTCGATCAGCCACGGCTCCAATCTTCATCACCTCGCTTTGTTGAACTGGGAGGTCCCAGATCGATAATAGATTTGCATAAGCAACGCGGTATGACCGATACAACAACTCCTCATCTGTGTTAAGGAAAGAGTCTTGCGCTGGTGCGTCACTTTCAAATGCATTTTGGTTCTTGAAAGTGACCTTGAATCTTGCGTGTGGTGGTGTAGACTCAGGTGCGTGGTTGCTTTCAGTCTCGGATTGAGCCTGTGACTAAAGAGCAATTGAGGTCAGATATCAGACTTGGTAGACATATCAAAACAGAACTAGAACTACTTACCGCTTGTCCAGTTGCCACACTTGGGCTGTCTTGGGGAGTGGGCTTTTTCTTGTCCAGCCTACTTGCCGGTGGTGATGCAGATGACGGTCCGAATGTGAATGAGCGAGATAATGAGGATGCCAACACTGATCCGAACCCAGATCCACTTCGTACCTGGGATTGCTGATCAGGCGATGCAGCCATGGAGACACTGTGGCTCTGGTTTTTTCGGTCAGCA